AGGACACAACCTTCCAGAACCTGTGGGCCACAGTAAAAGCAGTGTTAAGAGGAACGTCTACGGCAACACAAGCCACAGCAACAAACAAATAAATGACCTAACATTACAGCTTAAGGAACTAGGAAAAGAGGAACAAATGAAAACAAAAACCAGCAGAAGAAAGGAAATAATAAAAGTTAAGATGGAGAGAAATTAAACAGAAGTCAAAAAGACAATTCAAAAATCAATGAAGCTAAAAGCTGCTTCTTTGAAAAAAGAAAAAAAAACAGGCAAAGCTTTAGCTACGTTTGCTAGGAAGAAAGGGGAGAAAACTAACAAACAGAATCAGACACAGAGGATAAGTCACTATATGCGAACAAACTGGGAAATCTGGACAAAATGGACAAATTCTTAGAGGTATACTATCTTCCAAAACTGAATCAGGGAGAAATTAAAAAATAAAAACCTGAACAGGCCATTTTAAAAAAAATTATTTATTTATGCATACAAGAACTGGGGCACAGGCCAGAGGTGCAGAGGGTGAGAGGATTCACCAGAGACAAAGCGGGGAACAGAACAGGAGACTGACTGAAATACACTGCTTAGGGGAGCAGCGGATGAGGCAGGAGAGGCCTGCTGTGCCATGTGGGTTGCTCCCTGGCTGGCCAGGGATCAAACTGGTGCTGCAGAGGCTGCAGACTGCTTCATAGTGCGGTGCTTAACCCCTTGTGCCACCAGGAAGGCCCCTGAACAGACCAATTATAAAAAGGAAATTGAAAGTCACCAAATTGAGAGTCACCAAAATCTACCAAAAAACAAAAGCTCAGGGCAAGATGGTCTCACTAGTGAGGTCTGCCAAATCTTCAAAGATAAATTGATACCTAGCCTCAAACTCCTCCAAAAAACTAAGAAGGAATGCTCCCACACATTTTATGAAGCCAACATTCCTCTGCTACCCAGAGCAGACAAGGAAAGAAAACCACAGATCGGGCCTCCCTGGTGGCGCAGGCGGTTGAGCACCACACTGTGAAGCCATCCACAGCCTCTGCAGCAAGGGTTTGATCCCAGCCAGCCAGGGAGAATCCCACATGGGGAGGCAGACCTTTCCTACTTTACCCGCTGCTCCCCTCAGCAGTGTATTTCACCCGTCTGCCTGTTCTGTTCCCCGCTCTGTCTCTGGTGAATCCTCTCACCCTCTACGCATCTGGTCTGTGCCCCAATTCTTGTATAAATAAATAAAATCTATAAAAAAAAAAAAAGAAAAAGAAAACCACAGATCAATGCCCCTGGTGAACACAGACACAGACACAGACATCTTAAGAGATTCCCCACAAACCAAAGTGAAAGAAGCATGTTGTGGCCAAGAGGGATTGACCCCAGGGATGCAAGGATGGCTTAACACATGCAGATCAGGCAGCGTGATTCAGCAAATCAGCAAAAGGAAAGTCAAGAATCAGATGATCAGGGCCTCCCTGGTAGCACAGGCGGTTGAACGCAGCGCTATGAAGCTGTCCGCAGCCTCTGCATTGCTGGTTCGATCCCCGCCGGCTGTGGAGCAATCCACATGGCGCAGCAGAACTCTCCTGTCTTGCCTGCTGCTCCCCTCAGCAGTGTATTTCGTCAGTCTGCCTGTTCTGTTCCCTGTTTTGTCTCTGGTGAGTCCTCTCACCCTCCAGCACATCTGGCCTGTACCCCAGCTCTTGTATAAAAACAAATCTTTAAAAAAAAAAATCAGACGATCACTTGACAAGATTCAGCATCCATTCATTATTTTTTTAAAGATTTATTTATTTATACAAGAACTGGGATACAGTCAGACATGCAGGAGGGTGAGAGGACTCACCAGAGACAGTGCAGGGAGCAGAAAAGGCAGACGGACCAAGACACTGCTGAGGGAAGCAGTGGACGAGGCAGGAGAGTTCTGCTGCACCATGTGGGATTCTCCCTGGCTGGCCAGGAATCGAACCTGTGCTGCAGAGGCTGCAGACAGCTTCATAGCGTGCTGCTCAACCCACTGCGCCACTGAGGAGGCCCCTATTCATTGTTTTTCAAAGATTCTCAGAAATATGGGGATAGAGCGAGTATGCCCCAACATGGCAAAGGCCACCTATGCAGACCCACAGGTGGAATCAGACTCAAGGGCGAGAAAGTGAAGTCTTTCCTCCAAGATCACGCACAGGACAAAGACGTCCACTCTCACCACTGCTGTTCGGGACAGTCCTAGCTGGGTCCAATGGGCAAGAGAAAGATATAAAAGGGAGCCAAGATGGAAAAGAAGGAAAACTAGCACTGTGCAGCGATGTAATAACATGCATAGAAAACCCTAAAAATCCCACTGGAAGCCTGTCAGTAACAATAAGTCAGTTCAGCAAAGTGGAAGGCTATGAAATTAAAGCACAAAGTCGCGGTCCTGGGCAGAATGCTGGGCCGTGGGAGACGGTGTCCTCGCTGGATGACGAGCCCGGCAGGGTGTTAGAGAAGTCAGAAGCTGAGACAGCACGAAGCACCCCTCAGAACTGCCTCCTTCCCGCCCTCCACAGAGATGAGAGAGTTAAAAAGGTACACACCCCAGCTACACCCCATTGGTTCTGCTGCTCTGCAGAGTCCTGCTACTCTTCGAGGGAACTCTACTGGAGAATATTTACACAAATGAAGATCCCCAAAGTATTAAAGGGGGCAACAAAAAACATCAAATTATTAAAAATGTTGGAAATGTTGAGGTTATAACTGCCCTCATTTTGTCTCTTCCGTGTTCAGACTTAACTCGTGAATTCTGCAGGTGAACTTTTGTGCTTGGATTAAAAAAGAGCAAACTGGCGAGGACTATGGCTATGTTTTCCTATTTATTTTAAATCTCAGTTGATACTTTGTCCTAGTACATTTAAAACAAGCAAATTTATTCCTGCTAGGGCTCCACTCAACCCCCACTTTCATCCAACTTTTGATGCGTAACCCACTTTCTCTGTGAAATCGGCAGTAGCAATGCCTGCTTTACACGCGCCGCGCAGTCTGGCCCGGGCCGGCACACGGCCGCAGGGCATCACCTTCGCCGCTGTCGCCACCTCCGCTCACCCAGCTTTGCTCTGGATCCACCCAGAGACCCTTGTGGGGCACAGATGCCCACTCATTAAAAAGCACCCCGTTCCTGACCACACTCACTAGTTTCCCCCACCCCTTTACACTACCAGGGAGGCCTCTTAACACTCCCGAAATCACCATCCCTCGCTCCAGTGCCTGTCACAACACAAGGTCCTGCCTGGCAGCCTGGCGACCTTGGGGGAAGACGCTTCACGCTCTATTTGTTATCTGTAAATGGGGGTTCACATCCATGAGTGAGTGGGGTCAGCCCAGCAAAGGGCTTAAGAGAACTCATTAGAGTTTATGGGCGGGTGGACAGACGGGTGGATGGGTGGGTAGATGGGCAGGCGGGTGGACGGATGATGGGTGGACGGTGGACTGCTGGGTGGGTGGGCAGGTGGGAAAATAAATGCTGGACGGCTGGGTGTGTCTCTTGCCTTGCAGACCCCAGAGCCTTCCACATCCTTGTGACGTAGGCAGGGGAGTGACGTCCCTTGCAAACCAGCCCCTGAGCCAAGTCTCCTGGGGCTGGGTGGTGTTGGTTTCCCCAGTGTACCTGGCCCTGGGATGGAGGCAGCTGGCAGTTGCTCCAGAGGTAAAACTTTTTTTTTTAAAGATTTATTTATTTATGGGGTCTCCCTGGTGATGCAGGCGGTTGAGCACCGCACTATGAAGCTGTCCACAGCCTCTGCAGCGCGGGTTTGATTCCCAGCGGCCGGGAAGCTACCCACAGGGCGCAGCAGACCTCTCCTGTCTCCCCGCTGCTCCCCTCAGCAGTGTATTTTGGTCAGTCTGCCTGTTCTGTTCCCCGCTCTGTCTCTGGTGAGTCCTCTTACCTGCCCCCCACACACACCTCTGGCCTGTACCCCAGTTCTTGTATAAAAATAAATATTAAAAAAAGAGATTTATTTATTTATGCATACAAGAGCTGGGGTACAGGCCAGAGGTGTGGGGGTGGTGAGTGGATACCCGAGACAGAGTGGGGAGCAGAACAGGCAGACTGACTGAAACACACTGCTGAGGGGAGCAGCGGGGAGTCAGGAGAGGTCTGCGGCGCCCTGTGGGTAGCTCCCTGGCCGGGGATCAAACTCCTGCTGCAGTGGCTGGTGACAGCTTCACAGGTTGCCTCTTAAGCCCTCACGCCACCAGGGAAGCCCCAGAGGTGGAACTTGACCCAAGGCTCTGCGTCCACCTCCAGATCCGGCTGGCCAAGGTCCAGGAAGCGTAGCTGAAGAAAAGCCACACCCCACGCCACCGGGGGCGGACCCCCACGCCACACCCATGTCCAGGGTCACTGTGGCCCCCACCCTGGCCTCTGCGGGTGAAGCCAGACCTCCCACCGACACACACGCCCAGTCTGCAGGCCCCCGCCGCAGGCGCGCCCTGGCCACCCCGTGGCCTTCGGGCCTCCCCGTGGCTTCAGGAACCTCGGGAGCAACCTGGTCCTGACGGCTGAGGCGGCCAAGCCCAGAGGCCATCCCGCCGGCATAGCCCTGAGGTGGGCAGAAGCCGGGGGAGGCCCTCGTGGTCCTGTGAGGCGCCCATGGCGATGACAGGGCCGGCGGGGCGCAGTAAGCCGAAAGCCCAGACGGCAGCTCCGGTGGCCTCGTCTGGGCGAGCTCAGGCCAGCAAAGGCGGCTGGGAGGACCCCGCGGGCGGGCGATGTCGCAGGACAGGACACACCGACGCCGGCTCTCACCAAGTGTTTATTGAGCACGTGCCCGCCCACACGAGCCGCCTGGCGATGCCGAGGCACATGCAGCCCCGGGCAGCCCGCCCGCCAGAGGACTCAGGCAGGGGCAAGACACGGCAACACTGTCACGGCACCACTGTCACGGCCACAGGGCACGAGGCAAACTGCGAGTCCGGAGGCAGAAATGGGTGGGGGGCACTGGGCCAGCAGCAGCTCCTCTCCGGGGCCTTTGGACGCCCAGAGCGCAGCCCCACCACTTGCGGAGGCGGCACCCCACTTCCAGCAGCCCACGGATGGTCATCTCCAGATAGGAAAGACCTTCTCTCCAGCCTGCGGAAGACAGAAGAAAACAGCCATCACTTGGTGGGATGGACTCTGGCCTCCCGATTCCCGGGGCGCCTTAGTGCCGGGAAAGGGGTGGCGTCAGGCCGAGACTTTCTAGAGGACAAACCCACGCTCTCCACGTGCGACGGCGCACAGCAGAGCTGAGGTGGGTGCAGCATGAGACCATTCCAGCCAGTGCCGCCGCCCAGCCTTCTTCACCCTGTGCCCATGGGGTACGGCCCAGAGCCCACCCACCCTCTGCCCCACCACCTGCTGCATCGCCAAGACACTGGCCTCTGGGCACCCTCCTGCCCCACAGGAGTGCCCACCCGTCGCGGCCGCTGGGGAGGAAGACCGGCCGGGCCTAGGGGTACGTGGCCACGTGGGCCGGGGCTACAGCCTGCCTGCAGCCGACCGGCATCTTACTCTCTGGGACGCGGGGTCCTGCCCGGAGGTGACAGACCAACTCAGGGCCACGGACATGTGCCTCCTCCACACCGGGTTCCTCCGCAGCACGACGGCCCCCGTGAGCACGTCCCCCGCGAGGACGGGGACCGGCTCGTCCATCATGAACAGCACCTGCTTCCAGTGGGTGGTGCTGCAAGACAGGCGGGGTCAGGGCCCTCCCGGGACGCCAGCCCCGTGCCCTGGCCCTCTGGGACTGGGGACGAGCTGCCAGGACACGCTGGCTCCAGACACCAGCCAGAGTGCGGCCCGGCCCTGTCCAGGTGGCCCAGCCCCACACCCCACACAGGGGTCCCTGTGCCCCACGCAGCTGCGAAGCCGCTCATGCCACCAGCGAGTCGTGGACACCGCACTTCTGCAGAATGGGCCTGAACTCGGGTCACTGGAGAGCTCGCCCCCTCTCCCCCAGCGGCCCTGCCGGTGAGCGCCTGTGGGGCTGCGGTCACGTCCAGCGGCCACGCTGGCTGCCCCCCTCGCCGCCGCGTCCTCCCTGGCCCTGGGCTTCCACAGCCTGCCCCAAGCAGAACCCATGCCCTGCACCCCAACCCTGCCGGTGCATGGACGTGCCCCGCACACACACCCCAGCCTTGCTGGCGACAGCACACACAACGCCCAGGGCTGAGCAGGAGGAGGCAGCCCCGCAGGACACTCTGGGCAGCAGCTCTCTGCTCACAGAAGGACAATGAGGTCTTCCAGACCCCGATGCCAGGGCCAGCATCCCGCCCCAGCATCGCAGCCACCCCTGGGGCTCGCTCAGCGCTGCCTGACCACACGCGAGGCTCCCAAGTCAAGGACGCGTGGTGCTGTCGGGGCCCACAGGGGCCTCCAGCACACAGGCAGGGGAGCTCCGTGAAGCGTCCCACAAACCCTCCTTGACATGTGCTCACCCACTCCCAAGGTCTGAGGGAAACTCTAGAGTCCTGTCAACTGTTTTAGTGTCAACAAATACAAAAACTTGCATCACGAATTCAAATGCTGCAGTCAGAAAGGTTTTGGGCAATACGGGCCTCATTTTCTTAATTTTGCCTCCAAACTTGTGCAGAAAAAACTCTACATAAACAGAAAGTTCCAGGCTGGGTCTTAGGATGCCAAAACCAACTACAGCCTCAGCAGTTCCGTTCACACAGGTTTCTGTGACTCCCAGCCCGAGGGTGTCCACACACCCCAGCGCAGGCCTGGGCTGAGGCCTCAACCCCACTGGACCCTAAACCCGAGCTCTGTGGGAGGGTGCACGCCGGGTGGACAGGCCGCCGCCCGAGGGCCTGCTCCACAACTCACGGGTGGAAGGGTCCCGTGCTCAGCACCAGCTGCGGCTCGTCCTCCTCCAGGTTCTGAAACCGGACACTGAACCAGGCTGTGAATCCGTGCAGCGTGCCGGCCTTCTTCATCTCAAAGCACAGCTCGCCCTTCATCGTCTGTGTTCAAGCAAACCAGTAAGAGTGGTGTCCGCGCACCAGGCAGAGCCGCACCTCCTCCAGGCCGCAGCCCTGCCCTCCACGGGCCAGCGGAGGTGACGGACCCGTCACAGATGCACGACTACCTCTGGGAAAGCAAGCGCTGAGGCTTGTATCATGGACTCAAATGCTGCTGAGTCAGGAAAGGTTTCAGGCAATTTGGGCCTCGTTTTCCTAATTTTTGTGCAAACTTGTGCAGAAAACTCCCTGCATAAACAGAAAGCTCCAGGCTGGGACTGGAGCCAAACTAACGAGATGCCAAAACCAGCACCTCTACAGTTCTGTCCCCAGGTCGCCTGGACCTCCCGCGCCCCCTGGTGGTGACAGAGGGCAAGGCAGGCTCTCGAGGGCTGTCCCCGCGGACCCACCCACAGAGCAGAGCAAACATTTCATTCCCGTTCCATGACGACATGAGGCATCATTTATTTGAACCCCATGCTAAGAATATTAAACATAAATCTAAAAATAAGGGGCCGCATTAAAGAAAACAACAGAAGCATCAACAACAGCCAGGCGAGGACGGGCACGGTGGCCATGAGGAGCATCTGCCCGCGGGGCCGGGCCCTGTGAGGACGCCCCCTCACCTCCAGGTCGGCAATCTGCACGGTCCTCATGTCCAGCTGCAAGATGGTGCTGGGCTCAGAGAGGCAGTCCTCGGGCTTCAGGATGTGGTTGTACTTGGGCTTCGAGAAAAACTCCTTGATGGCGAGGGACCTGGGGGTGCCACAGCAACGGCTCAGGGCCTGACGGACAAGCGCCGCCTTTTTGCACGCGCAGGGCCGCCAGTCACTCCGGCTGGCCGCAGCGTGGGGGACTCACTTGAGGGCGCTGAGGTTGAACTCGTAGGCGTTGTCCCAGAAGAGGACCTTGCTGCGGTAGTCCCGGTCGGCGCTGCAGGGCACCAGGTGCAGCGCGGCCGTGGTCGGCCAGATGACCCCGTCCTCCTTGAGCCACGCGTCCCGGGCGTACAGGATGGACTCGATCATGAACTCAAACTGCTCAGGAGGGAGACACGGTGAGTGGTGCCGGTGCTGCCCATTCCCGCGGCACGCACACGGCTAGGCCTACAGGGCCCACTCGGTGCCCCCTACACCAACACCCCTGGTGCTGCTACGGCCCGAACACGGACCGCCACTCCCGGGCGCGAGCCCCGTCATCACTCAGGCCTGTCCCCTTGTCCAGAGCCCAAGGGTCGCAGGTCCAACTGTCAACAATTCGCTCAGGGCCCTCTGGACCCGCACCCCCTGGCTGAAAACACGACACAGCAAAGCACCCGTCTGGAAGAGCCTCCCGGGGCCACGACCCCCAGCCCCCCAGGCCAGCGGGGGAGGAGCACCCACACCTTGCTGGTTCATGAACACCCTTAGGCAGAACGTGCTCTGGCGTGACACGTGCTCAGTGTGGAGAAGCTGAGAAAACTAGAGGAGCACAAAGGGGGGCAAGCCCAGCACCATGGGAGACGCAGCTATCACCTGGCGGTTTATCTCCAGAGATTTTCCTCACACACAAACACAAACACAAATAATTGTACATGTGTAATTTAAATGTTTTTCTTCCCATTACCATACAGCAATTCGGCTACAACCTGTGGATTTTAACAGGTGCACAGATCTTTATAACGACAACCAGGACCCGAATGCCCCTCCCACCGGGCCCTGGCCTCCCCCGAAGGCTCGCCACATAAACGGGACCGCAGAGCTGTCACCAGAGGTGGCCTTCCCGCGGGGCGCCCACACGGCGTCAGGCCTGTTCCCAGAGCGCGCCTGTCCTGTCCGGCTGTCTCCTGTCATAGGTCAGTGTATGGGCTGCGCTGCCCACTGGCCACCCCACACAGCCTCTGAGCGGGCAGCGAGCAGCCCCCTGCACTGCACGGGGGTGCCAACATCTCTCCACGTGCTCACCTGTCACCCTAAGGTCCCCTCCGACAAAATCTCTACTCAGTCTTTTGCCCACTTCCCCAAGACGCGGGGGTTCTCCCTGCTGCGCCCTGGCAGCCTCTGCAGACTCATGCGCCCCACCAGTGTGCCCCCAGCCCAGCAGGCCGCTCTGGCTCCCAGCACCGGCACCTGCGGAGCGGCGTTCTCCGTTCTGAAGAAGTCAGTTCACCCCGCGCACTTCCACAGGCCGTGGCAGTGCTCTCGGTCACACCTGTCCTCCTGGCCAGCTGGGAGGTGTTCTCCTAGGCTTCTCCTGAAGTTTTATATCTACGCAGTTCCATCTACGGTCTGTGTGTGGTAAATGGCTAAAAGCTGAGCTTCTTCCTTGGCATATGGATGGCCAGCTGCTCCAACACCATTTATCGAAAACTGTTTTTTTTCTATTAAGTTGATTTCACTCCTCTGCTAAAAACCAAAGGAGGGCCTCCCTGGTGGCGCAAGGAGTTAAGTTGCAACACTATCAAGCTATCTGCAGCCTCTGCGGCACGAGTTCTATCCCCTGCCAGAGAGCTACCCACAGGGCGCAGCAGACCTCTATCTCCCCACTGCTCCTCTCAGCAGTGTGTTTCAGTGGATCCATCTGTTCTGCTCCCCACTCTGTCTCTGGGGAGTCCTCGCATCCCCCACACTCTGGCCAGTACCCCAGTTCTTGCATGCATGCATAAATAAATGTTTTTAAAAGGTATCAATAGATCATATTTATAGTTATCTGTTGCTCTTGCCATCTGTGTCTCTCTCTTCACCAACACCACGCTTTCCTAACTACTACAGCTTCATGCTGTTATGAAGTCAGCCAGGGTGATTCTTCAAATGTCCTTCTTTTTTTTTTTAAAGAAACATGTATTTTTATTATTTATTTGTTTGTTGGTTTGTTTATACAAGCACTGGGTAGAGTCAGAAGCGTGGGAGGGTGAGAGAATTCACCAGAGCCAGAGCGGGGAGCAGAGCAGGCAGAAGGACCGAAGGACACTGCTGAGGGGAGCAGCGGGCGGCAGGAGAGGTCTGCGCGCCATGTGGGACCCTCCTCCGGTGGCCGGGGAGCAGCCGGGGATCAAACTGGCGCCGCAGAGGCCGCGGGCAGCTTCGCAACCCAGCGCTCAACCGCTGTGCCACCAGGGAGGCCCCAAATGTCCTTCTTTTAAAAATGGAATCCGCTATTCTGGCTTCTTTACATTAAATTAGATAAAATTTAAATTCTACATAAATTTTACAGTAAGCTTGTCTATAAAGAAATTTCACATGGATTTTGCTGGAATTATATTGGATCTACAGATGAACTGAGAAGGGGTGCCTTTACTAGGAACATTTATTTAGTTCTTCTGTGATTCTCTCATCAACACTGCAGTGTTTCCAGCAAACACACCACACGTGTTCTGTCGGGGTTCCAAGCACCTCACGTTCAGGAGCCCTGGTCAACCACACTGTGCACCACTGGTGTGTAAATTGGGACTGAGTTTTGTGCAGACTTTGTACTCCTATCTGCCTGGACTTTCCTTAGTTCCAGGAAATGGAGCTCTCTTGGGATTTCCAGACCCAGTGCCAGGTGAGGAGACAGGACTGTGACCATGAGCTTCCCGTGGCTCAGGATGGGACTCTCCGAGTGCCCACAACTCCAGAAGGCCCATCATGGGCCACACTTGCCTTTTATCCCCAAGAGCTCCACCAGAGGAGCCTCCTTGGTGGCGTAAGGGGTTAAGCACAGTACTGTGAGGCAATCCACAGCCTCTATAGCACGAGTTCAATCCCCAGCCGGCCAGGGAGCTACCCATGGGGTGCAGCAGACCTCTCCTGTCTCCCGCTGCTCCCCTCAGCAATGGATATCAGTCAATCCACCTATTCTGCTCCCCACTCTGTCTCTGGGGAGTCCTCTCACCCCCGCACCTCTGGCCTGCACCCCAGCTCTTATATGCATAAATACATAAATCTTAAAAAGAATTAAAAAAGGGCCTCCCCGGGGGCGCAGCGGTTGAGCGCTGGGTTGCGAAGCTGCCTGCGGCCTCTGCGGCGCCGTTTCGATCCCCGGCTGCTCCCCGGCCACCGGAGGAGGGTCCCGCATGGCGCGCAGACCTCTCCTGCCGCCCGCTGCTCCCCTCAGCAGTGGACTTCGGTCCTTCTGCCTGCTCTGCTCCCCGCTCTGGCTCTGGTGAATTCTCTCACCCTCCCGCGCTTCTGACTGTACCCAGTGCTTGTATAAATAAATAAATAAATCTTAAAAAAAAAAAAAGAGCGCCACCAAAATCCCAAAGTGAAAACTGGATGAAAATCCCTTGTGCTATTGATACTGGGAGCCGCCTCAGTGGTGGGGAAGTGGGGGAGGGGCAGCAGCAGTGCTGGTCTCTCACCTGCTGCTCCACCCGGCTGTGGCTCCTCAGAGCCCAGCAACCTCCTTTTAGGCTTGCTCCTGGAATTGTAGAACAGACCAATTAGGTGCAAACTATGAGCTGATTGGTGCTAAGTGGTCCAACCAGCCACAGGACTGAAACAAACGGTCTAATCAGCCTTGTGGGTGGAGCACCCTGAGAGAGGATACAAGCCAGGGTCAGAGGCAGCGGAGAGAACATCGTTCCAGCCTCCAAATGAAGAAGGCCCAGAGCTGACCTTGAAAGAAGCAAAGCAGCAGCAGCTACCACCACCAGCCTCCAGAGAGAGGGAAAAGAAGCTGAAGACCTTGTCAGAGATGGGACCTTGGTCCTGTCTCTCCACCCCCTGAAGGGGATTGTCTCTCCTTGGTCCTGTCTCTCCATCCAGGCCCTGGGCCTGGCGTCTCAAAGAGCCGTTTGCTCCTGGTGGCGCCCACTTTCCCGCAAGGAGCCGTGAACACTGGGTGTCTGTGACACTGCCTGTGGGGGACCACTGGTGACCATCCCCACTGGCCAGTGCTATCCAGCACTACTGGTGATGACCATTAGTGCCGCTATCTGGGTGCGGTGGCCACATGAGCTCTTTGTCTCCCATTTGTCAGATAAACCCATGGTAGCTATTCCGGAGCCACGGCCTCGTGCAGCCACACGGGTGACCCACAGACACCGCCCTGTGCTCTCTCAGGACCTGCCTCGGAGGGCGCGAGCCCACAGGCCCTGCTGGACGGCTACAGCCCTTGGCTTTGGTTTTTGGCTGAGCCCATCTGGGGAGGGAAGTTCTGAAATCCAGAGCACGCGCTCACCCGGGCGCACCTCCAGGGCCAGGGCAAAGCGGAGATGCCTGTGAGGGCTTGGTCTCTCTGAGACCTGCTCACAGGACCATGGAGCCCCCCCCCAAGCCATCTTCCCCCACCCCACCCATAGTCTGGCTACACGTCTGTCACCAAGACATCACAGACACACCTAAAGACAAAACACAGAACGTGAAGAGACAGAAGTAGCAGCACCGACCCCGGGGGGGGTCTCAATCACCACATGGGGCACCACAGCAGGAGCAGAGTGTGCCAAGGGCCCTGACGGACACGCGGCCAGCAGGTGGGCGCGGAGGGCAGGGCAGTGGCGCTGGAAGCCCAGAGGGCAAACTGTGACAGGCAAGGAAGCGTGTGAGAGGTTTGGACGTGAAGGACACCACCGAGGAAGATGTGGGCTGGAGGACACGCTGGAAGAGAAGAAGCCTCTGGAACTGAGAGTCACAGAGAACAAGAGTCTGGAAACACAGAAAAGGACCCTGGGGCCCGTGGGGCAGACACAATGGGCGAGACCGACACACAGCAGGCTTTCCAGGGGGAGAAGAAAGAAACAGCAACACTGAAGCAAGACGCCCAGGAGTTCCCCAAATTATAGGCAGACACCACCCCTCAGACCCGGAAGAGGGGGAGTGCCAGGTAGGACAAAAGCTAAAAGAAAGCTGCCCTCAGCCGAGCGCTCTCAAACTATGGCAACTAAGAGAAAAGTCTTAAAGTCACAGGAAGAGAACCCCTCGCTGCCAGGGGGACAAGACAAGCATCACTCCCGACAGTGATGCAGCGCCCACCGAGGGCGAGACCGGCGCCACGCCCCGCCTACCAGCAGGCAGGTCCCCATCCACTCGGACACCAGCACGTCCACCTTCTCTGGCAGCACCACGTCCTCCACCTTCTGCTGGAACACGGTGATGACATCGGCGAAGCCATTCTGCAGGACCAGCTGTCCAGTGTGCTGGGCCATCTCACTGGCCTCCACCGCGTATACCTGCACAGGCATCGCCCCGCCGGGTCAGAACCGGTGCCAGGAGGCCGGCGTGCATGCCCCTGAGCTGCTTCCACCCTCGGCCCCACAGGCAGACCTGTGCACAGCGGCCTCGACGCCCATAGGGCCCGCCTCACTGCTCAGCAGCCACCTGCTGGCTGGGACATGCCTGCCAGGGCAGGAGGGATCCCCATATTGACACTCGGCTGGGGGTGCCCACGGGGTCGCACAAACGTGCACAGAAACACTGCTCCCCTCAGCTGGCTCCGTCTCGCCTGTGCTGCCCCACACCGCTCTGGGGGTGTCTGCACCCACAAAGCTGACGACAGCTCCGCGGCAAGAACACGAGGACGCCCCCAGAACAGATCACAGGGCAGGCGCTGCTCACCGCTCTGGGCCGCGCGTAGTGTGCACAGAAGAGGCTGATGATCCCTGTGCCACAGCCCACATCCAGAATCACTTTATCCTTCAGGGACTCCCTGTTCTGCAGGATGACGTTGTGATATTTGGTTGTCCGTGGTTGGTCTGCCAACATCTCCAGGTGAAGTTTCTAGAAGAAATACAAAGGGATCACACCTGTGACAAGCCAGAGTGTGAGCAGACACCCCCAGGCCCACCCCCCACACGTGAAAATGGAGAAGTTAAAAAAGCAAAAGATCAAACACACCAGCAGAAAAGTAAGATTAGCCAGTGAAACAATGCGATAGAAGTTTCTAGATCCTCCAGCCCCGTGTGGAGCTGCATGCAGCTTCTCCCTCACCCCTCCCTGCCCAAGAGCTGGATGATGGAGATGCAGATGCATAAACATCGTCCCTGGCCTGGATTCCGCCCACGCCCCAGCAGATATGCGGGCCCAGCATCTGCCCCGGGCGGTGGGCCAGCGCAGGCGGTTCTGCAGGGCCGGCGGCCGCCAGTCCTCAGGCCAAGGCGCCCTCTGTGCTTGGCAACAGAAGCCACAGCTCCACTGACCTGACCCTGGTAAGCTCGTGGCCCAGCCATGTCCTGCGGGGAGACACCTGAAACCTGAGCGCACGTGCCATGGGGCCACCGCGGGAGCAAAGGAGGGCCCCTCCAGACAAAGGTCAGAGGCCACGTGCCCTCCCAGAGCCCGCCCCTTAGGTCAGCCAGCAGGAAACACAGCCTGCCACCAGCGCAGCTGAGGGGCACACTGACCCAGGCCACCCGGACCACAGCAGCAGGCTAGAGGGGCGGGCCCTAGGAGGCGCCTCACCGAGCGGGCACTGAAGAGCAAGGCTGAGGCAGAGGTCCCCAGTGGACAGGCAAGCCCTGCGATCCTGCCTACCCCACCTAGCCAGGGAGGCTCGTGGCTGGGAGGCAAAGGCCTGCGGACCAGAGAGTGGGGCTCACGTGGCCCCCCAGTGGTCACACAAAGAACAAGCCCAGGGACCCAGAGGGCCAGGCCAGTTCTCAGGTACTCAGGGGTTACATAATTCTAAATATTTTGTTCCTCACAGAAGAGCTTCAAAACACACAAATCAGAAACGAATAGAATGTAAACAAATGCCAGCCACAGGGAAGCTCCGGACACCCTCTGTCAGCAGCTGACAGCTGTGGGCAAATCCCAGCAGGGGCCCAGGACAGGGCTGTCGCCCGCACCCAGCACCCACGAGAAGGCCAGAGTGAGTGAGCGCATCAGCAGCCCGACAGAAAGCCCTGCAGTCAGAGAGCGGAGGCAGGTTGGGAAGGGGCAAGGCCAGTGCTCCAGACACCACGTCTCCCCAGCTCAAGTCCTTCCGGGCGGCAGCAACGGACCTGGTGTGGCAAGGGGAGCGCGACAAACGACCACGTTAGCTCTAAAAGCAAGGCTGGCCATGAAAACGCTAAGAACCAGGACTGCTGGGGCCAGCTCTGTAGACAAAAGGCTACTGAGGGGAAAGGCTAATCTGCAGGATGAAGAGGACAAGCAGCCAGTCCCGATTCCGACACAGCGCCGAGGAGCCGACGCGGGGGCGGCCCTGTCCCTCAGGGAACAGCAGGTCGTCCCTGGGTGACGCCGCTGGGGCCGCAGTGACCAAGCCAGACGTCTGCCTGATTCTCCCAGCAAGTGAATTCAGACTGATTTAAACACTTCATTATTAAAAATGGAGCCACAGGCATCCCCAAAGCAGGCGTGGAAATCTGCAATTTTGGCATGAAGGAGGCCTTCAGAGTAGGACGCAAGACACAGACACCCCAGAAAAAGACAACTTCATCAGACAAGGTTCTGCCTGGGAAGGGAATCACAAGGCTGCATGTACTGCTCGTTGAACAAAAGATGGAAAGGAATCAAAAGAAAAATGGGCAAATCATATGAAAGTTTACCAAAACAAGAAGAAATACAAAAGCCAGGAAGTATGAAAGGTGACCAAGCTCGCATCAGAGTGGGCACCCGCGTCAAGACAGCACATCCCGTCGCCCAGACCGGCCTCCTGCAGCCTCGCCTGACCTGCCTCCTGGCCACCTGGCCCCGGAAACTGCTGGCACCGCAGGTGCCCCAGTCTGACTCCAGGGACCAGCTCCCCGACTTCCTTGAGCTCCACCGTCTATACATGCGTTATGAACACCCTCGACACTGCCTTGTGCTTTCATAATTGAGCCAAGTGTTATTCTTTGATGTCTTGCTTCTTTCACTCAACGGTATGTTTGTAACATTCATCTACAGGAATCTGTTTTTACCTAGTTTTAAAATATGAACAGAAAAGTGGATCTTTATTCAAAATGAACTGAAAGAAACTAGTAAGTGGTTGAATGGCACTAATATTGACTTACTTAACTTCTTGTATTTTACTTTTAAAGTAAAATTTATGTATTATTATTTCAACCCCCTAACCTCACTACTCAATCTTTTTAAACAAGGGTCAACACCATGGCCCTGCCTATAATTTTTAGTGGCTTTTAAAAATCAGAGCAAGAAAATACCATGAAGTTCAAATGTCAGGGTTGCCAGGAGCCGCGCTCATGTCCCCATGAGCCCCAGGGCCATGCTCGCCTGCACCCGCAGGGCCTCACGCAGAGGCTGCCAGTACAAGGAGCAACTGATCTTTGACAAGTGGGAACTTAGAGCCAGAGAGCAGAAGCCGCGCAGCCGCCGAGGGGCACGGGCAGGCGGTACCAGGGTCCCGTAGCTGCCGAAGTACTCCTCGTCCTGCCATGAGTCCTCGGGCTCGCAGTCCTCCAGCTGCTTCCCCAGATGGTTGGCCGGGATGTACCCGCAGGCCCCCGCACGCTCGCCCCACCACCAGTCAGCGGTCGTCTGTCTCAGGATGAGAATTTTTTCTCCTCTCAAAAAACTGAGCTGGTGAAAAACAGAGAAGTGAGGATTCAAGGAAGACCGGCAGCTGGCATTTCCACAGCGGCTCAAGGACAACTCCCCCAGCGCCGGGGCCCAAATCCCAGCCACTTTAAAAAGCAACTGTGAAAATTAAAGGAAGTTCGGGTGAGGAGAACCTGCAGAGGGCGCGCTCCCTTCAGTGCTTTAAATGTCCCCACTCCGCTGACCTCCAGGTGTTTAGTTTCAGGTGTTCCTCGCTGACAGTCGACTTGTTAACCTCCAAACGTCCAGTTCCTTGCACCAGACAACTGGCCCCTTTACCCGGCTTAGCCCCCTCCTCCCCGCCCCCGCTGGTAACCACCAGTGGATCTTATCCTACAAGTTTGTGTTTTATTTATTTATTCAAGATTGATTTATTTATGCATACAAGAACTGGGGTACAGGCCCGAGGTGTGGGGGGGGCGGTGAGAGGATTCACAGAGTGGGGAATGAAACCCCTTGATTTCACTAGCTAGGAAGGCTCTGAACCAAGGCCCCATGCAAGGCTCCCGAGCCCTCCTCACCTGGGGCCCTGGTTGGGTGGGCGGCGTCACGCAGGCTGGAGGAGAAGCCCACCCAGGCCTCTCCCACCCTAGCTCGGGAGTGACTCTGCTAGACTCGCTGCAGCCACCGGTCACCTGCGGCTGGAGCCACAGACCAAGTGTCACCGGGCCCGCGCCTAGCAGCCTACCTGCGTCTCGTCCGGGGCAGCGTAGTCGGCGATGGCCACAAACTCCTCAGGGTAAAGGGCCCCCTGGGTCCGCTCGTCCTCACCACACTCAGCCAGCTCAGCGCCCTCCTGCTCCGTCGGGGGAGAAGAAGACAGTGAGCTCTGCTCTGCTCTTCCTTTCTTTGCCACAGCTCATCAGAATGGTCCCAACCAGGTTTCATGACCAAGTTTTTATCACTCAAGCAATTTTGGGGATCCTCCCTAGCGGAACAGTGGCTCTCATCTTGCCTCTGCCTCTACTTTCTGTCTCTAGGATCAAATGATTCTCTGGGAAGCAAAAACCAAGGTCTCCGCCTCACCGCCGCACCGAGGAGGGCTGCACTGTTCGTCCGTTCAACCAGTGCCAGGCTCGGCCCTCACGCCAGGCCTGAGGCAGCCAGGGCGTGGCGCGTGGGGTCACCGCCCTCACACAAAGTCAGAGTCCTAAGAAGAACGGGGACGGTCCCGGGTGTTTGGCATGAAAAATATAACGTAAAAGGCAAGAACAGCACAATAACATGACTTGCATCCAACAGCGAGCATCAGGGAAACGAAAAGGAAGCAGCCCTTCACACCCATCCTCGTGACTCGTCTCCACAAGGCCCTGGAACAGGTGTCCGGCCAGGTCTCCAGGGACCGGTATGCCCAAGGACAGCTGAGGGCCGGGGGATGTGGCCCCACCGCCGTGGACATGTGTGGCTCAGGCCCCAGAAGGCTGCCGGCCCGGCCACTGCCAGCAGTGCTCCTCCCCCGGGCAGGCAGCTCCTCCCCAGGCCAGGCCCCTGAGCAACGCCACCCGCTGAGCTCATGGCCTCCAGACCCGCCTGCATGGACACAACAGCCCGCTGGCCGAGAAGGTGTGCAAGTCCTGGCGCATGAGGCAGTGTTGGGGACTGCACAGCAGGGACTTGGGGACGGGGAGGGAGGCGGCTGAGATCAGAGCAGAGACACTCAGGAGGGCTGAGGAGGGCGGTTGCTCTCAGGAGACCTGGGCCAGGGGAGATAGAGAGAGCAGCTCGGAGATGGTGCATCTGCCGGAGGAGGACGGCCCCTGGGAGAAAGCCAGTCTCACAACGGGGTGATGAGATTCCAGAACAGCGAGGAAAGGTTTAAATACCCCGAGACCCAGGCCCACGATGGCGTCCGAGCACAGCGTCCCTGGGTGTCCTGACTTTCTTCCTTAGAATAAACGGTTCTCTGCTTTCTGGAAAAAATTTCTGTCTCTGCTGACTTCTCTGCAATGTCTGCGGATTCCTTGACAGTTCGTGGGACGAGAACCTGTGGTGGCTCGGGGGCTAGAGGAACAGCGCAGCCCAGCGTCGCAGGGGCGCGGACACGGAGGGCAGAAGACAGCCATGCAGGCCGCCAAGCTTTTTACACGAGCTGGCAGGCTTGACCTCACATCTCAGGGACTCAGCAACATGGCACCCGGGAGCCCTGGCTGGCCCAGCTCCCCTGGGCGACAGCCACATGCACCCTGCAGTCACCCTGTGTGGCAGCCCTGACCGCAGGCCATCGAGGGGCGCATTTTTCCCTCACACGCACCTCGCGGGTTCTGTAACTAAGAGTCACAGGGCAAGCGGTCAGCTTCCAGGGCCAGGAGGCTCCAGAAATGGGGCAGCAAATCCAAAGAGGACTGACCAGACACCCACAAAAGCGAGGCCAGTCAGGGCCTAACAGTGAGGCGAAACGCAGAGGGCAACAGTCAGGAGGCCGGATGGAAGGACAGACTGGCCGCCCCCCTGCCCGGCTAAGACCAGAGCCACCAAAAGCCCCAAAACCAGGGCCATGGGCTCACGCCCCCTCCTGCCCACACCGAGGCCGGCCCGACGGCACAGGGCGGGGTATGTGGGCCTCCCCGCGGCTGCACACGGCCTCGGCCCGGGAACAGCCACCGTGGGTTTGTCTCACCCATGGGAGAGAGAGCGCACCGTGGCCCCAAGGGGCGGCCACCTCGCCCCAGAGAGTCCCCAGAAGCACAAGCAGAGCACCGGCCACCTGTCAGCATGGTGGGCAGCACTGGCCAGGGGGACGGTCACCACTGATCCCCCGGAGAGACTGGTAAGGGGAACTGACTTGGAGGATTCTCATATTGTGAAAGATCTGGGAAAGAAAGACTGGGATGGGCTATGGCGCAGGTCAGTTTTCTGGGTAGCAGTGAGAGGGACAGCTGAATGGCCAACGGCAGACACGCGGGGTGTTTGGCATGAAAAATATAACGTACCTCACTGACCCAAAAGGGCAGGCGTGGAGAAAGATACAAAGAACGTGACAAACAGAGCCGGGCAGCAGGATGGCAGACTTAACCACATAAGTCCTGACGGAAGAAGCGGATGGACCAGACATGCCGTTGGAAGGGCACGCTGCCACCAGGAGGAGGACACACCTGACGCACAAGTCAGCAAGGAATCTGAAACAGCAAGATGCTGCTTCCAGTCCCTCAGCCTGGCCAGAACTGGACAGCCTGGCACCTCCAGAGTCAGCACCCCCAGCAACACCGGCAGGTGATGGGCAGAGCCCTCCCAGTGTGGCAAGAAGTGCCCACCTGCACTGGCACCACTGGGCACCAGCGGGTGTTCAAGGGGCGGCGTTTGACAGACACGGGTACAAGAGTCGGCGGGCGGGGGGGGGGGGGGGGGGCAGGGAAGGAAACGTGGCTCACCTCCCGGACAACAGAGGGCGCAGCACACGCCACACACCCCATGAAGAGACCCACTGCAGGGCACCCCACAGACCCGAACTAGCCCTTTACTCACACAGCAAGGACAAGCCCCCCCAAAGTAACATCGGGGAGAGCAGCAAACTGCCCGACAGAGAGAGAGACAGAGAGACAGACAAAGAGAAAGGAGTTAAATTCTGGAGGTAATTCCGGAGGTAAATTCCGAAAGCATACCCGGGCGTCAGTCCCGGTGCGGTGGAAGATGAAAAGCACTGGAAGATGGAAACGGCGCCACCACACAGAGACCAAGTCACAGACCAGCCCAGCGGCTGCCCCTGGGGACAGCACAGGACCGGGCTGGGGAACAAACCCCATCTGTGGTTAGTTATCTTCATAGATAAGCATCACACAGACAATGCTCTAAAGTACATACAACAAAAAGGTAACAGATCTTCAATTCGGTGTGATATATGCTTGATGTTTGCAATTTTACTCTGTAAATTTACTAGTATCTTTTAAATTTCTCAAACGGAAATTGAGAGATCCACGGATTAAAACATTTTAGAATTTCAAGAAACAGATGAATGGAATCACCCGCCTACATTTTTGACTCTTTAACAACAGGGGTTTAGCTGAACTCTAATAGGTGAAATCTGTGTATAGCTTTGACTCCCCCAAAACTTAACTGTGGTGCTCCCTCAAAGGGCTGGACCCTCAGCACCCATCCCCATCCCAAAATTCGATGATGCTCAAGGCCCTACAGCGGGCCCACGGCCAGGTCTTCCTGTGGATTCAACAACCCACGACTGCAGTTGGTTGAACCCGTGAACGAGGCCCTCAACAGAAGAAAACGTTCCTGTAAGTGCACCCACACAGTTCAAAGCCGCGCTGTCCAAGGATCATTACACTGAAATAACTGACATCACACACTGGAGCGTTTGATTTTTTAAAAAACACTGTGGTCGTATTCATTTGGGTTTCAGCGTTACATAATCAACATTTTTTAATATTTAAGGACGACTTTTTTACCACTGACTTGAATGAAACTTTGTGTCCAAGGCACCGTGAATGAAGACTTAAGTCTTCCCCAATGTGTCAAGCCTGCCCTGGACCAGTTACGACTGGGAATGAGAGTAGTGCTGGCTGCTCCAGTGCAGGCACCAGGGAGGAGCCCCAGATTCCTGGGCCAATTCAGTAGCCACCGCCCTGCCTGCACCCCGGTTACCTTAGGCCCCCTTGCTGAGTGGCCACCTGAAGGTCCAGGGGCAGCTACCCAAGGCCCCACCCTTGGGTTACCTGGGAGTCGCTGCCGTTACCTGGGAGTCGCTGCCGGCCCCGGCCCCTGAAGTCGCCATCCTGACCCGAGGCTGTGCCGCATAACTGCCGCTGTCAGTGTGGCCTGTCCCCCTCCATTTCCACTTTGAAAAAGAGAATGAGAAAGTGGCTGTTACGCTGCCTTTAATTAAGGTCGCTGAAGTTCACAGGCAAAGGGGACGGGGTGCCGGGTGGGCGTGCCCTGGTAACGCCTGAAGAGGAGCCTGTCCTTCCACAGTGCAACGTCACTGCAATGAAAACTTACAGAAGAAATGAAATTTATAAACGTGATTCTTCCCAAAGCAATGCATTGATGAATTTCTCATTTCACACAGTGCTTTCTTCACCGTCTGCAAGGCGAGGCCCTTGCTCGGTGGAAGCTGGTTTCCGGAGACCGCTCGCCAGCTGGGGAGCCCCCGGGGCGCCCCCTCCAGTTGCAGCCTCCCGGGAAGCGACTCCAGCGGCTGCCAGAGGCGTTTCCCGCCGAAGGTCGGGGCTCACGCTGCCCTGAACGCGCGTTTTCTCTAGGCGCGTCTCAGTTTCTAGCAGGCCCGACGCCCCCGGCACCTGCACTGGCAGCCGCTGACCACACGCGCCGCGTTCTCCTGGGCGGACGCTTCCTGGGGGCGGAGGGGGCGGGGCGGCGGGGCGCCGGGCGGGGCGGCTGGGTGCGGCTCGCGCGAGGGGGAGCGACCGGACGCAGGCCCAGGGGCAGGGGACGGGATTGGCTGCGAGGGAGGGCGCTGCCGGCGGGGCGGGGGCGCGCCGCGGGGGCGGCCACGGGAGGGGCTGGGCGAGGCGCTGCGGGCGTGGCCCGGCGAGGGCGCGGCCGGGAGGGCGTGGCCACAGCGGCGGGGCGTGGCTGGAGGGCGTGGCCACAGCGCCGGGGCGGGAGGGTGTGGCCACAGCGCCGGGCGGGGCTGGAAGGGCGTGGCCACAGCGCCGGGGCGGGGCCGGGAGGGCGTGGCCACAGCGCCGGGGCGGGGCCGGGAGGGCGCGGCGTCCGGGGTTCGCCGCCTGAACGCGGCGGGGCAGGGGCGGGGCAGGGGCCGGGAAACCTCGAGAGGGGCGGCGGCCCCGGTCTTCCGCTGACGCGCAGAGCGAGGGCCCCTGGTCCGGACTGTGCTGCCTCTCGCGCGGCCCAGCGCCGGCACTGGCCGCCTGGAAACCTACCTCAGACGCGTCTCCGCCGAGGAGCGTGTCCGCGCCGCCAGCGCAGAGGGGCGGACGGTGCCTGCGAGCAGCTCGAGCCGCCGCCCTCGGCCCGCGCAGGCGCACTGCGTGGCTGTGCGCGGCGAAGGCTCCGCCCCGGCCCGGGCCCCGCGCAGGCGCAGATCGTGCGTACGCCGCGGCCCTACGGAGAGCCCCCGCCACCCTCTGACCTGCGCAGGCGCAGTGAGCTCAGCCTGGTGGGCCTGAAGGCCCTGGCCTGAGCGGAGCGTCTCGCGCCTGCGCACTTCCAGACCCCGCCGCGCCTCGCCTTCGCGCGAGCGGACGCTGCGCCCCAGAGCGCGGGCTGGGCCGGGACCCGGCGGCCGGGCTGGAGAGGGCGGGGCCCGCGGTGGGCGGGGACCTGGGGCGGGGCCACGAGGAGGGGGAGGGCGGGAGGGGCCACAGCGGCCCTGGGACTGGGGAGCAGGACCGCGCCTTCTCCCGAAGTCCTGGCAGCGGCTCGGCCGCCCTCCATCCAGGCCACCGGGACACAGCCCAGCCGCCGGAGCCGCGGCCGCGATGTCCGCCGTGGGAGGCCGGCCCCCCCGCGGTGCGGCGGAGACGCCGTCCTCTCCAGCAGCCCGGGCCTCGCCGGGCCCGGCCCGGAGGGAAGACGGGCGGGGCGCGCGAGGCGAGGGGCACCAGGCAGGAGGCGGGCGGAGGGGCGGAGCGGCCGCCCCTGCCGGGCTGACCCCGGGGCCGCCGAAAAGCCCCGCGGGCCAAAAGCCCTGGCCGGGGCTGCGGCGGGACAGACCCACGCGGCAGGGCCCTGGGCGCGAGCCCGGCGGGGCAGGGCCGTCCGGGGCTCCCCGCGCCCAGGCCCCGCAGACGGGAGGCGGGGCTCCAGGGCCGCCCGCGGCGCCGCCCCCCAGGGCCCCCAGGAGGTCGGGCGGCACCGGCCGGCGAGGCGGTCCCCGCTGGCCCCGGGGCCAGAGGCGGAGCCTCCCCTCCTGCTGCTTCCCCCGAGGCTGCAGCCGCGTCCGCCTCTTCAGGGCCCGGCGGCGGCCGGCGCCCCCGGCTTATATCCTCGCTCAGGGAGCCCCGCCCACACGTCTGATTGGCCCATTTTCCAATCCTGTGGCTGATTGGACCATTTGCCATCAGCCCATAGCGCCTGATTGGTCCAGCCCGCGACGCAGGAAGTGCGCTGAAAGGGCGGCCCGCCGACCCGCGGACCCGGGACGAAGCCGCTGCCCGGGCGCGGGTCCTGGTCGCGGGACAAGGCCGGCCCGGCGCCCGGGCCTCTGCGCCCTGTGTGCTACCTGCGGGCGGCGGAGGCCGTCGCGCTGTCTTGCACACCGCGCCCGCAGAGCCCGGCAGCTCGCGTCGTCGGGGCCGGGCCGGACGCGGGCGGGGCGCGGGGCGGCTCCGGGGGCCGCGGCTCCGCTCCCTGGACACGCGCGGGCGGCGCCGGCCGGGGCTCCGCGGCGCGGTGGACACGGACCCTCCCGGCCAGGCCTGCCGGGCGCCCGGCGTCCTGGCCCCCGGGGCGGACCCGGCCCGTCCGCGGCGCCGCGCCCGCCGCTGTGGAAGCTCCAGGCGCGCCCTCGGGGCAGCCCGTGGACGCGCGGGGCCGGCCCGGCGCGGGGGCGGTGTCGCCTCCCGAAGGCAGCGCCGCGGGGCCCCGCGAGCCCGCGCGGCCCGCCCCCCGCGCTGCTCGCGCCGCCCCCGCTCGCGGTTTTCCTCGCAGACTTTCCTGCTCGTGCCCACGAGGCGGGCGCAGCCCCGGGGCGCGCGGAGCGGACTCCCCGGAGGCGCGGGGGGCGCACAGGCGAGGACGGACACCGCCGGGGCCGCGCGCCGTGCCGGGAGCTCCCGGCGCCGGGTCCAAGTCCTGCTCCCGGCGCGGCGCCGCGCCCCCCGCGCCCCCGGGGAGGCCCCTCCTCCGCGGGTTTGGAGGGTGGGAAGTCCTGAGCCCGGGCTCGCACGGGCGCTGCACGAGCTGCGGGGAGCAGCCCCGAGGGCTCCGGGCGCGGCCGGGGCGGGGGCGGCGTCTCCCCGGCGGGCGCGCGGCCGTGGTGGGGTCGCTCTGCGGGTGAGGGGGGCCGCTCGGAGAGCGGCTCATTGGAGGGGGGTCCCGGCGGCGCCCCACTACTGCCTGGGCTGCCGCTCCTGGGGCAGGGCTCGGGTCCGGAGGGGTCTAGGCGGCCGGGGCACCTCGCGCGGTTTGGGGGTGACCCGCGGGGAGGCTGCGCTGTCCCCAGCCAGGGGGCGCCCGGCCGGGGGCTGGCGCCGCGGACACACCCGGCCCCGCCCCCCGCCCGGCCCGCCCCTGGGGCCCGCGGCGGCCCTCGGCGAGGCTTCTGCGGGCGTGAGGACCGCGGACCCCGCGTCCTGCCGCCGTGGGGGTGCGGCCGGCTCGTCCCGCGTGTCCGCGGAGCCGCTGCGGGTCGCGCGGGCCTCGTGTTCCGAGGCGGCCCGCGGGCTTCTCCTCCGCGGTGTCCTCGCCCGCTGCACGCGCCGGAAATCCTGGCCGACCAGTGGCGTCCGCGTCGACCTTGGGGGCTGTGGGACTGAGATGTCTGCTGGGGTTCGGGGGCGCCGGGCGGGCAGGTCCGCGCCTCCTGCCCCGGAGGCCGCTGCGTGCGCGTCGGGCTCTGCGCCTGCGGGAGCGACCCTGCGCCCGGCCGTCTGTCCTTCCGCGGCCTTATACAGTGTCCAGCAGTTTTCATTTCCGTAACTGGTGGTAACACCATCCTTTCATTCTGAGTCTTGCAATTTGAGTCTTTTTTCCTTTGTCAACCCGGCTAACGGCTTTGTCAGCTTTGTTGAGCAGAGAATTGGTTTAGGGCTGCTTTGATTTTCCCTGTCGCTTTTCTAGTCGCATTAATTCCTACTCTGATTATTTCCTTTCTTCTACTGGCTTTAGGTTTGTTTGCTTTTCTTATCCCAGTGTCTTTAGGTAGCAAATTAAGTTATATTTCAATTTTCTTTTTTTTAAAGATTTATTTATTTATGCATACAAGAACCGGGGCCCAGGCCAGACATGTGGGAGGGTGAGAGGATTCACCAGAGCCAGAGCGGGGAGCAGAACAGGCAGAAGGACGGAAGGACACTGCTGAGGGGAGCAGCGGGCGGGACTGGAGAGGTCTGCCACACCATGTGGGTATCTCCACGGCCGGCCGGGATCAAACCCACACTACAGAGGCTGAGGACAGCTTCACGGCGCTGCACTCAACCACCTGAGCCACCAGGGAGACCCCATATTTCACATTTCTTTTTCTTTTTTTTATTTTATTTTTATTTTTTTTTTTATAGAGGCATGCTTTATTTGTTTGCTTGTTTGTTTGGTTATACATGCACTGGGTACAGTCAGAAGCGCGGGAGGGTGAGAGAATTCACCAGAGCCAGAGCGGGGAGCAGAGCAGGCAGAAGGACCGAAGGACACTGCTGAGGGGAGCAGCGGGCGGCAGGAGAGGTCTGCGCGCCACGGTGGCCGGGGAGCAGCCGGGGATCGAACCGGCGCTGCCGAGGCTGCGGGCAGCTTCACAACCCAGCGCTCAACCACTGAGCAGCCGGGGAGGCCCCATTTCACATTTCTTAATATAGGGATTCAAAGTTGTAAATTTGCCTCTAAGCACTGATTTACCTCAGTGAGTTCACTGTGAGTTGTGATATGTTATCTTCATTTTCATTCATGTCAAAATATTTTCTGATTGCCTGATTTGCTATTTACAGGTGTGTTGCACAGTTTTCAGGTATCTGTCAGTCTCTCAAGATTTTTTGGTTGATTCCTAATTTTATTCCATGGTGCTTAAAGAACACAAGTGTGTGGGTGGAGGGCCATGGGGCGTCTGTTGGGTCTGGCGGGTGTATGGTGGTGTTCTGGTTCCCTGCTGATCTGCCTACTCTTTATAGAAATCGGAGTATTAACGTTTCAGACTGTTATTCCTCTGGTTTGTCAGTCCTGCTCCATGTTTGTGTACGCCGTTGTTAGGTGCAGGTGTGTTTACAATTGTTAGGTATTCTGGAAGCATTATTATTATAAAATATCCCACTTTATCACTTCTGGTGTCCTTTGGTTTTATGTGCAGTTTACCCAGTACTGATGTAGCCACTCCATCCTTCTTTAAGGTTGCCATTTGCCTGAAGCAGTTTTCCATTTCTTTGCTTTGCCTGTTTGTGTCTTTGAACCTAAAGTAACGACAATGTCTCTTATCAATGACATATTGCTGTGCCCTATCAGATCACCTCTGCCTTTGGAAAACAATTGGCTAGACATTTTGCACTTTTTAAATTATCCGTTACTGACATGAACCATGTACCAAGTGCAAATGTCACGCACATGGAGTGACACTGTTACTACACTCAGGTTAAAAACAAAGTGTTTCGGGCCTCCCCTGTGGCGCAGTGGTTGAGCGCTGGGTTGCGAAGCTGCCCGCAGCCTCTGCAGGGCCGGTTCAATCCCCGGCTGCTCCCGGCTACCGGAGGTGTTGTAGCTTGGCGCGCACATTGCACGCAGACCTCTCCTGCCGCCCGCTGCTCCCCTCAGCAGTATACTTCGGTCCTTCTGCCTGTTCTGTTCCCTGCTCTGGCTCTGGTGAATTCTCTCACCCTCCCGCGCTTCTGACTGTACCCAGTGCTTGTATAAATAAGTAAATAATCTTTAAAAAAAAAAAAACCAAAAAAACAAAGTGTTTCTTGACCCATTTGAGACCCAAAACACAATGACCTTAGGCACAAAAATGACCCCACAAAGAAGGTGCTGCTCTCTCTGTACAGCAGTGACCGCACATGCTGTATAGGGCCTCAGCTGCTGGCCACTGTTGGGGCCTCCCTGTGCGGCCAGCCTGGAGGCAGCTGAGCAACACAAAACCACACACCTTTTTGCTACCCGGTTATGCTGACCACCCTAGCAGTCTCTTAGAAACAAACCATCTGTAATCTGAAATGAAGCATAAGTAACCATATTTTGGATAAAATAGCAATTAGAACATTTAGAAAATGACCTGAATTAAAACAAATCAATCAAGACTCAAATGGCCCACTAGAAAAAGAGTGAAGCGTGTACACGGTCCTGGGCCTCCCCGCCGGCCTAGGGGCTGGGTCTCTGGCTGTCGCCTCTGCAGCCTCAGTGTGATCCCTGGCCAGAGAGCTGACCCACATGGCGCAGCAGATCTCTCCTGACTCCTCACTATCCCCTCAGCAGTGGATTTCAGTGGATGGGTCTGATCTGCTCCCCACTCTGTCTTTGGGGAGTACTCTCATCATCCCCGCACCTCTGGCCTACACCCCAGTTCTACACTAAAATAAAATTCAAACAAACAAAACAGTCCTGCCAATCAAGCTACAACACCTCAGGACAATAAGAACTGCTGAGACAACAGTGCATCGCCTGAGAAATGAAAACAGCCATGAGCCCAGGAGACAGATCCAATGCGAATCCATACGACGGGGATAGACGTGCCACTGGCCGGACTCACTTCATCCCTGAGCAAGGCCCTGCAGTGCTGCCAGGCCCCCCTCAGGGCTCAGCGCCCGCACCCTGCTACCCTGCCCAGAAGCCTGGGCCAGTGCTGGGGGAGCACAACAAGCACCGCAGGGCCCGGCAGGGCAACCCCAGGCTGCACGACACCACGGAACACGCAGGAGAGTGTGCGGACAGAGTAGAAGGTCTGAGGTTTATTAAGTACAAAAGCTAATTATAAAAGTATACGATCCTAATTTTGTAAAAAATTTAAAAAAGAAAGCATGGGTCCCTGAGAGGATTCACAGCAAACACTCACGCCTCTGCCACAGAGGTGGGGTGGCGCCACTCACAGCCCGCAGAGGTTCCGCTGTGCGCAGAAATAGTGTTATACTCAGAAAAACAGAAATGCATGATAAAACACATCCTACTTGGGTAATTTTAAAAACCTTTTCACACATTTCAAAATGCAGAATTACAAACAATCATATAGCTTTTATTAACATGATATAAAAAACTCAACTGTGACATACAGAATTCCCAGAGTAATTTAGAGCATTTCAATGCAGTTCTTATAACCGTGCCTTACAAGCCACCTCGATGACTGCCCAACCCTTCAACACGGAAGCCTCACAGATGTCTGCTGTGAAGCCGCGTCTGGAGGGCTGGCGGGTCTCTCCTACCATTCCACCACAGGGACTGGCCGCAGTCCCAACAGGAACCTCCGGACATCGCACAATAAGCCACCCAGGTCCCGCGGGGCCTGCAGTCACAGGGAGTCGCTGGGTTCGTCTGTGGCACACGCCTTGCCAGGCAGCACTGGACTGGCGGCTGCTCCCTGCCAGTGGGGCCGGGAGAGGTGGCTGGCGGCCTCGGGGTGCAGGTTTAAAATGCAGGGACCCTCCGGGGGCTGCCAGGCCTGGCTGTCTCTCTGAAGCATGTGTGAATTCTCCCACCCTCAACCCCCCAAGCCCAAGACCTTCCTCACAGTCTTTGTTAGCAATATAAAAATAACCTTAGATTCAAGCTTGACTTCAAATTCTTAGAAACATCTAAAGGATTTTACATTCTCGTTTCATTTAGGTTCACTACAATACTGTATCACTTGCGTTAGTCAAATTTGAATAAAATTAACTGCATGTAGTTTGGTGAGACCTTCTAGGCACCCAACTCGCCGCAAGGTCGGACCATGGCTCCCATGCCACCCTCAGGCGCCCTGGCCAGGGGCCCAAACCGCCATGGGCTCTTGCTGCCGACGCTTCCCAACCAGACTTGGAATTAAAATAATCTGGGGCTCCCTGCGTACTGAGAATTTATAACGTGGTGTGATGAGAACAAGCAACCTCACTGGCAGCGCGGGTACAAGCCAGGGCGGTGGTTCAAGACTAAATGCTGGTTTCTCTTTCCGAAGCATCAGGGTGCAGCCCTCACCCACTCGGCAGAGGACGGTGCCCCAGCCGTGAGCGGGTGGCTGCTGCAGAGCCCAGGCGGGCAGGGCTCCTCTGCCAGGCTGGCTGCCCTGTTGCGCCCACGTGTGGGCACCTTGTTCTCCCAGCGTAAATTCTCTGTGAGTTTGTTGTTGGATGTGGGAATAAATAACTATTCTTTAAACCAAAAACTAAATTTAGCCTAAAAATGTGCAAACTTGCAATACAGCAGAGAGCAGCCGCCCGCACCCCTGCGCCGCAGGGTCTCCCTGCGCCGGGCCGCAGGAGCCCGGGCCGCTCACATGTTGTAGGCCACATAGATGGGGTCCAGCTGGTCGGCCAGGAAGCCGTCGCGCAGGTGCATGCGCTGCTTCTCGCCCCGGGAGTTGATGGGGATGACGCCGGGGTCCACGATGACCACCACGCCCACCACCAGGTGGTGCTCCTCCAGCACGGCGCTCGTCACCAGCGCCACCAGGTCCAAGGCGTCCTGCTCCAGCCCGTCCAGCTCCACCACCACCACCAGCAGGTTGGTCCACGTGAACACGGCGCTGCGGGCACAAGCGACAGGCGGCCGGCGCGGATGGGCGGGAGCGGCATGGACACCCTGCCCACCCCACCCGCCCGCGGGCGCCCCGTCCGCCCTCCGCTGCACGGTGGAGCTCCTGGGGGAGGCGGGGCGGGACCCCTGGGGGAGAGGCGGGGCTCCTGGGGAGGGGGCGGGGCTCCCGGGAGGGGCGGGGTTCCTGGGGAGGCAGGGGCGGGGCTCTTGGGGAGGCGGGACCGGGGCTCCTGGGGAGAGGGGGCGGGGCTCCTGGGGAGAGGGACGGGGCTCCTGGGGAGAGGGGCGGGGCTCCTGGGAGGGGCGGGGCTCCTGGGAGGGGGTGGGGCTCTGGGAGAGGGGTGGGGCTCCTGGGGAGAGGGGCGGGGCTCCTGGGAGGGGCGGGGCTCTGGGGAGAAGGGCGGGGCTCCTGGGGAGAGGGGCGGGGCTCCCAGGAGGGGCAGGGCTCCTGGGGAGAGGGGCGGGGCTCCTGGGAGGGGCGGGGCTCCTGGGGAGAGAGGCGGGGCTCCTGGGGAGGGGGCGGGGCTCCTGGGAGGGGCGGGGCTCCCGGGGAGGCAGGGGCGGAGCTCTTGGGGAGGCGGGACCGGGGCTCCTGGGGAGAGGGGGCGGGGCTCCTGGGAGGGGTGGGGCTCTGGGGAGAAGGGGCGGGGCTCCTGGGGAGGGGCGGGGCTCCTGGGGAGAGGGGCGGGGCTCCCGGGAGGGGTGGGGCTCCTGGGAGGGGCGGGGCTCCTGGGGAGAGGGGGCGGGGCTCCTGGGGAGAGGGGCGGGGCTCCCGGGAGGGGTGGGGCTCCCGGGAGGGGCGGGGCTCCTGGGAGGGGCGGGGCTCCTGGGGAGAGGGGCGGGGCTCCCGGGAGGGGTGGGGCTCCCGGGAGGGGTGGGGCTCCTGGGGAGAGGAGTGGGGCTCCTGGGGAGAGGAGCAGGGCTCCTGGGGAGAGGGGCGGGGCTCCGGGAGGGGTGGGGCTCCCGGGAGGGGTGGGGCTCCTGGGGAGAGGAGTGGGCTCCTGGGGAGAGGAGCAGGGCTCCTGGGGAGAGGGCGGGGCTCCCGGGAGGGGCGGGGCTCCCGGGAGGGGTGGGGCTCCTGGGAGGGGCGGGGCTCCTGGGGAGAGGGGGCGGGGCTCCTGGGGAGAGGGGCGGGGCTCCCGGGAGGGGTGGGGCTCCTGGGAGGGGCGGGGCTCCTGGGGAGAGGGGCGGGGCTCCTGGGAGGGGTGGGGCTCCTGGGGAGAGGAGTGGGGCTCCTGGGGAGAGGGCAGGGCTCCTGGGGAGAGGGGCGGGGCTCCCGGGAGGGGCGGGGCTCCTGGGAGGGGCGGGGCTCCGGGGAGAGAGGTGGGGCTCCTGGGAGGGGGCGGGGCTCCTGGGAGGGCGGGGCTCCTGGGGAGAGGGGGCGGGGCTCCGGAGAGGGGGCGGGGCTCCTGGGGAGAGGGGCGGGGCTCCTGGGCGGGGGTGGGGCTCCTGGGAGGGCGGGGCTCTGGGGAGAGAGGCGGGGCTCCTGGGGAGAGGGGCGGGGCTCCGGGCGGGGTGGGCTCCTGGGAGGGGTGGGGCTCCTGGTAAGAGGAGTGGGGCTCCTGGGGAGAGGGAGCAGGGCTCCTGGGGAGAGGGGCGGGGCTCCCGGGAGGGGCGGGGCTCTGGGGAGAGAGGTGGGGCTCCTGGGGAGGGGGCGGGGCTCCCGGGAAGGGCGGGGCTCCCGGAGAGGGGGCCGGGCTCCTGGGGCGGCGGGCGCCGGGCAGGACCCGCCCTCACCACTCGGCGATGCTCCTGTGCGCGCGCGTCACGGACGTCTCGATGTCGATGGGGTGGTACCGCATGCCCCGCAGCTCCAGCGTCTCGTCCAGGGCCCCCACGACGTACAGGGCGTCGTGCCGCTCTGCGGGCGCACCCACTCAGCGCACGCCGCGCCCCGCCCCAGGCGCGCCGCCCGCAGCTCCGCGGTCCCTCGGCTCCCCTGGGGCAGCGGCGCCCACGTGCGGCCGCGCCTAAACTCGGGCTGGGCAACAGCGGCCCTTCGACCCCCCGCTCCGGCTCCGGCTGCCCAGCGTGGCCGGCTTGGCTGCCACCTGCGGGGCGGCGAGGGGCGCGGCCGCCCCGTCCAGCAGCGGCCCAGCTGCGACAGAGGCGGCGCTCTCGGGAGGAACGCTGGGCATTGCCTGTCCCCGCCCCCAAGGCACGGGTTGCAGGGCCGGAGGGCAGGGCCCCACACGGGCAGGGGCCCGCGGCCCGGTGCGGGGTCACCGCAGCCCTCACCTCCACTGGCGTCCGTGAGCTCTGTTCTTCGCAGGAAGCCCAGGTAGCCAGTCCTCGCCCAAACGGTCTGGGTGTCCCCAAAACTCAGCCGGGCGCTGAAGTGGTCGGCATGGAGCGCTTCCTCCCCGTAGACAGTATAGTAGCCGGTGGCGTTGTGGGGGCTGCTCACCCAGATCTGGGGGCGTGAGGACCAGCCGTGAGCCCAGCGGGGAACCCACAGCCAGAAGACGCCCCAGGGCGGGGAGGGGAACAGGCGCTCCCTGGGCTGAGGCCGTGACCTGGTCCACACCAGCCAAGAACCAGGGTCCTGTCTCCCACAGGATGCCCTTCTCCTCCTCCGAAAGGAACCTGGGGGTTCCACGTGAGTCAGAGAGCGCCGTGTCCTGACCTCACACACTGGCTGAGTCAGGCTCAAGGCCCTGCCAAGGCAGGGCGGCGCTGCCCATCCCCTCTGCCACACATGACGCCAAACAGACTGCCCGCCCCCCCCAGGCCCTGGCCCCACCAGACCAGCTGCAGCACTGAGAGGGAATGGGGTGGCCTGACGAGAGTCTTCGCAGCCATGTCAGGGGCCCACTGGTCCAGCAGACTGGTCCAGTGCCCGTGGCACCTGCTCTCTGCTAAGTGAGGGCCCACAGGGAGGCGCAGGTGGCTCTGCACATCCTGAGCCCAGCCTGCGGGGCCAGAAGCCAGAGCACAGACCTCATGGTCCTCCTGCACCTGGCAGTGGGCGGTGCCCAGAGCACGAAGCTGCCCTCACCAGAGGGCCAAGCAGAGCGTGCAGACCTCCATGTCAGAGACCCGAGAAGTTCCAGATGCACCTGCCTGCACAGTGGGGCCAACCCCACCCAGCAGGAGCAGCGGCGCAGGGCAGTGGGGTGTGCAGGCAGGCACTCTGCTGCTGCTATCCCTCCCAGGGCCTAACTCTGAGGCTCCCTGGCTTGTGGGGCAGCCAGGGATGGCTCATCCTAGGAACCCTGAAATCCTGCCCAGCAACACAGGGTCCAGGAGCACAACTGGGCCAGGAGAACGAGCCAAAGAGCTCTGATTGCTCCCAAACACAAGCGTGTCCGTGTCTATGCAGAAAGTCGGGGGGCGGGGGGATCAGGGCTCACCTCTCCCAGGTGGGAGTCACCAAGGGGCCCCTTGGTCTCAGTGTGGGCAATGATGACCTTCACCCCAGGAAGGATCTGCAAGAGAGAAGGGAAGAGGCCTGAGCAGCTTGTGGAGACACCCCCGGGGGACCAGGCAGGGGCCTGCTGCCCCTCAGACACCCATAGAAGCAAAAAGTAACAGGACAAGCTGAGTCTTAGGTGGGATTAGCCGTTCCAGAGAACGGATTCCTGGTGTCCAGAGGGCCCATGTGAGCCCTGCAAGGAGGGTGAGGCCCACGGGCCACCCGCGGCTGCTCCGGCCACCTGGGGACTGTCTAGTGCAGTCCCCCCAGCGCCCCAGTTCTGGCAGGAACCTGACCTGCAGAAGTCCCTCCCACCCACCAGTGCCTCCATCCAGCCACCCCCTCACCCTCGGTGCCACTCAGGTGGACGGGGCACCAGTGCCCAGCGGGAGCCATGAGAGCATTTCAGGGAGGGCCCGGAGACCCACACTGGACCGGGTCAGACCAGCTGGCTGCTGGGGCTGGGCCCCCTTTCTGCCCCATCCCCACGTGTAAACTTGGAGATCCGGGACCTGCAGGCTGGCGAGAGGAGGCTCCAGCCCCGTCAGCACCAGGCCCCGCCCGCTGCCCAATGGGACCACCTTTCTTCCAGGTCTGCTCTGGCCTCCCTGTGTGGCCCTGAGCACAGGCCAGCCAGGCTGGTCACCGGCAGAGGAGATGGCAGCCAGCACACAGAGGCGGAGACCCCGCGGCGGACACGGGCTCTGCCCAGGGAGGGCGGGGTAGAGGGGGGCAGCAGCCTCCTGCCCCTCCCAGCTCCCTCCGGACCCCAGCTCTGACCTCTGCCCCCTGCACCTTCCACCAGAGCCCAGGCTGCCGCTGGGGAGGCCCCAGCCACCCCACAGCCCCGCTGATGCCCGAGGCCCACTGTGCCATGTGTGTGTGGGGGCACAGCTGTGTGACCCCGGGCACCAGGCGAAACCCCAGGCCCTCCCGGTCAGGGGGGGGTGGGGGTGGGGGCTGGGCAGGCCCATTCCTGCCTCTGGTCAGCACAGGCTTCCTCCCTCGGCCCCACCTCGCAGCAGGAGCGATGTGAGGCCAAGACTAGCCCTGAGGCAGCCGGACTGGCCCTCGGGAACCCTGTCAAGCCCCACCCCCCTTCTGAGGGCACACCCTCCGGGCGGTACCACCCCCACCCCCCCCTCACAGGTGCGGCTTTTGCCCGGAGGCCCCGGGGTCTCGCCCAGGACTGCGTGGGCAATGTCTCCACCCCTCGCAGAGGCCACGTGAAGACTGTGCCCAGGCGGGCCGCTGCGGCCGGGGCAGGCGCAGGACGGGGTGTGCACCCCACTTCTACCTTTCCAGACTCCGTCAACGGCAGGCTGTGCGGAGAGCCCCGTTCCACCAGGCGCACCCTGAAAATTAACGAGGGGAAACTTCTGCATAAGACCCAACACAGCCACCCCCAGCGTGGCTCCGCGAGGACACGAGACACAGGCGCCGCCCGAGCGCGCAGGCGGAGCCAGAGGGAGGCCCGCTCCGGCCGCTTGGCAGCCCGGCCTCGGCGCTCCTGCGCTGGGCCGCCGCGAGTGGACGTCCCCAGGCGCCCCGCGTCCTCCGCCCCGCGAGGAGCGCTGGGATGGGCTCTCACCACCGCAGGCCCGCGGGAGCAGCGAGGACGAGGCACCCCGCCCTGCTGACGTCCCCCCCGCCCGCGGGCGCTCCGAGGGGCGCGGCGGCCGGGCCGTACCTGTCATGCCGCAGGGCCCGCGTGTCCACGTAGACGGTCGTGGGGTCCGGGCCGGCCGTGCCCTGGGGAGAGCAGTGGACGCCTGGTGTCCAGGCAGCACTGGCTGGGCAGCAGCTGCCCGCGGCGGCCCCCTCCCCGCAGCCGGCAGGCACCAGACGGAACCCCAGCCCCTCTCGGCGTCCCGCCCGCCCTCTCCGCCTCGGGCTGTGGCGCGGCCCGGGCCTGGCCTCTCCGCCCAGCACTGGTGACACCGACCCCCACTCGCAGCCGAAGCAGCCCGTCTCCTGGGTGACCGGAAGGCTCGGCCTCGCCCCAAGGCCCCGAGCCTGCACCCGGCGCCGCGGCCCGGGCCAAGCCAGCCTCACCGCCCGGCAGGTCCACCCGCGTGCCGGAGCCCTGGCCAGACGCCTCGGCCGGGGCGGCCACGCAGCACGAGGCGGCCGCCGTTGGGGCGCCTGCGCCCCGCCCGAGGCCAGGGTCGTACCTGCTCAGCCAGCTTTCCCAGCCTGTTGGGCTGACGGGCAAGGAGGCCAGCAGAGCGGGGGACAGCGGGGGACAGCGGGAGACACAAACAGAGAGCGACGGCGTGAGGGGCGCAGCCTCGCCTGCCACAGCACCCCGCGAGGCCGCGTCGCGGGAGGGAGCCGGACTGGGCCGGGCTGCGGGCACCCGGCGGGCAGCGCCTTCTTCACGCAGCCGTGGGCCCATGCCAGGAAGGGGCGTCCAGGGGCCAGAGTGGCGGCGGAGCCCTGTCCTGCTTCCGCCAGGCCTTTCCCTCTGCGTGGCTCCTGCGGGGGCGAGGCCGGACGAGGCTGGGGCGCGGAGCCGCCAGGGAAAGCAGGCCACGGCCACCGCTGGGCCGAGCGCCCCGCCCAGAAAAGCACCTCGACGTCTGGCCACAAACGGCCAGTCCAGACAGACGCGCCCACGTCCGACACAGCACGGGCCGGGCAGCGAGGACACGCGCGCTTGCCCTTGCTCTGAAGCACGAGGGTCGCCGTCGCACAATGGACCCTCCCAGCCGTCGGGCGGCCTCACCTGCAGGCAGATGGCCACATTGACCCTGCACCCGAAGGTGGTGCTGACCGCGCGGGCAGGCAGGCCCAGGTCCTTGAAGAGCTTGGAGAAGGACTGCGTCAGCGCGATGCGGGGCCGCTCCTCCGCCACCACCATGCAGGTGCGCACGCAGGACAGGTTCACCCCCTTCGTCTACAGGCGGGGGACATCCTGAGCCCAGGCCCGGGGCGTCCCCACACCTCCCTGGCCCGGCCACCCAGGGAGCCCCACGCCTGCCCCCAGGCAACCCCCCCAGGCCGTCCTCTCCCACTGCAAGTAACATGGCACCCAGTGCCCCGGCCCAGGAGAGACCACCAGTGGTGCCTGCAGGGCATTGGCCCGGAGCCCATGCTTACCCTGAGGACGCCAGTCTGCGTGCCCAGGCCCCTGGTGCAGGCCTCCATCACCGAGTAGGAGCAGAAGGTGACGCGGGCCTTGTACTGACTGACAGCCGACAGCCACAGGGCCACATTGCTCTCCAGCTCCAGCGGGGGCACCAGCACCGACTGGTGCCCTGAGTAGACGCTGTGGGGACAACAGCTCAGCCCAGCGGGTCTGCGGTCACCCCAGCCGGGCAAGGCACCATCTGCCTGCATGATCTGGGCCCCACCTGACAGGCAGAGGCCCGGGTCTCCTGGGACCCAGCGCTGGGGACCCGGGGTCTACTCTGAAAGCTCTGCTGTATTCTGGGCCACAGCTGTGCAGGCCCCAAGTGTTCGTGCTCCCCGAGTGCAGTGCCGCTCTGCCACCCTCACCCCCAGAGACCTACCCTGGGCCCTCAGCCACAGCCTCAGAAACATGCCCTAACAGTGAAAATCTAAAACCTAGAGAACCAGCACCCCAGCAAGTGGGCCAACAGGGTGCCGGCGCACACTACCTGTACTCACCTGCGTATTCACCTGCATACTCATCTATATACCCTACCTGCACTCACCTGTACACTCACCTCTGTACAGTACCTGCACTTATCTATACACCTTTCTTGCACACTCACCTGCATATCCTACCTGTCCTCACTTGTACACTCATCTGTGCACGCACCTGTACACCCTACCTGCGCTCACCTGCATCCTCTGCCTCTCTCACCTGCACAGACACCACAGGGCGAAGCCGAGGCCACAGTAGGGGTCGAGGCAGATGGCGATCTGTCTGGAGGGATACAGCTCACACTGCAGCTTGATGGAGCGGCATAAGGCACTCGTGGCAGCATGCGACATCTGCGGGGAGTGCAGGACATCTGGGGGGGTGCGGGACATCTTGGGGGGCGCGGGATGTCTGGGGGTGTGTGGAAGGCCGCTCGGTGGTGAGAAGGGAGGAGAAGACACCAGCCGTCCAAGGCCACACAGATTTACCCCTTCAGCACAGCTGAGTGACACCCAACACTGCACACGGGGCACCCCGCCAAGGCTCAGGGACAGGGGCTGCAGACCCCGGAGAGCAGCTGGCTGCTCGTAAGTGCTGCCACCAGGCCAGAGATAGCCTGTTGCCTCAAGGGTGATGTCCCGGCCCACTCAACTGGGCTGCTGTGCTCAGCCTGAGCCCTGGACTCCAGTGGGTGTGGGCAAGTCTCACCTTCACCCCCGCGAGTATCCCCGTGGTGGACACGCTGAAGTCCAGGTATGCAAGCACATCTGGCGTCGGGGGCCTGAAGACACCGGCCACCTTCTTCTTGGGGAGGTCATCTGTGCATGGGGAGAGACGCGTGTCCCTGGGGAGGGTGCAGCAACGGCGCCTTGGCCGCCACCTCCTTCAGCCTCCAAGGACGCTGAGCGCCGGGGAGAGGCCACCACCTGGGCCACCCTGCCCAGCGAGGTCGAGGGGCTGGCGAGGCTGCAGAGCCAGGACCGAGCATCACTGACCCGCAGGCGCCTGCTCTGTGGCCTCCTCCTGCCCTCGAAGACCCACACGGGGCAGCTATGACCAAATGGGTACTTGGTGAGGTGGGAAGGGCTGGCCCACTGGGCAGTGACCAGGAAGACAGTGGGACTGTGGGCCCCACCCGGTGTCCCCAACCAGCTCCCTGCAGTGGGAATGGCAGGTGGCCCTGAGCTCCCTCAGAAGGTGCCAGGGGTGAAAAAAAAAAAAAGAGGGCCCAGGAGTGAGGGCGGAAGCTCACAGGCGTGCGCCCCGAACCACCAGCAGAGCCCACGGGGGGGCCAGGCCAGGGACACTGGTGGGGAGGGCAGCAGAGGCTGGCACGAGCCCAGGCCCAGCCCTCGCCACCCAGAGTTGGCCAGTGACAGGACGAGGGAAGTGAGTGTGCGTCTGTAGCCACAGGGGCCAGGAGGCAACCTGGGCACACCCTGCACAGGGCTCTGCTTCCCACCAGCACGGCACCCTTTCCATTGGGGCCAGCACGCTCTGCTGCACGGCACCCACCTGTGTCCAAGATGGTCGGCCAGGTCCGGACGTCCACAGCAGCGGCAGCATCCTTGGACCTGAGCAGCCGCATGATGGCCTGCGTGGTGAGGACGCAGGCGGCCTGGCTGACCTGCAGGGCACAGGGTTGAGGCGCTGGAGGCGGGGGCTCCCCAGGACCTCCCACGCAGCCCAATGCCCACACACCTCCACGATCATCTTGACAGTAGGCAGCGTGGTAGCAAGATTCTGGGGGTGAGGGGGGCGCACAGTGACGGGCACGCAACCGCAGTACAGGCAGCCGTAGAAGGCGGCGATGAGGTCCACGCCTGCACACACGAGGCCCAGGTCAGCTGGCGCGCGCCCGCGAGGAAGACACACAGGGACCGGGCGCAGGCAAAAGGGGAGTTACCATGGCAGTCTTGGACCTGCCGCCTCACCCCCGTGCAGCCCCCATGCCGGCAACCCCCTCCTGCAGCCTCGGGGGCAGGGATCCACCAGCGGAGGAAGCCTTGGCCTCTCCCTCTACCCCCCAGGAGTGCGCAGCCGGGCCTGGGGCACTGCAGAGGCCGAAGTCTGTGCCCACAGGGTGGCTGCTCTGCTGTCACTGACTTCTGCCGGGTGTACCCATGGAGGGAGTCCCCACTCCCTCGAGGCGCAGGGAGGCAGGCATGCAGAGCCCAGGGGTATGTGCACCCCACTGGGTGCTGACGGGCAGAAACATGGGTGCAAAGGGTCAGGGTGTGAAGGTCAGGGTGTAAAACGTCAGAGGTGCAAGGATCAGGCTGTGAGAGGTCAGGGTGTGGAGGTCCGGGTCTACCCTGTGTGGCTGGCTGTGGCCACACGCGGGCACTGGCCCCGTGAGGAGCAGCGATCTCTTGTGCTGCACGTACTCACCTGGGGGGTACACCAAGGCCACGTGGTCCCCGATGCTCAGCCTCGCCTTCTCTGTTAGAGCAGCGGCCACCCTCTCTGCCCTCTTGTGCAGCTGAACACAGGTGGCGGTGCTAGTGACAGTGCCCTGGCGGCCATCAGAGGGTCAGCATGGAGTGGCCACCAGGCACACACAACCCGTCCCTGCCCCTCAAAACACAGAGCTCAGGCCCCGGGCAGCTGAGACACTGGCAGCCACTGCCCTAGGCCAGTCAGAGACCAGGGGGGACAGGAGCACTTTGGCCTTTTGGCAAAATACTTCAAAGTGACGTAAGGAGCAACACGCTAACAAGTCTTCCTGAGACCGAGGCCACCACGCTGCTCGCCCGCCCCACCCCACCTCGTCCAGACACGCAAGTCCATGCCAGGAAGCCCCAGCTGCCTAGCGGCCCCAGCCTCAGGCTGCAGCCCACCCCCTGCAAAGGCTCCTGCCCTGGGGGCTGCTGCAGTGTCCCTGCGGGCCACGTGGCCTGAGCCAGCTCCCTGCCTGCGCCCCCCAGGCGGCCCTGCAGCCCCTGCGTCCCTCCTGCGCTCCCAAGGGTGAGTGAGCCGTCTGGGGGCTGCACAACTGGACCAGACTCCTCGCTGGCCGCCCCACACCCACCCGACAGCCAGACCTGCTGTCCCGGGACACCTCCCGCCCGGCGCCGCCGCCCCCCAGGTGGAAGGTGCGCCCAGGACCTAAAGAGGGTCCTAAAAGCAGACGACCCGCAAGGCAGCGAGGCTGGGGAAGGGCTCTGAGCAAAAGCCTGCAAGGATTTGGAATAGGGGAGCCTCTCCAGCACCCCAACCTTTGGGGACCGCCCACCAGCAGCTGCTGGGGGACTGTGGGGGCGGGCAGGGCGGGCGGGGGCGGGGCCGAGAGCCCGGAGGGGGCGGGGCCGGGCAGGCTGGGGGCGGAGCCGGAGGGGCCGGGCCGGAGGGGCAGGCGGAGGGGGTGGGGCCGGGGGAGCGGGACGGGGGCGGGGCCGGAGAGGCAGGGGGCGGGGCCGGAGGGGGCGGGGCCTGGCGGGGCCTGGCGGGCGGGGGCGGGGCCGGGGCCGAGGGGCCGGCAGGGTGGGGGGGCGGCGCCGGAGGGCGGGGCCGGGGGCGGCGCCCTCCCCACCCCCGCGGGCCTCCCCCACCCCCGCGGGCCTCCCCCGCCCCCGCGGGCCTCCCCCGCCCCCGCGGGCCTCACCTTGGCGTTGAGCAGCAGGAACAGCGGGTGGTCGGGCGTGGCGTGCGCGCGCCACTGCAGCACGTCGGGCAGGAACAGGAACTGCGCGGAGGGGGGCGTCAGCGCGCGGCGGGGCCCGGCCCCCCTCCCGGCCCCCCCCCCGGCGCCCCTGCCGGCGCCCCCCCGCCCCCCGCCCGGCGCCCCTCCCGGCGCCCCTCCCGGCTCCGCTCCCGGCCCCCCTCCCGGCGCCCCTCCCGACCCCCCTCCCGGCCCCCCTCCCGGCGCCGCTCCCGGCCCCCCTCCGGCCCCCCTCCCGGCGCCCCTGCCGGCGCCCCCCCGCCCCCCCCCGCCCGGCGCCCCTCCCCGCGCCCCTCCCGGCGCCCCTCCCGGCCCCCTCCCGGCGCCCCTCCCGGCCCCCGCCCGGCCCCCCTCCCGGCCCCCCTCCCGGCGCCCCTCCCGGCCCCCCTCCCGGCGCCCCTCCGGCCCCCCCCCCCCTGGCGCCCCCCCGGCCCCCCGCCCGGCGCCCCTCCCGGCGCCCCTCCCGGCCCCCCGCCCGGCGCCCCTCCCGGCCCCCCCCCCCTGGCGCCCCCCCGGCCCCCCGCCCGGCGCCCCTCCCGGCGCCCCTCCTGGCGCCTCACCTTGCGCGCCTGGTCGCTGTCCTCCAGGTGCGCCAGCTCCCGGCCCGCGGCCTGCGCGATCCTCCGGCCCGCGACCAGGTTCCCCACGACCATGGAGGCGGGCCCGACCTCTGGAAAGGGGCGCCCGTGAGGCTGCAGCCCCGGGGAGACCCGGCGGCCGGGGCCGGGCCGGGGCGTCTCTGGCGGGAAGGGCGCCCCGCCCGGCTCAGCTCTCCACGCCGCCCTCCACGCCGAGGCGCCTGGACCCCGGGGGGCCGTGGGGTAGGACCCCTGCCGCGGGGGGCGGCCACGGCCTGAGCCGGCCGCGGGTCACCAACCTGGGGGTCACCGGCCCAGGGGTTCACCGAGTCCGGAGCCACGGGGCCAGCCGACCCCAGGTCAGCTGCGGGCAGGTGGAGCCGCTGGGCCAGCAAAGTAGGGCCACCCTCCCCGCTCAGGGACCCACCTCGGGGCCCCGGGGCCGCCGGCCTGAGGCGGGACAGACGTGCGCAAGCTGACCTGGCTGCTTCTGGCGCGGCTTGGGCAGGTTGGTGACGCAGGCGTGAGGGCACATGAGCACGCTGCAGGGGTGCAGCAGGCCCTCCAGGAAGCGCTGCTTGGTCTCAGAGACATGGATGCCGCCAAGAGGCGCCTTGGGCAAGGTGTTGGCCGGAACCAGGGCCAGGCAGTACACGCCTACCTGGTGGATGCTGTCCACGGCCTGGGCGGGGGAGCGAGGGCAGGCGCTGAGCCTCAGGGCCCAGGGGGCCGGCGTGGCATCACAGGGTGGGATGGGGCGCGGGCAGCTGGCAGGGCAGGCAGGACACAGGTGTGTGGCGCCGTGGGGTGGGGTGGGGTGGGGCGCTGCGGGCACGGAGGGGCTGCTGAGTGAGCTGTAGGCGCCTGTGCCACCCTCCATGTGGGGTGTGTCTGAAACGCTCCCGAGACAACCTGGGAGTCACGCATGGGGGCGCGAGTTGGAACCCAGGCCCATGCTGCACCGTGAGGCGCCCACACTCGACCCGAGGGGCCGGCACGGGGGCTCTGGCACCTGCGGCCTCCCAGGTGTGAGCAGACACAAGGGCTGTGGCAGCCACATGAGGAGCCTGGAGAAGGAGGGGGTGCCCAGCTGCCAGGGCAGTGGGGATGGAGCGGGCAGGCACTACACGCAGGCCCAGGGCCCACCTGCAGCACGCGGCTCATCCACTGGAAGCTGTCCTCCTCCGAGGCGTCCGGCCGCTGCTCGGCCACCACCACGATCCGGTCGTCGTGAAGCACAGTCACGGAGAACACGGCGATCCTGGGGGGCAGGGCGCATGACCACCTGGCAGCTGGGGCCACCCTGCTCCCACCCCAGCTTAGACTCACTGAGGCACAGGGGTCCACACCGGCAAAGCCCCGGCACGCGTTTTAAGAGGACACTTTTAAGGCCGAGCGGAGCGCATGCTTCGCAAAAGTCACATCTGGAGTCCCGAGGGCTAGCCTGGGCGCCCTGAAGTCCACACAGCCCCACCTGCCTGACAGGCAACGGCCCCCACGGGCAGGTATCCATCCACACCCTCCTGTCCACACTGGGGCTGGTGAGGCTTTTCCCTGTGGGGGAGGAGCTTCCTGGCGTGGACCTTTCTCCATGGCCCTACAGCCTAGTGTGGACATGCCCTCCCTGGCCCTCCCTCTGGCGGGCACAGACTGCCCTCAACCTCCCATTTGGAGGCTCCGCCCACACCTGCCCTTGGGACGCCCCACCCCCACCCGTTATTTAAACTGTTTCTTTGCTCCTGGGGAAGTGCTGGCCGGTGGCCACCCACCAGTTTGCTCCCCGGGTCGACGCTGCTCTCTGCTCAGACCACGGTCTGGCCCTGACCTCCTGTCCCGCTGCCCGCCACTCCCCTGGGGGGCACCCAGGCCTCCGCTAGCCTAGCTGTGGCAGAGCAGGCTCTGGGCCCTGCAGTGCCGGCATGGGGAGAGGGCATCACCTGCCTCTGTAGACAAACTTCATGGGCTCCACGGCCAGCGCAGTGGCCACAACATCGTCTGCATTGTGTCTGCGGACGCCAACCACCATCAGCCCGTCCAGCTTGCCCACGACAAAGACCAGGTGGTCCTGAAGGCAAGGACGGCAGTTAGGGAGCCCAAGCGGGCCCTGTGGTCAGGCTCCCATGCTGCCGGCACACCCCGAACACGCGCTGGCCCTCTGAGCTCGGGCAGGTCAGCTGTGGACGAGGGGTCCTGCAACCAGCAGCGGGTGTGGCGTGAGGGGGCACCCAGAGCATGGTCAGCAGAGCTGGGGCACAGCCGGGAGCAGGGCCTGTGCAGCCATGTGCACGGCCCCCAGACTGAGGGGCGCTCTGGGCAGGCTCTCGTCACAGCCGTCCTGCTGGACGGGGCTCCGGGTGCCCAAGGCGCTGGTGACCCGCCCTCCTTTGAGAGTGACTGCCCAACACCCAGGCACTGCCCAACACCCCCGGAAGCCGGGAAGGGCCCCTGAGAACTCAGTCCCAAGGGGCGGGACAGAAGGAGCCCCACACCTGCCACTACATGGAACTCAGAACAAGCTGGGACTGCGCCCCACGCCCGCAGCCCACACACCCACGGGGCTACTCACAGGCCCCACGAAGCCCAGCAGCCCGGTCCTGGTGAAAGGCCTCTCGGAGACAGGTGTGCCCTCTGCCGTGACCGGGACAGTCTGCAGCAGGGCAACAGTCAGGCCACAGCCCACGAAGCAGCACCCCCAGCCAGCAGGGCCCAGCGGGTACTACCCGCCCAGCACAGCTGCAGGGGGCAGGCGCTGAGACGCTGTGAGCCCTAGGAGAGGCCACTGGTGCTGCCCACTGACTGGCCTCCGGCTCGGACCCTCAGGCCCTGCCTGTGCCGTGTGCACTGAGGGGCGCCCTCGGGGGACCAGCCTGACCATCGCAGCACCAGCCCCTGGTCCGCGCCCGCCTCGCGGGGGAGTCCAAGCTGCAGGGGCCAGTCGCACCCACCTCAAAGATGGTCCTCGTGATGCCGAGCAGTCCGTAGTAGGCCGAACCGGTGCCGCTGGAGTCCACGCAGATCTCCCCAACTTCGTCTGTTTTGCAGAGGAGCGGGGCCCCATCCACCTTCACGACGCACACGCGGGCTGGAACGGGAGGCCGCAGTCGTGAGCGGAGGGTGCAGTTCTTGGGCCCCTCCACCATCCGCCCCGCCCCCTGTGCCCCTGCAGGAGGCCCATACACACCCTCTGGCTACTGCACACTGGGGTCTGGTGGGCTCTGGGCAGCCCCACCCCAGCTGACGGAACCCCACTTCCTGCCCTCCTGAGTGTGGCTGGGCGGGCCCTGGCCAGGTGCTCCTGCCACCACCCCACCTGCCCAGCCAGGTCCCCAGAGCCCCTCCACAGGGGCCAGTGCTGGGACCGCAGCCCTCAGGGTGGCTGAGTGGCCTGCCCAGCCCAAGGAGGCCCCTGCCGCTGACCATGGCCACCTTCTCGTCTCCAACGTGGGACATGCTCAGCAGAGAGAAGGCCGGGCCCCGAGCTGCAGAGGGACCTGCGGATGTGCCCGACCGGCGATCGCTCCCCGCACCCTCCAGGGCACGGGTTCATTGAGGAGCCCTCAAGACTGTGCGGCACCTCAGCTCTGCCCTGTCCCATGCACAAGTGCAGGCCCCCTAGCCCCGTGCACTATCCCTCCCCCAAAGGCCCCGCCTCCCAGCCCCCCAAGGATCACCAAACACACCCCCTAGGGCAGCCTGGTGTGTGACCCCGGGGCCCACTGTCCAGGGCACCCTCACCTCCAGGCATCACCTGCCCCACGTCCTGGACAGTGAGGACAGACAGCTTCTCCTCTGTGTCGACTCTGATGACACCATAGCTGAGCCCGTTCATCGACAGGACGGCTTTCCTCGGGGGAGGGCCTCCCAGCTCAGGCGGCCTGGAGAAGAACCCAGGTGTGGGCCGCAGCACTGGCCACAGGCAGCAGCAGCTCCAGTCAGCCATGGCCTTGGCCCCAGCACCACACTCGGGGGCTCCCTCATCTGGGCCTCTGACCACAGAGCAGGGGGCCAAGGGGCTGCCAGCTAGAGTAGAGGCCCCGTTGGGGCCGTGGGCAGCCAGGAGCACAGAAGGCACTTGAGGACGTTGCACCCTGAGCTGCGGGCCGCACTGGAGGGAAGGTACCAGATGGCCGACCAGTCATGTCTGCTTGATGGGGCCCAGCCCAGCTCCTGACCACCCAGCATGCGCTGCAGCCCAGGACGCGACCTCCGGCTTGAAGCTGGCACAGTGGACGCCGTGGGTGGCTGCAGTGCAACCCAGGTGCCAGTGTTTCTCCAACAGCACCTTGGGCCAAACCCGGCATGGCAGGGCGAGAGGCACGCGGGGGGCAGGGCCAGGCGGCTGTCACACAAAGGGTGGGGTATCTCCCATGCGCGCAGGCCAGGCAGGGGCACTCCCGCGGTGCGGTGGGCAGGCGTACCTGCGGATGGCGACCGTCAGCGCCTCTGGGGAGCTGGCGCAGGGACAGATGACCTCCGGCCTCAGCCCCCTGGCCTGAAAGACGTTGAGGAATGCATCGCAGGAGGAGATGGACCCTGGCGAACGGGCATGAGTGGTGACGGAGCTGCAGGGCTCGGCACTAGGCGGCCACGTCCCTCTGCGACGCCAGGCCCTCAGCATGGGCCAGCGCTCGCGGGTGGAGCTGTGGCCAGGAAACACACACGTGCCAGCAAACAAGACGCTGGAAACTTTGCCCAAAGCTCAGCCCATCGGGAACTCCACCCCAGAGCCACACGAGCCTCCAGCCCAAGACCGAGGGGCCTGAGTCCACCTCCCGCCAGGCCCAGGGCAGCTGCAGGCAGGCAGGACCGGCGTCCAGTGGTGGTCCCTGCGGCCTCAAGCACAGGCCAGGGCAGACTCACAAGGGTTGGCGCCGTCGGCCACGATCAGCAGGCGCAGCGAGCTGAGGCTGACGTCCCGCTGGCCCCGCTGCGCCAGGAGAGACCAGTGCATGTCACGGGACTTCACCAGGGCCACCTGGGCTGCAGGGAACACAGGCACCTGTGTCTCAGGCACGGCCACATGGGCGTAGTCTGTGCAGCTACTGACCCCAGGGGCCCAGGCTCAGGCGCTGAGCCTGAGTCCCCGGCAGCTCCTCTGCCCCGCTCGGCCCTTCGCCTCAGGCTGCGATTCCCTGAGCTGCGAGCCCATGCCGACCAGAGCCGGGGCTGGCCAGTGGGCAGCACCTGCCATGTCCTTGGCCAGGCCAGTTTCCCGCCATGAAGCAGGACCTTGAGGGAGCTCCCTGAGGGCTGAGCGGGACACAGCCATCCCTGCACACAGGAAGCACAAAGGGGCCCCGCACCACAGGCCGGGCCCCGGGGCCTGACCAGCAAACCTGGCCATCCAGGGCTCCCGGCCCACACCCGCAGTGGGCGTGCAGCTATCACGCTTCTCTCAACAACTGACAGCTGACCCAGGGGAGGGGTGAGTGTGGGGGGGTTACCTTTATGAGAGGACACTTTCTGGATCCAGGAGAGGGGGTTCACCTTCATCAGTGCATATGGGATGCTGATCACGTGCATCCTGTTCATAACGCTCTGGAAAGGGACAGGCTGAGTGGGGGCGCCCAGGGGGACAAGCCAGCCCCGGGGGCAGAGGAGGGCGGGGGAGGAGCCATAGGGGACAGATCAGCCACAAGGTAGAGGCAAGGGTGGGGGGTGGGTGCCGTGTGGGGGCAAAGCATAGTGCCTCCTGGCGTGGACACTCACTGTCAGCACCCCATGCCACAGGCCAGCCTCCCTTTTGAAATCCAGCACGTTGGTTAACGTTTCAGCTGAAAGTGGACAAAGATGGTTAAACAGCATGACCCCTTCGTGACCCACTCTCACAGGTGCCCACGCGGCTGCGCTGGCACCGCAGCCCCGGAGCATGAGCACCGTCCCCCGCCCCCCCACGTCCCCGCAATCCATGTCTGGTCTGGGAAACCAATCGAGGCGTGCAACAGCGCAGTCCACATGCCGCTCTGGCACAGAGCCGGGCGAGGGGCTGCGAGCAGGGGAGGGGCCCAGTGAGCACTGACTGAGTGCCCCTCACCCCATTATCAGAATCACCTAATTCTGACAGACAACCAAGGAAGGAGCCTGACAGGCCTAAGTTTTGAAACTATTAAAATCTAAATCCCTTTTTCTTCTTTTGCTTTTAGGTGCCCAGATTTAGGTATCTCAAACCAGCGTTCAGTTCAGTTCCTGTTTTGCTCAATTCTAGCAGCACAATGCAAAAAAATCACTGGGGCTGCTCAGCAGTGCCCTCAACTCGTCTCGCTGTGTGCGGGCACCGCCTCCTGGCTCCCGGCCAGACCCACAGCACTGGCCAGGGGGACGGTGGAGCCAAGGGACACATGCCTGTGATGAGCGCAGGCCCGGCCACCGCCGGACTCAGGCAGAGCCTGGAGGGCCCCCAGGGCACCCCATACCTCACCTTCTGAGTAGCCGCAGGCCTGGGTGAGCGCCCGGCACTGTGCGAGCAGGGAGCGGTGGGACACGGTCACACCCACCGTGCTGCCATCCTTGCTGGTCTTGTACTGCATGATTTTGGTAGGAGGCTTCATTACACGGCGCTCCTGGAGGCCACACGGACAGACGGGCCACCGCCCAACCCCTTGGGCCACCCCCGGCCTCAGCCCCCATCCCAGGGGGCCTGACTCCAGAGAAGACACCTGCAGAAGCAGGTGCTTGCGCGGCCTCACAGCCGCCCAGCCCAGGGACCATGAGGGGAGGCTGAGGGCCCCAGCGGAGCCGGGACACAACCCATCCCCCAAGCACACCAGGCCAGCCTGCACCCACCTCGATGTAGGCCACCCCGGGCCCTGCCTCCGGGGTCAGCAGGTGCCAGTCCTTGGGGGGCTTGGCCAGATGCTTCCCATCGGTCACCAGCCAGGCAAGTGGGGGCCATCCTGCAGGGGCATAGGAGGGGGATCACAGCCGGGGCCTCACCCCACACCCCACACAGGGCCCAGCTCCGGGTGCCCAGAATCGCAAGTCTTGGTCTCACTTTACTTCTGTTGACTGGTCTCTAACTTGGCAGGTGCCTCTGCTGGTGACAGTGAGAAGGGAGAGCCCCAAGGCCTCAAACCAGCATCCAGCACCACCCCTTCCCAGCCTCGCCCCGCCCCTGCCCCACCACCACCTGACACCTGGCCCCACCCACCCTGGACCCAGCCCTGGCACATGACCCTGCCACACCTGGCCACATCCCACCCAGCCCTGCCCACAACCCCCACACATGGCCCCACCTGGCCCCACACCCAGCTCCCACCAGGCTCGTCACCCCCTCCTTTGCCCCTCTCCCTGCTCCGCCCACCTTTGAAAGTGGCCACTTCTCCAGTCTGTGCCTTGGGCAGGCCCTTCTGACATGCATCTGTGGTCAGGGCCAAGGTGACCCCGCAGCTGCCGAGTAGAAAGCCCACCTGCTGGCTGCCTGCGTCCTGAGGAGACAGGCAGGCAGGGATGAGGCCGGGAGGGGTAAGGCCCAAAGGGAAGCTTCCCTGCTCCCTGCTGAGAGCCCCCCCAGGCCACCCTCCTGCGGCACCTGCTCCACAAGAAGAGAACCAAGTAGCTGCTTCTGCATTGTAAAGGACAGACCTCAGTGACCGGAGAGTCTGGACTAACAGAGGTTTTCTCACCAACAACGTTTAGTGGCATTTTAACCCAAATTCAGCAGCAGGGAAGCCCCAGCTCAAGCTGTGGCTGAGACGCATGGCCAGTGTGCAGGGCCAGCCAGCCAGCGCCAGCCCCTCATGAACACTCCTAATGTCCAGTCTCCCAGGGCTGGTGTGTCCGTCTCACTCCGCCCTGGTGATTCCAGTGTCCAAGCGTCTGCTCGCCTGTTGCCCTTTTGCAAAACATGGGTGTGGTCAGCACACCCCACTCAAGCCTAGGACCCTAGGCAGGGCCTGCACCCTCCTGGCACAAGGCGAGCCAACCCGAGGCTTCACGGTGACCAGACCACCGACATGACCTGGCATGCGGCGGCAGCCCAGACACACGAGTCCCCACCCAGCCAGGCCTCAGTGGCAAAGCCACTGAGATGTGGACAGGATGAGCGTCTCGTACATCAGCCATTGCTGAGGAGTCAGCAGACGCGGTGCCCCGAGCAGAAGCGGTGCCAACAGCACATGATTTTGAGGAAATGTTTAACATCTTGTCAGATCCCAACTGTTCACTGGGGGAGCAGAGCTGACTGTCCTGCTGGGGAACCCTGGAGCACACCCCCCACCCCCAGGTGGGACAGGAGTGGAGGTTGAGCAGCTGCAGCCCTGCCCAGCTGCTCCGGCCACAGCCAGCCCATGGCCCTGCAGTGAGACAGCAGCTGGGGGCAGGCAGTTGGGCTCACCTTCCTGGTCAGGGGCACTTCTATGGGCACGGGAACCAGCTCCGCCAGGAGACAGCCGTAGAAGGCGACCATGAAGGCGGCGGGGTCGCTGTTGGGGAACACCAGCGCCACCTGCAATAGCACAGAGGTGGGCAAGGGGCTCCCGGAGGCTCCTGCAGATGGGCCTGCAGTTCTTCCTGCTGACTCTGGGAATGGAACTTGGGGTCGACCCTCAGGCCTCCGTTGCCTCGCTCTGCACTCCACTTAAATGTCCCTCAGGGAGGGCGGGCATGGGCAGCTGGCCAGCCCATATGGTCCCGGCCCCGAGGTGGCCCACTCCCCACTGCAGCGGCCACTCACTGCCACCGGTCAAGTTACATTGTCCCATTTTCATATTTAGCAAAAAAAATTCTTAGACAATTTGAAATGACAACAGTACTGAGGAGAATACGCATCTGCCCACTCTCCAAGGCAACCACTTTTAAAATACCTTAGAGCTCACGCTGGCGATTCACTCTCACACTTATAAACATGTGTGCTGTCATCTGAGAGTGCTCGGGTGGTGATGTTATTCCCCACTACTGTGGATGCGAGCCCCCCGCCCAGCACCCCTGCCTTCATTCCTGCTACGACCAAGCGACCAGACGCTTGGGAACATTGGGGGGCGGGTTTGGGAGCCCCAGGCACTGACCAGTGCCAGGACCCACAGCACCGCGGCCCTGCAGTGTTGGAGAGGACAGCTGGGCAGGTCTTGGAAGCACAAAGCACAAAGTCACTCGGGTCCTTCGTGCCAAGGGGAAACTTAAAACGGTTTATTCTGTGCTGGACACTGGGTTTCTAACAAGCTGTCTGCTCAGAAGGGTGAAATTCTCTTTGGAACCTCACTGGGGTTAAGAGTGTGCCCAGAACTGTGGCCTGGAGCCTGGAGACTAGAAACCTGGCAGGGAAGACAGGCCCCTGCAGGATTTGCTAGTAAGAGCCTCGGGAGAAGCCACGGAGGACGGCCAGGAGGACGGGGCTGCCTCCCCTCTGGGAATTGGCCCCACGGACCAGCACTGGGCTCTTGGTGGGTCAAGAAAGTGTCTGGAGTCTCTGTCCTGCTAAGATATTTTTCCAAGAAAAATGAATCAGTGATTGTTAGCTCCATTTTAAAGCACTCAGGGGTCCTTGGAGCGTCTTCCTTGAGCAAGTCAGAGACCCCACGCCTGCGCAGGGACGCCAGACTTTCCATCCTCGCCACCTGTTCTGCTCTGGGTGCCTGTGCTGGCCGGTCTGTCCTCAAAGCCCAGCCAGGTTTCCCAAATGCCACCAGTCAGGCGAGTGGCCCTCCTGCACGCCCCGGGAGGGTCTGGGGAGCTGGCCCTCTGCAGCGCCCCACTCACTCAGGGAACTTCCCCAAAACCAGAGCAGCAAGTCCGTGTTCCGAGCCCGCATGTCTGGGCACGGCCACCCCATCTCCCGCTCAAGGCCCTGCTCCGGACGGCCCCGCGGCCCCCAGCTGCCGAGAGCCAGCGTCCCAGCAGCCGCCCACTCCCAGGCCCTGGCCCCGGCCGGCATCTTTTTCAGCTCCAGCCTCAGTGACCATCGCCGGCTGTTGAAACACCCGCCCTTCCCCTTCCTCCTTTCTTCTATCCTGGGGGGGGTCCCTCTGTCTTGGGGGGTCTGTTCCCAGGACCCGCCGCCTGAGCAGCGGGAGCGGCAGGGGCCGTGGCTCTCGCACCCCGGCCCCGCCACAGTCAGGGTGGCAGCTGCTGCTCTCAGCGCTTTTATGTCACCGTGTACTTCCGGGATCGTGGGGTGGACCAATCAGGTGCGAGCTATGAGCTGATTGGTGCCCAATGGTCCAATCAGAGCTTTGTTACCAGGACCCGCCTCCCACCGCGAGGCGGTGTGGCAGTTGCGCCTCTGCGCCCTTTCGTGTGCAGCGCACTTCCTGGATCATGCAATGGACCAATCAGGCGCTATGGGCTGATGGGCAAATGGTCCAATCAGCCACAGGATTGGAAAATGGGCCAATCAGACGTGTGGGCGGGGCTCCCTGAGCGAGGATATAAGCCGGGCTTGGTTGCTTTGAGAGAGAGACGACGCCAGGCCCCAGAAGCGAAGAGGACGGAGAGGAAGAGGGGGACACGGCTGCAGCCTCCGGGTGAAAAAGCAGGAGGGGAGACTCCGCCGCGGGCTCCGCAGCGAGAGCAGCGCCGGGGGCCGCGGTCCCAGCCGGCCTCGGTCCCGTCCCTGGCGGGGCCTGAGGAGCCCGGAGGCCTCGGGCTGGCGCCTCGGGAGCTGCTGCTGCCCGTCTCCGACCTCTCGCAGCCGAGGCGCTGGGTGTGTCCGGCGCCGCCCCCAGGGCCTCCTGGGGACCCTGGGGGGCGGCCCTGGAGCCCCGCCTCCCGTCTGTGGGGCGCGGGCGCGGGGGAGCCCCAGACGGCCCTGCCGCGTGGGTTTGTCCCGCCGCAGCCCGGGTCAGGGCTTTTCGGCAGCTCCGTCCCTCCGCCGGCCTCCCGCCCTGTTTCACCCCTGCCCTGGGAGAGATGTCTGTCCTGCCCTGGGGGGTCTCCTCCAGTGCTGGCTGTGTTCCCTGTTCGCGCGTGCGGCCTCCGGGGCCGTGGCGCTGTCAGCGGAGGGAGGAGCTGACAAAGGCACCGCTGTTGCGGGGGAGGGGGTCTCCGTGGCAAGCTGTTGCTTCCCAGCCTGCCCTCGTGTGCTGGGCCCCCGCCGCCCCCACACCTGCCCAGAGCCCAGCTGCCCGCAGAGCTCCCGGGCTCACCAGCGCAGCCTGACCTCCCGCAGCAGGCCGGGACACGGGGCCTGTGCTGAGGAAGGCTTATTTGATTTTGGCCACATAAGCAGCTGCTATGGCCACTGTCAGCCACGGGGGCAGGGCCCACCAGGCTGCGCGGCGTCTCCTCAGAGCCTCAGCTTCAGAAATTCTGTGCCACCAGGGTCTGATGTGACATGCCCACAAAGGCAGCATGTATGAAGTCAAAGGGACCGGCAGGGGCAGACTCAGTGGGGGCCGCGCATAGGGGGCGGTCCGCACCTGTGAGGCCAGCAGGGTGGCGGGGCCGGGGCGGGGAGCAGGGTCTGGGCTGGCCAGGAGTCGCATGCGTCACTCACTCTGTCTCCAGGCCTCAGCAGCGGCTCGTTCCTGCCCGTCAGCTTGTTGAGTAGAGTGTACGCCAGCTTTAGGCTCCGGCTCCAAAGTTTTCCTAAAATAAAATACTTGCAGTGAGACTTAAGGACTGGTAATGGACATCTTAATGCAGCGATCAGAACAGCCCACGACACCCCGTGATTCTACTGCGGGAAATACAAGGGGTTTCCAAGGGATAACCTTTACGCACAGTGCTGGAATAGACTACTTTCTCTTGAAAACAACTTATTTTTTTTTTAACAAAAATAAAATGGGATTTCATCACAGAAAATTCAGCATAGAAACAAGCCACGTGGAAGGAGCTGGAAGGGATGCTCAGTGAAGCAGGAAGGAAAGCGAAAAATACCACGTGGGAACCTAACAAGACATCAGGAAAAAGACGACGAGGGGGGGAGTCAGAACAGGGGCAGGAGGAGCACAGGAGACTTGGGGCACGGTTCATGGGCGACGGGCTGCAGTCCCACGCATGGACAGGTGTGGGCAAGGAAGGCCGGGCCAGAGAGCGGGGAGAGGAAGGAAAGTCTCGGGCTACAGAGATAGGAGCTAAGACTCGCCCCGAGCTTCAGGAGGCCGCGCGTTCGGGGAGGCGGGACTTGAGGACACAGGACAGGTGGTGGATCGAGACATCCCAGCTGTGACGTTCTGCTCTGCAACAGAAGAGGTCAGTGGGCCAGAGGAGGACACGGAGCTCAAGATGCCAGGAAGAGAGCCCTGGAGCGGCAGAGGAAAGACACGGGCTGAGGAAGGGCTCTGGGGGCTCGGGCTGGGGCCATTGCAGCTCAGGGGCAGGACAGGCTTGCCTGTCCTCAGACACAGGGACCCTCACCAGCTGGACTTCGGCAGGAGGGGTACGCTGCGAGAGGACACAGTCCCGATGCAGGCGGGGATCTCCAAGACTGACACCGGTGTGGAGGTGTGGGGGTGGTCTTGGAAGGGGGCACTGCAGACCCCAGGCCGCCCCACAGCCAGCACCACTGGGCGTGGGGGCCACGCATAGGAGCGTACAGCTGAGAGGAGCCCGAAGTTGCCCAGGACTGTTCCCACTGGGGAAGGCGGCTCCATCTCAGAGAACCCCGGGGCCAGTCCCTGTGGCAGGTCCAGACATGCAGGGCGGAGGCTGGGCGGCGAGAAACCCAGCCCCGCCTGACAGCGGGCCTGCACCCACACCTCACGCTCAGCCATGGGGCACCCACCCAAGACACCGCAGGCATAGCACAGCCCGGGCCCCACTGTGCCGGGTGGACAGACAGGCCCAGAGTTTGCCCACACCTGCCCCCGACACAGGGTCACCGCTTGGGACCCGGGTGCATCCACACACAAGCAACCGGCGAGGAGGAGCGCCTCCAGCCTCCTGGCAGAGTGGGGACGAGTCTCCCGCAGTCAGAGGCCTGACGTGCTCAAGGGGGCCCGGGGCTCTGGGTGGAAGATCACAGCTGGGCTGACTGGCCCCAGTGCTGTGCCCACCGACCCCAGGGGGCTTTTGTGGACATTGACAAGCTGCCTCTAAAGTGACTTGGAAACACAAAGAACCAAGCCCAGGGCAGGGATCACTCGCGCCCAGACCCCGGGGCGTGCCAAGCCGCAGAGCTCAGGGGTAGACAGCAGAGACGGGCCCTGTCGTATCCACCTGACCCACCCCAAGAGTGTGGGCCAGGCTGGGGCCGCCCATGCACCTGGGCAGCAGGTCACCATCCACAGTGGCGCTGCGGATGGGGCAGCGTGGGAAGTCAGGCGGCGAGGCCTTCAGAGAAAAGCCTAAAGGACACCTTGGCAACCTGAGCGCCGGCTTCCAAGTCACTGAAGAAGGCAAAATAATGGGGTAAACAGGTTCACTTCAGGCTCCTCGCGCAGAAAGGCTCAGGACAAGGCCGAAGTCCACAGAGAGAAAGGAGATGATCACAAGGCACAGACCTGCCAGAGGATGCGGCTGGGAAGCACAGAAGGAATCACTGGGCTGGGCAAAGGGCCATCAAGGGCCTGGAACACTCTCGAGGAGGACATTCAAACGCTCCCAGGCCCAAGAAAAGCACCATGAGCCTCAAGAAGATGCAAACCAGCAAGGCCAGCCTGGGAGAGCAGGCAGCAGGCCCAGGACGCAGAGGGAGGCCGGTGAGGAGGCCACATTGTCTCTAGCAGGCCAACGCCCTGAGTCCGCGCCACAGCGGATGGCCCCCGGCCCTCCCTGGTGCAGGCCAGGGTGGCCTCGGTCCCACGCAGTGCGGGGCTCTGCCCGCCGCTCACAACCCAGATGAGCGGGCGGCCACACCCACCCAGGAAAGCGTCCCAGGAAAGCAGAACCTGAGCCGCAGACGCTGGGCGCATTCACACGGCGCCAAAGCCAGAGAAACGAGACCCAGCAGGCGGGCGGGCGGGCGGCCTGGGGCCCTGAAGCCGACCCGAGCCCAGAGCCCTGTGCACTTGCCGTAGGTGAGGGTGTAGACGGCCTTGCCCGCGGTGTCCAAGGCAGTCAGGCAGGGGGCTTTGGGCTGCGTCGCGCCCCACTGCTGCAAGGCGGCCAGCAACGATGGTGGTCTGGGGGTCCCTTGGACCAGGGGCTCCCCTTCCAGCACCGCCATCTGGCTTCCCTCTGGCTTTGGCTGATTGGGGTCTGGTTGGTGAACTATAAACAAAATCAAAATTTAAAAATCAGCATCTCACGGCGCAGTGCACCTGGTCTGCTTTTAGCATTTATGTTTTACCATTTTGTTTAAAAAACACCGATACAAAGGGTTACAGTAACTCGCTTAGACTTTCTCAGAGAAATGTGGCCGCCCAGTGAGCCGGGCCCAGGGCGGAGGCCGTGGGCAGCAGGTGCTGGAGAAGCAGGCAGCGGCTACCTCGGCGAAGGGGACAGTGAGACCTACCCGAGTCCAGGTGCATCTGGGCCCGCAACTCACCTGTCCAGCGGAGAAGCGCTCGCACCATTGAGCTCTGGTCTGAAAGGCGCCCGGTACATGGCGCTGTGGCGGGCGGGGGAGGGGTTGGGGGGTACTGCCCCCTCCCCACCAGTGGTGCACGCTGGGGGACGGCTAAGGGCAGGGGCCGCACTGCTGTCCCCGCAGCATCGTGCCTTTTTGTATTTCTTGGCAGTTTTCTCTTAAAAGGTAAATCTATATATTCTAAATAAGTATTTCATCCATAAACGAGAAGCTAATATTCTGAAAAACTCAGATTTAAAGTTTAGGTAAACATTTAAGCAACATAAGAAATGCAGCCTTGTAAGTGTCTCATGAAAACACTGGGCTGTCGGGGCGTCCAGGCCACGCTTCCCCCGCCCGCAGCCTCCGAGGTCCCTGACCTTCTAGCAGCTCCTCGGAGTCATCCACGAAGAACTCCTTCAGGGGCGGGCGCTTGGGCCTCTTAAGGGTGTTGAGAAGCTGCTGGATCTTGGAGGACACCCTGCTGCTCACGGGCACGCCTGTGGCGGGAAAAGCGGCTGACGGCAGCGCCCGGGGAGGCCCCACACCTGCTCCTGAGTGTGCCTGCACCCACAAGTACACCCAGCGCAGGCCCAGAAACCCCCGCTCTGGACAGGGCGGCCCAGGGACGCAGGCGGGGGTGGGGGGGTCCCACCCCCTGCAGGGGGGCTGAGGTCTTGCTGCTCCCACGCTGGCATCAAGGCCCATGGCCTCTACTGTCCCGTGACCTGCCCTGGAGCCTTCCAGCACACGCACGGCGAGGTCACCCAGACAAGACCCTGAGGCCCGGGCCAGCGCAAAACAAGTCCATTCTTCTCACTGGATGTTTCAGGAAGTTTTTTATAAATACATGCTACTTATGTTAAGAGGTAATGAGTTTATCATTATTTAATGAATTAAAAGTATTTTTAAAGCTTTTAACTTCGAATTCGGTGAGAACGAAGAGCTGGAACACACAGCAGCTGTCAGCTCTTTCTGGGGTTCAAAAATCACTAAGAGGGCCTCCCCGGTGGCGCAGCGGTTGAGCGCTGGGTTGCGAGGCTGCCCGCGGCCTCTGAGGCGCCGGTTCGATCCCCGGCTGCTCCCCGGCCACCAGAGGAGGGTCCCACATGGCGCGCAGACCTCTCCTGCCGCCCGCTGCTCCCCTCAGCAGTGTCCTTCGGTCCTTCTGCCTGCTCTGCTCCCCGCTCTGGCTCTGGTGAATTCTCTCACCCTCCCGCGCTTCTGACTGTACCCAGTGCATGTACGAACAAACAAATAAATAAATAAATAAAACATGCCTCTATAAAAAAAAAAAAAACCTTTATTTAAAAAAAAAAAAAAAATCACTAAGAAACCCTGTTCTGCCGGATATAAAATCGGCAAAAAGACAGAAAGCACCTCTCCCCAAACTCCCACGGGGGGGCCTCTGTCCTGAGGGGGGCCCTGCCCTAGGTCCCCGCAAAGCGGCGCTCCCCTTCGGCCTGGTGGTGCTGGGGCCCGGCCACAGGCAGGAGCTCTATCTGCTTCTGACGTCTCTTCAGGCTGCTCTTCCTGATTCTCATTTTTCTAGTAGCCACTGTCGCTGCTGCTGCTGCTTGTTCCTCAGCTCCCACTTCTGCAGTTTTCTTCTCCCCCCACCACTCATCCTACCACGCTGGCTCCTTCTCCCGCCCGGCCCCCAACCTCACTTCCTTTGTGAGTGGCTGGTCAGCCCATCCGCTGTGGGACTGTCCCGTATGTCTCTGGCGAGCTGACTTGCTTTACAATGTGAAACTCCCTACACCTCGTTCTGTCTTGCTCTAAGTGACGCCAATTCACTGACACCCTTGGGTGGGTGCCCCGGTGTGGGGAGCCATGCCCTGGCCCAGGCCTCGGCGGCACCCAGGCTGACCAGTCCTCGCTGGACTGAGCAGTGCTGCAGGTGCCGTGGGCACAGCTGTTGTGTCCACGGCCCACAGTCCACAGCAGAGCCCAGGGGCCGACAGCCATAGGCACCTGCATGTGTAGGTTTCTGAGGTAAATCCAGGTCATTTCCAGAATGGCAACACCGTTCACAATCCACGGGCGCCGGCCCCTCTGCCCTGGCCACAGGACTGTCCTCACGCCTTCCGCCTGCGCTCTCTGCGGGGAGACGGGCTCCGGGAACAGCGGGGCGTGGGCTGTTTTGAAATCCACTCAGCCAGTCTACGCCTTCACTGGCGAGTCAGGCCACAGACTCATTGTCTTTTGAGGGTTATTTTATATTTTTCTTCAAACAAGTGATCATTGATTAAAAATCTTTTACATCATTGTTCATTTTTTATTTCCAGTGCTTGCTTGCTTTTCTCAGGTGTAGTCCCCATAGGATTTCCACCAGCAGTTCATCCGTGCACCATCGCCACAGTCCCTTGTGCTCCTGCCGACCCCCCATGCCTCTCCCTCCCCCTCCCCTATAGAATGGTCCCAATTTACAGTTGTCTGTTTCATTTTGTTTTGTTGTTTTAATTATTATTTTTCCCCTGATCCTTTATTTGGTTCCCCTATATTCCTCCTATAGGTTAAACCATCTGATATTTTTCTTTTTCCTTCTGGCTCATGTCACTGAGCATCATCCTTTCTAGCTCCGTGTGTTTATCTTTTTGATGGCCGAGTAATATTCCATGGCGTATATAAACCACATCTTCATCCAGTCATCTATTTTTGGGCATTTGGTTGTTTTCAAGTCTTACCTATTATAAATAGTATTGCTATAAACATAAGGGTGGGGTTTTATTTTTTTAGTTTGTCTTTTTCTTTTTACTTCATGACATCCCCCTTTATGTTTTGTCTAGGTTCCACTGTCTTATGCTCTGCTTCTATTAGTTTTTATTTGGGGGAACGGCTGAGATCGGTGTGAGGGGTGGGGGCCAGCCCGGGCTGGCCATCGGCACCCCCCGCCCCCGACATACACACACACACGTAAGTGACTTGGTGTCTGGTGCCTATGAATTTGTTGTTGTTACTTCATCATAACCCACGTGCTGCTGGGAGCTTTTAGGTTTTGCTTTTCGGTGACCTCCTTTCCCTCCTGTCTTGAGTGCTCATCTTCGGGATACCCAGGCCAGCAGCTTCTTCTAGAAGAACTTTAACTCTCTCTGCCAGTCCTCTGTGCTGTGGTGTTTCTGCTGGGAAGTCGCCGACAGCCCGAGGCTGCTCTCTCCGGCCGCCCATCGCTGGCCTCTCCCGGGGCTGGCACATGTCTGGTGCTATTCGGCTTGGAATTGTCTGGACATCTTGGCTATGAATACCTTGTTCATTTCCCAGCTACAGAGGGTCCTCAGCAAGTATTTCTTTGAGTAAATTTTCTAAATCTCTCTTTCTTCTCCTTCTGGGATGCCGGGAGCCAGAAGTCATTTCCCTTGAGGGTTCCCCAAAGAGCTCTTACACCGTTCTCAAGCTTTGACAGTCTTTCCGCTCTGTCATCTCTTCTGTGCACCTGACACAGTGGTGGCCGCGCTGGCCACCTGTCGCTGGGGGGGCCCTGCTGCGTTTCCGCTTTGGCTCAGCGCTTTCGTCCTAAAGAGTAGTCCCTGCTGTGTCCCTGTCTTGCACAGTCTGCTGCGCGCGAGCTGAGCAGTGTGGTTGCGCCTGGAGCCCTGCAGGGCTGGGCTTCTCCGGGTTCTGCGGTGTTTGCGATGTGTCCCCCCCACAACCCCACCTGGACCCATCACGTCCTCCTCTTGCAGATTCCAGCAGGGGTGAATCTGAGTGGGCCAGCTTCAGACCCTCCTACAAACACATGGGCGAGATGCACATTTTCTTTACCCTGGCTCTTCAGGTATCTGCTGCCCACAGGGACAGTTCGAGGGGAATGGCACGGACAGGAGCCCCGAGCCCACTCCCACTGCATCCAGAGCAGAGAACCAGCTGCTCCGACTGCCCCACTGCCCAGAGCTAGGCTGGCTGTGCCCGCCTTCAGCCTGGAGGGCTTCGTCCCACTCCTCCCCATCTGACCAGCCCCACATGCACCCGGCCATCTCTACATACACGTCTCCATTAGGAACAGGGTCACAGGGGTAGCTGCCAGGCAGCAGTGGGTGCCACGGCTGAGGCGAGGAGGAGGGAGGCGCACTTACCTCCTGCGGTCTCCAGGATGCTCCTGCCGCAGCCCCGAGGGGCACCTCGCACTGCAGCCGCGGGGGGCCGCTCACAGGGCACGTGCTCTACGAGGCCCGTGGTGACATCAGGGGGTGCCACGCACAGACCTGCTTAAGAAACAGACCGGAAGGAGAGCGGCCGTCAGTGCAAACATGGAGAACATCAAGTACTTGCTTGAACCCCACTGCAGCAGGCGGTGCCCTCTCAGCCGAGCAGTTGGTCCGTGCGCCTGGCCAGCCTAACTCACCAGGGCGCACAGGACGAGGTGGCGCAGCCATGGCGGCTTCCAGCCAGCCAGGCCGTGGCAGAAATCCTCTGTCGTGAAGTAGAAACAAATTTCACATCAATTATTCCTGGACCGTTCTTGGTTACATGATAAGACAGATTCTACGCTTCTATAAATCACACCCTGAAAAGGTCTGAATGTCAGGGGGGCACAGACCTCAGCAGGCTCCAGAGAACGAGTCACAAGATAGACCAGCCGGGTGGAGCTCTCCACTAGCTCCCAGGGGAGCACGGGCAGGGCCCAGGGTAGGATGCCGGCGCCCCTCCGCGTCCAGAGGGCACATCCAAGCCGGCCGTGAGGGCAGGTCATGCGGCCTGCTCTAGCGCTGGCTGAGCTGCCACTGTCACACCTGACCAGGCTGGCAGCGCCCCGCACGGGCAGACCCCGCCACTTCGCAAGCAGCACTTACCCCAGGCTGAGTGCAAACCCGGGGCTCACGCACGTGCGTACCAAGATGAAGTTATAACACAGAACACAAATTCACTACCTGGCAGAAAACACTGTGTGGAGAGACCTAATTTTAATGACAATTTTCACATCCCTTGGAAACGCCTGAAGCTGATGAGAGCGGCCTGTGAAACCTGCGGGGCCTTCCCACTCGGAGCGAGCCCACCTCGCCCCGTGAATCCAGCAGAACTGAAAGCAGTTGGTAACGGTAGTCTTGGCAAAAAGGCAAGAATCTTGACCACAGTCTTGAAGATAACCAACATAAAATAAACTACATTCAAATTGAAAACCAAGTACCGTCACTAAAAGTACCGCTTCTAGATATTTATATTTGCGTCAAAATGCTTAATGTATTTGAGTTCCTTGACTCAGAACTGAAAATGATATTTTCGTAAATTACCTTTACCCAATATAGCGCACCTCAGATTTTTTACCTAATGTTCTCTCTTTTTCTATATTTCTATCCTTAGCCCAGACTGGAGATTCTCCGAGTCTTCTAGAAACCGAAACAAAGGACAATTTTCACAGGATGTAGAGAAAACTGGGTCTTTCTAGATTCAGAGGTTGGGTCACCTCCACCCAGCAAACATCCAGCAGTGGGAGCCACACCCGCCGCAGCGGCCCTGGGAAGAAGAGCCGGGCGGCCCTGCTGACCCACCTCGCCCCGCCCTGCAGGAAGGGGACACCTGCTCACCCACACCGTGCCGCCCACGCCGGCCCAAAGAGGAGACACACGCAGGGCCAAGGCCCTCGCTCCGTGCGGCCACATCTGTGGGTCCAGCAAGTTGCACCCTGCAACGGACAAGGGCACAGACCGGTTTCCCTGGAAGCCCCCGAGGAAGGACAGGGCAGCCACTCCCCTAGGGGCCGGGAGCTGAAAGGCACAGAGGCTGCGGAGGACAGACGAGGCCCCACAGGAGCAGCCCCACTCCGGCTCAGCGGAAAGCAGCCTGCGCCAGGGCCAGACCTAACCCCCTGCAGGGGTGGACCGGGCCGGCCACCTGCATCCTCCCTCCTCAAGAGGGAAGGGGCAAGATCTCTCCTGCCAGCTGCTTGTGCAACAGGGGGCTGGCCACGGCAGCCCCGTGCTGAGTGTACAAGCAGCAGCATCGGGAATGCCCCCTGGAGGCCTCGGCGAGGGCCAGCCCCAGAGGTGCCTACGTGTGTTCGCCACAAGGGTTCTCCTTTTGAGAAAACGGCGGAGCACCCCACAGCTTCAGGCACTTGGGGCTGGGAACCCACTCAAGGTCCAGGTGCAGCTGGCACCCGCCCTTGCGGTCCAGCCCTCAGCAACCCCCAGCCTGCGCCTCACTGGCCACCGCCCAGCCTCGGTCGGGCTGTCCCGCCGGGTGTGGTGGCCCTGGCTGTACGCGGAACACAAGGGCAGCGAGGTCATGGCGGCCCCCCATAACCCCAGGTGGGGACCCGCAGCCACAGAGCCGGCCGCAAACCAGAGCGTCAGAAATGACCTTTGTCACCAAAAAGGCTTTTTCCGGGTGGAAAAGAGAAGGTGGCCGCCGGGGGACAGGCTCCCTGGCCGCGGCGCTGCTACTGACCTACGTGGGCCCCGGGGCCAGCGGGCGTCCCTCCCGGGTGGGATGAGGTGGAGGATGCAGAGGATGAGGTGGACGAGCCCGGCAGGGCCCGGCCGAGCCAGGGCTCGGCGTTGGAATGGCGCTGGCGCGGAGCAGAGGAGGGTCGCCCAGGCGGCCGCAAAGAGCCCTCATCTTCCGAGGCGGACGACGTGTCTGCGGTCAAAATAAGGACGACAGGCATGATGTGGGGAGCGGGGAGGCCCAGGGCATCGGGCCAGTCAGGCCTCTGACCCTGTGCTGGGCCCGTGAGGTGGGGCATCCCCAAGGTTCTGGGCCTAGAAAGGCCAGAGAGCACGATCAGTGGGGTCTCGGGGCAGCCATAAAAACCCCGCAACTTCTGCGCCCCGTGAAGGGCCCCAGGCTGGCCAAGCCGAGCGCTCTGCGGGCGCCCTGCACTCCAGAGGCTGAGCTGCTGGAGTGGGCGGCCTCGGGGCACTGCTGCTCAAGGGGGCATGCTGAGGTGCTGGCCGGCGTCAGGGAGGCCCCAGGACAGCCCGCGGAGGCCAAAGACGACTCGGCCTGTCCCTGGAGGGATATGCCGCTGACACCACTCAGCGCTCGAGTGACCTGGCTCCAGGCTGGTACTGCGATCACTAGCCGTCACGGGTGGTGACTCGGTGCCACGTCGCAGACACATGGCGTCTCCCACTGAGGGCGCCGGGCCGGGTGAGGAGCTAGACCACTGGGCCGAGAGCCACACCGGGCCGGAGACGCTCGAGCAACAGCCTGCGACACCGCCCTGTGTGGGAGGAGCACCCTGGCAGGCGGGGCCGGAAACAGAATCACCCCAAAGCTCTAACACGGCTGAGACTTCACCAGTGAGCACCTCAGCCCCCCAACAGAGGCACACACAGCAGTTCAGGAGACACCACGTCCACGCACCACAAACACACCACACCCCTACACACAAATGCACACACCACACGCAACATATCCACACACCACACTCACCACACACACACACCACATACCACACACACCACACACACACCACACACCATATCCACACATACCACACACACCTTATAGCACACACACCTCACAAATAGACATCACATACACCACAGACACACCTCATACCACGTAGCCCCTCCCCCCACACACACACACACTCTCTTCATCTCCAGTTTCCCCAGATCTTCCCTACAGGTTAGAAGGGGATCCCCACCCGGGGGGGAGGGACGCCCCAACAGCACCTGGGGGCGTGTAGGCTTCCACGGACGAGTGCACCAGCGCAGACCGCCGCTTCGAAGGCATGGGCATCTTCCTCTCCTTGTATTTGGCCAAAGCTGCTTGCACGGCCTCCGTGTGGACATCTACAGAGAACAGACAGCAGCAGAAATGCTTTTTACAAGGTTGGTTACGAAGGAACTGAACTCGTCTAAACTGAGGTAACGTACGAGTCAGGCTGCCTGAGCCAGTCCTGACCATGGGGGCATCCTGACCACGTGCGACCCTCACAACTGCAGGGCCCAGCACCTGGACTGACCCTGAGCCAGGGCGAGCACACAGGGCCTCAGGGCCCAGGCGGGAGGGGCCTGCTCTAAGGTGAGGGAGGCGGCAGCCATCCGTGAGAGGAAGGCCTCACAGGGTCCTGGGTCCAAAGAAAATGCTCTTCGGAAGCCGCGTGAGCACAGGGATGGTCGGAACAAAGGAGTCATTACCCCCTGACCATACCATTATCTCCTGATACACACTCCTTTCAGAGGGAGGCCAAGAACAGGCGACACCTCAGTGCCAGAACATGTGGGCCGCAGACGGGTAACTGCATTGTTGAGCCCGCTTCCGTATGTTCAAACGCTCCTCCAAAGAAATGTCTTCTAAGACCTTTAAAACTCTACTGTGAAATGACTCACAGGTGCTCATGAGAAAAGATGGAAAATTCACGCCTAGGCACACTGAAACAAAACCTGCAAGCCTCCGAGGCAGCAAGGCCGCTCTCCAGTGCCCAGAGGAAGGGCCAGCCCACACCCGGAGGGGATGCTGGGCCCAGAGCCGCGCAGTAAGAGTGACCCCAGGGGAGGGGTGGAGCCTGGCGGCCACATCCAATCAAACAATCAGTAAGGCCGCTGGCCTGGCAGACACCCCAGGAGGATGAGCCGTGGCAGCCCTTGGCCCGCTGGACCCTCGGTAAGAGGGAATCCCAGGACATGGTGGCGGGCTGGGGACAGCACCCGCAGCCAGATGTGGTGCCAGCTGTAGACACCCAGCACCACACCCACGAGGGTGGATCTGGCACCTGGCGGAGACACGGAGGGGCAGGGACACCCCTGCCCGCTTCCCTGGCACAGAAATCAGGCTGGGAACCTTGGACTCGCGCCACGTGCTCACAGAGGAGGATGCAGGACTATGAACGGCAGGCAGGAAGCGCAGGCCAGTAGCTTTGCGACCTTGGGTTAGGCCAAGATTTTTTTGCATGTAAAAAACAAAAAACTGGCGCGCAGACCTCTCCTGCTGCCCGCTGCTCCCCTCAGCAGGGTATTTCATCAGTCTGGCTGTTCTGCTCCCCGCTCTGGCTCTGGTGAATCCTCTCACCCTCCCGCGCTTCTGACTGTACCCAGTGCTTGTATGAACAAATAAATAAATCTTTAAAAATAAATAAAAAACAAAAAACTGGGCCTCCCTGGTGGGCAGGTGGTTGAGCGCAGCACTGTCCGCAGCCTCTACAGCGCGTGTTCAACCCAGGCCTGCCGGAGAGAATCCCACATGGCCTGGCAGACCTCTCCTGTCTTGCCTGCTGCTCCCCTCAGCAGTGTATTTCGTCAGTCTGCCTGTTCTGTTCCCTGCTCTGTCTCTGGTGAGTCCTCTCACCCTCCCACTCATTTGGCCTGTACCTCTGTTCTTGTATAAATAAATAAAAATCTTTAAAAAAAAAAAGAAAGAGGGGCCTCCCCGGTGGCGCAGCGGTTGAGCGCTGGGTTGCGAAGCTGCCCACAGCCTCTGCGGCGCCGGTTCGATCCCCGGCTGCTCCCTGGCCACCGGAGGAGGGTCCCGCATGGCGCGCAGACCTCTCCTGCTGCCCGCTGCTCCCCTCAGCAGTGTCCTTCGGTCCTTCTGCCTGCTCTGCTCCCCGCTCTGGCCCTGGTGAATTCTCTCACCCTCCCGCGCTTCTGACTGTACCCAGTGCTTGTATAAACAAACAAACAAATAAATAAATAAATAAAGCATGCCTCTATAAAAAAAAAAAATTAAGAGTTAATGTTTAAAAAAAAAAAAGAAAGAAAGAAATGAAAAGATTTATTTATTTATGCATACAAGAGCTGGGGTACAGGCCAGAGAGGAGGGGGGTGAGAGGACTCACCAGCGACAGAATGGGGAGCAGAACAGGCAGACTGACTGAAATACACTGCTGAGGGGAGCAGCGGGCGAGTCAGGAGAGGTCTGCTCGCCATGTGGGTTGCTCCCTGGCCGGCCAGGGATCGAACTCATGCTGCAGAGGCTGTAGATTGCTTCATAGTGCGGTGCTTAACCCCTTGCACCACCAGGGAGGCCCCCTTTCTGGGTATTCTTAAAACAAAATGTCAATGCCATTTTTTTGTAACAAAAGTCTCCTCAGACAAGTGCAAATGGAAAGAGCGCGGCCTGCGTGGGGAGGGCCCAGCGGGCACAGCTGGGCTCCCGGGCACCACAGGCCTCCCGCTAGCCCAGCAGCATCAGCGGCTCTCAGAGCAGCAGAGAATACAATTAGGCGATCTCCAAGGCTAGAAAGACACTGAAACACATACACCATACGAAACCACAGCACCAGCCCCGGGGTTCCAGGTGGTAAGAAAAGGGGGGCACTGAGGAGAAGCCAGTGTGGCCGAGGCCACCCAAGCACCCCGACTGCGGAGCAGTCCCCGCTTCTCTGGAAAATGTCACCGTTCGGGTGAGATGTCCTGTTCCAGGGCAACCCCCACATGAAATGGGGTGGCCTGAATGTGGGTGTCACTCGCGGGTAAAGGGACTTGCAAGGAGGCTGAGGGCAGGTGCGCACGAAAGGGTGTGGAGGGAACTGACAGCAACAGCCAGGGAGACTGGGGAGTGCGTCCTGCCAGGCCCAGCACCCAGGCCCCCCAGGCTGTGTCTGGTTGCAGAAGCCTGGCTGTTAACTCCGCCCTCCGCTCCCAGCACCCAACCCTTGGGGTGAGACACTGTGGGATTCGTAGTCCTTGCTGTCCGGGGTCTCCCTGGCCTGGGGTGGGGGTGGGGCCTGTGACAGACCTGCACGGGGGGGTTCGCTCAGGACGCCCCTCCCCCGACCGGCTCCCCAGACTCCAGGTGGTGCGGGCACTGGGCCTACCTGAGCGGAAGCGCTCGTCCCGGGAGCTGGCGGGCCTGGGCTTCTGCGGTTGGGGCACGGCAGCCGTGGCGCGGGGAGGCCCAGGGAGCCTGCCGTCTGCGCCTGCAACAGCGGGACAGCACCAACCGGTGAGCGTCCGCCCTCGGCCACCCCAGCTGCTCGGCCCCGGCACCCTGGAGGCACAGGGACCCCACATGGGGATGCCCCTCCCGGCTCAACTCGCCCAGGGGTGGGCGGCTAAAAGCCCCTCCAGGTCCCCATCAAAGCCCCAGAGTCCGAAACGGCCATCCCTCCTCCAGGCCCCGCGTGGGTTCAGCAGGTCAGCGAGGCGCCCCAGCGGCCAGGGCCCTGTCCCCCGGCTGGGCAGCACCCTCAGGCCATGGCAGGAGGCTCGCGCTAGCCAGAGGCACATGCAGCCCGCACCGCCCCGGGGCCAACACCGAGGCCCAACGCGCGAGGCTTTGGCTGCCTGTAGGTTCTTTGATGCAACCAAGACACGAGACCCAGCGTGAAGCCACTGGCCGGCCAGACGCAACGGCGGGAGGCCAGACAGTGGCCACGGGGGCTCTTTCCCACACCCTTGCGCCCAGTTCTCCAGCTGGGCCAGAGCTGGAGAGGACACGGCTCACCCCAGTGTGCATCCCCGCACCTGGCAGGTGGGACTTGGGGCCCGCCACCTGCACCCCTCTCCCGTGAAGGCCTGGCGGGGGTGCCCAGGGCGGGCCGAGCAGCGAGGCCCCAGGCGCCTCGGCCGGGCGGCCTCCCCCCACTCCCTCACTCGCAGGCTGGCCTCCGGGCCCCGCTCCGGCTGCCGCCCCAGCCCCCAGGCCTCGCGGGGTTTACAAAGGCACTTGGAGCTTCGCTCCTTCTGAAGTCGGGGTGACCAGCGCATCCATCTCGGCGGCGGCCGCTGCTCTCCAGCGCCAGCGGTGGGAGAGCCCCTGAGCTGAGGGTGACGCTGCCCGCCCACCTCGGAAGCCGCCCCACAGCCCTCCGGTGAGCCGGCGCCGCCTCCGGCCCCGCGGCCTGGACGTGCCCGAGCCCACTGCCCAGGCCACCGCCGGGCACTGGCCTCCCCAGCCTGGCACGCGCTTCCATCTCCCCTGCGAGCGTGTCTGGATGCCTTGGGCTTCACGCTGAGACACACATTTCAGAATCCGTGTGTCACATTCCACAAGAACCGCGGCAACGACGCATGAGCCGGCGCTACAGTGAACGGAGGTGGGAGAACCGGCACCGTCACTAACACGCAGGCACGTGTCCCCACACGGCGACCAGGGACACGGGACGGCTCCTGCGGGGACGGGGCTGCGAGAGGCAGCCGTGCCTCCAGGTCCTTGGGGTGAATGTCGGGCGCCGCACCCACCAACTCGCCTCGGGAACTGGACGAGCAGGGACAGACCCCGCGAAGGGAGCCTGCGAAGGCACCGCCCTCACCTTGTGCGCCGGGCGCGTAACCTGCCAGCAGCTTCGCCCGTTTCTTCTCATACCCTTTTTGCGTGATGTCACCTGCAACAACGGGAAAAAGCGTTACTTCCCTTGAAAGCCCCAAGCCCTGAACCACACGGGAACTCACAGCGGAGCAGCTGGGGAGGGGCTGCTGGCCCCGCTCTGCAGGGCGAGATCTACTGCACGCAGAGATCCTGGAAGCGAACCCCTGGGTCAGTGTCCCCCAGGGCCGCCCAGAAACGCTGATCAGGCAGGACCAGGCGAGACCCGAGTCCACAGGTCCTGGACAGGCTCAGGCGCCAGCACATGGGGGCCACGCAGGAGGGCCCAGGAGGCTGGGAGGAAGAGCCGTGGTCCCCACGCAGCCCAAAGGGGGCCCCGACGAAGCCAGGAACGGGGCGGGGGCAGTGCCCCAGCCCAACCCCAGCTCTCGACAGGGCCGCAGCCGCTGGAGGCCTGCCCTGGCCGCACCTGGAGTCCACCCACAGCCGGTCTGAGGTGGCTGCCCTGTGCCGAGAGCTTTCTCGGGGAAAGGCCCAGAGGTCTGGGGGGCCTTCCCCTGAGAAAGCTCTCGGCACAGGGCAGCCACCCCAGCCGGACAGCCGCTGGGCCAGACCCTCATGCTCTCTGGCTACGGGCTGTGGCGCTAAGGCCAGCCTCTGGGTGGCTGGTGGCCACTCGGGCCTCCCGGGAGCCTCTGGGCGGCAGCGGCCAGTCCTGACCGAGCAGGCCAGGCTCCGAGCTCAGGCCAGGCTCTCAGAGCCCCACAGCTGGGCCGGCCCTGACCCCTGGGTGCGACAGCCCTGGGTGCACACCGTGTCCTGCCTGGCGGTGACTGCAGGACTCCGGAGCGATGCCAGCGGTGCGCAACTTCAAAGCACACATTCTGAAGGCAACAACCACTCATTTTTTTTCCTCCGGAATACATGAAATTAAGGCAAATTTAAATGAAAACTGAATATTGGCACACTAAGCTGAAACAGATACAGTACCATCTAGAAGCAGAACATTTGTTTTTCCCAGACATTTAAGTACCCATTTCCTGGAAATGAACGTTCCCGGCTCACGGGAGTGCAGCGGCGAGGACCCGGCGGGCTCGCCCCCGGCCGCACACACCCGCCCCAAGGCCCCGTCCCGCGCCAGCCACACACCCCTCGCAACCCCGCAGCGGCCATCACCACGTGCATCGCCCGGGGGCCCCAACAGCCGAGGAAACTACATCCAGGAACCCAGGGAAGAGCAACAGAGCCCACCCTGATCCGACGGCGGGACCCCAGGGTGCTCCCTGCTGAGCTCAGCTGGTCGGGTGAACCAGGCACCACCCTCTGGACATGCCTTCCCGGCCGTCTGCAGCGGGTCGTTCCCCGGAATCCTCCATGTGCGGCCAAGTTACGGGGCTCAGAGCGGCCCCCACCACCCACACCAAAGTCGGGAATCACACATGCAAAGCCCCGACCATCACCACGCCTGACTCGACAATGGCCTCTAAGAACGTGTCCACGACGCGCCTCAAGGTCACAGGAGCAAGAGGCAGTGGTCACCGGAAGAGCAAAGAACCAGGACACCGGGACGCCCAGCATGGGGAGCCAGCACTGTCCCACTGCGTCCCACAGGACCCCCCCGGGGCCAGGCCCACCCAGGCCACTCAGCACCCGCGTCCACTGACTCCAGCAGAGGCCCCAGACAAGACAACAGAGGTGACGCGCAAGACGGAGGAGATGGAGCCCCTGCTGGCCCGGGGCGAGCGCTCACAGAACGAGGAGAGGCGAGCCAGCGGACGGCAGAAACACGGCAGGGCGGCGCACGCTGCACCTCGATGACCACTTTGCCGAGAACGGCCCGACCCCGCCGGTCGGAAGAGGCCGCAGGGACCGAAAGCAGAGCCCAGGTCCTCCGGGGACACGACAGTCTTGCCAGCAGAGCCCAGCGCAGACCTAGAGTCGGAGGGCCACGGTGACTACGCAACCGAGAGCAGAGAGAGGCAGGAGCAGTCGTGTTTGATAAACTAGACTTTCACTGAGGAAAGTGAAAAGGGAGCACAAGGCTGCGATAAGCGCCGGCTGCCACGGGGGAAGCGCACTCGTAACACCCGCGCAGCAGGCGGTGCAGCCGAGGCTCCCGTGGCCATCGCTGAACCTGAGGGAGATGCGGGTCGTAACACAGCACCCCCCCGGGCCGCGATGCCCGCTCGCCACAACGGGCACGTCGTTAGACAGGCCACAAATGCAGAAACAAAGCTTCGCGTGAGGAGTTCGACTCCGTAGGCCTCCCGGGCACCTGCAGGGCACTGCACCCCAAAACTGCTGCATGCACGTTTTTTTCAAGTGCACATGGAGCACACTCAGGAACACGTCGTATCTTGTGACCCAAGTCAATTATCCACACAGAAGCTGAAACGGTACCTCGTACCTTCACGAACACCGTAAAACTAGAAATAACTGAGAAAAACAGCAGGAAAAACTATGACTACGTGGGGATTAAACAACAGCTGCTTTAATAGCAATTGGATAAAAGAAAACAAAAGTAGAATTAAAAAATACCTTGAGATGAATGAAAACGATGTTTCAGAATCTATGGGATGCAGCAAAAGCATCCTTCACGGGAAGACAATCGCAATGCAGGGCCAAATTAGAAAACAAGAAAAATCCCAAATAAACAACCTAATAGGACACCTCAAGTGACTTTATAAAGAGGCACAAATAAGACCTAAAGTTAGTAGAAAGAAGAAGATAATAAAAATAAGAGTGGAAAAAAATAGAGAACAGAGAGATGACAAAAATATTGAGGAAACCAAGAGCTGGTTCCCAGAGAGATAAACCCCCAGCGGGGCCAAGGAGAGCTCGACAAACAGAGCCAGTGAGAGGAGAAACCCTACAGACAGTGGGAAGGACAAAGACTGCAAGAGGCGCCTGGGGGTGAACAGGGGCGGGGGCCGACACACTGCACCGGCAGACCCCAGGAAGGGCAGAGGAGCTCAGCCGGCCCACAGCGCGGAAGCCAAAACAGCAAAAGAAATTTTCCAAGAAGCAAAGCCCAGGACCAGGTGGCTCACAAATGCCTCCTATCAAACTTGCGGAGAACCAATGCCCACCCTGCTCAAACTGTTTTTAAAAATATAGGAAGGGGGGGGCCTCCCCTGGTGGCACAGGCGGTTGAGCGCCACGCTGTGGAGCTGTCTGCAGCAGCGCCGGTTCCATCCCGGCCGGCCGGTTCGAGGGTTCCAAAGGGCGCAGCAGACCTCTCCCGTGTCCCCGCTGCTCCCCTCAGCAGTGTACTTCGTCAGTCTGCCTGTTCTGCTCCCCACTCTGTCTCTGGTGGATCCTCTCACCCTCCTACGCCTCTGGCCAGTACCCCAGCTCTTGTATAAATAAATAAATAAATCTTTTAAAAAAATACAGAAAGGGGTCCTCCCTGGTGTCCTGGGGAGTCAGTCTCAGGTTGTCACCGCTGCGGCCTGAGTGTGATCCCGGCCAGGGAGTGACCCACAGGGTGCCCCAGACCTCTCCTGTCTCCCCGCTGCTCCCCCTCAGCAGTGGATTTCAGTCAGTGTGCATGTTCTGCTCCCCACTCTGTCTCTGGGGAATCCTCTCACCCCCCCACCTCTGGCCTGTGCCCCAGTTCGTGCATGCATAAATAAATAAAAATAAATCTGAAACAAAAATTTTTTAATTCCTTCTTTGACGCATGTGTTCAGAAGTGTTAAAAAAAAAAAAATTAATCTGCAAGTTATCCAGGGACTTTCCAGCTACCGTTCTGTTAGTGATTTCTGGGGTGATCCCACTGTGGCCCGAGAACAGATGCTCTAAGGTTCTAATCTTTTTTTTTTTTTTAAGATTTATTTATTTATTTATTTACACAAGCACTGGGTATGGTCAGAAGCGCGGGAGGGTGAGAGGATTCACCAGAGCCACCGCGGGGAGCAGAGCAGGCAGACAGACGAAGAAATACACTGCTGAGGGGAGCAGCGGGCGGCAGGAGAGGTCTGCGCGCCATGTGGGACCCTCGCCGGTGGCCTGGGATGGAACTGGTGCTGCAGAGGCTGCGGGCAGCTTCGCAACCCAGCGCTCAACCGCTGCGCCACCGGGGGAGGCCCAGGTTCTAATCTTTTAAATTCGTAGGGCGTGTTTTACGGCCCAGAGTGTGGTCTGTCTTGGAGGAGGCACCATGTGGCTTCATCTGATGTTTCCCGAAGCTAAATCAAGGTGCCAGGAGGCCAGGAAGCCCTCCCTGCCGGCACCTTCTCCCCAGGGCCCGCACCCCAACCAGGCGCAGTGGCAGCTCTGCCCCTCGCCTGAGGGCCCCAAGGCCAGACAGCTCATCTCTGGCGTCTTAACTCAATGGCATCCGCAGAGACCCTTTTCCGACAAGGTAGTGCTGTCGGCTTTGGAATCACGCCCTGAGTTCTCGGCTGAGTAAGTCCCCTTCTGTGGGCTCTGCGGTCCCTCCCCTCAGGGCGAGCGCCCCTGAGAAAAGTGGCGCTGAGCCCCCAGGGCCGGCATACCCATGTATTTGGGGGGTAGCTGGCATCACCCCAGTCCCATCCTCTCCCTCCAGGCGCATCTGGGGGACAGCAACCCAGGGTGAGGGCTGCGAGACCACACCTCCACAGTGCCCGTGCCCAACGAGCAGGTCAGGGGGGCTGGATGGGCCCTGCACCCCGTCTTGCCCCTGTTGGTCCACACGAGACCCCACCTGGCCTGGGCACCAGCCTCCTCAGCAGAGCGGCCCCACCTGGCGCTGCCCGCAGCCCCTTCCGAGCACAGCCAGGCCTCTCCCCCTGGGGCGTCTCCTCCGCTGATCATAGTGACAGCCCGTTTCAGCCGCAGCCCCCTGAGGCGTGTGGGAGGTCGGATGTCCCTCTTGGGTGGCTAGCAGGGTGGGCTCAGGGGAGCCCCGCGTCTCCCAGGCGAGCTCCTTCCCGCGCCCGCGCATCCTGGCCCAAGCGCTGCCCTCGCACCACCACCGCCCGCCGGCCCCGGAGGCACCATGGGTCAGGGCCGCCTCAGGTTGGACACCCCAAGAGATGCGGTCTCCGCGCTCGCCAGCCCGGCCCTCCCGGGCCCCCACAGCCCCACCACCCTCAAGGAACCCGAAGCTGCCGTGGTCAGCCGTGGTCAGCTGTGGTCAACCGTGGCCAGCCCAGGCATTGGCTGGAGACGCTGGGGCAGGCTCCACACACCTTCCTGGAAATACGCGAATGACAGGGGCCCACCGAAGCCTGCGGGGGCGAGGGGGGGCAGGCGCTGAGGACATCGAGATCATGCTCCTGGGGTTCTTCCGGAAACCCACAAAGCGAAACTCTGTGATGAGGAAAACACCCCAGGACGATGCGCCCCGAAGCGCAACCGCCCAAAGGGACACGCCCAATCTGCGACGCGGGTGCGCCCTGGGGCATCGTGCGCAGCCGTGTGGGCCCCTCGCTTGCGGTTGGGGGGCCAGTCCGGAGGCCACGGGGCGGGGGGCGCCCTGGGGAGCCGGCCGGACGCCCTGTCCAGCGGCCGCTTCGAGTGTGACAACGCAGTCTGTGCGGCGACGTCTGCCGTGTGGGAAACCAAACCTCAGGTGTTTTAAACGCTGGGTTCATTTTCAGAACCTTGGATTTTAGCATCTTGTAAAAGCCCGGACACGAGCGCGTCATCCCCACAGAAAGAAACAACGTTCACAGCCCAGAACGCTCGCGCCGGCGCCCTCTGCTTCTGCAGCCGAGCGGCTGGGCCCGGCCGGGCAGCGCGGGCAGCACAGACATGCTCCACCGCCCTCGGCCAAAGCAGGCAGTGGCCTCTGCCACAGCGCCCCACTGCAGGGCCCCGGGGGCCGGGGCTTCTCCGGCCGGCCCAGCTCTGCGCGCCCACCCTGGGCGTCGGGACCCCCAGGCCCAACATCCCGACAACACCGGCCCGAGGAGCGCCCCCCACCCCCCGCCCAGACCAAAACTCACGGCCACTAAGGCCACCCCGACCGCGGCACCGAGCTGGGGGTCAGAGACCTTTCAGGCCCTGCTTTCTGCCTGCGAGCGGGACACGGCCCTCGCCCAGCCCGGGAGTGACCGCTCAGCCAGCTCCCGCTCCCGCTCCAGCACCTCCCACGTCTGGCCGCCCCCTTCTCCCGGGAAGGGTTCCCCGAGATGCCAGCGTGCAGCTCAGGCCGCTGCCCTGCACCCCAAGCTGCGCCTCCAGCCCAGGTGCGGATGCCGTCTTAGTGCTACTATGGACCCCGGAAGGGTCCCCAAACGGTCTGCGGCCCCAGGCTCCCTTCAGTAAAAGAGGGGGCCGGCAGCCGCCTCCCGGGAGGCTTCCCCACACAGTGCCCTGCTGGGGGCCTTGTGACCAGCCGGGATGACAGGGCCACACCGAGGAGATCAGGAGCGCAGGACGGGGCTCCGGAACAGGGAAGGGGGGACAGCAGAAGGTGGGGACCGCAGGGAGGAGGGGAGAGCACACAGGATGGGAGCGGCCATGCGGGAGGGGTGGGGCAGCGCTGGAGGGGAGGGGGCCGCGCCCAGGGAGGCTGGGGCGAGAGGTGTTTGGGGGCTTGGGGGCAGCACAGTTTGGGAAGGACAACCTGGACACTGGGGGGGGAGGGGGGGAGGGCCAGGGCGGGCTTTTGAAAACTGAGAATGTGTCGCAAATTCTAGACATTCAGGACGTTTCAGGAGGAAGACAGCTCTGTGGCAGAAGCGCCTCCCTCGCCCAAGCTGTGACCCCGGGCGGCGCGGTAGCACAGGGGAGCGGCAGGAGTGGCCGCGGGCCTCGAGGGGGAACAGGCTTGCGAGCAGGGCAGAGCTGGGGTGCCCAGCAGCGGCGGGATGACCGCTTTCCAGCCAGGGTAGAGCTGTAAGCGCCTCGCTTTCACCTGCAGACACTCTCGGGCTTGAGACGTGGATCTGGCCCTCCGCAGTGGGGGGAGGCGGGGCCGCCGCTCCCGGGCACCCTCATCGGAACGGGAAACCCTGATTCAAGACGTGCAAAACTGCCAGGAGGTGCCCGCTGTCTCACTAACCTCCCGTCCAGAACAGGGCACAGCCGCCCGAGACGGGCGCTGGGCGGAGATGCTGGGCCAGGACCAGCTCAGGCAAGCCCCCCCACACACACACCCCCCAGCAGTCTCACCGGGAGGCACTGCCTGATTCCCAGGCAGAAGCGACCCCTCCCACAATGGGGCGGAGGCGGGACCCCTGTGGGGCCCAGGCTCCTCTCAAGGTGGACTGCGGGGGGTCCTTCCAGCAGGCACCAGGGTCATCTGCCGGGACATCACTGGACACGCCAGGCCCAGGCCAACCACTACCCACTGAGTGGCATTGGCATTGGGGGCCAGGCTGCCCAGCCATTGCCCAACCTGTTGGAGCCAGAGTGGGGTGTCTGGTCAGGCAAGGAGCTGGGCCTGGCCAGAGCCTGGGCACCCGCCTCCTGGGCTGCCCCAATGCCAGTGCCCCACGCAACTCCGCACCACCCCCCCCCGCCCTCTCCGGGGGAGTCACACCTCCAGCTCCCACCCCATAGGGTGGGGCTCACTGACCCGCACCCCTCCTGTCTAACCAGAAAAACAGACCAGCAGCAAGACGGCCTCTCGAGGGCCACCTGTGCAAGGGGGAGGACAGCCTCCCGGCCTCCAGTGCCTGGCGGCCGCAGACAGACGGGAAGGATAAAGGACACGAGCAGAAACCACGGACATCAGCGAGGACACTGGACGTGCAGAGTCCACGCTGTGTCACGCGGTCCTGGTGAGGACCCCACGGGCCAGGGTGGGGTCCCCTCGCGCGTGACTTGGGGTTTTCAGGCTTCGCCACAGCGTCACCAAGAATCCGCAAATCCACCCATTTCCTCGTGCACTTTTTAAAAAGTGCCAGTACCCCCAAAACTTTTAAGACTTTCAATGTTGAATTAAAAATAGTGGAAGTAGGTCACGTCTTAGCGCCTAATACAAAGAGCTGGGGCACCAGCCTGGGCGGTGGCCAGGCTGCGAGGGGGCACAGGCCGGTCCCCCACGTTCTCCAGCCCGCCCAGAACCGCTGCCCCCCCAGGGAGCGAGAGGAAGGAGACTGCGAAATGGACCCAACGCTGAAGACACTCGCAGGTCCCCGCACAGAGGGAAAGACGGGACGCCTTCCTCAGGGGGAGGCGACCACTGCCTGCCCGGGCACGCGCCCCTCAGCCAGATGGGCACCAGCGCCCCCGGCCGCAGCGCCGCTCCCCACTATCTCCCAGGCACGGGGCGTGTTGCTTTGTTTCCGCGGGGGCTGAGCAGGGGGTTCTCGAGCTGCCCCCAGTGTGAGGCGCTTGGTTTCCGCCCTCGAACCCTCCCGGGGTGCCCGGGTCGCCCTGCGGCAGGAGGACACCGCGGGGCCCGGGCGCCAGGCCGGCTCACTGGGCGCCCCGAGGTGGCGGACAGGGGCCCGCCAGGGCCCCCCCCCCGGCCCCCCCACCCCGGCCAAGCTCGGAAGGGCACAGCCACCAACAGGGGCCCGGGCCCATCCGTCTGGCGCGGACGTGGGGGACCCCAAGGCCCCGGGCGCGGCGGGGCGGGCGGCCCGGGGGTGCGGCCGGGCTCTCCGCGGCGGGCGGCGGGGGTCGGGGTCGGGGGCGCGGGCGCCAGCCGCGGGGCGCGGGCGGGGCGCGTCCGCCGGGGCGTCGGGGGCCCGCGGGCCCGGGGCGCGCTCTCGGGGTCCCGGGCGGGCCCCGCGCTCACCTTCCGACAGCTCCAGCTCCAGCTCGGCCAGGCTCTCCCGCAGCTCCGCGGGCAGCGGCGCCGCCCCCGGCGGGCCCCCGCGCTCGGCCATGGCTGTGCGGCCGCGCCCTGGCGGGCCGGGCTACGTGGCTGGGGCAGCGCCGCGGGGCAGCCGCCGGGCCCGCGGGGCGCGCGAGGGGCGCGGGAGGGGCGCGGCTCCGCGGCGGGCGGCGGGCGGGCGCGGGCACGGCGCGGGCGGGCGCGGGCACGGCGCGGGCGGGCGCGGGCACGGCGCGGGCACGGCGCGGGCGTCCCCTCGAGCCTCGCCGCCGCCCCGCCCGCTCGGCGGCCCTGGAGCGCGCGTGCGCGGCGGAAGGGCGGGAGGCGCGCGCGCAGGCGCAGACGTGGCCGAGCCCAAGGCGCGCTCCCGGGCCGCCCCGCCCCCCCGCCCGCGCGGGCTCCGCGCCTGCCGCGGGACCGGGCCGCGTCGCTCGGGCGGCCGCTGGACTGGCGGGAGCGCGTCGCGCCCGAGAGGCGCTGCGGCGGGGACGCTCGGCTCCAAGCCCTGAGCGCCCCGGAGAGTTAGGGTTCCTGAGGCGGCGTCTGCGGCCTCACACTCCTGTGCAAAGAGGGTCTGCCCAGCGGCGGGCGGGTCCTGAGGGGGGCTCCCGGCGGCGGGCGGGTCCTGACGGTCGGCCCCGCATTGGCCAGCTCCTCCTGCGCGGGTCCCCATCACCTGCGAGGGTCCCCATCACCAGCGTGGCCCCACTGTTCTGAGGCGCCTCCTGCCCAAGCTGGAGGGGGCCGCACCTGGGAGGGCAGAGCCCCCCCACGCACACACAGGCACCTGCTAGGAAACAACCGAGCCCGGGGCAGCGCCCTCTCCCAGGCTCAGAGGTTCCCGCGGGCCCACAGGACTTGGAGGACAGCGGGGATCCTGGCGGTCCCCCGGCATTCTGGTGGGGTGCGGCCGCCTGGCCTGGGGCCACCGCCAACCGGTTCATGCGGGAACAGCTGGGCCCTGGCCACCTGGCCCTGCCTCCCTTCACAGCAGCAACAGCGCAGCCTTCTCCGCCCTCTGCCGGGCCTCCCCCCAGGACCTCCCTGGCCCTGGAGTCTGAGGGCAGGAGGCAAGATGGCAGCGGAGCGGGTGACCGCGGGGGGCGCTGGCCGGAAGGTAACCTGGGAGTCGGTGTTCGCTCGCGCTCAACCGAGAGGGCGTCAGGCGCCTTTGCCCCCAAGGGTGCCGGAGGGGCCCTGATCTCAGCTTGGCCTCAGTCTCCGCTGGAGAAACGTCCTTCCTGCCCGCCCCCCTCCCTGGGCCTGACGGGCCACGCTCCTGTCCGGGGAAGTCCGGGCCACTCGCTGCGTGCCCTGCAGGCTTCTCTCGGCCACCCGCCACCCGCCAGTCAGGTGCAGGAGGGACCCACTGGCACCAGAAGAGCGATTTACCCGCCGCGTCATGAAATTATACCCTCTGTGTCGACCGTCACGTCCTGGTTCCTGAAACCTGGAGATTCCTGTCTTATCACAACACCCTCCCTTTGCCATGCCTGGGTTTTTGCTCAGGTGACTTGTAAGGCTCCCACATGGCTTCAGGATGGGGACCGGCAGCAAGAAGGGAGCGACCGGACATTGAGCTCCGGAATCACATGGCGGTGATCACGAGCACGTGACTAAGCCTTGATAACTGGTTTGGAGACTCCCCGGCTGGTGTGTACCCCACCTGGGGAAGCCGCTCTCATGCCACCTCCATACCTGTCCTGGGCATCTCTTCCACTCGGCTGCTCCTGAGTTAGAGCCTTTACAATATGCTGGCAATTGAAGGAGGGCTCTCTGCAGAGTTCTGAGCCATTCGAGCACATTACCAGCCCCGAGAGGAAAAGCAGTGGTCGGGACACAACTTTGGGTGAAATCCAAAATGGCCCCACATGTGGAGGGTTGACGAGACGGAAGAAAGAGCAGGTTTAGCAGTCCAGGGGACGGACACACAAGGCTTGTCCAGGGCGCCTCTGCCCACACCTACCACAACCCTAAGTTGTTTTTGTTTTTTTTTTTTTTGAAGATTTATTTATTTATACAAGCACTGGGTACAGTCAGAAGCGCGGGAGGGTGAGAGGATTCACCAGAGCCAGAGCGGGGAGCAGAGCAGGCAGAAGGACCAAAGGACACTGCTGAGGGGAGCAGCGGGCGGCAGGAGAGGTCTGCGCGCCATGCGGGACCCTCCTCCGGTGGCCGGGGAGCAGCCGGGGATCGAACCGGCGCTGCAGAGGCTGCGGGCAGCTTCGCAACCCAGCGCTCAACCGCTGCGCCACCGGGTAGGCCCCAACCCTGTTTCTATAGAGGCTGTTCCAGGGTCGGTTACGTGTCCCATTCAGATGGTCTCAACAAAACGTTGCTCTCATGGTTGCGTCCTTGAAATGTCTCCTAGTGTGAGAACGGCCAGCAGAACATCAAGTCCAAGGGCAAAGGAGGGTAAGGAGTTGGGAATGCCTGGATCCGGCTCAGGGGCCAGCCAGTGGTCAAATCCTTTGATGACCTTCAAACCACAGCTCAAGGATTAAATTGTTCTCAGACCCTAGAGCCCAAGCAAGATAAAAAAGTATCCAAACTTTTGAGGTTTGCTCTCACGAAGGGCAGAGCCTAAAAGCTCTGAGCATGTACAGATCAGATTAACCTTGAGTCGAGTCCCAAGATGGCCAAAGTCGGGGTGGTGGGGGGGCCCACCAATAGAAATTTAAGACTCCCGTTATCTGGGAAAAACAAAAACCTTCATAATTCTTGTATGGGCTGCCCTGTAACTAGCCAGTGACCTTCAACCAAGTCCACATTTTCTTTGCTTTTCACCCACTCCTTAGTTAATAAGAATGCTTTCTTTTCAATCTTGGTCCTCTGAACCCCTTCTCCCACCTAGAGGGAAGCAAATTTAAGTTTTTTCTCCTGCTTCCCTGCTCATCAACTTGCAATACACTTTCTTCTCTCAAAATTCTGATGTCTGGCCTCCCTGGTGGCGCAGGCGGTTGAGCGCAGCACTGTGAAGCCATCTGCGGCCTCTGCAGCGCCAGTTCAGATCCCCGCTGGCCGTGGAGCAGCCCACATGGCGCAGCAGACCTCTCCTGGCTCTCCCGCTGCTCCCCTCAGCAGTGTATTTCGGTCATATTCTGTTTCCCATATTCATATTCTGTTTCCGCTCTGTCTCTGGTGAATCCTCTCACCCTCCCACACATCTGGCCTGTACCCTGGTTCTTGTATAAATATAAAAAAAATCTTTAAAAAAAAAATTCTGGTGTCATATTTGACTCATGCATGTTGGCAGTAAGTCTCCTGCTCAGTCACCTCCTCACCCAGGTGCGAACCCCCAAGTTACTGTTGGCCAAGCAAAGTGTAGGTAGCCCGAAGACCCCACTTGATGTTTAAATTGGGGCCTGTGCTGACTTTGGGTCATGTCGGGAATGCATTCCAGGATGCCAGCTGGTGCTGGAGAATTGGTATTGAAAATGACCTGAGACCAACTCAGGAGGTCAGGTGGGCAAAGCAAGCTGCATGAACACATACCTCGGCTTCCCATGACATCGCCCTTGAGTTGTTCCCCTCGAGCTACTCCTGCTCTACATATGGATTTGCATTTCCTGCCCCAAACTTGTTTGTGGGCTGCCCACATATTGACCACCGCTGCTCTGACCAGAAGCTCTTCTCACAGCAGGCGTGACCATAGGCTTATGACCACAGAGTTTCCCGGAAGTGGCTAGATTCACCCCAAGGACAGTGGAAAGTCATGCCATTTAGGGTGCCACTGCTCCCACAACCACAACACATAGCCCAGGCCCCCCAGCTGGCGAAGATAGGAAGGGCCTCAAACAACCCCTAATCCCTGAAGGGCTCTTTGCTTTTCACATCCTGTGACACCGGGCTCTGCTGTGTGACGGGCAGCTGTTTCAACCCAGTAGCAGAGTGAAGACTGAAGCAGCAGCAGGGAAAGGGGCTACTTATTGGCTGCTGGGATTGATACCAGTCACGGAGGGGAAACTGGATAGGCACCCGGGAGGGCAGGGAGATCTATAATCTGGTGTCTTCACTGGGCACCTCTTGGGACACAGTACTTCCAGGTTTAATTGCAGAGGAAGAAGGAAAAGGAAGTCCTGTGAAAACAAAACTACTAACGTCTCAAATCTTTCAGAAAGTTTAGGTCACCCAGTCAGCCAAGACGCTGGCTGAAGGCCGGAGAACAAGGGCTGGGAGACAGAAGCCCGAGGGAGTTGGCAGACATCAGAGGCCTGTGACTGCGTAAACAAGGGGCGCACGGAGCCTTGCTTTAGCGCACGCCTTGGATGTCTTTGCTTTCACCTCCCTGTTGTGGGGGTATCCGGTCCTGACATCTGTGTTCCCTGGAGGGCCAGCTGGTGATGGGACACTCCCGGCCTGGGGTGGGGAAAGGCTAGCGCACGCACTTTCCTTCTTACAGAGTTGCCGCACAGCGCCAGGTGCGTAAGTCCCATTTTGATAAACATGGGTGAGAACAAATGCTGAGTAGCCAAGGGGGTGGTCATGCCACCCCTGGCGGTGCCTCTCAGCCCAACCCTCGTCTGCGTGCGCCACTTCTGCAGGGACCTGTCCTGGCTCAGGTCCCTTGTCCACTTTCACTGACAGAAAGGCCAACGCGGGTGCTTCCTCACTCGGCTGCAGGCAGTGTCTTGCCGCAGACCAGCTCAGCGGTGGCGGGAGATCGAGACAGTCTCAGGGTTGAGTGAGAACGAGCAGAAGGTGGTCGAAGGAATTAGGGCGAGGGACAAGAAAGAATGACACACAGACACACTCAAGGGAGAGTGAAAATCTGAGTGTAGTTTGCTCAAATCATTACGCATATTTATACATTTTCAAAAGGCATTAGGTCACACAAAATCTATTTTCCCAGCATAACAATGTTTCTTGTTACCTAGGCATAGAATACAATTTTCTAGCTAATAGTTTACAAGTTGCTAAGCATATGTGGTTACATTTCCTGAAACTGATTTTTACATATATAGAAAAAGTCAGGTAAGAAAATTAATTATGGACAAGTTGCTAAGTTACTACTTATTCAGAAACAATGATTAACTGGTTAATGGTTAAACTGCTTTGTAGGTAATTCCATCAGGCTTGTTTGTAGGCAACGCTCTCAGCAGCCTTGTTTTCAAGCAAAGAAGGGGTTTTTTACTGCAGGCTTATTGCCTAGATTGGGCTTATAGGCTTGTAGGCCTTGTTTGATCTGAAGCCCCTCGGGGACTGCGCCTGTCTTAGGTCGTCAGGAGTCACAGACATGAGGCCGGCCAGTGCCTTCTTTAGTCTGCCCCCGATCTTACCCGTCATTGACTGTCCAGTCCAGCGCACAGGGGAAGAGGGTCTTACGTACTCTATTTGTGAGCATCCACAGTACAGCCACTCTTTATTTCATCCAATTACTGGCGAGCAATGGTGGCAACAGTGGCATTGCCAACCATGGAGGCAGGAGCTGCCACAGTGTCTCCTCGCACAAGCGTCTCTAGGGGTAGGCTGCCCCGTGTCAAAGCGACAGCCCCACTGACTCCTGCCCCCAGGGAGCAATAGCTTCTGGCTCCATCCCTGGGTACCTTCCGCACATCCCTCGTGCCTCAGCTCTGCCAACATCAGCATAATCACATCCTTGTGTTAAATTCCCCGTTTGAAAACCCAGCAGAATTTGCTCGCCTGCCGGGGCTCTGGCTGATCGTGTCCTACATTAACGTGTTCTGGGCCAGACTTCAATTTGGTCATGACATTTTTTTCATCTTTCATTGTGAAAATACTCAAACAAGAACCAACCATACGCTCACTGGGTTCAATGTTTTAAAAAGACTTGCCATTCTGCCTTAATCCACACACGTGGTGTCTGTGGGTGTGTGTGTATATGTGTCCCCACAACAGTCAGTTCCAAGCAAACATTACAGGTCCCTATCATTAAACAATTCAGCCTACAAGGCCTAAGAAAAGCAGTTCTTACATAACCATTATCACACTTAAGAAAATGAGTAATTCTCCTAAAATCTATTATCCAATTATTCAAAAAAGTCTTTAGAGCTGAGCCCCCATTTAGGAACTTACTGAATTTTACACATTATATTCCATTTTGTTCCTTATTTTTTTGTAACCTAAAAAAGGCTCATTTTTCTCTTCCCTGACGAACACTGTCTATCTGATAAAACTAGGCCACTCATTTGCAGAATTTCCCAGATCTGTCTTTTTCCTCATGGTTTCCTGTAATTTGTTCCCCATTTAAAACTGGGCATATGGGGCCTCCCCGGTGGCGCAGCGGTTGAGCACTGGGCTGTGAAGCTGCCCGCAGCCTCTGCAGCGCCGGTTCGATCCCCGGCCGCCGGTGAGGGTCCCACATGGCGCGCAGACCTCTCCTGCCGCCCGCTGCTCCCCTCAGCAGTGTACCTCGGTCCTTCTGCCTGCTCTGCTCCCCGCTCTGGCTCTGGTGAATCCTCTCACCCTCCCGCGCTTCTGACTGTACCCAGTGCTTGTATAAATAAATCTTAAAAAATTAATAATAAAACTGGGCATACGTATAGGAGACTCTACATTCACGTAGCATCGTGCTGGGGACCCCAAATATGGGGCGCGAGACAGCAGACCTGAGGTTTCTGTGGTGGGAAGTCCACCTGGGTTGATGAACTTCAGCCCCAGCTGATTGCTTCTTGGGGGGCTGCAGAAGATGGTTCTCTGATGACATGGTTTCCTCCCGATGAGTAAGCTGCTGCCTTTCTGTACGGATTTCCCAACATCGACAAGGGTGCCTGCCTCTCCTCCACGAAAGGCAGGGTGAGCGCCTTGCTCTCTGATAGCAATGACCAAGGCAGCCTGGGAGACAGTCCTCCCCCTGGGCTCTACGTGGGCCCTGCTGCTTCAGCTCAGCTCTGGCACGCACGACTCTACTTGGTATCAGTCACCAATTCAATCGTGATGTTGTGGGCGCCGAAACTAGACACCTCAAGGTAGTGCTGCAGGACATGGTGATGTTGTACAGTATTATTGGCACAGAAGGTGAGACACATGCCAGCATTGTAGGCGGAAAGAAAAATCTATCACCAAAAAGCAGCAGTTATTCAGAAAAAGTTGTTTTATATTAAAACCTAAGCCCAGCAAAAAAATAACATGGTCAAGAGTCCTACAAACACGCTGAGACACAGATCAATATACCTAATGGCAGGTTTCTGGGTGAAGGGTAACTGCCAGACACTAGCCCCAGCAAAGAACGTCTGAACTATAGAAGACTGAGATCACGAGCGGCAGGTGGCGCGCGCACAACTAACACAGGGCGGAAGGAAGAGCGAGCGTAGGCTGCGGGGTGTCTGCCGTGGGCAGGGAAAAAAAGCTCTGAGTTCTGTGGAAAATTTTAACTTACAGGAATTTCATGTAAATTCTAAACCTGTATTTTTTTTTTTTTTTGCCACTTATGGAAACAAAGTAGACAAAAGTACTGAACAACACAAGGGCTAGTCAAAAATAAAACAGTGCTTTAATTTTATTCCCTTTTCAATTTGTTTTCATTCTGAAATCCAGTTTCCATCTGCACATTGTAAGAAAATAAACAACAGGAAACCACTGTCTGCTCACCCTTCTTGGAGGCCGGCAGGGGCTCTGCTGGCAGGCACAGAACGGGCAGGCGGCGGGCCTACAGCACACGGCACCGCACAAAGGCAAGGAGCTGGGCCGCAAGGAGCGTCATGGGAAGCGCCCGTGTGGCCCTGCAGCAGCGCAGGCGAGGACCACAGCGCGCGGGCTCGGGCGGCCGCAGAGATGGGGTGTCGCTAGCACGACAGTCCCCACCACCAGTTTTCTTAGGAAAAGGACAACACAAATCTTTTCCTCAAGTAGAACTGCCACAGGTAAGAGCCACAGGATTTTATTGTTTAATCTTCTGACGGCAGGATTTCTTTGAAATGGAATCTAAATGTAAATAAAAGGGGTAGAGCGATTTGTCAGAAGGCACGGCACAGCTCTTAGGAAGACTCTCACAATATCAAAATAGTACCACTGAGTTCATCTATTTTTTGGTGAAAATAAGAATTGTGATAAAATACACAGTGATTTAAATTCTGATGGTTAAGAAACTCTGGACAAATCACACCCGCCTGAAACACGTTCCCTGTGGGCCCTGAGAGCGTCTGAGAAAGGGCCGGAGGGCCAGCTGACGAGCAGGAGGCAGGAGAGAAGCACCCTCCCTGCCTCCCGGGCAGAGCGTGTCCTGTTATTTATTTAAATGAACAGTCAGAGAGGGGCTTTAATTACCTGGCGGTAACCCCCCTAGCCTTTGCTGGATCACTTCTAAATGGTGGATATATTCCGTCAAGGAATGTTCCGGGTCTTCAGAAGTAGCCAGGGACCTCTCTGATCTTGATTCTGGGGACGGACTGGACCTACAAGCAAACACTCAATGATGGGGCGCGGCCGCCGGGGGCGTGGGGCTGTCTTCTTCCTGTCTTTGTGCTTTGAAACCAACGTCTGCATCTCAGAGCCAGAGAGCCAGGACCACTGTGCCCACTCCACGCGCCCTGGACTGTCATCAGCAACTCCGGGCCCACCTCTGTGCTGGGCGGGGTGGGGGGGGGAATGTCTTTCCCTGATGCCCGAACTGTGCCCTTTACTTGAGGTCAACCCCAGCCAGCTGCACCCCCACCCCCTCTGGCGCAGGGACGCCCTTGGCCAGCCTGGGCTTCCTCTCCAGGGCAGGAACACATGGGCCTCCCCCTGCGATGTGGGTCCCTGCCTGCCCCCGCCCCCACCCCGTGACAGGACATCCTGGGCCAGGGCCATAGCAAGTGCTGCCCTCCCGAAAGACTGGGCGTCAGGCCTCAGCGACTCGCCCTGTGCTGGGCCCACCAGGCCCCAGGCCAAGCCCGTGTTTGAGGAGTGAGACAATGAGGTCAGGCAATGTGAGGAGCAGGTGCGCAAGCTGCGCCCCAGGGCACCTGCTCCCCAGCTGCATTGGAGGGCGCAGACTGCAAGCCATGCGGGGCACCACGAGGCTGGGGCGAGGACAAGCCGGTCACAACCAGCCATGACACCAAAGCACAGAGACCAGTGTGGCCAGGGGCTCGCACGGTCTGCTCAGCGCTGGCAGGAGGAAGCGTACGCAGGGAGAAGACACCACAGCTACTCGATTGTCGGCACGCGACAGGCAGACGCCGCAGGCCACACGTGACTGTCTACGTGCAGGGCGTATTCCATGCACAGAAAAGTCGAGGTTGAGTGTCCGAACGGATGACTCATGACCGGGACTGCCCCCGTCCCCCCTGTGAACACGGCTGTTTGCACGGCTGAGGCCGGAGAAGAGGAAACAGAGCTCACGGCTTGCAGCGAGCCCCTAGCTGAGCTAAGGACAGGGAGTCGAGTGAGGACCCAGGCAGGCCGGACCCCGCCGCATCTCACTCCCTCACAGGACAGGCTGAGCCCAAGCCACCTGGACGCCAGCCACCGCAGAAGCCTCCTCTACCTCAATTCTCAACACTCGCAACAGTTTGTTCATTGAAGTTTTTCTCCTTAAACAACTTACGGAGGGTTAACATTGCCACTGTCACAACCTGACTGCCAGCTGCTGTGAAGCCAGATACATTACGTCTAAGATAAAACCTAGTCCCACAAAGAAGAAATGCAAAAAAGGCACCCAGACACGTGTGCGCATGTACATGCGCGTGAAGGGCCACACCTGGGAGGGGGCCCTGTCTCTGCAGACTGGCCCCTCAAGCACCCGGGGAGCCGGGCCGGAGGCACAACGCACCTTTCCCTCTGGCGGGGGCGGGTTTTCTGCACAGGGTCCCGGGTGTGGCTGGAAGACACGTCCCGGGTTGGGGGGGACTCGCTGGCTTCAGGTAGAGACCGCTGCTGCCGCGGGCCAGGGCCGCCTGGCCCCCGGATTACTTAACAGAGAAATTAGGAAAAGACAGAATTGCCTTTCAGTAGGAAGGCCCATCGGCCAAAGCTTTAAATTCATGAGCTTTTGAATCTTCATAGCAGTTTGTAAACATTGTTAAAGTACTCATTTTATAAAGGTCGTCTTAGAAACCTCTAGGAGAAACTGGAGTTTCAGTCCTCTGCATTTTTCTCCTGCAAAAACTCTGGACCCCAGGTCCCTTGGGGCAGCTTGTGGGGGGGGGGGTCTGCCCCACCAGAGCAGAGGGGAGCGAGCACCATGGCCCTTGGCCAGGCCCTCTGGCTGCAGCAGCAGAGAACAGAAAGACCCGCGAGCCAGAAAGCCCTGAAAGGCCTGTGCGGCAGTGAAGAGCCTTCGCTCGATGTGGGGCGACCAAGAGGCCCTTTGGTCAAGGACAGGCCGCGAGGGCAGGCATGGATTCGTGTGTCCATCTCCTGCTGCTCCTGAGCCGTGTCCTTTGCGTGCCCCCAACAGCACAACCACCGGTCTCTGCCGACTGCGCTCCCACGGGCACACAGGGTGACCCGGGTGTTCTGGGACCCGCCCCAGCAGAGCCACAGTGGGCAGGGGAGCAGCTGAAGGCACACCTGGACGGGCGGCCTGGCCGTGAGCCAGCGCTCCCTGCCGATCCACTTCTCGCCATTTCTTAACCAAAAAACGTAACCTACAAAATAAGGGACAAAGCATGGAAAACTTGAGCAAACCAGGAGCATGAGCACGGATGTGCGGGGCTGACAGCGGGTCGGGGAGTGACAGAGCCATCTTCACACCCACCCAGCGGCCACGACAGTGTCCCACGCACCTGGAGGGCAGGTGCTGGCCAGTCCAGTCACTGCCTGACTGTCCCTAACCCTAACCCTCCCTTCTGCCACCTGACAGGCTCAGGACAGCAGGGCCGTGGGCATGCAGAGGATCAGGTCAGGGTGGGGAGGTCAGACACTCCCCTGGGACAGCCCAAGCCAGGGGCGTCATTCCTCAGGTCATATCGAAGGTCCCTCCTCGGTGGGCACCAGAGACCCTGCCGCAGGGGGCCCTCAGTGCCACTCCCCCCCCAGCCACGGGCCTCAGGGTACCTCCTGGATGGGCGCTGGGCAGCTAGGGGCTGCTCACCTGCCCCTCCAGGCAGGATGTGTCCCCAGCCCCAGGGTGGAGGGCGGGCGGGGATGGGCGGGGCGGGGCGCACCTGGAGATGGCCACCACCACCCGCACGGCCGTGCGGAAGCGCGTGACGGGGCGCGCGGCGCCTTCGGCCTTGGAGGGAAACACGCCCAGGTGGGCGATCATGGAAAGCGTTTCCTGCTCCGAGTCCTGGAAGCCGCCGATGAGCAGCAGCAGGTAGCGCTTCTGGTAGATGAGGGCCTTGCGGAAGCTCTCGGCCCGCAGGTAGTGCAGGTACAGCTTCTCCATCTGCAGGAAGGGAGGCGCTCGGAGGGGCCGCCTGCCCGCCCGCCCGGGCCACCTCCGTCCGCCGGCCAAGGGCCACCCAGAGGGGCCCCACGGGCGGCCAGGCACCGGTCCCGCAGCACCCCCGGAGGGAGCACCCCACCCCACACGCCGGCCGGACCCGAGCCCCAGCAGGCGGGGGCAGGGGGCGGCACCGCGCGGGCCAGGGCAGCGGGGCTCCGGGTCTCCAGGCCGCTCCCGGGACGTGCAGCGCCGCCCGCCCCCCACTTGGCCCCCCACTTGGCCCCCACCCCCCTCCCCTCTCACCCTGACACCGCCGCAGGGGGCGGCCCCGCTGGCAGCTGGCGCGGGGCGTCCGGGCTCGGCGAGACGGGGCGAGCGCTGCAGGGCCGTGCGGTCCGGCCTCCCCGCGGGCCTGTCCGGCCTCTGCAACACACGGGCCGGGCCGGACGCTCGAGACGCGTGCCCCCGCCCACCTCCCGCCCCCCAATCCCCCGCCCCCCCACAGCTACCGACTCCCGACCAGCCCCGCCAAGCTGCGCGTTTTCATCAGAAACAAGAAGCCGAGTCTGAGTAAAATAAACCCGAATTCAAAACCTGACGCCCGCACGCGCAGGCCGAGGCACCGGCTCCCGGGAACGGCCGGCCACGGGGACCCGCGCCCCGCGCAGCAGCCACGAGCGCTGGGAAGCGCCAGCCGGAGGGCACCGTCCCCCACCCGCCAACCCAGAGGGTTCCGGCGCCCTGAATGCTGCCCAGGAGCAGGCCCCTGTTCCTTTCTCACCGGGGGCCCTGACCGCCACTGCCCCCTGGCCCCGTCCCGGCTGGTGTGGGTGCCTCGCAGAGGTGGTGACGGGGTTGGCTCCCATCACTCTGCGCGAGCTTTCCAAGGCCTGTCCACACAGCTGCCGTTCCTTTTCATTGCCAAGTATTATTCCACCAGCAGACACACTGCATTTACTCGGCCACTATTGGGGGGACACTGAGTTGTTCCCACTCTGGGTCTATGGCAAGCGGTGGCAATGGGAAACTGCCTGCGAGTACTTGGACACAGACCTTTGTCTCTCTCAGGGACACCCGGCCACAGGCTTGCCGGCCACGCCGCTGCTCTGGTCCAGCTGCCATGGGACCTGCAGCATCACACCCCCAGCACGGCCCCCAACTCAGCGCCACCCAGTCAAAGTAGGATCCCAGACATTTACACCGATGGACGGCAGGAGGACCAGAGCAGCCAGAGGGGAACAGCCATAGGCAGGTGCCCGCAGAGGGGAGCTGCGCGGCAAGGTGCCCGCCGAGGGTCCGGGCGGAGCCCCAGCGGCAGCGCGGTGGAGACACAGAAGCATGGTGGCGCTACAGGCCTCCCAGGAGCAGACATGGCTGGGCGGAGGGACGGCCACCACACACACAAAATGACCCGATTTCCTCAGACCAAAACCAAAAATCAGCCGAAAACAGCCACAGTGCTGAACGTCAGGGCGCAGCAGCGTCTGGGCCCGGCCGCAGAAGGGGAGGGCGTCAGCACCTCACGGAGGTCCTTCTTCTGCCCAGGGCCCCGTGGAAGGGCCGGTGCACCCAGGAGGGCTGTTTGCAAAGCGCAACCTGCATCAGAGCTGTGTCCAGAGCACGAGTCCCTCCGTGCTGACCATGGAGACCAGGGAACGTGGCTGAGCAGCGTGGCCCCCTCAGTGACTCAGAACCGCCGCCCTCGTCAGAAGTGACAGGTGCCAGACAACGGCCCCACCCCACGCCCGGGCAGAGGCGGGACTGTCCCTGCCGTGACCCAGGAGCCAGCTGGGCCCGCGCCCCTCAGCCCCCAGCCCCTCAGCCTCATGACCCCCCGTGCCCACCAGGCCAGGAGGCTCACCCACGAGGCCCGAGCGGCAGCAGGGCGCTCACAGGCACGGTGGCCACAAGGGCCAGGCCCAGGGGGCTCCGAGCAATACCACACAGGCGGGCAGAAGACCATGAGGGTCAGGAAACTACTCCCTCCCACTCCCGGCCACAGTCCCCTAGAGCTCCCGCTGCACCGGCTGCAGACAGCGGTGGTGGCAGGCTGTGGTGACAGCAGGGATGTCCACGTCGGTCACCAAAGCAAAGCCTGGGCAGCACGGCCCGCACGACACCCCGACTCACGCTCAGCACACAGCCCCCGCGCAGGTGCCGCTTCAGCGTCCGCTCCAGCCGCGACACGGCCCGGCCCAGCTCCGCTTTCTCACGCGCTGCCGCGCCCAGTGCGCTCCTCAGGGCATCATTGTCGGCCAGCAAGACGCCTGCCAGCTCAGCCCGCAGCCCCGCCGGCACGTTCTTGGGGGGAAGACAGGCAGAGGATTGTGGGAGGTGCCGGCTGCCATCGGTCGCCACTTCAGCCTGGCTGGGGCTTGGCACAGAGTGTGGGGTTGGCAGAGCTGCCCCAAAGGATGGGGCAGCGGCTCGGGCTGGCTGTGGACAAGCCCCAAGGGGGCCCCGCTGTCCCCCAGGGGCCCAGGTCCTGTCCACAGACCTGTCGTCTCCTGAGGAAGCAGCGACCCGCCCAGGTGGGCCATGGGGAACAGCCGGCACACACAGACGGGGCAGGGCAGGCAGGACCTTGGCAGGACCTTGACGGGGCAGGAGCCACCTCTGCATTCTCAAGAGTGTGCAGCATTCACAAGGGACTTTTGTCTAAAGACTCAAGGCCCGCAGGGAGCTCTGTGACACCGAGGCAGCCATGAGTTGCCCTGGGCCCCGGGAGGCCGGGTAGACATCACCCATGGCACCCAGCACGCGCCCTCCCTCCCGGACCCACGCCAGTGCCCACCTCACCTGGGAGGGGCTGGATGCGCTCAGCTCGGCCCTGAGCTCCTGCAGCGTCCGCAGCAGAGACGCCACTGCTTTCTCATTGGAGGACGTCCAGTCGTGCAGCGTCCTGCAAGCGGGACGGCAGTCAGGTCCACGGGGCCAGGCCGGGCGTGCCGAGGGCCCCATCTCAGCCACCCGCCCCAGGGCGCCCACCTGTCCACGGTGCGGCTGACGAAGCTGGTCAGGAGGCCGGCCACACAGAGCAGCTGCTGCCGTGTCTCCTCCAGGCCCCGCTGTTGCTGGTGGAGCCCGCTGGGCTGAGGGCAGGGTCGCGCCGCCTCCAACTCCCGCGCCGGCTGCTGCAGCTGCTTTGCCTTATGCTCCTCACGCTGGCGCCGCAGTTCAAGCTCACGCTGCCGCCATGGAAACATAACGGGGGAGAGGCACTCACACCCGTCCGGAGCCCATGGGCTCGCCATGGCCACCCCGGGCAGCTGGATGCCCAGGGCCATGGGCAGCGGGCTGGGGAGCTGGGGCACGGCTGTGCAGCCACACTGCGAACCCCCATGCCTGTCCTCCTCTGGCCCCCAGCCCTCCCAGGAGGAAACGCATCAGGGACGCCAGCCGAACAGGGCCAGGTGAGAGGAGCCGCCGCTGCGGCCACCATGGGCAGGGGCCACAGGTGGGGAGGGCCTGGGGCTCCTCTGGACGTGCCCTGAGATGGTGCTATGAGCCTGCACGTGCCAAACTCAGGCCACTGCAGAGGCTACAAAACCCCGCAGACACAGGTGCCACGAGCTCCAGCAGAGACGGCCGACAACCCGCCAAGAGCAGTCGCGCCCGAACCAGCGCACCACCACGAAACCACCGTGACACGGAGCCTCGACTGGGAGGACAGAGCCAGCGGCTCGGGGCAGGGAGACGGGGCTGGCTGGCGAGCGAGGCAGACGCTCTCCCAGGTTGGCAGACTTGCAACCGTCAGGCTGGCGTCCGCCCCACCCAGGCTGCCCGAAGGGTGCAGAGGGCGACCCCCACTCCACACAGTGTGACTCTGTGTGAGGAGAGGCCCAGAAAACGCACCCAGAACAGCGAAACTGAGCAGCCAGGCCTCAGCGCCGTGGGGGAGACGGCCGTGCCCTGGACCCACCACCGAGGCCACGGGCAGAGGCTGGCGGCGCTTGGTGGGGGATGCCCAGGCTCGCTCAGACGTGGGCGCCAAGCCCAGTCTGCTCTGCAGGGACCGCAGGCCAGTGCCTGCCCGGCGGCTCCTCGCTGTTGCTGACGTTGCGGCTCTCACCTGCGTCTTCTTGTCTCCCTGCCACCGCGACCCCATCCATGTCTGGTCCGCTCCCACCGGCCCGCCTGCTCTCTCAGCCGCCAGCGTGCCCGCACTACATCTGCCTGTGACCACGCGGGCTCTGCCCGGCCACACTCCAGTTCTGCCCGGGTGTGGGCGTTGCCTGCAGTGTGCTCCAGGCTCTCACCTCCTCCTCCCGCTGGAGCTCCTCAGGGCGGGTCTGCACCTGCTCAGTCCCCAGCATCCACGGCGGGGGCGGGGGACCGGGCGGCTGCGCCTCAGAGGCGGGTGGGGCCTCCTGGGCCCTGCGGCTTAGCTGCTCGGTCAGCAGGCGCTCGTGCTGCAAGGCGGCGGTCAGCTCCCGCACACGGCCCCGCTCGGCCTCCAGGCTCTGCTGCAGCTCGGCCAGCCGGCTCCGCTCCTGGGCCAGCAGCGCCTCACATCGTGAGGCCTCAATGCGCAGCTCCCGCTGCAGGTTGTCCCTCGCTGCCTGCTCATGCTTCAGCGCCACCCGCAGGCGACTGCTCTGCGCGCGCTGCTTGTCCAGAGATGCCCTCAGTGCCTGCGGTGCGAAACAAAGTGGGCAGCCCATCAAGGCAGGCCACACACCCCGATGTGCTCCCGGGCACCCAGGCGGTGGCCTGGGGCGGCGTGGGGCTGAGAGCGGCTCTGCCCCTGGACACTGTCCCCAGGCTGCCTGGCTGCGCCTCTGGGAAGGGAGGGTGGCAAGCTCAGGAGCCAGGACGCATGGTGGTCAGGGCGCAGGGGCTGGTGCTGCCTGCCGGGGCACAGGCTGGAAGCTGCATCCAGCCGTGCAGCGTCTCCAGCAGCTGTGCCAGACAACGCATGGGGCCGGCCGGCCTGCCTGCCCGCCCGCTGGCGCTACCTCCAAGGCAGAGGCACTCTGGGCCTCCCTCTGCACGAGCTGCTGCTGCTGCTCCTCCAGCCGGCTCTGCAGGGTGCTGCCCCGGCCGCGCTCGCTCTCCAACTCCTGCAGCGCAGCCTTCAGGTCCTTCTCCTGACCATCCAGCAGGGACCTGCATGGGGCGATGCTGGTGTGAGGGATGTGGGCAGCCGAGTGGCTCCCGCACATGCGCCCCGGCCGGAGGGTCTGCAGAGCCGGCTGGCCGCACCTCAGCCGCAGCACCTCCTTCCGCACGTCGTCCAGGGAGCGCAGCAGCCGCTCGTTCTCCTGCCGGCACTGGCGGAGCTCGGTGCCCAGGGCCCGGGCCGCAGCCTGCTCGGCCACCAGCAGCTTGCGCGCGTGGCTCGCTGCCTCCTGCTCCTCGCTCAGGGTTCTCTGCAGGTCGCTCGCGATGCTCTTCTCCTGCTCAACCTTATATGCCAGCAACTCCACTAGGGGGTGGGGGACGGGACCAGCGTCACCGTGGCCTGAGCGGGCAGTGGGCATGTCAAGCATGAGCAAGCCCAAGGGTGGGGCCCGTGTGTGGGGCGTGAGGCTGCTTGGGCCTGAAGCTGCGCTTCCAGGGAGCCTGGCACTCAGGGCCACGGCACTCCCGCCACCCCCACACGAGACTACTGGACTGGGCTGTGTCCAGCCCTGCCCTCTCACACTGCAGGCATCCCCCACCCCCGCCTGTCCAGGACGGGCCACATGCCCTCTGACCCAGGGCTGCTCGGCCTGGGGTCCAGAGGGAAAGCTGGAGTTGATCGAGATGGACCGGCTCTAACGGGGCCACCCTGGACGCCCAGAGGAGTGACCAGCCGGGGGCCGCCCTGGACACTGCCCCGTCTGCCAGTCCTGCCTGCGTGCCTCCCGGCCCCCTTCAAAGACCCCAGGAGCCCACCCGGTCACCCCAACACCACAGAGAAGACAGCCAGCACCACTCCAGAAACGCCCCCAGAGCCGCGCACAGGCCATAGGGGTGGATGGTGTGGGCCAGGCCCCCACCCTGCCTCTGCTCCTCCCCCGTGTGCTGGGGACAGGTGGCTGCCCCCGGCCAAGTCCAGCACCTGGCCCACAATACTCAGGGTCAGGGTCGGATGCCAGCCACAGGCTGGACACCAGCTGGCAACTCCAGACCCTGTGGAGCAGGCATAGGCGCCCGACCCCTCCTGCTGTCATGCCCAGAGACTGGCCACTACGCGGACCCGCCCCCCACGGCAGCCGCAAGCAGGGATGGGGTGAGGAGAGCTGACTCCTGCCTCTGCCCAGCACCGAGATCCTGGCCGGGATGCCCACCCGCTGGCCACCTGCCAGCCACCTAACCATGGGGTGCACCCGGGCGCCCACCCTGCCTGCGCAGCTGGTGCTCCTGCCGGCTCCCGCGGGCCTCCGCACTGGTCAGTGCCGCGCACAGCTGCTGCAGCTTCTCCTGGTTCTGCAGGTGCGTCATCCTCAGCTGGGCGCGCAGGGCCTGGACCTCGGACAGCAGGCTGCTCCTGTCGGCCTGGTGGGGGCGCTCCAAGGACTTCTCCTGCAGGGCTCCCTGGGCATGGGCAGCGGCCATCACGCAGGGCCTGGGTGCCCCTCTGCCATGGCCCTCACCCCATGCCCCTGCTTTCTGGGCAGGCCCCGCTCAAGGGTGTGCTGTCCGCTCAGCTGCCGGCCAAGGGGGATGCTCCCCACTCCAGGGAAGCTGCACCCATGGGCAGCCGGGCTACAGGGCCCCGCTCACCTGCTCGCAGACCACCCGCTCCAGCTGCTCCAGCAGGCAGCCGGGACCCCTGGGGTCGGGGCCACCCAGCGGGTGCTGCAGCTGCACCTGGATCAGCTCGCGCTCCTCCTCGAAGGCCTCCCGCACGGCCTGCAGGAACTCCGCCCTCCAGTTCAGGCCCAGGGCGGCAGGCTCCTAAGGCAGTGACAGGCGCCCTCAGACGCTGCGTGGAGCAGGACCACGGGCACAAGCTCCCCCACCCAGTCAGAGCCCGCTGCCCTCCAGCAGAGTGGAATTGGCAAAGGGGATGCAAAGACAGACCCCTCCCCCAGCCTCGTCCCTGCTCGAAGCCTCGGCAGCACCAGGCCGTGGGGGTGGGTGGTGTGGGCCAGGCCCCCACCCTGCCTCTGCTCCTCCCCGTGTGCTGGGGACAGGTGGCTGCCCCCGGCCAAGTCCAGCACCTGGCCCGCAACAAGGCCTCTCCTGGCCAAGTCCAGCACAAGGCCTCTCCTGGCTGCCAGCCTCTGGGTGCAGAGTGGACACAGAGGCCTGTGACTCAGGTGCAGGCCACGCCCTCCACCTGGCACCCGACCCCTCCTGCGGCTCCTCCCCCCAGGCATGGCGTACAAGATGCTGGACATGGCTGAGGCCCGGCCAGTGTGAGGGCTGCTGGCCAGAGGTGGCTGCTCGCCCCGACCCCCATACCTGCTCTCCCTTCAGGGGTGCTGGGCTCAGGTGTCCCCTCAGGGCCGGCACCGCCTCCAGAAGGCTCTGGCCCCGCCTCAGCAAGTGCTCCAGTGGGGCGCTGGGCTCCCCCTTGCTCAGGGCACTGGGGGGGCCCCAGTACTGGGACAAGGCCAGGATGTGGTGGCTCTCATCACACACCATCTGCAGCAGTGTCTGCCGGGGACGGGCATATGGGGAGTGGGACGCGCATCCTCCGTGGCCCTGCCTCTCGCGCTGTCCCGCCCAGGGACGCCAGCCCATCGAGACGACTGGGAGGCTGGCGTGAAGGAGTGCGTCTCTTCCCTGAACACCCGGGGTGGCCCTGCAGTGCCGGGTCTGCCGTCGTGGCAGAGCTGGCTCCACAGCAGCACCCTTGCCCTGCCAGGACCCCAGGAGGCACCGCTGGGCCATCCAGGCTGCAGCGGCCGGGCCTGCCCCTGCCGTTACCTTCACTTGCTTCGGATGCAGGTCCTGCTCCCTCACCATGCCCAGGGGCCGCCGGGACCTCGCAGAGCTGAGAGGTGCAGCCGCGAGACAAGCAGGTGGGGCATCGGGGCTTCCAGAGCCTGGGCTGACCACCTCTCCAGACGCTGCGCCGTCACCTAAAGCACAGCTCAGCATCAGGCCGCAGAGCCTGGCCCAGCCACCTGTGGGCGCAGCAGAGCGAGGCAGGTACGCCCTGACAGCTGAAGAGCCACGTGGCCCTCGTTGAAGGAGCCGCCAGCAAGCCGCCCAACGCAGCGAGCAGCCCCAGCAAGAGTGAGATGGCGGTGCCACAGACTGAGCACAAGACGCACATGTCGGCACCCACAGCGCAGGCTCGGGTACTCTGCCCCTCCTGCGTGCTTAGGCGTTTCCAGGTCCCAAAGTGAGACCCACCCCCGGGCTGCGGGACAATTGGGGCAGCCTCCGGCAGGGGCTGACACTCCCCAGACCTGAGGACCAGGGCACCTCCAGGGCAGGCGGTGCTGGGAGGGTGCTGACCCAGGACGGACAGCGAGAAACTGGGGCGCATCAGCCGGGTGGGGACCCTCCACGCAGTGCAGGCTTCCACCCGGAGCCCACGATGGGAGCAGCCCTCAGGCCCACTTCAGGCGGGTGGGCCCTGCCCACTCCCGCCTGTGCCCCGAGGGAAAGCGCCTGCTGCCCCCACCAGCACTCAGCCTGTGGGAAGGAGGCCGCAGGCAGCCTCGGGCCACGCCCCCAGCAAGGCTGCCAGTCGCAGGTCCTCGAACACGCAAGGAATGTGCAGGCAGGAGCGGAGAGAGACGGACACAGAGAAACAGCCAGCTCAGCTGACAGAAGACGACCACGACCAGCATCCCCAGGGGAGCAGCAGGGGGGCAGCCCCGAGCGCAGGCAGCTCAGAGCCAGGGGCAAGCAGAGAGAACATGGTACAGGGCCTGAGACACTCAATCCCAACAATCCTCATAAATCCCCATAAACACGGTAACAAAAAGCGGGAAGTAAGAGTTCTAGCCCAGGAGTCCCACACACGCTGGCCACAGAAGGCTCCAAGGTCTTGAGGAAACACCCCCAGCCCGCGCTGGGTCGCACCATCGGTGGCAGCAGGGAGACCCCTGAGGCCTCCCCAGAAAGGCCTCCACGTGCCTTCTCTCGCGCAGTCTCTGGAAACGGGGCACAGGGTGCACAGGGCCTCATGGATAAGCCGCTGGAGGCCTGAAGAAGGCCCGGGTGGCCAGTGTGGACATGCTGGACGTCAGGACACAAAAACAAGTTTCCAGAAGCAAAATGACATCAGGTCTGCAAATGGCCTGAACACACACCCGGAGACAGAGACAGGCAGAGCCGCCAGCGCCAGCCTGCGCCCGCAAGAGGGGCAGCTGCGTGCTGGCCTGCGCCGAGCAGGGACGACGTCCCGCAGAGGTGGTCAACTCACTTTTTTCACTTCCACTGCTCTTTCCTTCTACCCCAGGAGCAGGTGATGCTGACTTTTCTTGAGAATCGAGAGATGTTATAAAATCTTCGACATCTTTCTCCTGTTCAAATAGGCGGATTTTAAATGTCCGAGTGCTAACAACGCAGCACGTCGTGGGCTGAGCTGGCCAGATGGAAGGTGTCTGGGCCTGAGCTGACCATGTTCCCACAGAGAACACAAAGTATCCAAAAGCGCCTCAAACCCCTTTGGTGCACCTGCTGGTTTTCAGAACGCATTGAGAGCAACAAGTATTGCAGATTTAGTTTTTGGTGCCACTTCAAACGGGGCGTGAAGACTTCAAATAACACACATCCCCTCGTTTATTCATCTCACCCGAGATACATGACCTCGAGCTACGTCAGAAAAACCATCTAATTCAAAAATCAGGGACTGACGTATCCTTGACACTAGTTAGCGTGACACGTGGCACCTGCTCGTGTGAGATGCGACAAAAGTAGCCCAAAGAGCTCTGTGGGGCAGCGGGAGACGGGTCCACCAGGGCCGGCAAGAGGGCACAGGCCTGGGAGCGCCTCACCCCGTGGTAGGCCGGAGTGCCCAGTGCGGCACCACCGCAGACACGGCTGGGGCTGAGAGGCCGACCGCCCCACCCGGCCACCATGTCAGGGCTGTGCCATGTGGCCGCAGCTGTGACCTGGGCCCCCAGTCACGTCCCCAGAGGAAGGTGGGCACCCACAGCTGAGCCCCCCCGGCACCGGGACCACCTACCACACACGTGCGCTGCAGCCTGTCCGCGGCTGACCAGGACTCGGCCCACCATGGGGCCTTCTCCACCGCCAGCACCCCTGGGTCCCAGAGCAGCCCTGACTGGTCAGCCTGGAGCAACGAGGTGCCCGCCCCAGCCCGCAGCGGGGTGTCCAGGCTACGTGGGCTCGGGGCGCCCGAGCAGGGCGTAAGGGGCAGGCTGGGCGGGGGCTCCAGGGTCGAGTCCTTCCTGACGAGCTCGGGGGAGCCCCAGGAGGACCGGTCCATCGCCCGTGCCCCGTTCTGCAAGGGTTCAGCCCCCCAGGCATGGGCCTGGGGGGGAGAGCCCTGGGGGCTGCCGTGCCAGGGGGCAAGTGGGGGCAGCGGCTCGCCCCACCAGGCCGACCCCTCCGCCCCGGGGACACTTGGCCACGCGCCCTGTGCCCCTGGGCCCTGATCTCCAGGGACACCACCGAGCCTCCATGCAGTCTTCTCAACAGTCAGTGCGTCCGCGGGAGGCGAGTCCTCTGCCTCCTCAGGGCTCCCAGAGCCACCGCTTGAGCTGCTATTTTCTGACACGTGTGACAACGCCAAGGGCTGCTGGAACGCTGGGTCCTCGGCTTGGAAGTCCTGGCGGTTCATGGAGCAGACCAGACGGCTCAGTCTCTCCTGAAGCTGGTCCACCTGGGTGATTAGACCCACTGCCTGCGGCCGGTGGTCTCCGGGCAGCTCCTCCTGGGCCTGCAGGAAAACAAGACGTTGGTCAGGCGGGGTTGGCCGGTCACGTCGCTCTGCCTGGGCCTTACAGCCAGTCCCGAGCACCACGACACACTAGTCCCTCAGTATGAAGATTTCAAGTTTGGGTTTTCTTCGTTGCACAAGAGACATAACCGAGGCCTGACGCCTATGGTGAGAGGAGCAGCAAAAGGCAGGAGTCCGGGGCCCGGGCGGGTCTGATGGTCTTGGGCCCCATGCCAATGAAGGCTACAGCCCCCAGGGCGTGACCTCAAGGGCAAGCGGTAATGCGGGCCCATCCAGCACTCAGCCCAGCAGCTGCGCCCCCTCCCAGCTGCCCTGCGGCAGGTGCAGCCGGTAGGAGGAAGCCTCGAAGGCAAGCACCACGTCCTCCAACCGGCCAGGTCGCCCACAGGCAGAGTGGACTGACTGCTCTGTGCTGACCAACAGCAACATCAAAGGAAAAAGGAAAGTGGCTCATTTGAGGAAAAAAAATAAATCAAAAGCAGCTCCCGGCGGGACGTGATGGCAGACACACCAGGCGGACTGCGAAACAGGCACTGGCTCAGAGAACATAAAGGAAGACGCGGAGCAAGCTGGGGGGGGGGGGGGGTGGCGGACGCTGCAGGGGGTGCGGTGGCACACACCAGGGACCCCGCCAGGCCAGTCAGGAGGAGCCCGGGGCCGAGAGGCCGCCGGCTGAAGCAGGAACTTGCTGGGGGACAAAGGCAGGTTTGAGGCGGCAAACGAAAGGCCTGGTGGCCCTGGGGACAGAACAAGGGGACGACGGCGTCTCGGTGAAGCGAGCAAGTCTGGTGGGCGCCGGGGTGGGGGAGGGAAGCCAGAGGCCGTGGAGAGTCCTCCCGCACGTAGCCAGGGGCACAGCCCCGCACACAGCGGCCCGCTGGAGGACGCGCCCCTCGAGCGCAGCGGGACAGTGGCGACTGGCCTCACGCAAGGAGCCTCTGACCGGTAGACTCTCCCCAGAACGCCGGGGGCTGGTGCGCTCACGGCGCACAAAGGAGAATCCGACCCGGATTCCCAGCACCCAGCGGCATGGCCCGTGGGCCCGGGGGAGGAGCGGCGGTGCCAGGCGAGGCCAGCCTGGAGGGGTCCCTGGAGTGGCCTGTGCGGGGGCCGCCAGGCGAGGAGCAGGACACCAGCGTGGCCCAGGGGGGGCAGTGAGGCCGTGGCAGAGGCAGCGCCGGCAGCGATGACGCCAGAGTTATTGTGACAAGAGCCTGTGCCCCGCGCTGTGGCCTCATCGCGACTCAGGAGAGCGGCGCGTGGGCTCTGCTGGGCCCGTGGCTCCAGCGGTGGCTCCCGCACGGCTGAGGGATCTACTGGAGACCGCCAGTGCGGCCTGGGGCACATGGCGCACAGAAGCGACTGTGACGTCAGAACCGAGGGTGGGAACAGAGTGCTGATGTCACGGAAGCTGACCCGGCACAGCCCCACCAGACTGTGCTGGCATGGGGGCAGCAGAACCAGCCACACGAGACCGGAGGAAAACAGCCACGGAGCAGCTCAGGGAAGCACCAACTGCTCTCACGTCACCCCAGGGCACAGACCCAGCCAGCAGGAGGGAGCAGGGTGGGGAGGCGCCCAAGAGCACCAGGTCACCGGACCCCTGCCAGGCAAAGTGAACCCCAGAAAGATCACCGGGCACGGGAGGAAGTCAGCAACCTGAAGTTTCCCAAAAACACTCTGCTTCCACAGCGTGCTGTTAAGCACTGAGGAAAAAAGCCCAAGGGGGTGCGGCCTCCCCGACGAGGCCAGGCACCAGGGCCTCAGCAGCACTGGCGTGGCAGGGCCTGCACCCAGGCACAGGGACAGCCCGCACAGAAGGCCGCAGGGCACGGCACCAGCCTCGCCATGACGCTGGCCACACGGGGACCCGTGCCAACCCTCAGCATGCGAGAAGCGCTCAAGCCGCGGAGCAGAGGGCAGCATAGCGTGTGCGGGGGTGGAGCCGGCGGCCTGGCACAGGCCATCCCCAGGAAGCCGGGGCCACGGCCACATCAGCCGGGTCCCAGGAACGAGAGAACCCACGCCCGGGGCTCCAGACCCAGGTAGTGTGGGGCCATACCCAGGGGCTTGGGGCTGCACTGGGATGGCCCCTTCGCTGCGAGTGAACACACGGGGGAGAGCCGAGGTCCCACGTGGACCCTTCAAGGAGAACCGGTAGCGGCCTCGCGGCCCCTCGGCCCCACACGCTAGACCCAGGGACGGCAGCCACCACAGCAGGGCCCTGTGCCTCCAGACGCGCCGGTGAGAGGCCCGCGGGACAAGCTGGAGCTGTGCGGACGCGGGGACCCGGGTACCTGGGTGCGGCCCTCGGCTCCCGCCAGCATCTGGCTCTTCAGCAGCAGCAGCTCAGCCTCCAGCTGCCGCTCGCAGACGCCGAGCACTGACATGACGCTGTCCTGCGCGCCGAGACTGGCATCGCTGGGCAGCCCCGGGGCGCTGGCCAGCCACGGACCACCCCTCGCCGGGCCCTGCAACAAGCAGAGAGCGACCATGTTCATGGGGACACGCCCGGGCCGAGCCCCCATCCCGCACTCTCTGCAGAGGGTGACAGGTGCCCGGACCTCAGGGATAGGCCCACACAACACAGCCCGGCCCCCCACCCGGAGCCCCCAGGCCCCGGAGCCCCCCCACCCGTCTCAGACACCTGGCCCTGAGACCCCCCGCCCAAGCCCCCCCGCCTGGAGCCCCCCGGCCCCAGGGCAGCAGCAGATGCCCAAGTCTCTGCTCCAGAGCAAACCAGCCAATGTCCACAATGAGCGGAGCCAGAGCACTTTCCACAGGAGAGCCACCAGGGACGTCTGGGTCCCGGGGCACCAAGAAAGCCGCCGCCAGGACCCCAGGCTGTGGGGTCCCCCGTCATTTTCAAGAAGTGCTTGGGAAGACCCAACTTCCACGGCAGCTGCGGACGGCACAGGGCGGCGCGGCCCCAACCCGAAGTGCAGCCGCCTCCACCACACGCAGCAGCGCCCGCCCGCCCCGCCCGGGCAGCCTGTGGTGCAGGGGCAGGCCTACCTGGAGGTCGCCCCCTGGAGGCGTCTTGGGGGGGGCCCAGCCCATCTCTGGCTCCAGCTCCTCCTCAGCCCTAGGGCCCCAGCCCTGCGTGCTGCCCTCCATGCCAGGGTGGGCCCCAGCCTGGGGTGCCGGCGGCTTGCCCGGCTCTTGCTGGCATGTCAGGATGCGCTGGCTCAGCCTCTGCAGCTGGCGGCCGAGGCAAGCACACTGGGCCCGCAGCCGCTGTAGCTCGGGGGCCTCCTCCCCGGCGGCGGGGGGCTGCTCCAGCGCCAGGCGGAGGCGGCCGACGGCCGAGGAGATGGCCTCCAGCTGCCCCAAGTGGGCCGACTTCCGTCTGCTCAGAGCGGCGATTTCTGAGTCTCTCTCTGCGATCGTCACCTCCTTTGCTCTGAGGGTAGCTTCGAACTCTCGGACCTGGGTGGCCAGGCCCTGGACCTCAGCCTCCCTGAGCGCGGTGCTCTGCTCCAGCTCGGCCAGCCGCTGCGCTGCCACCTCCTCCGCCTCCCGCAGGCGCTGCTGCAGGGCCTCCAGGGCCTGGCTGTGTCCACGCTCCCGCTCGGCCAACAGCTGGCCCAGGGCCTCCTTGGCGGCCAGCGCTGCCTGGAGCTCGCTGTCCAGCTCCCGCTGCAAGCTCTCGGGGCAGCCGCCGCTGGCCTCACGTGCCACAGGTGCCCCCAGGGACAGCTCCCACTGCAGCCTCTCAATGACCTCGTGGAGCTGCTCGACCTCCTTGGCCTTGTCCCTCTGCAGGCGCGCCTGGTTCTCCTGCAAGCTCTCGATAACGGACTTCAGCTCCTCCATCTCAGAGCTCCTGCAGCGCTTTGCCTGAAAGACGCAAGTTTAAAGACTAGCTAGTGTATCAGCGTGAGGATTTCTTTCAACTCACAGTCAGCTTGAACTCTTTCTTCTAAAACCATGTTGCAAGAGAGAACATTAGATGACTAACTTACCTAATCTCGAGATTTACTAAGAAAACAAACACTAGCAAGGAGAGAGTCGAAGTCGCCATCTGCTTCGGGGGCCAGGCGAGCAGTGAGGCAGTGGTGGGAGAAAGGGGGGCGAGGACGGCGCGCTCCACAGGTGCCGCATGCCGGGGCCTGAGCACAGAGCTACTGGCCTGACAAGCAGGGTCTGGTTTTGTTCACTTGCTGTGTGACACGAAGAGAACCTCTACCAAACCAGGGGCCTACCCGGTGGCGCCGCGGCTGAGCGCTGGGTTGCGGAGCTGCCCGCAGCCTCTGCAGCGCCAGTTCGATCCCCGGCCGCCGGCGAGGGTCCCACGTGGCGCGCAGACCTCTCCTGCCGCCCGCTGCTCCCCTCAGCAGTGTCCTTCGGTCCTTCTGCCTGCTCTGCTCCCCGCTCTGGCTCTGGTGAATTCCCTCACCCTCCCGCGCTTCTGACTGTACCCAGTGATTGTACAAACAAATAAATAAATGTTAAAAAAAAAACCTCTATCAAACCTCTACACACCTTTACCAGAAATTGAAAGTGGGGTCACAGAAAACAAAGAGCGCACAGATCTGCCTAGTCTGGAACAAATATCTCAAAAGCAAGCATCTGAGGGGCCTCCCTGGGGGCGCGGGGGCTAGTCTCAGCACCGTGCAGCTGTCACCAGCCACTGTACCCTGAGTCCATACCCAGCCAGGGAGCTACCCACAGGGCGCAGCAGACCTCTCCTGACTCACCTCAGCAGTGGATCTCAGTAAATCCACCTGCTCTGCTCCCCACTCTGTCTCTGGTGAGTCCTCTCACGCCCCATATCTCTGGCCTGTGCCCCAGCTCTTATATGAGTAAATAAATAAACCTTTAAAATACATATATTTCGTCTTTAACAGAATGCGTATCTTTGACGGCCCAATTACATTTACTGCTTTGAGGCTGGCAATGTGCAGCACACGTCACCACTGCGGCCGGCGCCAGAGCACTGCAGACGAGCGGCAACTCTGAAGCCGGTCCCTGGTCCTAACGGCTCCCCTCAAGGTGACACAAAAGGATGTTTACTTTGCCAGACACATAAGCCACCAGCATGTCACTCGTGCGCCAGTAACCGCCACTGCAAACCTGGGTGGGAGAAGCCGCAGTAAAGCTGGAGAACAACCCCCACATGCTGCTCCAAGCTTAGTGACGACCGTCATCGGCGTGTCAGGGACGCAGACCCTGTCACCCGGGGCTGGCGCATGCTCCCAACCGCCGAGCACATGGGACAAAGCGACACAGGCCTGGGCGGCCGGGCCAGGCGCTCACCTCGGCCGCAGACCCACCCCGGGGCCGGGCCAGCCGCTGGCCCACACTCCGCAGCACCTCCTCTCGCTTGCGCAGAGATGCCTGCAGGGTGGTGACAGGGATCGCCTCAGCGGGGGCAGCCCAGCTGGGCAGCTCCACTCAGGCACCTGCTTCAGACCCCCAGCACGTGACCCGTGCTGGCGGCGGCCTCTCGCCACCCCACTGAGGAGGAGCCCCCAGGACCCCGGTGGCCTGCACCGCACAGATGCAGTGGGTGAGGGTCAGCCGGCCCCTCGGGGGCCCCTGGGGCTCAGCCGGCCCCTCGGGGACTGCAGCAGTGGGTGCAGCACACACGGGCAGCCGCTTCACAGCACCCCCGGCCATGTCCATTGCCCACAGCTCTTCTCCCCTCCAGCTTCAGAAACACAATCACGCAGACACAGAGAACCGAGAAGCAGGCCTTGCCCTGTCTGGCTGGGGGCGTGATGGGGGTCAGGTGAGCCCCTCACCTAGAACAGGGGCCCTGGGGTTCCCCAGAGGCTCACCTGCCCTGCCGAGGGTCACTTCCCCCCTTCAGCCTCTCGCTGGAGACCCCTCGCCTGGGACTCTGCTCCCAGGGGCCCTCGGGAGGCTGGCGGGTCTGGGCAGACGCCAGGCCAGTGTGCTCGCTCACCTGCAGGGGTCCTGGCTCTGCGCATGGCTCCCCGGGGTAGGCGGCGGGGCTGTGCCCATCCAGCTGTGCGCCCTGACGGACGACTTCCTCGCTCCTCCTCACCAGGTCGCCTTGGGCGTTTTCTAGTTGTTCTTTCAAGTCCAAGATCTTTCATTAAAAGAAAACAAAGTACAAAAAATGACCAAACTTCTGACCCACTTAATTGCTGCTGAAATTGCTTCTAAAGACAGTAGAGCGTGTGGCAGCCGTTCCCACCCCAGCCCCACAGAGCCCGAGCGGCCTACGGCGCCGCCACACATACCTCGCTCTCACGCTGCAGAAGTGCCCGCCGCATGGCCTCCAGCTGGCCCTCCGGGTCCTTGGGACAGTAGCCTGGACGCCTGCTCTCATTTGGCGGGGGCTGCGAGGCGGACAGCAGAAGCAGGCGGCTCCCGGGCTGGTCCTGCAGCGCCTCCTTCTCCTGTCACGGGTGAAAGGGGAGGTTCTGGGCGGCACGTCGGGACCCGGGTCGGAGCTAAGGCTCGTTAAAGGGCAGCGACACTGGGGCTCCCGTGCGCGCACACACCCTCGGCGCCAGCCCCCGCTGGTCAGGGCTGCCGGGACAATGCCCGAGCCAGTCCGTGTGCCCAGGACCTGTCCAGGAAGCAGCCAGCGCAACCCTGCAGCCAGGTGCACAAACCGTCTCCAGGTCGCCAGCAATTTTTAAAAATTGGAAAGAATTTGCCAAAGACCAGGGCAGTAGCTGACAAAATATCTGCATAATAAACACAAAGGCCCACTGGGACATGGATGGCCAGATGCCCGCAGCCTCTTGCTTGGGCACCACAGAGATACAGCACAGGCCGACCGCGTGGAGAAAGGGCATGTCCTGCACCCAGAGCCCAGTGGGGGTCAGAAACTATGCTGAGGTGGGTGGCGGGAGAGGTGGCCCCAATCTGAGCGGCGCTTGGAGCAGGCCGAGGGCTGGCTGGGATGCCCAGGCAGCTGACCTCAGGAGAGAGGACCAGCCCGAGGTGACCGCCAGAGGGGTGACCTGCACCTCCTCACCACGCGACGAGCCGTGACCCGAAGGGCCGGGTGCCAGGGGTGCAGTGGGGGCTGGAGAGGCCCCCCAGCTCAATGAGCCCATCTGCCCAGCCCAAGGTGGGGCCCCCCTGAAGTGGAACCCGGGGTACCTCCACCTGGGAAGGGCCCTACATCAGGCAGCGGAGGCTGAGCCGGGCCCCCGCCTGAGAGCAGAGGCAGCACTGACCTGCTGCAGTGCCCGCAGGGCCCTCCGCTGTGCCTCCAGCTCCTCCTGGAGCCCGGCCAGGGCCCGCCTGCTGCAGGCGTCGGCCTCCTCCAGGCGTCTGATCTCCTCCTCCTGGGCTGACACCCGCCTCTCCACCAACTCTTTCTGTATTGCCAATTCATTAAGCCCATCTGACTTTTCTCTCAATTTTTCTTGTAATGATTCAACCTAAAACAACAAAACGTGAGAAGTGAAAAGCCTCCCGTACAGGTGGGAGCCCTTCGCCCCAGGGTCAGGCCCACTCTCCCGCCTGGGAGCAGCACTGAGGCCAGCAGGGTGCTCCCAGGAGAAAGACACAATAACACAGACGGAGCTTTTGGGGAGATAAACCGGCTAAGGAACACAACGTCGCTGGGCCACAAAGAGGACCGACTCCAGGGGCTTCCAGCGGGTGAGCCCCACCCCTGGCCCTTGCACCACACTCCCCCTCCATGCCACGCCCTGTGCCACGACCCCATCCCCCAGGCCATGCCCCACGCCACACCCCCACACCACGCCCCTGCCTCCCCACCCCGCCCATGCTGGCCTGTGCCTCTGCGGGCAGCACCCCCAGGACCCAGCAGGGAGGCCAGGCCATTAGAACCACCGCTATTCAACACAAGTCGCATTTATAAAAGAACATGCAAATGCGCTCCAGCAACACCTGAGACAGGTGAGCACCCCATGCAGGCACGCACCCCACGAGTGTGCAGGGCAGGCCGGGACCTACCTCCTTGTCCCTCTGAGGCCACTGTCCCGCAAACATGAAAGCAAAACGTGTGAGGAGATGAACAGGGCTGTGGGACGGGCTGGGCCAGGCCCACCCCCACCCCCCTCCCCTTATGCCAGGGGCCCACTCACCTCACTGTCCTGGGCCCCACTGGGCGGTGGCCGGGCCGCCAGGCGGAGCTGCTCCTCCAGCCTCCGGATCTCCTGCTGGAACTCTTCCCGCTCGTGCTCCCGCTCTGCGGCCTGCTCCTGCGGGGACCCAGTAGCCGGCCTCAGTGGCCCCGTAAGCCCCCCAAGGCGGGGCTGCAGCAGGGGAAAGCACAGAGCAGAGCTGGGGCAGGGGCAGCGATGGCCACTCACAAGGGCACCGGCCTACAGGGAGCCCCGTACTGCACAGGCAGGATGTCCTGGCTGGGGCCAACACTGGACGTTCCCGAGTGCAGGCCACCCTCAAGGTCATGCTGCAGGACGGTGTGACAGCCAGGAAGGTGGCCACACTGACCACAGAGCGTGTTGGGACGCAGGGCTTACATCCATGAACTGCCGCTGGTTGCGCAGGTGCTTGTCCAGGGATTGCAGCTGCTGCCGCAGGCCAGGCAGCTCCTCAGCCTCCCGGGCGCAGGCCTGCTGCCGGGCCAGCTGTTCCTCCAGCTCAGACTCCAGGACCTGCATCTGGGACCGCAGAGCCAAGCGGTCCTTCTCGGCCTGCTGCCTGGTCTCGGCCTGCTCCCGGGTCAGACGCTGCACCTCCCTCTGCAGAGCTGGGGCAGAGGAGAGACAGGAGGGTACCCCTGGGGTACAGGGCAGGCAGGAGGGCACCCCCGGGCTTGGGTGTGGACACACAGCAGGTCCCGTAGGGCCACAGACTGGGACCAACCCCTTGGGAAATGCTTGCTGCCGCCACCCCCCATCCCCCAGGCACCCAGCTCCGCCCAATCCTCACTGGCTTCTGTCTCCTGCTTCTGGCTGCACAGGACGGCCTTCTGATCCTGCAGCTCGGCCTGCTGCTGCGCCGCCCGCTGCAGCTGCTGTCTCAGGCGCTCCAGCTCCAGGACCAGTCCCTGCTCTGAGGCCTCCTTGCGGCCCAGCGCTGCCTGCAGGCTGCACTGCTCCTCCCTAAAGCCCTCGATGACGCCTGCGAGGTAGGAGACAGGCTGCCAGGACCCACGGGCAGTCCCGACAATAGGCGGACACTGCGGCCAGGGAGGGGTCCGAGCCCCCCCAAGCCTGGCTCCTGGCACCCGAGGCCACTGGGAGGGCCAAGCCAGGGTGTGGGGCGGCCCCGGTGCCTGCAGGCCCTCACCCTCCGCCTTGTGCAGCTCCAGGGCCAGCCGTGTCCTATTGGTCGCCTCGGCATCCAGACGCTCGAGCAGCTCCCGGTGCTGCCTCACCACCTGGGCCGTCTCCTCGTTCTTGCAGCTGAATGCCTTCTCGAGCTGAGAGTGGATCTGACGCGCCTCCTCTAGCTGTTAAGACACATTCGAAAGCTGAACTATGCACCCCAAATCCTCAAAACTCATGTTAATCCTGTGAGACCCACGTGCAGAAGGATGCCAGGCCTCGGACGTGCCAGGGAGTGAGCCCTGTTCAAAATCTGCTAGGCCCAAGTGGCTGAACCAGCCCACCCATCAAAATAGGACCTCCCCGGGGGCGCAGCGGTTGAGCGCTGGGTTGTGAAGCTGCCCGCGGCCTCTGCAGCGCCAGTTCGATCCCCGGCTGCTCCCCGGCCACCGGAGGAGGGTCCCACATGGCGCGCAGACCTCTCCTGCCGCCTGCTGCTCCCCTCAGCAGTGTCCTTCGGTCCTTCTGCCTGCTCTGCTCCCCGCTCTGGCTCTGGTGAATTCTCTCACCCTCCCGCGCTTCTGACTGTGCCCAGTGCTTGTATAAATAAATAAATAAATAAAATCTAAAAAAAAAGAAAAAGAAAAAAAAAAAAACCCACGCACCCACATGGGAGCCCTGGCTGGGTGCCTGTGGGGAGGATGAAGGGCCCCGCCAGCAGGAGCCTGCTCCCAGGGCCGACCTGTGTCCCTCTCAGGCCCCAGTCCGTCTCCAGGATCTACCTTGGAGTCAGACACCTACACCCTCTTCCCCGTGTCCCCTCGGCCCCCTCTGTAGGTCACAGTGTCACTGGGGCTGAAGCCAAAGACTGTTACAGGTGGCGCCCCCCTGAAGGGGTGCTGGTGAGGACAGAGCCCAGGGGAAGTGCGACACAGTGTGGTGGGGAGAGACTGTGATGAGAGCTACAATGGCCCGCAGGAGCACCCGCAGCACTCGGAGTTCGGGATTTAGCATTCGGGATTTCAGCGATTCCAGGGTCGACCAGTCCTGCCCCCACCCACACCTATCTCCTGGAGGTTGGTGCAGGCTCTGAAGGACGTGGAGAGGCCTCGGGCAGCCAACCTCAGAGAGGAAAAGTTTGGAGCTTTGCAGGTGGCCGAGTGACCAAAACTGTCCCGAGTTCTGGGGCTGTCACGGCTGCAGGGGATGGCGGCGGCCAGGGGCGGGGCCGCTGCAGCTGCTGAGTATCGCTGGCCTGCAGCTGTGCAGGGGCGCCCCGGCAGTCTGGGAGTGTCTCCTGGGGCGTCTCTGCTGTCTCGTGAGGTGGACCCGGCCGGTGGTCTGGCCGCCACGGGCTCCAGGTCTCGGTGCCGGGAAGACGCCTCTTGGGAGCGTTTGTGTTTAGGACTTTAAACACGGGACACGGCTTTGGGGGAGGAAACGGCCATTGTTGCCCTCGGTGACTCTGTTTCCCCTGGTTCGTTAAACAGATGCCCTTGCTGTTCCCCGAGGCGGAGTGCTCTTGCCATTGTGCGCGTGGGTGAGGAATCAGACGGCGAGCGGTCAGCTATTTGGGCATGTCTTTGCTGCCCTTATCAACAGCCTAGAAAGAAGCCCTTGGTGGCCCAGAAAGCAGCCTGAGGCCGCCTCTCCCTCAGCCACCCACCTAGCACCAGCCCACCAGCTGCCCCCACCCCCTGGCCTCCCCCAACTTCAGAGCTCAACCCAGTCAGGACCCTCTGCTGTGCCCATGGCCCTGCCTCCGGGGGACGGTCAACACCAGAGGCTGGTGGACCCCCGCAGGCCTGGATGTCGCCTAGTCTGCGCCCCCAGAGGCCCTCAAAGCCCCCACTAGTCACACTTGGGGGAAGGGATAAAGCATAAACTGCAGGTCCCGTGCATCTGCCCGGCTGAGCAGGGAGAAAGGCGGGCACGGGGCCAAGGTGGCTGGGCCAGAGGCCAAGCCAGCCCACGCTGGTGCTGCCCTGCAGAGGGGATGCCACGGTCCACATCCTCGCAGAGAGAGGACCCCTGCCCTCAGACACTGCCCTCTCATCTTTCTGAGTGTCCAGAACATTCTCTAGATATTAGCAGAGTGATTCACTTTTCCACTGATGGCCCCTGAACACAGGCTCGCCCGGGCGGCCCCGTCTGCTCCCAGCCGCGCCTGGGTTCCTTCTCACCTACAGCAAGCAGTGGCCGCAAGATTACGCTCGGAAGACGCCTCCTCAGGAGGACCGTGGCGCTGAGCAGTGACCGGGGGGGAGGCGGCCGGTGCACCCCAGAGCCCACAGCGGCCCCAGAATCCGACTAACAGGGTCGGGACTACCCAGGTGTCTCACCTGCCTGGTGGAGCCCAGGGCCATCTCCAGGAGGCCGTCCACCGCCAGGCCCAAGCTCCGGTAGAGCCCCCTGATGGGCTGTTCATATCCCTGGGTGCTCTCTGGGCTCAGGAGGAAGCTGTCGCGGATGTGGCTGCTCATCTCAGCCTCCGAAGACACCTCCGTGCACTCGGGCAGTGTCTTGTCCAGCTCCAGCAAGGTGGCCTCCAAGCCCGGCCATGTCTCATCCGGCCCTGGGCCTGTGAAGGGAGCCAGCATAGAAGACTGTGCCAGGGAAGCAGCCACCCCCCAGGCCACGAAGCACCCGCCTGGTCAGGGCCTCCCACAGCACCCGCGACCGAGCTGGCCCGGCCTCAGCGCAGCAGAGCCCTCACCTGCACATGGGCCCTCGTCCCCTGGCCGCACTCCAGGTGGGCTCTCGGCATCCAGGCAGAGACCCACGCGCTCGCCAATGCGCGTCTTCAGGGCTGCCGCGGCCTTCACCGTCTCCCCAAACAAGCCAAGCAGCCTCCTCAGGGCCTCGCGGAGGGCTCTCCTGGAAGGGCGGGGGCGGCAGGTGTGGCGGACGCCACTGGGCCAGAGCTCAGGCCGCAGGCAAAGAGAGCTTTGCACCGCGTCCCATGATGGCAGCACCCGCCCGAGAAAGGGGCCCCCAAGCTGCACGTGCAGACGCCCGGGCAGCCGAGCGCGAGGCCATCCTGATGTGGACACAGGCCGCTGAGCGGCACCTGCCCCTCACACAACGGGGTCAGTGTGGCCCCAGGAAAGTGCTTCCAGAAGGGGCTTCCCCAGGGCTCGGTCTGCAGAAGGCGGGGAGGGCCGGGGCAGGACGGGTGGGGCAGGCAGAGACTGGAAGGGGCAGGCAGCGTCTCCGCAGTGGGAGAGTGAGGGGCCCTCAGTCAGACCCAGAGGCCCTGCAGCCAGCACCCCAGGGAGGCTGGCCCAGCCCGGGCAAGACACCAACCTCTCGCCGTGAGCCAGGCCCAGGTCAGCCTGCAGCAGGGCCAGGAGCCGCGCGCCCTCCTGGTTCTCCCGGTCGCGCCGGCGCTGCAGCGTCTCCAGCTCCGAGCGGCCAGCCTCCGCCTCCCGGCGCAGGGCGCACACCTGGTCTTCCAGCTGTCGAGGAGAAACTGCAGTTATGACGACTCGGACAGAGACGAGCCTCTGAGGCTGCTGGTCTCCGCCCATGCCTGGTCAAAGCTGAGATGGGGCTCAGGGAGGTCGCCAGCGGGCAAGGCCCAGCTGGGACCCAAGGGCCCGGCGCCCAGCCACAGCCTCCTCCCATGGGGCCGCACAAGACCGCGGAGAACAGCACAGGTGGGGCCGTGGGGGAAACAGAGGCGACGGCTCCGCGGCTCTGCAGAGCTGATGCGTCAGCAGGGGCTTCCGTTCATCAAAAGGTTAAAAAACAAAATGCAAGTTAGAAGAAACGCAGAAGACGAGTTTCCGTAAGAAAACGCTGCTTTAAAGCAGGAAATGACAAAAGCACCGACAGATGCAAGTGGCCCCTTGGTGGGGCCAGCCCGGCAGGGGCCCCACGCCCTCGCCCGCCTCGCGCCGCGTCCCCCTCTGCCTTCCTCCCAGCCAAGCCACCCCGGACGAGCCCTGGTGTGATGGGCGGCCTGTGCGCCGAGTGACCCTCAGGGCTCCATGAAGTTGGGGGCGCCCGGTGCTGGGAGGAGCCGGTCAGGAGACACCTGGAAAGGCCCCTTCAGGCCCTCCCGGCCCAGCACAGGGGGCCCCGCGGTGGGAGCACTCCCGGCGGCAGCTGAGACTGCCAGATAGCTGCCTGGACACCGGCTGAGAACGGGTCTGCGCCCCGAGACGGGGGCCCTGTGCAGACGGTGTGATGAGGCGGCACGCACAGAAGTGACAGGAGGAACATGCCGCCCAGACGCCAGCCGCCCAGGCATCGGCAGACATTCTCCAGAGACAGACAAATGGCCAAGGAGCCCCTAAAAGGGCGTCCACAGTGTTAGCCTGGCCCAACCACAGCGACCCCCGTCAGCAACAGAAAAGGACAAGCGTGGGGAGAGTAGCGAGGGACGGGGTGGGATGGCGGGGAGAAGCAGCAGGGCTGCGAGGGCGGGCACCACACACACCTGCTGGACGCGGCCGTCCTCCCGGGGCTGCAGGGACAGAGCCTTTTTTCCCTCGGGGCTGCCAGGCCCCTCTCGCTCAGGTCGCGCTGGCCCTCTTCCACTTTCAAATGCTCCCTGTGCAGAAGAACGTTTTACCAAGAAAGTCCTAAAGCAACTTGGACCTGCTGCCGTGCGCTTAGCGGCTGCCTCGGGAAGGCAGGGCTGCTCCCCACGGCCACCCCAAGAGCAGAGCGGCCCCTCAGGGGCCAAAGCCCTGGCTGGCTGAGCGCCTCCGGCCCTGTGAGGCGCATGTCTGCTCGGTCCCGCTCCAGCTCTAGCCACAACTCCACTGCCCAGAGAAACTGCCACGGCAGCCGCCTCCAGACAAGGGGCGGGGGCCTGAGCGGGGAGCACACGCCTGGGGGCCTGACCCATGCACCAGCCAGCGGCCACCGTCGCCACGCCGCCCTCGCCCCTCCACCCCTCGCCACGCCGCCCTTCGCCACACTACCACCTGCTCACGAGAGGGTGGACAGCGCCCGCTGCCTGGCCCCAGCGGGGAAAGACCAACGGCCAAGCAGCACCCGCAGAGCCCGCAGCCATGGGGAGGCAGGAGGTGGCACCTCACTGCTTCTCCAGCCACTTCAGAAAGCACTTCGAGGCCTTTTGCTCAGACAGAGCCACAGGTGGCCTTCGGCTCAGCAGGGGAGGTCTGTGGTCTCCCCTCAAGGGGCCCGGGCAGGCCTGCCAGCCTGGGACTGAGCACAGGCCCTCCCAACGGGCAGCCCCGGGCACGGCAAGCGGGCTGCTGGGAATCGCCAGGAGCAGGTGAGGGCTGGGGCTGCGACCTCGAGCAGGGCCCCCTGCCCTGACTGGAAAGGCTCAGAGGCTCTTACTGCCTGAGACCTCTGTGCAGACGCTGCTTGCACCTCAGCGAGACGGAAATGTCTGTGTGCTACGTGGCACTGCTGGTGCACACAGAGAGATCAGAGACTCATCTCAGATATTCCTAAAAATCCACACAGATTTAAAGGAAATGTCACAGGTATGTACTTCCTGACCCTTTGCAGAAAAGAAAGTGCCACTGGCAAGAGATAGAGCACGGACGGGGACAGCGGCCAGTGCCGGAACGCTTCCGAGCTGACCCCACGCCCTGCGCCTTCCAGCGGAAGGGGAAGTCGGCCCAGCTGCCCAGGAGGCCCATACCGGGAGAGGAGAGAGGCCGGCACAGCCCTGCCCTGGCACTCGCTCCAGGAGCCCCAGATGTCCCGCGGCCAGGCTCGGTGCCGCGATGAGGGCACCGACTCTGCAGACAGGTGCAAAGATATTTGTGGCCCAGACGAGCCCACTCACGGGGTGGGGACAGCTTGTTCCTGCTATTTTGGGGACAGTGACCTGGCGTGCTGAGAAGCGCCCCACGAGGCATCCCGTGGCCGGGGTGCAGGGAGAAGGCAGGGGCAGAGCGGGGCCGAGGGGTATCCTCGCCGCTGGGGTATCCTCGCCAGCAGGGCCTGACAGCCGCGCCCCTGGGTCGGCGCCGAGGGGGCTGAGGTGCTGAGGGAACTGCAGCGTCACCCTGAGACACTTCAGGCCGGACTGCATGGTGACTTAGTCACCAGGAGCCACTGAGAGGGCCACTGACTGGGGGAGAGCCCCTTCGTGCTGTCGCTCTCGCCGGTAAAAGGCTAACGTGAAGCGGTGGAGAGAACGTGACAGGCTTGCGCGGAAACACCGGGGGCGGGACAGAGAAGAGGCAGGAGGCTGAGGGCTGCCGTGAGGATCTGCAGCTAGTCGGGCCAGACCCCACGCGGTCCCTGCAGTGCCCCCACTGGCACCCTGACCCCGCCCCCAGGACCCGCAGCTCTGCCCCAGGAAGCCACGGGCCAGGCTGGGCCACAACCCTCCACCGCCACTTTCACAGGGACAGGGGCCTCCGTACTCTTTCCAGAGACCCTCCCGGCCGCGCCTCCAGCCACACAGCAGAGGCTGCGCCTGCGCAAGGGGCTCCCATCTGTGCAGCCTGAGGAGCAGCGGCTTTGAGCATGAGCATGCAGGGGTGGGGGGCGGGGGCACAGACGAGCTACCAGAAGCTGCTGCAGAAACCCTGCCCCTCTGTCCATATAGGCCCGGGCTCCTAGTTCCCACCCCAAAGGCTGCCAACCACTGACAGCACGTCAGCTGCCAGGACAGCGATGTCCCTGCAACGTAGCATGCCCCCCACCACCCCCGCCCCCGGCACCCGGCTGGCCCGTGGCGGCCTTGGTGCTCGTGACGAGCCTCTGGTGACACAAGCATGGGCCGTTTGCCAGCAGGACCCGGCGCAGGGCTAGGGAGTGATGCAGAGACAACGAAGCAGGTGGCCACATGTGGCAGGGCTCACCTGAGGGTCTGTAGGCAGCGAGCTCTCCGGGTCCTGGGGCAGCACGGACAGCAGGGCAGGGCCCCTCCCGTGCGTCTGCCCCTCCAGGTCCATGCACAGCAGCGCCAGGTCCTGAACCTCACCCAGGTGCCGGGACCCCAGGGTGTCAAGGCCAGCCGCGTGCTGCGTCCGCAGGGCGCTGACCTCCGCCACGTGCTGGGCCTGCAGGCCAGCCGCACGGGCATCCACCAGGGCCCGCTGCTCGCTCTCCAGTGCGGCCCTCAGCTCCGCTGCCTGAGCCTGGTGCCGTGCCTCCAGCTCAGCGGTCAGGGCCAGCATGTGCTGCCGATGCTCCTCCCGCAGGCGCTGGAGTTCGGCCTCGTGCCTCTCCTGGGCCTCCTGCAGGCGGGCGTCCTGTTCTGCGGAGAACTTCCCTGTGGTTTCCTTACGTTCTTCCAGAAACCTGAGACGACAGGCGCCGTGAGCGCAGCGGACCCCACATCCCACCCCTGCGCGCGCCCCAGGCCAAAGCAGCCCACGACCCCACAGCCACGGTAGGCCATGGGTACGCTGGGCAAGGGCCCGGGCAGGGCAGGGCCTTGGGAGCACTCTGGGACCTCAGAGCAGCTGGCCAAGCGCGAAGGCACAAGGATTGCAGGAGCGGCCGGTACCTGGGGCGGGAAGCCTCGATTCTAACACAGCTCCCAGAGCTCACAAGGAACTGGGGAGCTCCAGGCACTGTGGACTCCCACACAGGGCCAACCTGGGTGGGTTCACATACCCGGGAGGGCCAGGTCTGGGCACCAGGCTGCACCTGGTGGTGGTGGCCCCAAGACTGTCCCGCTGGGGGCAGCACCAGGGTCATCCGGGCCCCACGTTCAGCTGGAGCTGAGGGTACTGGACCCGCAGCCCTTCCACCCCAGGGCAGATGCACTCGCGCCCCATACAGGGCTGGTGGCCACGGGAGAAGCAGCAGAGCCAGGGGGTTGCGGGGACCCCAGGCCCCCAGCCGGCCCACACGCTCGGCCACGGGCATGGCAGCCAGACCCAGACTCAGCCTGTCCGCATCGTGAATGCGGGCGCCAGCTGTGTGGGGCCAGCACACGGCGCTGCCCGCTGAGCCTGGGTGAGACGCGTGCAGTGCCCACCCCTGCCGGTCTCCCTGGCACCCCCTGCCCCGTGCAGAACCCAGGGGCGGCGGAATCAGCACTCGGTGCCCCACGGCCCCTGCCCCCTCGGCGGGCACCCACCTGTCTGGGGCTGGGGTCAGCTGCAGCGTGCAGTCCTCCTTTGGGCAGCGCATGGCCAGCTCCTGGCCGCACTGGCTGCAGGGCGCGGCCTCCTCCGCGGCCAGCCCCTGCTCCAGCTGCCTCAGGCGGCCCTGCTGCTCCGCCAGGGAGGCCTCCAGCTCCAGGATCTGCGCCGCCTGCTGAGCCTGCAGCTGCCGCATCTCCCGCTCGCGACACTCAAACTCGCTCGCCAATGACTGTTTCTCGGACTCCGTCCGCTCGCTCAGTTCCAGGAGCGCGCGCGCCAGCGTCTCCTCTGCGCTCCTCTGCAGGGCCTCGCGTACGCCTCTCCATTCTGCTTCTTTTTCCTTTAAATCTTGTTTCATCACCTGAATCTGCTCTTCAGCTTTCTTTAGTTCTTCCTGGTGCTTTTTAACCAAGTCGTGCCGCACCTACGGAAACACGGCTTTGTGTGCGGAGGGAGAAGCTGATGGGAAGGACAGCTACGGCGGCGACCAGACCCATCTCTGAGCACCGGGCCCGCACCCTGGGCTCTGCTGGCCCCGGCGAGGAGCCTGATGCCAGTGGGAGCAAGAGGCATGTGGCCGGAGCACAGCCACACTCCTTGCTTCAGAGAAAAGCTCCCCCACCCTGGTCCCCAGATGGCCAGGAGAAAAGGCAACTGAAGACACTCGCACTCGCACCCCTGACCCAGGGACATGCAGCAGGGGCCCAGCGAGCAGCCACTCACGCGCTCTGCGTCCTCCCCCAGGCGGCTGTCCCACTGCCGCTCCTCCCGCAGGTTCCTGTTCTCTTTTTTCAAGAGGCTGATCTCCTCCTCGAGCAAGAGCGCCGCCTTGCGCTCCGCTTCCAAATCCAAGGCTCTGGAGGCCACCTCTGCCTGCACTTTCGAGGCCTGGTCCTGCGCGTGGCGGGGACATGCCCGGGTGAGCTCTGCAAGGGGCCAGGCACAGGGACAGTCGGGCGCTGCAGAACCCACAGCTCGGGCCTCACACGCTTGGGTGCAGGGTCCCAGGCGCCATACGACCGCACTGTGCCCTCGGTCCTGCAGTCCACTGAGCCTCGGCTCGTCCCAGTGGGGGTGACTGAGCCCAGCACAGCCAGGGGCTCCCTCACGAAGGAGGAGCTGCCACCCGCACAGGGCCCAGCACCCCGCATGGGGCCGGCCAGGCGAGCCCACAGTGCCTGGGATGCCTGCCCCGCTCCTGCCTGCCCGGAGGGCCTCACCCCATTCTCCCAGCCAGAACCTCCTTGGCCCTGCTGACCATGTGGCTGGGCCATCTGAGTCAGCGACCCATTTCCTGACCCTCCCATCTGCATCGCAGCCAGCTCAGTCCCCCGAGAAAACTGCCTGTGGACAGAGCTGCCCGCCCGGCTCGAGACCCTCGACTTCAAGCCCCCACGTGAGGATGCCCCGGAGGCACCAGCACAGCAGAGGGACAGCAGCCCAACTGTTCCCACGGGCCCACTCAGCCAAGGTGCCCCCCCACCTGCCCCACACCCCCCGCCGTGGCAGGCGTCAGCCGGCACCCACCTGGGCCGGACTCTGGGCTGGCCGGCTCCTGCTGGGCCTCAAGGAAGGATGCTGACGCTGCTGGCTGGCACGGGGAGCATTCAGGCAGCACGATCACCGGGGTCAAGCTCTCCTGTGGGCAACAGGCAGGAGTCCCCCTCCACTCACCCGCCCCGCCCACGGCTCACCCAGGTGCACACCCAGCAGGGGCTGCCCCATTCCAGCATCTGGTGCCAAAGCAGGGCTGACCAGCCCCGTAAGGAGCTGCCCAGGGCCTGGTTCTGCAGAGGGCCCAGTCCTGGTGTCGCACTGCACAAGGCCTGCCCGCTAGCCCCCACCCGTTGTATCTCCCGGGGAGTTTTCATACAGAAGTAGCCTCTCAGGGAGCTTCTGGTTTGCTGAGTCCTGGCCAGTGACCTGACACCTGGGGGTGGCGCAGCTTCCGCATGCCCCGCATCCCTGCGTGCGCAGGGACCCTGGGGAGCCAGAGTCCACCAAGCCCGCCCCTCCCCCACAGAGCCAGCTTCGGCAAAGCACAGGTGTGAGCTGCCCCCACCCGCCCCAGGTCAGCAGCACACAGCCACTGGCCCCCTCCTCCCACCCCCCCCCAGGTCCCCCAGGCCCACCTCCCTCCACTGCTCCTGCTCCGTGAACTCCAGCTCCTGAACATGCTGGTGGTGCTCGGTCTGCAGGTCTGCCCGTAACTCCTGCGGCATGGCTTCCTGCTGCGCCTGCAGCGTCTGGAGGGCACCTGGGAGGCAGACAGCAGCCACTGGCCACCCTCCGGGCTGCTCACCAGCCTGGGGCACAGGCCAGCATCCCCCATCGGGCTGAAAATGGGACTCAGGTCAAACCCGCATTTGTGGTAGCAATTTAGCAACAGAAAATGTAAAAACTGTCTCAACACAAAGATTTCTGGAAAAAAACGCCCAGGGACTGAGAGGCCTGCGGCTGGGTGGGAGGCCGGTCCCCGGAGACATGGCCCAGATTCCAGCACTGGACACTCACGTTCAGCCTGAGTCTTCGCCTGAAGAGCCTTCTCCAGCTCAGCCTTCTGCTCTACTGACTCCTTCCTCAGCTGGTCTCGCAGGCGCCCCAGCTCCTCCTGGTGCCGTGCGGACAGCTCCCGGCGCAGGCTCTCCAAGCTCAAGTCCCTCTCTGACACCCAGTCCTGCCGCAGGGTCTGACAAGCCCACGAGGAGGCGGCTGCGCTGAGGACCGATGTCGCGCCAGCCACCCGCCTACCCACCTACCACAGCCCCGCAGGAGACGCGCCCTCCCTACTGCTAAGGGAGGGGCTGGGGGAAGAGGTCTAGGAAGCCCGGGCAGAGGCGGGCTCCCGGCCAAGGCCCAGCACAGACCCCGGCCCGGCTATGCAGCAGGAGGAATCATCTGGGGCTGCAGGGCCCGCGGCGCCAGCACTGTGCCCACCAGGATAGCTGTCCCTGAGGACAGTGCAGCCCCTGTCCCCTGCCCCAGAGGCTCCCTGGCTACTGGGACCGGGCATCAGGGCAGGTGGGGAGGAGCGGGGGAAGAGGCGCTGGTGGCACCACACCTCCATCATCCGGACGTTCTTCTCCACCTCCAACTGCAGCTTCTCCTTCAGCTCGGCTGAGGAAAGACACAGCACTCTGATCTTTCCAGGGCTGTCAGCTGGACATGAGAAGGCTCCCCACACCTGCCCCCCACATGTCCCCGGCCCGTCCCCAGGAAAGCGGGGCCCGACACTCAGGCCTGCCCACATCCAGGTGGGCACCCTCGGCCTTGAAGCTCATGCTATGCCCTGCACCCCCCACCCAGGGCCCCCAAGGGAAGGGGGCAAAAGGGTATCCCGAGCCTCCACAGGTGGCCCACCAGCCCTGGGGCACCACCTGCAGATCTGAGCCCCTGGGAGGTGGAGGCGGGGCCGGGAGGGCGGCCTGCCAGAGCCAGGCACAGAAAGGGCCCACACCTGCCCGGCATACAGGGCCCAGCCAGGTGGCTGCGAAGCCGGGGTTGCGGGCTCAGAGGCCTGTCTGTGGGGCTGGGGGGGTTGGTCTGCGCCAGCCACAGGGCCCACCTGTCTCCTGGCCCCACCGCTGCACCAGCTCTTCGCGCTCCCGCGCGTGCTGCTCCCGGACCAGCTCCAGCTCCCGCCGCTGCCGGCCCTGTGCCAGCGCCAGCTCCTGGGCGTGCCGGCCATTGAGCGAGGCCCGCAACTCCACCAGCGCTGCCTCCTTCTCCCGCTGCAGGGCGGCCTGCGCCAGCTCCAGGTGGGCCGCGTGCGCGTCGTGCAGGCTCAGCCGCAGGGCCTCCAGCTCCAGGCCCGGTGGAGGCTGCGGGGGTGGGGCCACGCTGTCTCCACCAGCACCCCTGTGCCGGCCGGAGGCACCCCCCAACCCTGCACTGCCCGTCCCATCCCACTGGCCTCCCAGCCTCCAGAACAGCCCCCGAGAGCTCGTCCCAGGCCCCCGTTCACATGGCCTCTTGGGCTCGCTCTCCAACTAGACCCAGGCTCCCGTGGGCCACCCCCCTGGATGCAGGCCCCGCCGCACAGAGGCAGGGTGGGCCGCATGGGATGGCCCCTGTGGCAGAGCCACGCCAGCCCATCTCACTGGGGGCATGGGTGTCCTGAACCCCACTGAGGGGCACAGCGAGGCCTGGCCACTGAGGGCCAGTCAGGCTGCCCTACTCAGATTCTAGGGGGAGGGACTAAAGAGCCAAGGGGCAGGAGACCCTAACAGAGGAGCCACGCTTAGTCCCAATCAACATGCTTGATAGAAAGCATGGTTAGAGCCAGAGCACCAAATGGCGCAAAAAAAGCAAGCAAAGACAGTGATGGGGCGGGGAGGGGGGGCAGGGCGAGACAGTGGAGGAAGGGGGGGCCGGGGCAGGGCTGGGGCACACACCCCAAGGGCCAGGGCATAGCAGGCACAGCCCACAGAGCACAGATACCCCAGGCTCCCGTTATGGCCTGTGCCCCGCAGGGCAGGAAGCCTTGACCACGTGCTCGAGTGTGGCAGCTCCAAGGCCCACTCTTTGTGGGGCTCAAAGAGCAAAGCCAGTGGCTACAGGTCCGCGCAGGCCCAGTAGCACCAGCAGCCTGGCTGCCGCCATGGCCACACACGTCCCTCCACCTGCCCTCCAGTGTGCACGCCCAGACATGGTCCTTGCGTCCAGGCGAGCGGTCACCTGGGTCTGCAGCTGCTCCAGCTCGGCCACTGGACCCTGCCCGCCGGGCTGGCCTTCGTGCGGGCCCCCGGGCTTAGCAAGCTCACGCTCCAGTGCGCGCTCCTGGGAAGGGGAGCACAGGGGCCAAAGACTCACTGAGGAATCAGCCCCTGAAACCAGCGCCACCACGGGCAGTGCCCTCAGGAGCCGGACAGACACTCAGGATGCAGCTTTACAACGACCTGGGCCGCCCCACACCTGGCAGAGGATCCACAGCCCAGGCCCCAGCCCCATCCTCTAGGGGTGGACGGTGCCCTCCTCTCTCCAGCACCAGGAGCAAAGAGCAAAGGTCAGCAGGCGGTCAGCGGGGCCATGCTGCCTCCCCTACGGTCCCTCGTGGGAAGAATACCTTTGGAGGGTCCCCAGGCTGCTCCCGGCACTCGACACCTAGCTTGGGCTCCAGCGACGAGGCATCTTCCGGCCTCTGTCCATCGGGGCACTCCGGCTAAGGATGGGCACAGAGAGCACTGACAGCCAGGTGCCCAGCCACGCTGCACCCTCAGAGCCCCATCCCAGGGTGGGGGCCAGCAGGGCCGCTCCCCTGAAGCCTTCGCTCAGGCCGGCGCTGAAGCGCCGCCCCCAGCATCTCAGCCAGCTCCACTCTCCCAGGTCCACGCACATTTTCTAAGCTCGGAATTTTACGACAAGTCAAACGGTCCATTTCTGAGGCGTCCTGCTCTAGACAAGCGTCTTCCTTGACGCTTGGTGCAAAGAGCGCTTTCCTTTCTTTCCGTAAATCATCTCGAACTTGCGTTTCAAGTTTTCCAAATGAGTCTTCCCCGGTCTTTCTGAGCCACACATTCGCGGTAACTCCGGCTTTCATCCTGCCGTGCAGGGCACAGCGGAGAGGCCGCAGCCCAAGCCCATCGCTGCAGGCAAAGGGCCCCGGGCCTCACTCCAGGCCTGCGGGCCTCGCCCCTCCGTGGGGGCCACAAACCCAAGAGGGGTGTCGGTGTCACCGGGGGCAATGCTAAGCAATGGGAGGGCTGACGTTTCATGGGCATGCTCCTCGGGCGGCTGGTCCTGTGGACGGCGAGCGCCGTGCTAAGGAGGCTGGACGTTCTCTCTGTGACCACTGCCTGGGCCCCTGGAGCTCCCGAGACACAAGCGGGCTTGGGCTTGTCGTCCGTCGTGACGCCACAGCTCTGGCCAAAAGTGACCTTCTCACACTCCCCGGATGCAAAGAATGTCATGTAACCTTCTACGAGCTAACTTTCGTTACAGAGTTTCAGCAGTTACTACGCTCTATCTTCAGGTTATCTCTTAGTGTTTGGGCTTTGAAAACAGTAACCACAAAGGCCTCCCTGGTGGCGGAAGGAGTTAAGCACAGCACTGTGAAGCAATCCACAGCCTCTGCAGCGTGAGTTCAATCCCCGATCCGCGGCCGGCCAGGGAGCAACCCACATGGCGAAGCAGACCTCTCCTGTCTGCCTGCTGCTCCCCTCCCCTGTATATTTCAGTCAGTCTGCCTGTTCTGTTCCCCACCCTGTCTCTGGTAGATCCTCTCACCCCCCACATCTCTGGCCTGTACCCCAGCTCTTGCATTCATAAGAAAATAAATTTTCTAAAAAATAGTAACCACAGGACCTCCCTGATGGCCTAGGGGTCAGTCTCAGGCTGTCACTGCAGCAGCCTGAGTTCAATCACTGGCCAGGGCGCTGACCCACAGGGCACAGACCTCTCCTGTCAGTGGATCCGCCTTTTCTGCTCCCCACTCTGTCTGTGAAGAATTCTCTCACCCCCCCCGCACCTCTGGCCTGCATCCCAGTTCTTCCACCAAAAAAATTAAATATAACCATTAAACAATGTTAACTACACCCTGCCAGCTAGGCTGCGAATGTCAGCTGCCCCCTGGCTTGCGGCTCACTGCATGGAGGCCCAGGCCAGCAGGACACATGGCCCAGGTGCCGCATGAACAACAGGACTGACGTGGGCAGGGAGCCCTGTCCAGAGAGTGGGCCTCACCTTGGTCGTGAGGCCCAGGACAGAGCATCAGGCACAAGCTGGAGGTTCCCCCTCCGCCCCCAGGGCAGAGAAGGCTGAGGGCCCATACACACATGGGCAGTCCAGGACCCCAAGGAGGCATCCGCAGCACTGCGTCCCCCCATGGCCAGGAGCGCCCACCAGTTTCCAGCAGCCAGTATGCACTGCCCACTCCTTCCCAGCAGGCAAAGGGACCACCTTCGGGGCCGGCTGAACCAGATGCCCAGTGGTCACTAGAAGCCCAATGAGAGGATGTGTGGAGGATCTTGAAAGCAACCACCAGGCTAGGCGGACAGAGCCTCCAGGATGCAGGGAAGCGCCAGCTCCAGAACGGTAAACCAAGACCCAGCAGGACAACAGGGCGTGAAGGGGCACTGGGCTGGGCACAGGTGGGACCCCAGCCCAGCCACGGCCCCCGGCAGCACGGCCATCCCAGGCCAGGTCTGTCCGCTCTTCCACAGAAGTGAAGTCCCAGCCCCACCCCTAGGACAGACACTCACGACCGTGCTCCTCCTGCACCGGCCCCCACTCTGCTAGTTCCTTCTAGCACACACCCCCTCACCGGTGCTGCCCACGGCGCCTCGGGCCTCACACACAGGGGGCTGCCCGAGGAGAGCCTGCTGTAGGGAGGCTGGCCGCTCCCGCAGCACCACTCCCACATCCACCACGCCTCCCCCCCTCCCCCCAGCAAGGCCCCAGGGAGGACTGAGAAGAGCCCCAAGCAGCACTCAGGCCACGCCTTCCCAGGTCACTGCAGGGGACAGAGGCACCGCCTTTCACCAGCCCAACCAAGGTGCTGAGAGGGCACCGCGGGGGATGACCGGCCCTACCTGAACAGCTCCTGGGGCTCCGGGGGCGTCGCCAGCGGACCCTGCTAGCGGGCTCTCCTCCGGGACAGGCGCAGCGACAGCCGTGCCCTTCCTCGTCGCCGCCGCTTTCTTCGGACGCGCACCGTCGCCTTTGGTCCTCCTCTGCCGGAAGTGAGCAAGCTGCGCAGGAAGGCGGAGAGGTAGTAGAGGCCCAGGTAGGCCAGGAAGACGTAGCAGAGCCACAAGGCCAGCAGCCCGGCGGAGGGCATGGGGCCGCCTTCCTCGGAGCCCACCCCAGGACGCCCTCCTGCTTCTTAGCAGTTTACGAAAAATATACTTTTTAGACTCCACGCGTCTACCAAATGGCTGCCAATGTAGTCAAGGCCCGTGGAGTGGGGGGGCGCAATGCGGGGCTTCGGCTCCCCTTCCTGCCCGGCCACGACTGGGACTCAACCCGGAGGAGATTCTGAGACGAGGCCCAGAAATAGCAAAAAAAATTAATGAAGCCGGGTCAGCCCAGCACCCTCCGTCACGGAATCAGCTGCTCCAGTTTTGTGACACAGCTCCCCACAGCCCCAGGGACCCCAGGACAGGGCCCGCCTGCGCACTGGGCCTGTAGGCCCCGCTCTCACACCAGCACTCTGCCATGAGGGGGGGGCTCCCTGCGGCTTCTGAGGGGGGACGCCTAGGCACAGAAACAACAGCCTGGGAGACGCGCACATGAGAACGCAAGGACCTTCTTGCGGGCCCAAAAACTGACTCGAGGCCACAGGCAGCCCCTGGTCACCCGCTTTGCACCCCCTGCACCCACCTGGGGCCAACGACCCCTTTGCGTGGCAGCCTCCTCTCTGGCCTATGCTCCCCAGTGGGGCCATTTTGTTACTGCCTGGCACAGGACTGCTCGTGCCCCTCCTGGCAATGCCGCCACCCCTTCCCACGCCAAGGCAGGCTGGGGAGCACAGGGGAGCCTGGCCTTCTGCTCAGGCCGTCTCCAGCCCAGGAGGTGTGGGGCACTCCACAGGACCTAGCCGCAGCCTCCCTCTGCAACCCCAGCAGCAGTGCCACCCTTCCGAAGGCCTCAACAGGCCGCTGCCCCTGCCTGTCACCTGCCGTCCCTGCCGCTGCTCGCAGGGTCCGAAGGTTCTAAAAGTGGGGCACAGGCTGCTCCCGCCAGGAAAGAGCACCTGGGGCACCTCAGCTGACCCATCCCTGACCCTGCGGGCTCCACTCCTGCTGCACAGGTGGTGAGTGCCCCTCTTGCCCTCCGGGAGTGGCCATGTCCAAGCGAGCACATGCGCTCTCCCCATCCTAGAGCGCAGGCCTCCTGACAGACAGCCCAATCCCCGCGACACGCCCAAAACTGGGCGTCCAGAGTGGTGTTTGTGCGGGACTGGGGGGGCCCTCGGGTGCACGCGGGCTCTGGGCACTCCGGGGCTGGCATGGACACGCGCGGGGCACGCGCAGCGCCGCCCCCCGCCGCCCGCCCTCCCCTGCGCCCGCTGACGCGGGGAGCAGGTGCCTCGGGCCCTCGGGTGGGGGGGGGCGCGGGAGGCGCCCGGGCAAGCCCCGGGACCGGCTTATATTTTGAAGACCGCGGAATTCCAAACAAAGCGAGAGCCCGCTGGTGGATTTAAGTGGATGAATGGGACACGGACGCCGGGAGGGCCGCGCCTGGACGCCGGGACGGGGCGCGCGGGCGGGGGCGCGCAGGCGGGGGCGCGCGCCCGCCGGGAGTCCGCCCGCCGCGCCCGCCTTCCGGCCCCGACGCGCAGGCGCGGCCCCGCCCCGCCCCGCCCCCCGCGCGTCCCTGCCGCGGATTGGCGGCGGCGGCGACGGCGGGGGCGGGCCCGGGCGGAGGGCGGCGGATTCAAGATGGCGGCGGCCGGGAGCGGGCTCCGCCGGGTCGGCGGCAAGGGCGAGCCGGCGCCGGGCCGCGCACGCTCCGAGCCCGGGCGGCGGCGGGCTGCGGGCGGCGGCGCTGCCGTTACCTTGGCTCTCCCGGCCTCCACCTTCCTGCGCCGCTGCTCCTGCTCGTCCTCCTCCATCGCCCTCCGGGTTCCGCGCGGGCGCCCGGCAGGTGACGGGGCCGACGCGACGCCGCCGGCGCTCTATTTACACTCCCGCCCCCAGCCGGCGCGCCCTCCCGACAACTGTCACGCCGACGTGCGCCGCCCCGCCCGCCCCGCCGCCGCGGCCAGTCAGGGCCGAGCCCCGCCCCGCGCACGCGCGCCAGGGACGCGGCCCGCGCGGCCTCCGATTGGCGCGGCCGGGGGCGGGGCCCGGGGCGCGGCCGGGCGGCCCGTTTCAAAGGGGCGGCTCCCCCGGCGCCCGCCCGCCCGCGCGCCCGCCCGCGCGCCGGGGCCTGGGGCCGTCGGGCCTCTCCGCGGCGCCCGCAGCCAGCGGGGTCGGCGGCCCGGCGGGCGCGGCGGGGGCGCGGGGTCGGGCCCCGGGCGCAGGGAGGGGCCTGGGGCGCAGGAAGAGGACCGGGCGGGGCGCCGGCGGGGGCTGGCGCGGGCGGCCCGGCGCCTCGTTCTCCGCGGCGGAGCCGCCCGCCGCCTCGGAGCGGACGCGGAGCCGCCGCCGGGCTCCCGGGCTGCGCCGCTGCGCTGGGGCCCCGCCCGCTGGACCCGACGCTGGGGCCGGGCTTGCCCCAAACCCTGCGCCCGCCGCCCCCTCGGTCCTGCGCGGGCGGGGCCGACTGCTCCGTGCGGCGCCAGGGCGGCCCCCGCGGCAGTGACCGCCCACTTCTGTGTCAGGCCCGCCCTGCCCGGGTGTGCCGCACCCGGGCCCCGCAGACGCCTTCGGGACGAGGGTCCTGGGTCACCCGTGCCTCCTTGGTGCCAGCACAAGCTCCTGAACTCTGGTCTGTCCTCCGGGCATCACCTAGTCTTCCTGGGGTCCCATCTTTGATCCCTGGCTGGGAGGGGCCTCCAGCCAGACCAGGGGCTTGCTGGCCTCCTGGAGGCAGGAATGGATGGGCAGTGAATTGATGGCCAGGCCGTCCCCTCCCAGGGCCACTCTGGCCTTCCAGATGAGCCCTACCTGGTCACATGGGGCACCGGCAGTGTTTAGCAGTAACCTTGCTTGGCCACTGGGCGGGCCTGGGAAGGACTCTCAGCGAAACCTGGCAACCTGGGACCTCCCTGTGTGTCTGCACCCTGGCAACAAGGCGATGCCTGGCCCTTGCTCTGGAGGCGCTCCCATCAGATGAGGCTGGGCCCCTACGCGCTCTCCCAGAAACACAGGCGAGTCTCCTGGAGGTGGCCTGAGCTCAGCTGGGGGGGCCCATGACACCAGGTGGGGGCTGCTGGCGGAGCAGGACGTGCCCACAGCTAGCTGAGCGCCCGCCCCTGCCCTGTCCTGCCAGGGATGTTGGACTCGGCCATAGCCGATCAGATGGCTCGACTGACCCTGAGGCTTCTGGAGAAGGTGAGGCGGCTGTTGGGGCACCAGTGACTGCACACTGCTGCCCAGCCACATCACCCACGAAGGAGGTAGCTCCTGGGTTTCCTCCTTTGTGTTTGTACCGAACCAGGAGGCTCTGGTGGTTCCCACGCCCAGGGGCCAGAGGGTGTCGGGGGAGACCCACACAGGCCCCCTCCCCGGGAGGGTCTGCCTCCATGTTTATGGGAAAACAGGTAGGGGGGTATGGACCAGTCCTCACGCCTGTTCTTTCTCTCAGGTGGCCACACTAGCTGCTCTCAACCCCACCCCCCACGCCCCGCCCTCATCTGGATGGTCCATGGCCGCCTAGGAGAAGCTGGCAGGGGCCTCCCAAGGGCAGGCCCAGACCTTGGCCACTCAGGGGGGCAGTCCTGGGCACCAGCCTGCCGGGTCCCACTGTAAGAAAGCTGCCTAAGGCATGTGAGAGGGCCACCCTGAGCGCCAGGCCATGCAGAAAGTGTGACCCCTGAGGGACGGACAGGCTGGCTGCCTGCCCAGCCTCCCCGGCTGGGTGCTGCTCCCCTGGGTCCCTGAGTCACCCTGGCCAGGCGGCTCCCAGAGCCTGGCCCACGTTTCCGATGCCTCTTCTTGCAGAAGCTGGAGCAGGAGCGTGAGGATGCAGAAGGGGATTCCGAGGACCCCCCCCTCGTGCCAGGTGAGAGCCGGCTGCTTGGAGGTGGCTCAGACACGAGCTCCACCTTGCCCAGGTCCTCGGCCCAGCTCCCTCAGCCTGCAACCCAACCCAACCTGCGAGGGCACCTTCCTCATCCCCCAGCAAGTGAGAAAACAGAGGCAGAGGGAGGCTAGACAGCGGTCCTGGCTGCCCGGTGCAGAAGTCGCCTCACCTGGTCACACCCTTCACCCTGAGTTTGCTCTGGGTGGGGCGTGTCCCCCTCCTTGTCCCCTCCTCACTGGGCCTGAGCATCCTCCGGGCCCAGGTCAGTCTGGCTGCCACCCCTGGTCAGTGGTCAGACTCTCGGGCTGCTTTCCCGGTGATGGGGTAGGGCCAGGACATCTGGACAAGAACGAGGAGAATCCCCAACTCCCAGGAGCCTTGCTGCGTCCTGGCAGGGGCAGCCCCTGTGCCCGGGCCTCCAGGCAGTTCCCGAGGTGGCAGGCAGACCTGGGTCCATATCCAGGCAGAAGAGCCCAAGCCGGCCGGCGAGAGGCAGTGGGGAGCAGAGCCCAGGACCATGGGAGCGGGGACTGTGCTGCCCCAGAGGACAGATCACTCTGGGCTTTCTCTGGGGAGAGTGGCTGTCTTGGCTGGAGGACAGGAGGACAGAGCCCCCGCTGGGGACCACTGAACCCTTCCAGAGGCTGCCCTGGAGGGGGACCTGCCCTCAGACGGGCGCGGACTCAAGGCTGCTGCAGATGGCACCCCCGGGTTTGGTGGGGTCCCAGCAGGCGGAGGCCAGGCCACCGTGCCCTGTGAGTGGCCTTCAGTGGGCAGGGAGCTCTGTCCCACAGCACAGAGTCCACACTCCTCCCAGGACGGACCCCAATTCTTGGCCCGCAGTGCCCAACAGCCCAGGCACCAGTCTCCCAGCCCTGCGCAGGCTTTCATAGGGAGCCTGGCCTGGTCGCCCCAGGTCTGGGGTGGGTGAGGCGGGGCTTCTGGCAGGGCCATGGGCCTGTCTCCAAGGCCCTCAGCTTGCAGGACCTCGCCCCAGGTGCGGAGGCCGGGCAGGAAGCCGCACTGTGGAGCGCCCTATGGAGGAGAAAGGACCTGCTGCGGAGGCTCCAGGTAGGCCCCCCAAGCCCGGACCCTTGCCGGGAGGCGCCAAACTCCTGTGGGCAGACCCACACCGCGATTGGCCCAAGTGGCGCAGGGGTGCGGGGCTGGCGCGGCCGGCGCCACAGGTGTGCAGGTCACCAAGGCCCAGCTGCTCCACACCAAGTCTGCGGCTGGAGGAGCACTGGCTGTGGTCAGCGGGGCGGGGAGATCTGCCAGAAATGCCCTCCTGTCGCTCCGTGGCGCCCAGCCCCAGGGTCGTTCCCGCGGGTGCCATGCAGGAACTCAGGCCTGTTCCTGTGCACTGGTGGGGGCCCCGCCCTGTGGCCCAGCTGCGGCGACACAGCCCTCTGGTCGGCCTTGCAGGAGCAGCACCTGCTGGACGCGCTTCCCGCGGGCCATGCCCGCAGTGGCCTGGACAGAGGAGCCCGTGGGTCGGCCCCGCCCCCAGAGCTGCCCCAGGTGGCCAGCTACGCGGCCACCTCGCCACCCCTGCCGGCCCCAGAGCCTCCGAGGATCCTGCAGCACTCGGTAAGCCCCCTGGGAGGAGCCCAGGGCAGAAACAGGTGGGCAGGGCGTGCTCACAGGCCCCTCATCCCGTGATCAGGGGCCCCATCCCCCATATTCTGGGGACCCAGATTTGATGGCCGTGCCAGAGGGGCCCAGTTGGTGGCTGCCTTTCCCTAGTGCTGGGCACTGCTGGGACTCACGTGGTCATTATGGGCGCCTGAGGACCAGGCCGGGCAGGGCCATGGCGTCCCCTTGTGGAGAGGCTTCAGCCCTGCGCCTGCCTGGGGCCAGCCTGGCCCTAGCCCGTGCGAGGAGGAGGAGGCTGGGGCTCCCGAGCCGGGAGGCCCTGAACCTGGGCAAGCAGCACCACTGGATAAGAGGTTTTCCGGACCAGGAGAGCTTGAGGTCCTAACTTCAGGACAGACGGTGAAAGGTGAAAAGCCTTCCAGCCCTCAGAGGCTTAGTCAGCATTCTGGGCCACAAGCTTGGGGAGGCTGCACTGCCCTCTTGAGCCAAGGTTGTGCTGGAGGGCGGGGGGTGGGGCCAGCGGGAGTGACTGGGGACGGGGGCTGAGCAGGGGCAGGCCAGGTAAGAGGGCTGCAGGCCGCTGACCAGGGAGGACGGCCCTCGGCGGCTATGCCTGGAAGGCGTTGGTCCTTTGGGGAGGAAGCACATGGAGGACGGTGGAGTGGGAGGAGGCCATCTTCGCTCCCCACGCAGAGGGGCTGGGTCGAGGGGCCCCCAGAAGCCCTCGGCTGCTGTGTCCGGGGCCCAGATAGCCCCGTCTATGCTATTGCCTTTTGACGCCTGGAACCTCCCTCTGGGCACTCGGGCATGGGGAGTGTGGCTCGTGGAGGCCCTGAACACATGCATGCTCACTGTGGTCCCCAGCCCGACACGCCTGCCTGACGCCAAGAGGGCACACAGGGCAGGCGGGGCAAGCTTGACCTCGGAGGCTAGCCCTTGGTGCCACCAGCTGGGATGGCCACCAGGGCTGAGGCCACAGCGCTGGGTGCCCGTCTCAGCAGGCCCGCGGCTGAGAATAGCCTTATTTTTTTAAATTTGGGGGAACGCCAAAGAACTCTGGCTGGGAATGAGTGATGTGAAATGCAGATTTGGGCTCGCGAGTCAATTTCCCGGGGCCCACCTGGTTTGCCTGCGTATCTGCTGGGGCAAAGGTAGCGCTGAGGCCGGTGGCTGGGGCCCAAACGTCCACCCACAAAGGAAGGACATGTGCCAGCTGTGTGCCACGTGGGACAAGGCCTGCGAGGTTGGCCGCGGAGCGCGTAGCCCCCGCGCAGGACACCGCCAGGCCGGCCGGGCCGCCACACACTGGCGCCTAGCCCTCGCCTTTATTCCTCATGGTCCCGAAGTCCGAGGGCCAGCGGCCAGCCTCAGGCTCCTGCTGGCGGTGGCCACTGTCTGCTGTGGCCTGGCAAGGGGCGCGCCCTCCTATGTCGCCTCTTCTTCCAAGGACACCAGCTCTGCTGGGTGGAGCCCCATCGCTCTGACCTCATTTAACCCGCACCAGCTCCTCACAGGCCGTCTCCAAAGTCACATTAAAGCGCAACACATGGGGGGCAGGGGTGACACGTTCAGCTCGAAACTTACCTCAACCAGGCCCGCACCCAAGTGTCTGCCCACTCAGCCCTGCTTAAACCGCAGAGGCTGCCCTTTAACGCCCCCTTGGGGGGAGGGAGGCCAAGGGGGCCAGGATGAGTAGTCGACAGGTGGATGAGGGAGCTCGTGGGTGGGGGGACGGATGGCAGGAGGGGTGAGCACGGCTGGGTCATTGAGGGCACATCCAGAGAAGGGTTTACCTGCCCTCCCAGGTCCCCCCACCTCCTGCCACCATCATTCAGCAGCTCCCACAGCAGCCGCTGATCACGCAGCTGCCCCCGCCCCAGGCTGCGCCGGCTCCGCGGCCGGGAAGCATTAAGGAAGGTGAGTCTCCAGGGACACCGTTGCGGGGTCATGGAGTTCCACGCTGGGGGCAGATGTTGTCTGAGGCGGGTTGGAGTTGCGTGCTGACACAGCTGTGTGTATACCCCTGTGCGTTTGTTTTTTAAACATTTATTTCTATTTACGTGTAGAACTGGGGTGCAGGCCAGAGGTGTGGGGGTGAGAGGGCTCCCCAGAGACAGAGTGGGGCACGGCGGGGAGACAGAAGAGTTCTGCCGCGCCCTGTGCGTCAGCTCCCTGGCCGGGGTTGCACTCAGGCTGCAGTGGCTGGTAGTAGCTTCACAGTGCAGACCCTTAATCGCTGCACCCCGGGGAGGCCCCAACACAACTATGATGTAAAGAAATTCGGTGGCTGATCTCTGCGGGAAACAGGTGAGCTGAGGGGGATCTGCAGGACCAGGAGCGTCCACCCTGGCCGCCCGGGTACAAGCTGTACAAAAGCCACGGCAAAGTCGTCTCTCCCTAAAATTCCAAAATGCGGGATTGTCAACAGCTGCTGCGGGGATGAGGATGTGGGGTACACTTAGAGCGAGAACCTCATGTTCTGACACGTGGGTGCTCCCGAGCCTGCTGCCGAGTCCAGACCCTGAACAGGAGCACTGGTTACTTCACGGCCCTTTTTCATCTTTTTCTGACCTCTCCAGTGGTCACAGACCAGCTTTCATTTTATCCAGAAGTCACCACGTCCATTTCTTTCACTCTGCGGGACAGTCACGGTGGTCACTCTTGCTGGAGCATCTTCCCTGGGGGCGCTCCGCAGGCGATGCTGGTGTGTCCCAGTTCGGCTGCCCCCAGCACACCCGGGCGCCGCTCCACTGCCCTCCGGGCAGGGACCCCGCCACTGCTGAGGGCACAGCCACACGGTACAAGGGCCCCGTCTGGCCCCAGAGGTGGCAGAGGGGGCCGCGCTGGCCCCTGCCTGCGCCTGAAGCCTGCAGTTGTGGGCGTGCCCGCGTTCCACCTACTTAAGAGAAAGCGGCCTTCAAACACGCGCAGCCAGCTGCCTGAGCCAAGTCAAACGCCTCGCCTGCCCCTTCACCCCACCCCGACTCACCCCTGCCCTCCGCGGGGGGGCTGGGACGCTGCAGCCACATCAGGGACTGGAGCTCGGGGCCTGCCCTGGGTGCAAGGGGCAGGGGAGCAGCCCTGGGGCTTTGCGGCGGGGGTACGGGAGGGGTTCCTGCACCCCCCACTCCCAAGGGCAGTTCCTGGACTGCAGGAGCGGGGCCGGTGACACCAGCGCTGTGGCTGACGGGGCAGGTCCAGGCTCCTGAAGTAACAGAACAGGCAGGCTTGTGTGGGCCCGGCCGTTTGGACTGAGGGCTCAGCAGCTGGGCCTGTGCCTTGTGTGGGCAGGCGGGGGGCCAGCTGCGTTCAGCAGACTCTACTGGGAGTGACCTGGCGGGTGGAGTGTGCCAGGCGGGAGCCCCACCCCCTCCGACAGAACCCTCCCAGGAACCATTCAACTTATGCCGGTGCAAGGGAGGGAACTGTTTGTGCCTTAGCAAGAGGCAGAGAGAACGACACATAGAGCTGGCCTGTGGTCAGCCTCCACCTCCCGGTCCCTCAGCTCCCCCTCTACAGCAAAGCCGCTGTCCTCGGGTTTAGGACCCACTGGGAAATCCAGGCCGAGCTCGTCTCAGACCCTTGATCCCATCCGCCCAGGCCCTTTGCCCAAACAGGACTCCACTCGGAGCCTGTGGACTGGTGGCGTCTAGCAGAGGGCGGCACTGGGGGGCAGCAGGGCCAGCTGGCCCCAGGGCAGTGTAAGTGCAGGCATCCCCTGACCCAAAGCTCCAGGTCCTCGGGGGAGGCCGTCACCTGTGTCCACGTGGCCCTACCTCTGCTTTCAGAGATGGTGGAGATGATGATGATGCAGAATGCTCAAATGCACCAGATCCTCATGCACAACCTGATGCTCAGGGCCCTGCCCCCATCTGTGCTTGCTCCCTGGGGGCGCTCCCAGGACCCCCCTTCACGCCCCACCATGCAGGTGAGCTCAACTGGGCGCAGGCCCCGGTGGAGGAACCTGGACCCAGGTGGAAGGCCGGGGGGCTGCTCTTCTGGAAACGTGTCTGCATAACTGACAGGCACACTCTAGCTTGGGGCCACAGCCTGGCCGGTCACGGGATGCCCCCCACAATCCCGAGGAAGGTTCCATGGCCAGTCACGGGCAGGCCCCCCACCCCAAGTGGGCTGTGCAGCTCAGGGCCCAGACAGCTGCCTCCCTTGGGCTCTGGCCTGCCTTTGGTCGGGAGTGCAGGGAGAGCTCCCCACTGAGCGTCTGGCACGGGCTGTGCCCAGGACCCTCAGCAGGCACGGCCCGTCGTCCTGCATGCAGAGAGACCCAGGCAGCCGGCGGTGCACCACCACCACCACTACGCGCCCCCAGCTCCACTGCAGGCCAGTCCCGTGCCAGGCTACCCCGTGTGGCCCCCCATGCTCTCCACCACAGCCCTCCCGCCAGCTGCCCACTTCCTGCCCGCCATGCGTCATGTGGCCGGCCCCCCCACGGCTGCTCTTGGCACGTGAGTCCCAGCCCAGCTCAAGACTGGCTCTTGGGGCCGCGGGTGAGAGCCCAGGGCGCCCTTCTTTGCCTCAGCTGTGAACCTGGAAAGGGCCCACCTCCTGGGTCGCGTCCCTTCCCTGCGGGGTGGCCCTGGGAAGTCCAGCACACCAATGAGGACAGGACACACCCAGGCCGCCCCAGACACCTCCCCTCCCTCAGGGCAGCAGACAGCATCCTACCCGATCAGGCTCCAGGCCCATGAGCCCCAGGAGGAACAGGTGAGGAGCCCGACGGCCTGCGAGGGGCTCCTGCTGCTTTGGGGTTTCTCGCTAGACCGCCCCGCCCGCCCCCCCCCCCCCCCGCACTAACTGCCTTGTTGTCTCCGTGTTGCTGGTGCGCCCAAAAGCCACCTTTACTGCTCCCTCAGGCACGCTGAGGAGCAGAGACCCCGTCCCCACCTCAGCCTCCTGGGGGCCACCCTTATGCAGGCGGCGGCTTGGGGGGTGGGGGGGGGGACCGTGACGCCCGTTTGCTGCACGAATTAAAGCCTCGATTCCCTTTTCTAGTTAACATCTGTAACGTGATCTTTTTCTTTCTGGGCGGAATTAATTGGATTGAAGGCAGAAACCTGTTGGTTGTCCTCTGGCAGCCGGCCACAGGGCATCTTCGGAGCCCCCGGAGGGCTGCACCCGAGCTGCACCTGGGCATCAAGTAATGGAGACCCAGATCAGCTCAGCACCCTCCAGGGTGCCCGGGAAGCCTGCGTGCGGGGACAGCAGGCGAGGAGGCTCTGACCTCCTGGGTGGCGGCCTCAGCAGACCGAGGACACGCCGGCACAATGGAAGCTGGGCAGCGAGGGGGACATGGTCCCAGGGCTGCACCCACAGCCAGGCCTTGGCTTCAGCATACGAACAAACGCTCTGATGGGGAAACGTCTCAGGTGGGAAATCCTGAAACATGGGTTGCCTGGGTCTGGCCAACCCCAGTGTCAGCCTCATCCTGTTTCTCCTAAAGGACCGAGGCCAATGCTACAGGCCCGGCCGAGGTTGGGGGGTGGCATGCCCGCCCGCTCGCTAGGCTGGAGACCGGCTGAGGGTGTCTCTTTGCCAGCCAGAGGCAGAGGGGGCCCAGCCCCACACCCCACTTCAGTCTTCAGAGCTGTGCCCTGGGAATACCACAGTGCCACAAAGGAACATGTGGAGATGGCTCCCCCCAGGCCCCTCACTGAGTCAGTCCCGCCTGTGGCTGATGCACCCGCAGCTCTGCTGTGGGCCGCAGCGCCCCATCAGAAGAGATCCCTGCTCAGGGGCTGCAGCCTGACCCCCGTGCGCCGTCCCAGCTCCTCCAGCACCTGCATCTCCTTCTGCAGCATCTGCAAGACAGAGGAGAGCCCCGCGGTGGCACCCCCTCGAGGAGGCGGCTCTGCCTGCCTCAGCAGCCGGGCTGGGCCTCACTGCAAGGCTGTGTCCGGGACCACGGCAAGGCAGCTGTGCCGTGCGGCCTCCCACACTGGCTGCCCAGCACCCGTGTCAGGGAGAGGCGCCGGAGGGCTGAGGTCCGGGGCCGAGGGTGGTGGCGCGGCAGGAAAGGGGCAGCCCGCGTGGGCAGCGGGAGGAAATGTGAAGGGGGTGCGTGAAGACGGCCCTCTTGGGGGAAGGCGTCCGCTTGAGGGCTGCTGGCCTGTGGGTGTGGGGGCTGGGAGGCAGAAGGGGAGCAGCTGGGAGGCAGAAGGGGAGCAGATGACCAGCAGGGGGCGAGCTAGGGGAAGCCTAACACCAGGTACCGCTTCTCAATAAGGGGTTCTTATAGCTTCAGAGCTTTTTGATTTCAAGTACAAGCTGAGGCTGCTCAGCGCACATCACCGGGGGTCCCAGTGAGCAACACACGCGCCAAGACAGCCTCTGGAGCCGTGGCTGCCCCCAGCCCAACACACGGGCCCGCGAGACGGCCTCCACGGCTCACGTGGTGTAGGATTCTCACACACGCCTAGGGCGCTGTGGCACCTGCACAGCGCTTCAGAGAATCAGCACCAGGTGACTTCCCTCGCGAAGGTTTTTAGTCAAGAACCCTCGCGGCCCCGAGCGCGGCCTCTGCTCCCCTCCTGACGGCGCACGCCTGGACAGCAACAGCGCGTGCAGCCCTGTGCCTGAATGGGCCCCGGAAATCTCCACGGAGCAGGTGCTTGTCGGGTAACCTAATTTACCGTTTCCCCAATATTGGTTTCTACATTTGAGTGTGAGGAGCAGGGGTGGCCCTGGTGCACCCACACACTCGCGGGGGAGGGGGTGCCTACCTCTCGCCACTCAGCCTCCGTGCGGTGTGTGAAGCCCAGCAGATGGCACAGCCCGTGGGTGGCCGTCACCTGCAGAGCAATCGCGGAGCTACCTCGGGGACCACCAGGAAGCGGCCCCTCAGAGAGTGGGGTGTAGACAGCCGAGAAAGCTGGACTGGGCCGGAGACCCTGTACCGTGTGGGGCTCGCAGGGTAAGGTAGACCCAGCTTGAGGAATGGGGAGCCCTCCTGAGGGCTCAGAAGGCGGGGATGGCTTGAGAGTGGGGGTGCGACGGTCTCACGGGCGCCCACTCACGGTAGGGCTACCAAAGGCTGAGTCGTGGGGAGGGCAAAGAGGTCCAGCCAGAGAGCAGTCTCTGCCCAAGCCAAGGTGGGCAGAGAAGCGCTAAAGCCACCCCAGCGTTGAGCAGGAGGAAGCAAGAACACCCAGCCCAGGCTTGGAGAACGGGCCCTGCCCCTGGGTCCCACGACTGTGGGTTGGGAAGAGCGGGGTGATTCCAGAGCCACCTGGCATGGAGGGGGCATGGGTCTGGGAGACCAGATGGCGGGGGCACAAAGGGCACCAGGGTGCAAGTACAGGCACAGTGGCCTGGCCCCACGCGGGGCAGGAGATTCCAAGCAGCACGGACTGGCCCCCGGCGGAGGGGACGAGGACCGGCGGGAGGGTGGGCGAAGGGAACGTGGGACGGGACAGGGGCTGGAAGCAGACGTCCACCCGCTGGAAGGACAGCTGCCCCGGAGCAGTCCCTGCAGGGACTAGTGCGCCAGTGCCGGGGCTGCTTTCCCAGGCCGGCGCCAGAGGGGTGGCCAGGCCTGCTGCCTGCTCGCGGGGCTGGCGGGAGCGCTCTGCTTCCCTCACAGAAGCACCACGACCCCCAAAAGAATATCGGGGCCCAGCGGCTCAAACTAGGAAAGAGACCGCCGAAGCTGCATGGAAGCGAAGACGACCGGCTTCTCGGGGAGCTTCACCCTCCGCTTGAGAAGGGGCCCTGGTCTGAGGGGCCCGGCCTGGGGGCCACAGGCCTTCTGGGCGGCCGGCTGGAGGCCAGGGCAGGCCTCTGGGGGCGACGGCGCCGCAGGCCTCCCGCAGGCGACAGGCGGCCCGCGGGCCCCCGGCCGGGCCGGGCCGGGCCGGGCGGGGGGCGGGGGGGGCGGGGGCGGGCAGGGGCGCTCACGGTCAGCGCGCCGTAGAAGTCCTCGCCGGGGCCGCAGTGCCGGCGCACGAGCTCCACGTCCAGGACGATGTCGCCCAGGCTGCGGTCCTCGGCGCGCTCGGGCCGCGGGAGCTGGCCGGCGGGCAGGCCCTGCGCGGGACGGCCGTGGTCGGGAGGCCCGCCCTGCGGCCCGGGCGGACGGGGGCGCGCGCGGGGGCTGCGGGCCGGGAGGCGCGGGCCGGGGCGGGGGGCGGCGGGGGGCGGCGGGGGGCGGCCGCGGGGGGCGCGTACCTCGTGGAACGGGAAGGCCAGCACGTCGGTGGGGCGGTCGCGCCCCCGGTAGCGCCGGTTGAGGCGCCGCATGCGCGCGTCGTCCACGCACACGAGCGCCAGGTCGAAGGCGCGCACGCCGAGCGCGGCCCGGGCGGCCTCCACGCCGCGGCGCAGCGGGGCCCGGCGGAGCGCGACGACGCGCTGCAGGTTCCTCAGCACCAGGCTCATGGCGGCGCGGCGGCGCGGGCGGCGCGCGCGCTCCCGAGCGCGGCGGCGTGCGTGCGCGGGCGCGTGGCCCGCCGGGGAGACGCGCCGCCGCCGCGCCCGGCCCGGAAGTGCCGCGGCCGCCCGGGGAGGGCGGAACCCGAGCGCGGCGGCGCGCGGCGCGGCGGACCGGAAGCGGCGGACCGGAAGCGGCGCGGCGCAGCTCCCGCGCGCGGCGAGCCGGCCGGTGGGTGCGGGCGGGCGCGGCGGGGCGGGCGGGCGGGGGGCGGGGCGGGCGGGCCGCCGGGCGTTACATTGTTGCGCGCGCCGCCGCGGGGGCCCGGCCGGGGCGCCCCCTCGCCCGCCGCGGCCTCCCGGGCTCCCGCCGCGCAGAGCCCCGGCCCGCCCCGAGGCCCGGGAGCCCGGCCGCCCGCGCGGCGGCGCGCAACAAAGTAACGGCCTCGGCCCCCGCCGCGCGGGGCGCCCGGGCGCGGCTCTGCGCCCCGGCGGCCTCCCGCCACCTCCGCCCTTGTCTTTCAGCCTCCCGGAGCGGCGCGAGCGCCTCCGTCCGCGGACGCGCCGAGGACCGGCCTCGCCGGGCGGGGTCGCCTCGCGGGGGCGGAGGATGAACCCCGCGGGCCCCTTCGGGGGGCAGCCGCCCGCCGCGTTCCCGCCCGCCAGCAGCGCCGTGGGCACCTTCCAGGCGAGGGCGCCCTTCCGCTTCGGCCAGCCGCCGCTGTTCGCGCAGAGCGGCCCGCTGGCCGGGAAGACCTCGGGCTTCGCGCAGGGGCCCGGCTTCGCGGCCCCCGCCGGCGCGAGTCTCCCCTCCTCGTCGCACACGCTGGGGTTCCCCCAGGCCGCGAGCGTGGGGCCCTTTCCTGGGCTTGAGCACACCCCCGCCTTTGCGGCCACCTCTGGGCCTCCCGGCTCCTGTGCGCCCGCGAACCCGGGCTTCAGCTTCAAAGCGCCCAGCGCGGGCGCCTTCCCGAGCGCTTCTGCCTTTGGACCAGAAACAGGAGAAGTAGCAAACCTTAGTTTCGGGAAAACAGGTTTCAGCTTTAAACCTCTGGAAAATTCGACGTTCAGACCAATATTCGGGACTGAACCTGAGCCGGAGAAAGCTCAGACCCAAACCGCTTCTGGGTTTTTCACATTCCACCATCCAAGCAGTAGTGGTCCGGGCGGTCCGGCCCCATTCTCCTCTCAGGTGACCAGCGCCCCTGCGGCCAATTCCAGCTTTGCGTTTTCAAAGCCCGATACTAGTAATAATTCGTCACCTGCCTTTGCTCCTTCTTTGTCAAGCCAAAATGCGGAAGAAGAGAAGAGAGGCCCCAAATCACTTTTCGGAGGTTCTGGTAGTTTTGCCCATTTTCCCGTATCTTCGGGATCTCTGGGGGAACCCTTTCCAGGTAGCAAACCTGGTGTTAGGCAAGGATGTGAAGAAGCTGTTTCCCAAATGGAGCCACTGCCCAACCTCATGAAAGGCCTGAAGAGGAAGGAAGACCAGGATCGCTCACCAAGGAGACATGGCCACGATGTGGCGGAAGACCCAGACCCCCTGTCTCGTGGCGACCACCCCCCGGATAAGCGCCCTGTCCGCCTGAACCGGCCGCGGGGAGGCTCCCTGTTTGGCCGGACAATACAGGATGTCTTTAAAAGCAACAAGGAAGCCGGTCGTTTGGGCAGCAAGGAGCCTAAGAGGGAAATTGGCTGTTCCGAGCCTGCAGAGAGTGACCCCACAGCCGTCCTGGGAGGGAGTTCTTCTGTCCTGGCATCATCCCGGCTTCCAGGTGTGAGTAAAGAGGAAGAAACTGAAAGTAGAGACAAAAAAGAAGGTGAGTGCTAGAGACAGGGCAGAGAGTAAATCCGGGTCTGGGAATTTCCCCGGTGCAAGCTTGACTTTCCCGGGAAGTCACTCTGACCCCGGGGAGGCTGACGTGCCAGCTCTACGGGGGTCCCTGTTCTCGCCCTGTTGCTGGACCACAGCACAGTTAGTGCCCCCCTCCCAGGCACCAGGCCCCCACCCCACCCGCAGCGACCTCGAGCAGGGCTGTGGTGCAGGTCCACGTCACCCTCCCCTGCGGCCCGTGACTAGTCTTCCTGCTTTGGTGCCAGTCACTGGTTCTTTAAACGTTCCTGTGGGGCTCATTGGTGAAGGGCGAAGCACTTCGGAGCCAGTTAACAGCGTGATGCTGCAGCTACTCGTTATTCCTGAGGCCTGCTTTGCTCTTAGCTCCTGCTAGTCATCTTTCCTGTTGTTCAAATCGCTCCATTTACTGCCTCTCTGATCCCACCCTGATCCCCCAGACTCTCTGAGGGGGCCTCCTGGGCGGCCGAGCAAGAGGAGCGAGAGCACAGACAGCTTCGGGGGCTTGTCTCTAGCTGAAGCCACAGCTATCCAGTGCAAGAACATCCCCGACTACCTCAACGACAGGGCCATTTTGGAGAACCACTTCGGCAAAATCGCCAAAGTGCAGCGTATCTACACGCGGCGCAGCAAGAAGCTGGCGGTCGTGTACTTTTTTGATCACGTAAGTGCTGCTGGCAGCGTCGTGTGAGCAGGTGGAGTAACTCAGGGAACTTTGTCATTTTTTTTAAAACAGTTTATGTATATAAGAGCTGGGGTACAGGCCAGAGGGGTGTGGGGGGGTTTGAAAGGGTTCACTAGAGACAGAGTGGGGAAAAGAACAGGCAGATCTACTGAAATACACTGCTGAGGGGAGCAGCGGGTGCAGCAGGAAAGGTCTGCTGCGCCATGTGGGTAGCTCTCTGGCCAGCCGGGGATTGAACTCGTGCTGCAGTGGCTGCAGCTTCATACGTTGCATCATAACCCCTTGCGTCGTCAGGGAGGCCCAACTTAGTCATTTTAAAGTCGAACTTTTTCGCTGGTCGTTAGCATCTTGCTGGGATCTAGACTAGTGTTCCAATTTTTCGTCCTTGGCTTGGAAGGCGGGAGTAGCTCTGCCTGCCTCCTGGCTGGGAATCATTGTGAAAAGCTCGCAGGCCCTCCTGAAGGTGGCGTTCTCGAAACATCAGGAATGGGTTCCACCAGCTCAGGTTTCTCTGAGACCGAGAGGAGTGCTCTGACCGCAGCATGCTTTTTCAAAGTTGGCTTTTTTCGGCTGGCGTTATTTGGTTGTGGTCAGTGATCGCGAACACATTGAAACGAAGTGGACCCGGTAAGTCAGGTGGTCCTGGCCCAGGAGGTGTCTGCCATGGCTGGCCCGACGTGACTGACTGCGAGTGTGGGTCAGCCCGTGTGTGGCTGCGCCTGGCGGCAGGGTGCTGCGTGCTGCGCTCGTATGGGTGGCTGTTTTTCCTGGTCCTGTTGGAGTTTGTGAGGCGCCGAGCTTGTTTCACATGCTGGCCACCCATCACAGACCTCAGGCCTCCGCTCTGGCCGTGCAGACACGCGGTCACACCTTCGCACACGTCAGGCTGCACCACGTGAGCTGTGAGGGCGTGCGGCGGTGTGCGGCACCGGGGTGTCGGGGCTGCTCTAGATCAGCGTGGATCTGCCAGGGCTGCTCGCCTCCTGCCCCTCTGTCCCCCTCAACCACTCTTCACCTCGAGCCTCCCTGTGGGTCAGCGTCCTCCGTCCGGTATCCGAGGTGGAAAGCTCGTGCTGAGGTGCGTGCGCTTTTCGCACCGGGTGCCGTGCTTCTCCCTACGGAGAGGACTTTACGACCCTGCGACATGAGTTGTATTCTGGCTGCGTAACCGAGGCCGTTACCATCTCTCTGACTTTCCGATGGCCCGAGTAGAAAGTAATTTCTGAGCGGCGGCTCCGCCCCCCTCCACAGTGAGGCTGCGTCAGCACCTCACGCCTTCCGCGCTGCAGTGCCTGGGTCACCTGCTGCTGAGCGCGGGTGAGAGCGCGAGGGCCCGCTCCCGCCCTTCTGTGCCTGGGCCCAGAGTGCAATTGTTCGTGTCCGTCCATTTTAGAAAAGCTACGCTTTGGCTGTTCAAGTGTGACTGTTAATGCCCGCTGAGCCCTACGCGACACGGGATAAACGTTATGCGACACGGAAGTAGCGTGGCTGAAAGCAGCCGGTTGCCATGCACGCACAAAGGCCTGGCCCCCACGTCACTGGCCACTGTGGCTGCCCCTGCACACCCTCCCGTGGCGTCTGGCCGCTTCCTTCTGCGGTTGAGTGTGCACTGCAGCCCCGTGTCTGGGTGTGTGGTCACATGCCGGGGCCCTCGCCTTAGGCGAGTTTGGGCGTCCTCACAGCAAAGCCAGTCACGTCACGACAGAGACCAACACATTGGTACTTGTGAGGCAGGGGGTGGGGCGGATTGTGGCTGCTGTGATTGAGGCAGCTGGTGTGGATGGAGGGCGCGCTGGCCTGGGTGGAGCAAACGGAGGGCACACGGGCCTGGGTGTCGCCCTGTTGTGTGGGGTGCACCTCCACGTATTTGGGGTTTGGTCATGTTTTCTCTGGCTCTTGCGCCCCTTCACTGGCTGTGGACTGTTGCAGGCATCCGCAGCCCTTGCCAGGAAGAAGGGGAAAGGCCTGCACGAAGACGTGGCCATCTTGTGGCACAAGAAGAAGATAAGTGAGTTTCTGGTGGCTCTCGGCAGTCCTTGCTGTGCACTTGGTTGGAGCCTTGGCCCAGGGGAGGGCGGGCTTCCCCCGCCCCTTTGTAACTTGCCGTGACGTTCCTTCACGGCCACCAGACGTCGCTAAGCAGAGGGGGCAGCCCGTTGGCCTGGCGACCACAGACGCCTCACTTTTGCGTTCTCAGGTCCCAACAAGAAACCGTTTTCCCTCAAGGAGAAGCAGCCGGGCGACGGCGACACGAGTCAGGGCGCCGAGGACACGGCCTTCCCACACTCCTCTCTCGGCAAGGCTGCGGCGCGGGCTACAGCCGGCGGCCTCCTGAGTAAAAGGTGCGGCCCGTGCTCTGCTGCCGGTGCCTTCCGTGCTTGCGGCTCCTTTGACACGTCACGTTGTTGCTGGACGGGTACAGGCCCCGGCCTCGGCCCGCCCCACGCTCTGGCCTCCCAGGCGGGCGAGCTGGGAGCAAACCAGCCCGAGCCCCGGGAATTGGAGGGAGGCGCTGATGGCCCGCTTCCGGACTCCGGGGCCCCGAGACCCTCTGGTCAGGACCGGAAAGAGGCTCCACAGCCCGGCGGGGGCAGAGCCAGGGAAGAGCGCAGGGCTCTGGGCGGGGGAGCCGCCCTGGGGCCACGCAAGACCCAGGGCTGGGTTTGCGGCAGAGGAGTCAGCCCCACCGCTGAGGAGTCTGAGAGTGTGGGCTCAGCCAGCAGCCACGCTTGTGCGGGCGCAGCCCTCCTTGGGCGGTATGAGCACCGCTGCAGCCAGGGCGTCTTGGAGGCTGTGCCCGCAGCTGTCTGAGCCAGCCTGCTGTCGGGATCCCTCTGCGACAGCCCCTTTGGCGCGCTGTCGAGAGCTCAGATGCGGCTGGCAGAGGCCTCCAGACCTGGGTCATCAGGCTGTTTAACCTGCTGTGCCCGAACCCCGGCCCGGCCGCCCTGGCTCAGGGTGAACAGTGGGGTGCTCTGTGACACCTGGGCGGGCGCTGAGCAGGGCTGTGACAACGCGAGGGCCCCTTCCTGCTCAGTCCACGCCTCACACGCTGTCAGGCCATCTTCCGGGGTCAGTTCTGTCAGCGTTCACGTTCTCTTGACTGCTTGACTGGCTGGAATGACTACAGGCTGCGTAGCCTGGTCTCGTGGGCTCCAGCAGGGCGTTGGTGCTGCTCATGCACAGCGGTCCTGTCTTGGCCACCTTGTCACCGGGCAGCCGAGCACAGCCTGAGGCTGGTGGGTGAGGGCTGCGGTGGATGAGGTCCCCCCACTCCCGGCCTCATTGCTCGCCAGGCGCCCCCACCCCGCCCCGGGCACACTTGGCTGACTGTGTCCTCTCACACCCCATCTACACTGAGCCGCAGCTGCCACCTTCCTCCCTCGCTGCAGCCAGTCTCTTGCCACATTCAGGTTCACACTCACTGAGCCACCTGGATGGGGTTGGAGGGGCGCGCGGCTGGCTCTCTTCGGGATGTCCTGCTGCGAGGAGCCCCGTGGGCGGGAGGGCGCGTGGCGTCTTGTGTTGCGCTCTGCTCAGCTCTTTACTTGGGCTGGGTGCTGTTTCTTGGGGACAGAAGGCCGCGGGTGCACATTCCGTTTGCTTAAACAGGCTCCTGTCTTTAAGGATGAAGAAGTGTTTCTAAAGCGGAAGCACGGGAGTGATCTGAGTGATCTCTCTGGGCACTTTACTGCAGGGTCCAGCTCGAGTGCTTCATGCTTAAAGGGTGGGAGACTCGGAGGGCTGCTGGGACATGGCTGTGACCCAGCGCCTGGCGGGCCTGCGGCCTTGACTCCTCATTTTCTTTGCAGCTCCCCCGTGAAGAAACCAAGCCTCAAGTTTGAGGGCGACCCTTTCGACTCGGGCTCTGAGTGCCCCGAGAGCCTCGGGCCTTGTGTGTCGTCCCTCAGCACCCTGATAGGCACTGTGGCTGAGACGTCCGAGGAGAAGTACCGCCTGCTGGACCAGAGGGACCGGGTCATGCGCCAAGGTGCGGTGCGCCAGTGGGCCAGCCAAGGGCGTGGGTGGTCTTCCCTTTGGCCACGGGGGGCCTCGAGGGCCATGTCGCCTCGCCGGCTGCGGGTTCCGGGGAAACTGCAGGGGGGCCTTATGGCTTTGCTATGGAAGAAAGTCCAGAGATGGCTCCATGGCGACTCAAACAACAGGGTAGCTTTTCAGCCTCAGAGATATGTTTTTAAAAGAAAAAAATGAAGATTTTCTTTGGTGGAAACCACCGCGATGAAACTGACAAAGCGCCTGAGCAGGGGCTACGCCTGGGCTCGTCTCCCAAGGGCCTGCTCCCCTGATCCAGAACGTGCATGGGGGCTGCTGGGGCTGGGGCCTTTCACGAGTGTGGCCGCCACAAGCAGGGCTCGCCCCGGTTTAGCTATTAGATAGATGGGTCTGGCCGGTGTGGGCAGCAGCCTCCAGTGCAAGGACAATGCCCACCGTGCCACCCCCAGAGCCTCGGTGGCGTTGCGTGTGTGTGTGTGCATGTGTGCACGGGGGTGTGCTCAGGAGACTCACACAACGGCCTTTTGCAGCAACAAAGCTGAAGCCACTTGGGGGGTTCTGAGCTGCTGCAAGGTGGCCGGCCCACTGCAGCCCATGGCTGCCCGTGTGTGTGGACGGCGGGGCTGCGGTGTGAGCTGCATGTGCACAGAGCACAGGGCCACGCCCCAATAAACTCGCCCGCGGCGTCCGCTGGACCTTCCGCCAGCCACCAGCACAGCAGGCGCATGCGTGCACAGGCCGCGACCCCGAGGACTGCCCTTGTCCTTCTCGGGGGCCTTTGAGATCAAGCTTGAGGTCAGGTTTTCTCTCAAGTTTAAGTAGCAGGGCCTCCTGGAGAAGGTGCCAGGCGCTGCCGGCACGTTACAGCAAAGCAGTGACAAGGTTGCGGTGCTTCGAAGTGAAAACATGGCATGTCTTTCAAGCGGTGAAATGACCCCATCTCTCATTTCAAAGACGCTTTGGCAGCGTGGGCAGTAGCGCTGGGCGGCCTCCGCTGTGCTTCCCGCTGCCTTGACATGGCGAGACGCGGAGCCCCGGACACAGCCCGCCGTGCAACGGGCAGCCCTCTCAGGCCTCTGGGGTGAGGCTGATGACCGTGAGACGGTGCTGCGGCTGCCACCCCCGGCCCCCTGGACCTGCCAGCACTGGGGGGTGATGCCCCCCTCCTCGCCCTGGGCCCGCGTAACTCTGGCTCGGCCCTCCCTGGCTATCACTCACTTTCCCAACTCCCCAGTGCGCGTGAGGAGGACAGGCCTGGACAAGGCCAGGACCGTCGTGGGGACGTGCCCAGACATGTGTCCCGAGAAGGAGCGCTACATGCGGGAGACCCGGAGCCAGCTGAGCATCTTCGAAGTGATCCCGGGGACTGACCAGGTTGGTATCCCGCGTGTGCATGAGGGGCGGGGCGGGCGGGGAGGAGCTGGTCTCTGATGGGCCTGAGCGTGTTGGTGTTTGATTCGGACTTGTGTCAGTGGCGCCTTCTGGTGTGTGGGTCACGGTCCTGCGTGTGCGTGGGGTGGCTCTGGCCCTGGGCATGGGAGCACCCGGCTGGTCTGCAAAGCTTGTGTTGCTGCTCACGGTCCCTTGTCTGTGGGCTCCGCACAGCCAAACTCCACTCGCGGACACTGGGTGGGCCACGCGTTTCCCTCACTGTGGCTGCTTGTGGCCCCCCCGGGCGCGTGCCGGGGTCGTGGAGTGGGGCCCGGGTCACTGGCTGGCTGGGCGTGGCGGCTGCTGCATGCAGGTGCGGCCTCTCGGGGCTCCTGACCACGTGTCGCGTGTGCTCCCCCTACCACCTCAGGGTGCTGCAGCTCTCGGTCCCCCCCTCCACTTGCTCCCTGCGTACGCCTATCTCCTGGCAGGTGTCCGGAGGGCCCGGCGGGTGGAAGCTGCCAGGGCACCTAGGCCAGTCCCCCAGCCCCTCATCTTCAGCCCCAGCAGACGCCCTGCCCGTGCCCATCCTGCATCTCCTGCCCTGGGCCATGCCTGTCCAGGCCGGCTGCCCCTTACCCGGCCCCATGGACACACCTCCACCCTCGGCGTGAGCGCTTCTCAGCTGCGCCCATCACGTCTGTCAAACAGGCCTTTGGAGCGTCTGTCTCCACGTCTTCTCCTTCTAAGAGCAGCCTCATGTGTGCGAGGCACATCGCAGGGTGTGGTCTGGGTGCCATGGGGGTGACTGCAGCCCTGGGAGCCGGCTCAGCTCTGCCCCTGTGCCAGGTGGACCACGCGGCAGCTGTGAAGGAGTACAGCCGCTCCTCCGCCGACCAGGAGGAGCCCCTGCCGCATGAGCTGCGGCCCTCGGCCGTGCTGAGCCGGACCATGGACCACCTGGTGACCCAGATCATGGACTCGAAGGAGGGCAGCCTGCGGGACTGGTACGACTTCGTGTGGAACCGCACGCGGGGCATCCGGAAGGTACCGCCACCGCGCAGGAGCCGGTTTTGTACGCGGTCCCAGCGGGGGTCTGCCCATTCCTGGCACCTGCACGCACCCTGAGTCCGCTGCCCTGCTACGCCACCCCTGCCAGCTCCCCTCCCTGTTGCAAGTTGGAGTTGGGGACCTGGGGGGACATTCCCACAGTGGGAATGTCCCAGCTGTGGGTTCTCTGTGTGGGGGTGTGTACGGGGGCATGCGGGCATGTGCTTGGGGGGGTATGCGTGGGGGTGGGCGCTGCCGTGGGCCCTCACCGCCCTGCCTTGCCAGGACATCACGCAGCAGCACCTGTGTGACCCGTTGACGGTGTCCCTGATCGAGAAGTGTACGCGCTTCCACATTCACTGCGCCCACTTCATGTGTGAGGAGCCCATGTCCTCCTTCGACGCCAAGATTAACAATGAGAACATGACCAAGTGCTTGCAGAGCCTGAAGGAGATGTACCAGGATCTGCGGGGCCGGGGCGTGCTCTGCGCTGGCGAGGCCGAGTTCCAGGGCTACAACGTCCTGCTCAACCTCAACAGGGGGGACATGCTCAGGTGGGCGCGTCCTTGGGCTGCCCGCGCCGTGCTCTGCTGCGGAGCCCTGGGTGGGGCTCGGCCACTGTGCACCCCGTGCCTCTGCCCTGGGCGGCGCCCTCCGGCACCATGGGCCTCTGCCCAGCAGGGCCAGCCGTGAGCCAGGCAGGACCAGGGCGTGAGCTGTGGGCTTGCTGTGCACAGCCGTGTTTCCTGAAGCACGTGCTGGCTCGGCCCCTGTGTGGGGGAGGAGACAGCATGTGCGATAAGTTTCCTGGGTGGGGTGTGGGGGTGGCAGTGTGCCCTGGCCCTCCCGGGGTCACATGGCGGTCCCGGCCTGCCCCGGCTCGCATGCAGCTTCTCGCTTCGAAATTCCCCTGTTCACGAGGAAGCTCCTAGATGGGGTTTGCCCTGAGGCCTTGTCACGGGACATCAGGACGTGTGGCCGACTTTCCTCTTTAAGGGAGGCTGCGATAATGGGCTCGGGGAGCTAACTGGTCAGTGCTTGGACAGTCTAGTGGAGTCGGTTTGTTCCTAAACAAGCTCAAATCTCTTTCCTCGGCGTCATTGTTAAGCGCGACCAGTAGTCAGTTGGCACCAAAGTGACTTAGGAAACGCCCCGGAGTCGCAGCTCGAGCCTGGCTACTTCACTCATCATCTCAGGCAGGGCCTGCCCTGTGCTGCCCAGGGCCCTTTGCAGCCAGCAGCCCAGCCACGGGGCCTCTCAGTCTGGGGATCCAGCCCTTTCCCACTCCTGCTCTCGCAGATGCAGGTCTGGTCCAAGTCGGCGTCTGACTTCTCGCGTGTCTCCCGGCGCAGGGAGGTGCAGCAGTTCCACCCTGCGGTCAGAAACTCGGCCGAGGTGCGCTTCGCCGTGCAGGCCTTCGCTGCGCTCAACAGCAACAACTTTGTGAGGTTTTTCAAACTGGTCCAGTCTGCATCTTACCTCAGCGCCTGCCTGCTACACTGTTATTTCAACCAGGTGAGTGTGCGGTGCCTCCCATGCGTCCCTCCAAGGAGGCTCCCGTGCCGCGTCCACCACCACCTGCGGGGCCGGGCACCCAGGCCCTAGGGGAGAGGCCTCAGAAATGCTTTTCTGGGGGTTCCGTGAGTGAGCGCAGCATGGCCGGCCCGGCATGCCCCAGAGCGCCCTCGCCCCCACCTCTCGCGCAGGCGGGGGTCTGCGGAAGCTTGCTGGGGTCGAATCTCACAGACGTTGTCTTTCGGGTGGTGGTTTTGCGTTACTGTAACGTTCACCACTTGCGCCTACTGTAGCAACGTTGAACAGAAAGAGAGGCAGCCCCGTGTCTCGTGTGGACAAGCGAAGGGCCTCGCGGGTCGTGTTCGCCCAACGCCGCGTGCCGGTCTTAGGGCCCAGGGCTCGGCCGCCACCACCCACCCCCTCTTGCTCTCTGGCCTGTCCCGGGGCCGTGGCTGTGCTCGCTCTGGCAGCGCAGGACGCTGCCGGGCACCGCCTGGACCGCACAGTGCCTGAACAGGTGCAGCCGGTGGCTCCTGGGCCGCTACCCACACACTTGCCGGCCACTCCTCTGTCCCATGGAGCACATGTCGTGAGCCTACCTCATCCTGCTCTGGCCTGATGCCCCCCCAACGGCCTCTCCGACCCTTTGGCGACAGGGTCACTCCCTGCAGCTGATGCGCTGCTGCTTTTCAGGAGTCGAGGCCTCCAGCTCCAGCGCTGCCAGGCGCGTCCGCAGAGTGCGGGCCTGCGCAGAGCCAGGGTGACCCCTCTCTCTCAGATCCGCAGGGGCGCGCTGCGGGCCCTGAGCGTGGCCTACACCGTGAGCACCCAGCGTGCCGCCGCCTTCCCCCTGGAGGGCCTGGTGCGCACGCTGCTCTTCCGGGACAGCGAGGAGGCAGCCGACTTCCTCAGCTGCCACGGCCTCTCTGTGTCCGAGGGGTGAGTGTGGGTGGCTCCCTCCCCCCGCCCAGCTCTGATATGGGTGGGGATCTGACTGGCACAGGCCCCAGCGTCCCTGGTGCGACCGGGCTCAGGCCCTGTTCCCTGTGGCTCCGGAGTTGGCTTTCGTGAGTTACTGAAGAGGCAGCTGGGCCTTGCGCCCCTCCCTGCAGCATGGTTCTTGCTGACCTTTGGGAGCCCGTCCCTAACCACCCACAGCTGAGGCCTCGCCAGGGACCCCCAGGATGGCCCCAGACGCCCTTGCTGCGTTGGGCCCACAGCTCCTAACCTGGCCCCTGCCCGCCTCCACGGGTGACTGTCACTTGGCCAGGCAGCCCCCGCCCCACATGGCCCCCATGTGCTCACCTGGCCCCGCGGCCCTCTGCTCGGCAGCTTTGTGGAGCTGAGTCGGACGGCGTTCCTGGAGCCAGAGGGACCGTGCAGGGCCAGGAAGTCGGAGCTCATCTCCAGGAAGCTGGCGGTGTCGGTGGGGGAGGTGGTGCACGGAGGGCCTCTGCCCCCCGCCCCCCGGCACACGCCTGTGTGTAGCTTCAGCTCCCAGAACAAGTATGTCGGGGAGAGCCTGGCGGCCGAGCTGCCCGGGGGTGCACAGGGAGCCAGCCTGGATGCGGCAGGTGGGTGAGGCGCTTCCCAGGGCCGCAGCAGAGGCCCGCGTCCTGCCTGGCTGGGGAGGCCCCCTGGGTGCTCTGCTCACTGTGGCTCTCGGCCGCCACGTCCTTGCAGGTGGGGTCAGAGGGGAAACGTGTGACGAGGCGGGTGCACCCCTGCTACAGCCCCTGCCCACGTCTGTACCTGCGCCGCTGCCCCTCCTGCCGGCACCCAGCCTCCTGCCACCCCCCGAGCTACTTCCAGCGCCGCCCACGCCCGCGTACACCGATGCGGTAAGGAGCCTTCCGCCCCGCCCTGGCCGACCATGCATTGGCCTGGCCCCAGGTGATTGTCCCGGGCCTCCTGTGCCTGAGCCCTGGCCAGCAACATGGCAAGGCCCCCCCACTCTGGGGCCTGCATCCTGCCTCCCCGGAGGGAGGGAATCCAAGGGGCCCATACCCCCACTCGTCCCCGGCCCCCAGAGCCGGGGGTACATGGGCCCCCCGGGCGAGTCCCCAGGGACAGCGTCCATCCTCCATGTGGGGTCCTGCCAGCAGCCGCTCAGGGAACTGGGCATAGCCCCCCTGCTGGGTTGGGTGCCTGTGGGGGCAGGTGAGGGGCGGCCGCAGGCCTGCAGGTGCCCCAGTGGGGCTGGGGGCAGCCATCCACCTTCCAGCAGGCCCCGTCACCAGGGTCCTTTGCTGAGCAGCTCTGTTGGCCTGGGTGGCCAGCGGCCCTCGGGTGTGGAGTGAGGGTGCCAAGGGGTTGGAGCCCGCTCTGGGGCAGCTGGTATCCTTGAAACCCTCCCGTCCACTTGGGTTACAGGAGTATTCGGGGATGGGCTTGGCCTGCGCCAGGCACAGGCTACTGACACTCCCCCCCTTCTCCCCCAGGCCCTGGTGCAGGTGGTGGATGAGCTGGTCCAGGAGGTTGTGCAGAAGGACCTAGAGGAAGTCAGCGCCGCGGGGGCAGCCTTCGCGGCCACGGCCCTGGGGTGAGTGCTCCCCCAGCGCCTGCTGTGGGTTTGATGGACACGTGACTCCAGGTGTCTGTGCTTTTTGAGCAACACTAAGTTTATTTAAGTTTTGACTTAAAATCTCTTGTTTTTCCAACATGAACGGAACTTATAACTCTAGTACATGAAAATTGGTTAATTTTCCATTTAAAATGAAAAGTGACTACTGTTGCTTGATCTTGGGTTAAATCTCAGTAAGTGAGTTTGGCGGGTGAAGTTTGTTTGGAACTCCACGATGAAATATCCTTAGATGTTTAGAGCAATAGTTACAAGTTTGTTTTTTTTTTTTTTTTTTTTAAGATTCATTTATGTATTTATACGCGCACTGGGCACAGTCAGAAGCGCGGGAGGGTGAGAGGATCCGCCGGAGCCAGAGCAGGGAACAGAACAGGCGGACTGACGAAATACAGTGCTGAGGGGAGCAGCGGGCGGCAGGAGAGGTCTGCGCGCCATGTGGGACCCTCGCTGGTGGCCGGGGATTGAACCGGTGCTGCAGAGGCTGCGGGCAGCTTTGCAGCCCAGCGTTCAACCGCTGCGCCACCTGGGAGGCCCTATAGTTACAAGTTTTTTATACATATGATTATTTCTTTTTAAAGATTTATTTACGCGTGCAAAAACGGGGGTACAGGCCAGAAGTGCAGGGAGGTGGGTGAGAGAATTCACCAGAGAAAGTGGGGCGCAGAATAGGCAGATCTACTGAAATACTGCTGAGGGGAGCAGTGGGTGAGACAGAAGAGATCTGCTGCGCCATGTGGGTCACTCCCTGGCTGGCTGGGATTGAACCCACTCTGCAGAGGCTGCGGACAGCTTCACAGTGTGGTGCTTAACCGCCTGCGCCACCAGGGAGGCCCTACCTCGTTACTCTCTTGATGGTGTCTGTGGATGTACAGAAGCTTTAAATTTGGACATAGTTGAGTTTATCCATCGTCTGCTGCTGGCGCCTGTGCGGTCGGCGTCATGTGTGAGAAACCTTTGATGCCACCGTTAGCCAGATTCCCCGTAGGTTTTCTTCCAAGGCTCTCGTTAGCTCTTAGGGTTAGGACTTAGAACCACTTCGAATCATTTTTGTGCATGGTTTAAGATAAAGATCCAGTGTTGTCTGTTCTCTGAATGGTTTTGGCAACCGTGCACAAAATGAATCAACCGTTTGCTTCTGGTTCTGTCTCACCCCTTCGCGTCTGCCCGACGCCGTGAGCGCTGTGGCTCTGTGTGAAGTGTGAACCTCCCAGCTTTGTTTTTCCTTTCCAAGATCATCCCTCGAAATTCCATGTGAATTTTAACACGTGTTTTTCTGCGTCTGCAGGAAGTGCTGCTTATGGGACGGCCCCCGGGTGCGGCACGGCATAGCCTCACCGCTCCTCAGGCGCGGGCTATCTGCCTCGGGTGTCTTCCTGCGTATCTCTCGGCAGTGTTTCTTCGCTTTTGTTGTACAGGCCTTTATCTCCTTGCTTAAATGTATTTTTCGTTTTATTTTCAGACTGGACATTGTTAGTAAGAAATACCCTGGATTTCGGGGTGTTAGCTCTTATGTCTCAATCCTGGTTAACTTACTGCTTCACATAGGTCTTTTTTTTTTTTTAAACATGTCTTCATTTCTTTTTTGTTGTTGTTGTTAAGATTTTATTTATTTATTTATACAAGCACTGGGTACAGTCAGAAGCGCGGGAGGGTGAGAGAATTCACCAGAGCCAGAGCGGGGAGCAGAGCAGGCAGAAGAGCAGGCAGAAGGACCGAAGGACACTGCTGAGGGGAGCAGCGGGCGGCAGGAGAGGTCTGCGCGCCATGCGGGACCCTCCTCCGGTGGCCGGGGAGCAGCCGGGGATCGAGCCGGCACTGCAGAGGCCGCGGGCAGCTTCGCAACCCAGCGTTCAACCGCTGCGCCCCCGGGGAGGCCCTGCTTCACATAGGTCTTGAGTGGGTTCTTTAGGATTTTCTATGTCAAGATCATGTCATTTGTCAGTCAGCGCTGCTGTTTCTTTTCAGTGTGAATGTCATTTTTTTTTGCCTAAGTGCTCTGAACGTGACTTCCAACGCGGTGTCGAATAAAACGTGGCCAAAGTGGGCATCCTTGTCTTTTTCAGGTTCTTAGAGAAAAAAATTTATTTTTTGCCACCAAATTTGGCGTTACTCGTGCTGTTTCCCACGTGGTCTCTGTGGGGTCGAGCAAGTTTTTTTCTCCTCCTGCTTTATTTATGAAAAAGCAGCGTTGAAACCTGTCCTCTGCTCTCGTGCCTGAGACGGTGGCCTGGCTTCCCACTGCCATCCTGCTGATTTGCTGCCGCGTCAGCCCATTTCCATCCGTTGGTCCAGCTCGCATTCCAGGAGTAAACCCGGCCTGTGGCGCGTCACCTCTCGTGTGTGGCCCGGGCTGTCGGGTTCCTGGTGTGTCTGGCATTCCTCAAGGCGTCCGGCTTTGGTGGGCAGGGCTGGCCAGCCCTGTGGTGGGCAGCATCTCTCTCCGCAGCCTTCCAGATGTGAGTGGGCAGGTGGCCTTCGTCTGGCCCCGCACCGGCCTTCGTTGTGAGGTTGGAGCCGGTCAGTCCTGAGCACCTGGCTGCGCCAGCGTCGTCACGCTTGAGCCGAGTGTGTGCTTTCCGTTGCGGGTGCTAGATTTTAGTTTCGAGGTTTGCTTGGCTTTCCAGAGTGACCCCGCTCTCCTTTGCACAGCGTTTCCAGCGCAGCTGCAGACGAGCTGCTGGCCGCTGCCACTGCGGGCTTGCTGAGGTGCCTCGTGGCTGAGGAGGTGGCCCTACAGAGGGAGCGCGAGGAGGAGGCACGGCGGCGGGCCGAGGAGCAGAGGTGGGGGGGAAGCAGGGGCATGGGGCCCGGGGGTGGGGGGTGCCAACCCTGGGGTGGGGGGGTGCCAACCCTGGCCGGTGCTCCTACTAGCCTCCGCCCTGGGCTCCCTGCATCCCCACACCAGCACCCAGGTGGGTCCCACGGCTGGGAGCAGCTGCCCCGCCTGGCAGTGAATGCAGCGACACTTTCATTTGCTGTCCTTGAACCTGCCCAGGCTGGAAGAAGAGCGAGAACAGGCGCTGACCCAGCTGAGCCAGGGCCTGGCTGCAGAGCTGACCGAGCTCGTGGTGGCCGAGTGCGTGCGGGAGGCCTGCACCTGGGAGCTGCAGTAAGCTGTGTACCGGGAGGGCGAGTGGGGTAGGCGGGTCCCACCTCACAAAGGCTCTGTTCTTCTGGGCAGTGCTTCCTGGCCCGAGCGTGCCTGGCAGAGACGCGTGTCCTGTGGGGGCTGTGTCTGTCGGGAGGGGAGCTGTGCCCCCATGGAGGCTCCTCCCTGTGCCACCCCCATGGTGGGCCTCATCCAGCGGCCTTGTGGGGGTGCCTCAGCTCTCAAGTGGAAGGCCCTTTCCTGCCTGTACGCGGAGCCTCTGTCTGTGCATCAGGCCAGCCCTGGCCACAGTGCAGGCGGGTTCCCCGGAGACCTGCCCTTGGCCTGTGCAGGTCTGCAGGCAGCTGCCCTGGTGGCTGCATGTGGGGTGTCTGCAGGCGTTTCTTTCATGTTCTGGTCTGAGGGCCCCGCCCTGCTGCCTTCCAGGGACAGTGGAGGTCGCAAACATGCAGAGAGCTGAGGTCAGTTGTTGCTGCTGTGCTGACCGTCATTTAAACTTTAACTTTAAAATTTCTGTTAAGAAAAAGATTGTTATTTGGCGGCTGCCCAGGCCTTGGGCGGGAGCCCGAGTCCATGCCATGGCATCTGTCCTTGGCGGCATGAGGACTAGAGGCGTTTCTTGCAGTGCTCTTGGCCTCCGTGTCAGGAGGGCCTGCACGGCCAGTGCAGCTCGCCCATGCCATCCTCTCCCCAGGAGTGCGGTGGAGACGGACCGGAGGGTCCGCCTGGCCCGGTGCTGTGAGGACGTCTGTGCCCGCCTGCTTGGCCTGTTTCTCAAGGAGGAGGTTTTCCAGACGGCAAAGGAGACCCTGCAGGAGCTCCAGTGCTTCTGCAAGTACCTGCAGCGGTGAGTGCTGCCCGGCCCAGGACACGTAGGCCAGCCCTGGCAATGGTCTCTGGTGGCTGCCACTGTCCGCCCTGTGCCAGGCCGAGGAGGTGGGGGCTTTCCAGACCACGGCCTCACGGTGGGCTGCGGGCGTCGCTGGCAGCGAGGAGGCGCGTCCTGGGGACATGGTGCCTGTCCAGCCTGAGGGGTGGGCTTGGCGTGGGGGCGTTTTGGCCCCAGAAGACGAGGACACATGGCTGCAAATGTGGCCTCACATTACCCGCGGTGGAGAAGGGGCTGGCCCAGCAGGGTCTTGGGTGTTCCCCTACTGCCCTGGCCAATTCCCAGCTGGGAGTCAGGGGTGGTGTAGGGGGCATTGGGCTCGGGGCAATTCGCATACAGCTGAGAGCAGGTCGGGCGCAGTGGCCGTGGCAGGGCCCAGAGTGGTGAGCACGTGCCGGGGCTGCGTCCACCAAGCCTTCCTGCAGGCACATGGGAATCACCCAGCCTTTGCTGGTGGCTGCCCGCAGATGGCCGCAGGACCTCGTTGGGCCCCCTGGCTCCCTCGCGGGGGTTGTGCTGGAGGCCCCAAGGGTTTGCTCAGTTCAGGCCACACGTTCACGCACGTGTCCACGTGCTGGCTGGGCCCTGGGCCGTCCCACAGGGTCCGCCCCACCTCAGGCGCTGGGCTCCATCCCCGTCTGAGGTTGTTGCTGATGCGAGCCCCGCACTGGGGCTCAAGCCTGGCTCTGTGCCTGCACCCCGCTGGCCTTCCAGGCACCCAGTGACCATGCTCTGGCCTGTCCTCCAGGTGGAGAGAAGCCGTCGCTGCCCGGAAGAAGCTGAGGCGCCAGATGCGGGCCTTCCCTGCTGCGCCCTGCTGCGTGGATGCTAACGCCCGGCTACAGGCCCTGGCGCCCAGCGCCGAGTGCCCCATCGCCCGGGAGCACCTGGCCAGGGGCCTGCTGGACCTGGGCCACGCGGGGAGAGTGGGCGTCTCCTGCACCAGGTCAGCACTCAGCCCGGGGTGTGAGTGGCGTCCCTGCTTCTGTCTTCGCACCCCCACGTGTCCCCATGCATGTGGGGCAGCTGGGGCCAGCGAGGTGAATGCTCTTGACTGCCTTCCTGACAGGCCCCTGGCCGGGACATGGCCCTGCCCGCTTGCCCCACCGCAGGCCTTGCCCCTCATCACACTCGGGTTCTGGCCACTGGCGTCTCCTGGTTGTCTTGATGTGGGGACACACCTCATGTGTCCTCATCAGGGGAGCCAGAAGTCCGCCTCTGCCCCTCCCAGCTCCCCTTCTTTATGCTTCCAGGCCCTCCTGCTTCCTCACTTTTCTTGCACAGGCTGTCCCACCCCGCCCCCTCTCACAACGTCCTGGGAGGCGTGTTCCGAGGCCAGGGCTGCCCTGGCCTCCCAGGCCTGTGCTGGCCCACAGACGGCTGCTCGGTTCCTGTGGACAAGCACGGCCTCCAGCTAGCTGGTTTATTCACTGAAATCATTTCCTTGGTCCCCTGAGCATCTCCTTGGAGGAGACACTCGCTGACCAGCATCATAGCCAAACACCAGCAGGTGCCTGTGTGTCTCCCGTGGGTGCCCAGCAACCTCACGGGATGCGCGTCTCCCCGTGGCAGGTTGCGGTGGCTCCGGAACAAGACTGCCCACGAGATGAAGGTGCAGCACTTCCACCGGCGGCTGCTGAGGTCAGTGCTCGCCCAGCCTCGTCTGTGCTCCTCTCTCCCCTTCCCCGGCCCCACCCACCGCCTGCCTGCTCTGGGAAGCCCGTGGCGGGACCCACAGCACCGGTCAGCTGTGGCCGGCCCCTCCTCAGACCCCCAGCCCCATCTGGCTCACCCTCACCACACACTGCCCCCGGGCCCCAGCCCCCGGCCCCGCCCTGGCCCACCAGTGAAGGGCAGCATGTCCGGTGGCCACTGCTGAGGTCTGTGTCCCGGCCCCAGCCCCACCCCAAGTCTCACCCTACTCCAGGCCCCGCGGGTCTGCTCACCTCTCACCCTGCCCTGGCCTTGCAGCGATGCCGCGTGGGCGCCTCTGGACCTGCCATCCCTCGTGGCCGAGCACCTCCCCGGGTTGCGGGAGTGTGTGTTCTGGAAACTAGTGCTGGTGCTGCCTGACGGCGAGGAGCTGCCCCTGGGGAGCCCGGGCAGGTGGGCCCTCTGCACCCATGTGGGTGCGGCAGGGAGGGTCTGTCATCCTCCCCCTCCCCACCCCCTCCCCCCGTTGCCTGCCTGCTCTGGGCAGCCCGCGGGGGGACCCACAGCACCAGTCAGCTGCGGCCGGCCCCTCCTCAGCACCGTGCTCTGGGATCTTGGGCCCCTGGGCAGCAGGTGCAGCTTTCATTCCTCTCTGTGACAGGGATGCCCCGAGCCCGGGATGGGCCAGCCCCCACACCCAGTCACTCGGCTGGCTCCCACCTCTCGGTGCCTGGAGGTTGCTGCTGTGGAGTCTGCATGGGTGGTGTCGCGGCAGCAGTTCTGCTGGCCGCAGAGCTGGGGCTCCCCTGGGCAGGGTGCACAGCCTCTGCAGGCCTGCCCCACGCCCACAGGGCAGCGCGTGGTCCCGCCCACCCGGCACGGAGCCGGGTCCTGTAGGTGCCCGTGGGCCTGCTCGGGTGCCGACCCGCCGTGGGCTCGCGGGGACCCGTCTTGGGCCCGGGAAGCGTATGAGTCCAGGCGCGTCTGGTCAGCGGTCAGGGCCTTTCCCAGAGTGAGCCCTGGCTGCTGGCCCGCAGGCAGGCAGGTAACGCCCACACCCCAGCGCCAGGGCTGTGCTGGGTGCTGCCTCCTCCTGCTGAGGTTGTGCAGCCGAGTGCAGGCCAGAGCCTCCCCGAGCATCGCCTCTGCCTCCCCAGGACGCTGGCCAACTGGCTGAAGGTCAAGTTCGTGGGGGACGGCGGCGCGGTGGCAGAGGCAGGCGGGGACGTGCCAGGGGTCCGCACCCTGGCACTGTCCCACAGCCTGGGCAGCAGCGGGGGCCGGGCCGTCTCCATCAATGTGTGTGTGAAGGTGGGTGACGGCTCCGCTGGTCTTGGCTCCCCCGGTCCTGGCGGTCGCTGTCCGGACAGGGTTTCCCTGGGCGTCCAGCTTGGCCTGCTGCGCGCCGCCCCACCCCGTGTGGTCTGCGCCACCCCCTGTGCCGGGGCAGGGGCTCTCCCAGCGGCCCTTCCCTGCCTCGCTGCAGCTGGGGCCGCGGCCTCTCCCGGGACACAGCTCTGTGGCGGGGGTAAGGGGAGGGCAGGGCGGGCATGCACAGAGGCGCAAGCTGGGCCTGTGGGTCTGTGTTCCCAGTGTCCTCCTGGCTGCATGGCTCGGCGTCTTGGTGTGTTCTCCCCGCCACTGCTCGTTCCCCACTTGGTGTTGCCTTGAGCCTGTGTGACCGTGCTTGGGCGCCCCCTCCCTCCCTGAGGACCCAGGGTCTTTGCCGGGCGCCATGGCCCAACTCGCTGACCCCTTGGTTCCCTTTGACACGAGGTCCTCCTGGCATCTGGCTTGGGGGGAGGCTGCCCAGGGTGCGTGGACTCCAGTGCCCCTGGTGCCTGGGGCCGCTGCGCTCCTCCACCGCCTAGGCTTCTGGGGGTCTTTGTGCTGCGGGCGGGGGTGGTGGGCGGGTGCTGTGCCTGGGCCTGTGGCCTGGGCCTCCTCCCGACGGGATATTTGCGCATGGCAGGGGAGCCCGTGGTGCTTGGGCGCTGGCCGTGTCCCTGTCTCAGCCCTCGGTGGCGTCCTCTGTGCTGGCCTGTGCTGGCCCCGCGTGTGCCTGCTCTCTGGAGTGGGCTGCGAGTCTTGGTCTGCTGCTGCGCTGCCCCTGTTCTGTCGCTGGGGTCTGGCCCTCTCACGCCCGTTTAAGGGGACGTGGGGCTGAAGCAAGGTGAAGGGCCGGGTCTACTGACTCCTGTTGCCCCCGCGGAGGTGCCCTGTGCCAGGATGTGTGCCCACTCTGTGGCCTGGCGCCGGCTTGGGCCCATCAGAGGGGCTGGCTGTCTTCCAGGTGGCCCACGGCTTGCTCAGTGACGGCGCCCTGGATGCCTTGGAGACACAGAGGGAGCTCCTGGGTGCCAGCGGGCTCCTGCTGCTGCTGCCCCCCAGGGAGCGGAGCGGGGATGTGGCAAAGGAGAGCGCGCACTGGCTGTCGGCATTGCTGCGGCTCAGGCACCTCTTGCAGGCCAAGCCCTTCCAGCCTGCACTGCCGCTGGCCGTCCTCGCACCCGGCCTGGGGGCGGCTGCCGTCGAGAGGGACATGGAGGAGGGTTGGTGGCCTCCCTGGGGTGCGCACGGCTGGGGGGGGCTCTGGGGGGGGCTGACGGGTGGTGAGCCTCTGTCTCTCCCCAGGCCTAATGCTGCGGGACCTGGTGTCGGCGGAGCTGGTCTCGGACTACACCATCATCGCGATGCCGGACGCCGTCAGCGACTCCCAGGGCACCACAAAGGTGAGGCCCCTGCCGCCCCGCGTCAGCCCCATGCCCACAATCTCGGTTGGGACCATCTGGAAATACAGAGTGAAAACGAGAGACAGTTTCTCTGTCTCTGTAGACAGTTTCTCCAACTCAGTCGCTCACGTGAACGTTTTTAGTGTTTTTCTGTCACGGGCTTGAGGTGAGGCCATTCCCGGCTGTGTCTGGGGTCTGGCATCGGACAGTCCTGCGTCTCTACAGCAGCCCGGCAGCACGGGGTAGGGGTCCGTGGACAGGCGGCCACCGCGCTGCCTTGCAGGAAGGAAGGGCCGGGAGCTGAAGGGTGTGGGGCGGCTGCGGTCCCGCAAGGACGCCGGTGTGGCAAGGGCTGTCTCCCTCAGGCCCAGCCAGTATAGCACCCCGCTCGGAGCCGGGCTCCTGGTGCGCGCCCACGTGACATCTCCCCACCTGGCCTACAGGTCTCGCAGGCCGTGCAGTGGCTGCTCTCCCGCTGCCCCCGCACCCTGGACCTCTGCTGCCAGACCCTTGTCCAGTACGTGGAAGATGGCGTCGGCCGGGAGTTCAGCAGCCGCTTTTTCCACGACCGGAGGGAGCGGCGGCGGGGCGGCCTGGCCTCGCAGGAGCCGGGTGCCATCGTGGAGCTGTTCAACAGCGTACTGGGCTTCCTGGCCGCCGCCGTGTCCTCCGAGCAGCTCAGCGACTTGTCTTGGCCCGTCGCCGAGTTCGCCAAGGCCGGGGGCAGCCAGCTGCTCCCCCACCTGCGCTGGAACAGCCCGGAGCACCTGGCCTGGCTGAAGCAGGCCGTGCTGGGCTTCCAGCTCCCGCAGGTGGACCTGCCGCCCCCAGGAGGTGTGTGCCGGCTGGGGAGTCGCGGAGGTCCCCCTTCCCCGCTGCCATGGCTGTGCCCCCGCCCGCACCAGCACTGTCCCCGTCCCCTGCTGTGGGGTCGGGAACGGAGCTCCGTGGAGTGGGGTATTTGCCCGCCTCGGCGGCGGGGGTGTCTGCTCGGCCTGGAGAAAACTGCAGGCGGTGTCAGGGTTTCTGAGCTGTGAGGCAGGCCCTGCCTGGCCTTGGGCCAGGGGTGGGGGGCTGTGACGGTCAGCACCACCTTGGCCAGAGAAGCCTCTGGCAGTGCCCCATGAGGCCTTGGGCTGTTGTGATGTAGGTGGGCCCCCAGCTGGGTGTGGAGGCCCCTCCCTGGCCTGCTGACCCGTGGCGGGGTGAGGCTGTTTGCTCTGGCGGGGTGGGGGGAGGCGGGCCCCTCCTCTGGGCTGTGTGGGGCAGGGGCGCGGGGTGTCTCGGTTTCCGGGCCTGGACCTCTGTGGGCTGGCAGGTGCCTGAGACTGACCCAGCGCTCCTTGAGCTCGGTCAGCGTGGCCCGGAGCCAGACCACCTGTGCCAGACCCAGTGCCCACCCCCTGCTCCTGGCCTGTGCTGTGGGGCATCGGGGCCCTACAGCTGGCCTCTGCCCAGTTCAGTCTGGGGTGGGCCTGCGTGACCTGGCTGGAAAGCGCATGACGAGCTCTGTGACCCACGCCCCGCAGCCCCCTGGCTCCCGGTATGCACCATGGTGGTCCAGTACGCTGCACAGGTCCCCAGCTCACGCCAGACGCGGCCCGTGCTGCAGTCCCAGGTGGAGAGTCTGCTCCGCAGGACCTACCTCAGGTGGCGCAGCCGGAGCCCCTCCGCGAGCCGGTGCACAGGGCCCTCAGTCTCCCAGGTCCCGTGGGACGACGTCATTGCCCTATGCATCAACCACAAGCTGAGGGACTGGACACCCCCCCGGCTCCCTGTCGCACCAGGTACTCCAGTCGCCCGCCCCAACCGTCCGCCAGCCTCGGCCAGCACGGCTCCCCGGCAGCCTCCACCCCACCCCTGCTGGGACCCCACACCGGGCGCACCTCCGGGCAGCCCCCGGCCCAGGCCCACAACTGGTCAGGGCTGTCCGCAGAGACGCGCTCGGCTGACGCTTCTGCATGTGTTACTGTGTTGTCTGCAGAGGCGCTGAGTGAAGATGGGCAGATCTGCGTCTATTTTTTTAAGACCCACTTGAAGAAGTACGATGCGCCACCATCCTGGGAACGAGCCCGAACGCAGACGCAGAAGGAGCTGCAGCTCAGCCAGGGCCGGTGAGATGGCCGCGCCTCCCCTGCAGGCCTCCTCAGGGACACCGAGGCCCTGGCCCAGCCTAGGGTGGGTCTGCGCCAGCCACATGGGGGTGCGTTGGACCCTCTTCTCCAGACGCCGTTCCTGCCCCCTCCCCGAAGCCATCGTCTACCCCTGACCGTAAAGCTCCCCCTCAAGCAGTCGGAGGATGGCCCAGTCAGGTGCTCTGCCTGGGCGCTGCCGGCCCTGCTTTGCGCAAGACTGGGACGCTGGGGTCCGGGCCTGCTCCCGCTGGCCCCAGGCGCCCCCAATTTGGGGGCTCAGGTGCGGTGGCACCAGGAGCAGCAGGCTGGAGTTGCTGCCCTTACTAGCGCAGACGTCACACCTCAGGGCTCCTTGGCTCACCATGTGACCAGGCAGGTCAGTGACGGCTCATTTGCAGCCGCAGACCTGAAACTGACGCCGCATGGCACCAAGTCCTGTGGACGGAGCTGGCAGAGCCCTGGGATGAGTGAGGGGCAGGCTGGCCCTGCTGGCTGGGGGCGTGGCGGTGCCCAGATGTCGGCCCCGCCTTCTGGAGTCAGGCCACCTAAATCTCCAAAGGACCCCCCCAGTCTTGATAAGTCAATTCTAGAGTTTATTGGGGTGGAAAATGTAGCAATTGCTGAGAGATTTTTGCGGGACAAGGAAGTTCTTTCTGAGGCCCAAGCTCACAGCGGAGCCGGAACAGGCAGGCACACCAGGGGCTACAGAAGCCCAGCGGGCAGCGAGTCAGTGGGGGTGGAGGCGCGGGTGCTGGCGTCCTCTCAGGAAGGGTCAGGGCTGCTGGTGTCATCAGGGCCTGGCCGATTCTGGGAGCCTGAGGGCTAGGGGGAGAGCAGCAGAGCCGCTCGATCCTCCTCCCTGACCGTGAGCCTGTCCCACGTGTCGTTACAGCTCGGGGGTCAAGTCTTTCCTTCCTTTTGCAAACGAGCTTCCCACCCCGAGCCTGCCCGAGTGCTGTAAAGGGACACGGACCCGGGATCCCGGCGCGGAGGGGCTTCCCGGCGGGGAGGGCCTCCTGCACAGTGCCTCTGCCCAGGAGCTGCTGGCCCAGTGCCTGTCCAGTGGCCTGCTGCTGGAGAAGGAGGAGAGCCGCAGGTGAGGGCCGGGCTGGCCAGGCACCGGGGCGGGTTCTCAGCCTGTCAGCGTTGAGCCAGCTCACACTAACGGGGTCACCCCCATCGTGCTCCTCGGAGCCCAGTGGGGGAGACCCCGTGGGTTTTCTGGTGGGAAGCAACAGAGGTTGAGTGTGTCCATGGCTCATGGGCCGCCAGCCGGGCTCCCCAGCAGGCCCTGGCCCCAGGCTCGCCCGTGCCTGCTGTGGCCTCTGCGAGGCACCACCCTCAGCCTGGCCCTCCCACCTTCACTGCTGCGTCTGCACCTCGGGCCGGCCTCCCACCCTCTGTTCTCAGCCCCTGACGGCTGCTCCCACCCGGCCCTGGGTGCCTGGGATGCACGCGGGGCCGGTGCCCGGGTGGACGCCCCGCCCGTCTCAAAGTGGGTCTGGAGCCTTCCTGGGGAGACGGCACAGGTTGGCCCCTTGGGGACGGGGGCAGCTTCCCGAGAGGGCGCGTGTGGACATGGCACGCCAAGTCCAGTCCGCGGGGGTGGAGGGCAGAGAGGTGACAGAGGTCGGCTCCCAGCGGCATAACTGGGTTCGTACGTGTAACAAGCCTGAGGTCTGGTTTGCTTCTCGACGGATGGCGTGACTTGGTTCTGTCCTTAGTAAAAGCTCTTACAAATTTCAAGTACTTGGGCAGGGGGGCGGGGGCGAGCGATGCTGACCTTTGCTTCTGCTCTCGTGGGGCAGGTTTGAAGACCAGCTTCGGCAGTGGCTGTCGGAGGACACGGAGGCGCACGCGGAGCCCCCCTCCCTGCCCCTCTACCTGCCCCAGACGCTGGTGTCGCTGCCCCAGGTGCTGGGGCCTGGGGTGCGGCTGGCAGCTCTGAGCCCTCCTCAGGTGCGGGCCTTGGCACCACAATCGGGCTGGGGCAGTCAGAGTCCCGGGCGACCGTCAGCCTTGCAGCCTGTGGCGGTTTCCACGCATGGCGTGAGGGTGGGCAGGGCAGGCGGGGGGCGCCCTCAGTGGGAGCCCAACTGCCCGGGGCTGGCCTCCGTGGGACGCCAGGCGAGGAGCTCGCAGGGGCCAGGGCCGGCTCCTGCTGTGGGCGAGGACGCCCACGGGCTGCTGTGCTGCGGGAAGAACAGGCTGGGGCGACGCTCTAGTCGCTGCTCGGCTGGTGCTGGCAAAGTACCCCATGCTTTGGCCTGCAGCTCTGGTCTCAAGAAATGGCCACTGACCATGAATGCCCGCGTGCTTTCACCCGCCGCACCAGTAACCACAGTCAAAGCGAGGCGAACCCAGTCTCGGGGCTGCTCTGTCTGTGGCCGGGCAGCTGCCGCTGCTGACATGGCCGGCCCAGTGGGGCGGGAGAAGGGGCCGTGTGAGAGCTGGGCGCGCCAGCCTGCTGCCCGGGGCTCCCTCTGGGGTGGGCGTCCCAGCGTGGTCTCGTCTTCTAAGCAGCCTGCAGGCGCGGGGGAGCGAGGGCCACCGGCTGCGGGCGCCTCTCTGACCGAGCGGCTGGAGCACCTGGAGCGGCTGATCCGGAGCTCGCGAGAGGAGAGCACGGCCTCCGAGCTGCACCTGTCTGCGCTGCTGGACATGGTGGACATCTGAGCCGCCGGGCGGCACTTAACGCTTCTCTCAGAATGACGTCACCTCCGACGCGCACTGTCGGGGACGCAATTATCAATCATGCAAATAAACCACTGGCTGTCTGGAGAGGGTCCTGGTTTCCTGCACGGAAGGCTGTCCTCCTGCCCCATCTCTGATGTCCCACCTGCTTCCTGGCCAAGGGCGGTCACCCAGCTTGTGCTCTGGGGACTGGGCGGCACGCACTGGCGAGGGGACCCTGCCGCTGGTCATGGCTAGGCAGGGAGGGCAGAGCAGCTGGGCGCTCCCCAAGAGGGTATCACGGGGCCGGGGGCATGGCGTGGCACCTGCAGGGAGTGGGGGGCTGCGGCCCAGGGCACGGTGTGAGCAGAGAAGAGGCCTGTCAGTTTCTAAAAGAATCTGCAGGAAGGCCGGCCGGGCCAGTGGGCGTCTTGGGAGGTCTGGGGTGGGCAGTGTCTGTGCTGGCTGCAGTGATGTGGGAGTGGCCATGAGGCGCTGACCCAGTGGGTTCCTCCACGCCCCTCCATGACTCTCCCAACCAGGGTTCTTAGTGACCGCTGACCTGGAAGAGCAGGCCTTGGACCTCGCCCAGCGTCACCCGGCAGCCCCAGGCCCACCCTGTATCCAGAGCAAAGGTGTGGCTGCCCCAGGGCTCCCCTTGAGATCAAGTTCACGCCCATCAAAGAACTAACGTCCCCCACTCCCAAATGCCTAGCAGACCTGCTGAGCGCACAGTGGGGCCGCGCCCATCAGGCCTCGGTGGTGACACCCCCCCAGACCAGCCCAGGGCAGGCAGCAGCATTGGGGGTCGGCTGGGCTGGCCTTCCCACCGGGCCCTCCCTGACCCGTCCTGGGGTGGGCCTCCTTGCCACCGGCTGCAGCGTGGCAGGGCCAGTGCGCAGCGGCCGCGGGGCGTGGGGGCCACGTCCACGGTGCCAGCGGGCCCCAGTGTCCGCGGCGCCGCCCGTCCCAGGCCCGCGACGCTCCGTGGCGAGCAGGCGCGAGGGAGGTGCCCGGCCACAGCGCGTCCTCCCGTCGGCCCCGCGCGCCCCGGGCCGCATCTGCCCGCTGTGCTTCGGCGTTCTCGGCCAGCGACCTTTCCAGCCTGTTGCTTCTTAAATTTTAAAAAATACGACTTTTTAAAATTTTTGCGTAGAACTGGGGTGCAGGCGGAAGTGTGGGGTGGGAGGATCCGCAGAGGCGGAGGGAGCAGACAGGCGGGTCCACTGAAGCCCGCGGCTGGGGGGCGGGGGCGCGGGGGGCCGGGCGCCCTGCGGGGCGCGCTCGGGCGGGGTGGTGACAGCCTGAGACGCCCCCGGGCCACCAGGGAGGCCCCTTTCTTCCCCCTAAGAATCGACTTTTCCTTGTCTTGTTCTGAGGGTCCTGTGCGTCACGGACCCGGGGTGTCTCCCGGCACTCCAGGCGCTGAGCCGGGCGGGTCTGGGGGAGCGGGGCGGGGGGGCCGCGGGCTGGCGGGGGACACGGGCTGACGGCCCGCCCCCGCGGCCCGCAGGAGGCGGCGGAGGGCTTCCTCGGGCGTCGGCTCCGCCGGGGCGCCCTCCTGCCGCCGCCGGCCGCGCGGGGCTGCCCGGGGGGGCGGCGGCCCGGAGGGGCGGGCGGGGGGGCCGGGCCCGCGCGGTCGGCGCGTCTGTCCGCGAAGTCCCGACGCCGGGCGGCCGCGGGGGCCCCACTGCGCGCGCGCCCGAAGCCGAGCCGCCCGTCGCGGGAGGGGCCCGGGGTGCCGGGCGGGCAGGACTCGGGGCGCCCACGGAGGGCCCCCCGCCCCGCGCCGCCCCGCCCCGCGCCGGGGCCCCGCCCACCGCGCCGAGGCTCGGGCCCCGCCCCCGCGCTGCTCTGATTGGCCGGCGGGCGTCGGCCCACCTCGGCGCGCGACCGCGCCGGCCCGGGGCGCCTATATAGCGCGGCGGCGGCGGGCGCGCCGGGAGCGCGGCGGAGCCATGACGGGGGGCACGTGAGTGCGCGGGCGGCGCGGGCGGGGCGGGCGGGGGCTCGCGCCGGGGGGGGGGGCGGCGCGGGGCGGGCGGGGGCTCGCGCGGGGGGGGCGGGGGGCGGCGCGGGGCGGGGCCGGCGGCCGCCTCACCCCGCGCGCCCCCAGGTGTCTGCGGCGCCGCGGGGGGCCCTTCCGGACGGCGCCCGCCACCGACCTGCGCCGCTGGCGCCTGCGCACCGAGGGCGGCCGGCAGACCTGGACCTACTTCCCCGAGGGCGCGGACCCGGGCCGCGCGCAGACGGCGGTGGAGGCGCACAGCCTGGGGCTGGACACCGTGCGTGGCCCCCCGCCCCCCGGGTCGGCTGCTGCGGGCGGGCGGGCGGGTGGACGCGCGAGGCGGGGCGCTGGGGCCGCGGGACACGCCCGTTGACCCCGCCCCGCCCCGGCCCGCCCCTCGGGGTCCCCCGGCCTGCGGGGGCGCCCGCCCAGGCCTGTCTGCCCCGAAGGGCTCTGCCCGCGCCAAGGCGCCGCCACCCGCGGTCTCCAGAAGCCGGAGCTGTGCACCGGGCCGGGGAGGCGGCAGGACGAGCCTCCGAGCCCGGCGCCCCGCCGAGCCCCCAGGGCGCCCCCCCCCCGGGGCGACGGCAGCCGCTGAGCTGAGCAGCGGGCAGGTCTGGGCGGAAAGGAGCCAGATCCTCGCCGGCGGGGACAGGCCGCCCTCGCCCCTGCGGGCCTCGCTTCCGAGTGTCTCCCGCGTCCCGAGGCCCCGCGCACGTCCCGGGCGAGAAGCCCTCGCGGCCCCGCAGGCCCCTCATCCGAAGGCCCCTTTACCAGGTTCCTTTTCGCTTCTCCAGGATGCCCGGCGCCGCCCTTCACAGGGGGCGGGGACGGGGCCTCCCCCTTCTGTGGGGTCACACTGGCCCTTCCCGCACCATCTCCTGCTGCAACCACACGTGTCACCCCGGGCGGGAAGAGAAGGGCTTGAGCCAGTGAATTTCATGAAAGAGCTCCTGCGGGCCCAAGAGGAGTCTGTGTAACTGGGGTCTCTCCGTGGTCGCAGCCACAGCCAGTCAGTCCCCCCCACCCGAACCGGTCTTGAGGGAGGCAGCCGTGCCCCAGCCCAGACGCATGGGCTCATTTATTGCGACGTCTTGGAGAAGCAGAGAAACACGCAAGACGTGACTGAAAATCAAACCACAAAGCAGCCTTGGTTTTGCCAGCCTGGGGGTTCTCTGAAGACACCGAGCCTTTCCGGGGCGGCCTACTTGATCTGGGCTGTGAGCGAGGGCCTCTGCTGTCCGACCCCTGCCCCTCAGCCCCCGTCTTTCTTTGCAGAGCAGCTACTTTAAGGACCTGCCCCAACCCCTCACAGCCTGGGAGGCCGCACTCAACGGGATGACGTTTTACAGGGAGCTGCAGGTCGAGGAGGGGAACTGGACTGGGGACTACGCAGGCCCCCACTTCCTCACTACGGGTACGAAGAGACGTCCCGGGACACCTGGGCCTTGCCTGCTTGGGCTCTTGGCACATCTCAGGTGTGAGTGAGGGGGCAGGTGAAAACCCAGAGAAAGGGCTCGGAGGGCCCCGTGCACCCAGGTTTCCCAGTGGGGGTGCTGGGCCGTGGGGTGCCCCGCTGAGGGTCGAGTTGGCCAGAGTGGCCTGGCTTATGCGAAGAGCCTGCGGGCAGGGTGCGTGTGGGCTCTTGGGCTCCTCTGGGCTATCCGGGGCGCTGGGTGTGCGCGTGCAGGTACAGGTGGGTGAGGTGGGGGGGCCGCAGCTGCCCCCGGGTATGCACAGCTTGGCTCGGCAGGACTGCTTTGTGTCCTGGGAGTGTTTCTCTACAGCGTGGTGGTTGGGGGGGTGGAGGGGCTCATCAGAGTTTGTGCAGGATTCTTTCTCCGCGACCTGTGGTCACTCAGTCTGGACCTGGGCACTCATAAACGCCTGTTTCTGGGGAAACGCGAAGCGGTGTTTTCTTTTTTGTGCTGTGTTGATGATCACTTTATGGAGTTAAAGGCTGTGCGTCCCTTTGTTGATTTTCTTTTAAAAGCATTTCTGAGCTGTGCCTGTCCGTGTAGTCCCCAGAGTGTGGTCCTTGTGGTGAGCAAGCCTGTTGGGCTTGGAGTGGGCCTGCGTGCCCGGGTAGCTGCGAACTGGCCTTGACCGTTGCAGACCTGTTTGTCCCGGGCCACGGTGTGCTTTAACCCGTTCGTTCCCATGTCCTTAGAACAGGCCCCCCCGGACAGCTGAGGAGGCTGGCCACGCTGTCTTTGGCTCACTTGGGGTCACAAGAGCCGCTTCTCTGCTTGGCAGGGAGCTCTGCTGTCCCTAGCTGGGGACTTGTGTCTCCCTGGGCAGTGCTCTGTGGGCCTGAGTCACGGGCAGGTCAAGGGGCCAGTTCCTCCCTTGGCTCCCCAGTCCAGACAGTATCCCGGGATCAGGCATCTGCTCTGGTCTGGGGGGATGACTGCCCTGAGCCTGGGCTGCCCTCTTGTGCTGACCGCTGGCCACGGAGGTCCAGTTTCTCTGCCCGCCTGCCAGGTGTGGGCATGGCAGCTTTCTGTGCTCACTCCCACGCTGGGCCCTGCGGGCCCTCCTGTGCAGGCTGCGGCCGTCTCCGGACAGAAGGCCTTTCTTGGGGCGACGCCGCCGCGGTGCTGTGGGGGTGCCTCCAGCTGTGCACTTACTGTGGAGAGGCCTGGGCTCAGCCTGTGCAGCTGTACCCCAGGGTGTATCCAGGGCTTCTGATGCCAGGCCTGGCAGGGTCCCTAGACTGCCCTTGCGGCAGGCTGCGGGCACGGGCCGATGGGGGTAGGGGTGGGGTGGGGGAATGGCCTGTGGCCCTGTCGGAGAGCCAACCACAAGGGGCTGTGTGGGTGGGGGCGCCCCCACAGAGCGCTGGCACAGGGAGCATGGGGCTGGCACACGCAGGGGCTGGACGGGGTCCACATCTCAACAGGTGGTGAAACGAGACCCTGTCTGCCCGTGGGGTGGGGAGCAGGCGCCGACCCTGAGTGCCCATCCCTGCCCACCCTCGGACGCTTGGGGGTGGCCTCCCCAGGTGCCGACAGTGCCCGGAGGCAGGGCCTGTACCCAGAGGACGTCTCTTCTGCCATGCAGGCTTGCTGATCGCGTGCCATGTGGCGGGCATCCAGCTGCCCGCCGGCTACAGGGAGGAGATGATGCGGTACCTGCGCTCGGTGCAGCTCCCGGACGGCGGCTGGGGCCTGTGAGCTTGTGCCGGCCCCTGGGGTGTGTGGACGGGGTGCCGGGTGGGAGAGAGGAGCGTGACTGGGCCAGCTTCCCCGCAGGGCAGTGGACGCAGCTTCACGGCTGGTGCTGGACGAGTGGGGCTGGGGGAGGTGCCGGGTGCTTGGCCGCAGCGGCAGCCCGGCTGGCAGCCTGGCACCCTCCCAGGGTTCAGCCTCTCTGGGGGTGCCCTGTGGGGGCGGGCCAGTCATGGGAGGGGGGCAGGCTCCCCGGGGCTGGGCTCCTCTGGGCCTGGCGGGATGAGTCTCACCAGGGCTGCCCCGGGGTGCGTGCCAGGCCCTGGTCTACCCCGAAACACGTTGCTGGGGCCTCCCGTGTGGGACAAGGAGAATGGCCGGGTCCTGCAGGGCAGTGTCGGGTTGCTCGCCTGCTGGGCTGAGCGCTCCCTGGCTGGCGAGGGCAGGTGTTTCCTGCGGTGACACACCCACACGAGACGCTGGCGCTCCGGGTCCTCCGGGCCTCGCGGAAAGTGTTGCTCAGTCACTCAGGAGACAGCAGGTGACGCGTCCTCGCCCCCCTTCACTGCCGTAGGCACATCGAGGACGAGTCCAAGGTATTTGGGACCATGATGAACTACGTGGGTCTGCGGCTTCTGGGCGTGGGGCCTGACGACCCTGACCTGATCCGCGCCCGGAACTTCCTCCACAAGAGAGGTGCGGGCAGGGTGCCTGTGTGGGGCCAGACGGGCCACGCTGTGGGGTGTGGAGCACGCCGGGGGATGCTGGCAGCCCTGGCAGGGGGGCACCTCCTGGGACTGGTTGTCAGGCGGCTCCCAGCGGGCGCATGCGGAGGCCAGCTTCGGGGCCATCGTTTCCTTAGAGAAGGTGGCGGTGGCTGCGCACACTTGCGTGAGGAGCTGGCCTGGGGGCACTGGCACTGGCGGGGGCCAGCAGATGGAGCAGCAGGAGCCAATGGGCGCCCGGGTCCTCCAGGCACACCTGCCTGCTTGGGGTCTTCTGCGGGTGCCCATACTCCCCGAGGTTGCAGGTGACCACCTGGGCCGTCGGCTGGTCCAGGAGCTGCCCAGCCGCTCTGCAGAGCCTGGCAACCCCCCATGCCTCTCCAGGGACCTGCTCCTTCCGCCTCCCTGCAGCTCTCAGTGCCCCAGTGGGGGCCTTCCTGCTGAGCCCTGCTCACCGGCTCGCACCTGCACACCTTGGTCCAGAACCCTCCTGGCCGCCAGGCCGGGCTCACCTTGGGTTCGTCCTACTGGGCTGCGTCCTTGCGTCTCTGGCGCCAGTTCACCGGGCACCCTTGATCCGAGGGTGCTGGTGCCGGGCTGCCCTCCCCGGCATGGTGGAGGAGGGCGTTTGGTCCTCACCTCGTGTCTCCTTGGAGGCCTCCGTGGGGAGCTTGTCCAGGCTGGTGTGTGCTGCACCAGGGATGGGGCTGGCTGCCCCGGGGTGGCCCTCGAGGGAGGAGACGGTGTCCACTCACTGCCCCCCGGCCCTGAGGCCCCTAGGGCACTTGCCTGCACATGCTCTGGCTTCGGGGCTCAGGCTGGACGCTCGTCGTGCGGGTCCCCGGACGCGGAAGCCCTAGGTCCTCCGTGCCAGATGACGTGGTCTGTCCTTCCCCAGGCGGCGCTTTGTTCACGCCCTCCTGGGGCAAGTTCTGGCTGGCCATCCTGAACGTCTACAGCTGGGAGGGTCTCAACTCCCTGGTCCCGGAAATGTGGTATGTCTGCCCTGCCACTGGGGTGGTACCTGGGGGTGCTGGACCTGTGGTCCAGGGGAGGCCGGCCCAGCCTGGCTGGGGCCTGCTCACTGAGCCTCCAGAGAGATGGAAGGAGGTTCCCGGTTGAGCGGAAAGTGGGGGCAGGGGTGCTGTGAATGGGGTGGCACCCCAATTTGGCTGTGGCTTCGGCCCCATGGCAGTGGAGCGCCCGGGGTGAAGACAGAGCCCTGCTGTGGGTGGGGGCGGCATTGTGGGCAGAGGGGAGACGCCCAGGGAAGGCGCGGGCCTTCCCGAGCCCCCGCGCGCCTAGAGGAGGAGGTTGTCTTAGTAGAACCATGACTTGCGAAGTGTCCAGTAAAACCAACGCTGACTCTGTGCCACTCGGCCCCCGCCTACAGGGGCGTGTGACACATGCTCAGTCACCTCCCCACATCGGGGGCCAGAGGTCCGGCTGGGGCAGGGCTGGGGCAGAGCCCCTGCCCCCGTGAGCACAGCAGGGTGTGGTCAGGTCACCTTGTGGGGAGGCGAGAGGCCAGTCTGGAGACAGCAGGGTCCTGAGGGCAGGGCTCGCCAGGGGTGCTGGTGGGGAGTGGGTGGCACTGCGTGGCCCGCAGCAGGAGGGGTGGGCACCCCGCTGGATTTCAGGACTAGACGTGGGGCTGCTTGCTATAAGGAAGCTGGCACCTGTAGGGGTGAGGTGTCTGTGTGCTTTTGGGGCAGCCCCCATGAGTTCAGGGTAGCTGGGACACTGCTGGTGGTTGCAGGAGAGCTTTGGGGGCCTCAGAGGGTAAAGGGGGGTGTGCAGAAAGGAGGCCCTGAACCACTCCTGCTGCAGATGGAACCTCAGGTGCAGAGCACCATCAGGCCTGAGTGGGAAGCCCCCCAGAACGTGCAAAGCACCCTGAGGCATGGGTGGTGGGCGCAGGCAGTCGACACTCAGGAGGCGGTGGGGCTCAGCTCTGCCGGAGGGTGGGGTCCTGGGGGCTTAGCTCTGTGCTCCTGGGGTAACGGGAGTGGCCCAGAGCCACAGCAGGGCCCAGGCTGGGGCAGCACCAGCGCCTGCAGGGAGGGGTGCCCGGGTCCCCAGCCGCCTTTGTCACAGCCGAGAAGCGCAGACCCCCGCCCCGAGGGCCTGCGTCCCTGGCCTTGGCCTGCGCTTGGCTGAGCCAGCAGGGGTGTTGCCAGCTTCCAGCCCTGGGCAGGGCTGGCCACCACCACAGGCATGAGTGGACCGTTTGGAGGCCCCCCTGCACTGTCGCCCGCAGGGCCGGGGCTCCCACTGCCATGTCGCCCCCAGGCTGGCCCCTGAGTGGGTCCCCGGGCACCCCTCCACGCTTTGGTGCCACTGCCGGCAGGTCTACCTGCCCATGAGCTACTGCTTCGCCACCCGGCTGACGGCGAAGGAGGACGAGCTGATCCGGAGTCTCCGCCAGGTGAGGCCTGGCCACGGAGCTGAGCCACCCGAGCGGCCGTGCAGAGGTGTGGGGAGGCTGCGGGCTGAGGAGGGTGGGCCGGGTGCGGAGTGACCGGTCCAGCCATGCTGTGCCCACAGGAGCTGTACGTGCAGGACTACGCCAGCATCGACTGGCCGGCCCACAGGAGCAGCGTGGCCCCCGGGGACTTGTACACGCCGCACAGCTGGCTGCTCAGAGTCGTGTTGGGTGCGTGCGCGGGACGGGCGGGATGGGGGGCCAGGCCAGGCGGGCCAAACTCTGCAGGGCTGCCGCGGCCCCACACCCACTCCCCGTGTCCTGCAGCCTTCTTCAACCTGTACGAGCGCTACCACAGCGTCAGCCTGCGGCACCGGGCTATCCAGAGGATGTACGAGCACATCCAGGCCGACGACCGCTTCACCCAGTGCCTCAGCATCGGCCCGGTCCGTGCCCAGCACAGGGCTGCCGCCTGGGTGGGAGGGCGGAGACCGTCTGGGCCTGGGAGAGCTGGGCCGGCTTCTCCCGGGGGCCTGGCTTTGGTCCCATGGCTCCTCCTCGCGTTCCGCCTCCCCTCCTGCTCCCCATGGTGCTGCCCAGGGGAGCCGCTCCTCCCTCAGCTCCTCTGTGCCCTCCCGAGCACGCCCCGCCCGTCTGCCCCAGCCCTGCCCAGTTTGTGACTGGGGGCTCTGGCTCTGGCCCGGCTGGGCCTGGCCATGGGCTGCGGGGTCTGGTGGAAACCGGGTGTGGGCGGGCGCATGCAAGGTGGTGCCCGACCTCGGTGATCATACCTGCGCCTCTGAGCTGTGCTTGGCCCCGGGTGGGCCTGGCTGGCCGTCACCACGCCCCGCTGCCTTCTGTCCTGTGCCCGGGCAACACAGCGCCAGCCCCCAGGCCACCCTGGGCGCCTCGCTATGTGTCCCCTCCCTGGGTGACGCCCTCCGGCCCTGGGCTCAGGTCTGCCCAGCGGGCTGACGGATGTGCCGCCTGCAGATCTCCAAGGTGATCAACATGCTGGTACGCTGGCACGTGGACGGGCCGGCCTCCCCCGCCTTCCAGATGCACGTCTTCAGGATACAGGAATACCTCTGGTGCGTGGGGCGGGACCCACCCTGGCCTGCCCAGCGCACACCCGCAGGGAGTCAGTGCCCCTGGCAGACTGGCTGCTCCTGCCTGCGGCCCAGGAGGCCTGTGGGTGGACAGGGCAAGTCGCCAAATGCCAGGGAGGCCTCGCTGGCCACTTGGGGGCCAACTCCAGGGAGCCCTCTTCTCTGGCAGCCGCGGGGCTGCCTGGGTACCCGCTTGTGGACATGCGCCCCGGTCGGGAGCTCACAGTCCGTGGGCCCGTTGCCACTTGTGGATGGGGGCTCCAGCACCCTGCGCCCTGCCTGCGCTCCCTCATGGCTTCTCTCGTCCCACAGGCTGGGCCTGGATGGCATGAAGATGCAGGTAAGGGCCTTGGGGGTGTGGGACCCACCGCTGTGTGGATGGCTGCGGAACCCCATGTCGGCCCTGGGGGGGTGGGTGCTGGCGAGCACCATCAGCATGGTGCTGCAGGGGTCGCCCGCAGGAGGGCTGGGCCTGGTCCCACCTCGGCGCCCATGCGGCTGTAATGACCATTCTCTGCCCGCAGGGCACCAACGGCTCCCAGCTCTGGGACACAGCATTCGCCATCCAGGCCATGCTGGAGGTAGGTGCTCTGTCGCCCGCCAGCCTGGGGCCTCCTGCCGACCACTCCTGTACTGGTGCGGCGCGGTCTCTGATGCCTGCACTTTGCTCCCTGGGGCTCGTGCCTTTGGCCAGGGCCCTGCTGGGGTGGCCGGGAGGTGGGGGGAGCTAAAGGGTGGGCTCGGCAGGTGGCCAAGACCTGTTCCCAGGGCAGTGGGGGCTTCTGGGAGGGCGCACTAGGCTCGCTGAGCACACGTGCACTCGAGGTCTCTGGGGCCTCGCCCAGGGAGGACGCACAGCGGGTCTGTGCCATAGGCGCTGGAGGCCGCGGCCCTGGGGCATGTGTGCTGGCCAGGGCAGGGAAGGTCGATATGATCACTTCTGTCCACTCTCCATGTGTCCTTCTGAGTGGCCAGCAGAGTCCCACACTCCTGTCCAGTGGAGCCAGGACTTCCCAGGAGCTGTGCAAGGCCCCGTGGCCCCGCAGCCCCGCGCAGCCAGCTCAACCTCCTCTGCTTCCTCCCAGGCAGGGGCACAGTCCCGGCCCGAGCTCTCGTCCTGCCTGCAGAAGGCCCACCACTACCTGCGCATCAGCCAGGTGAGGCCCTGAGGCCCTCGCCTGGGGGCAGCGGGTGGGGGCTCCGTGAGAGGGCCACAGCCCGGGGCCCCCTGCTGTCCTGCCCCGCCCTGGGGTCTGCCTGTGCATGACGCGTTCCTCTGCTTTCCACACCTGCCCTCGGCACAATCAGATCCCAGACAACCCCCCTGACTACCAGAAGTACTACCGCCAGATGAACAAGGTACTCACGGCCCCCGTGTGGCTTGTGTTTGGCTGCCCCACGCAGCGCGGGCTACGGCCTGAGGGCGGTGGGCAGAGGTCTGAGCGATTCCGGCCAACCATACCAGCCCTAGGGCTGAGGCCGGCCATGCCGTGCGTGCGTGTGTGGGTGGCTGGGCTGTGGCCAGGCCTGCGGGTCACACCTGCACTCTCCAGGGCGGCTTCCCCTTCAGCACACGGGACTGTAACTGGATCGTCGCCGACTGCACCGGGGAGGCCCTGACGTCCGTCCTCCTCCTGCAGCGAGAGTGTCCCTTCATCACTGAGCACATCCCCCCAGAGCGGCTCTATGACGCTGTCGCTGTGGTGAGGCCACGGGGTCAGGGCCTTGGTCATGCAGTCCCTGGGGCCCCTGTGTCAGCCGGTTGGGGTGTCCTTGCCCCCCAAAAGCAAGCCCTGCACAGGGCTTGCCCCCAGGGCCCCCCCGGCCCCCCCTGGACCTGGGCATCCACCCTGCCTGGGGCTGGGACCAGGCAGCTGCAGAGGTCCTGAGCTGGCGCTGGGCTCCAGGGCCGGGCCTCTGCTCGGGCAGCCGTTCTCTGTGCTGTGTGGGGGTGGGGTGGTGCTCCCGCATGGCGCCCCTAGCCTGGGCACTCGAGGGGCTCTGTTTAAGGTGGGGCCCAGCCAGCTCCCGTCTCGTTGCGGCCCCGCCAGTTCCGCCAGCCTGTGGCCGACTCTCGCCACGGCCTCTCACTGTCTTAGCTGCTGAACATGAGGAACCGTGACGGAGGCTTTGCCACGTACGAGACCACACGCGGGTCCCACCTGCTGGAGCTGCTCAACTCCTCGGAGGTCTTCGGTGAGTGGTCAGCCCCGGCAGGCTCCAGATCCAGCCAGTGCCTGAGTGCAGTCCCCACGGGGCTGGTGGCTCCCTTAAGGGGCCTGCCCGGACCTCCCGTGTTCTGGGCCTCCGGGGTGCGGCGTGGGCGGGGCGGCAGTCTGCAGCGGGGGTCGAGGGAGGACTGCTCTCTGGCCAAGCCCGCCCGCCCCCTCCCGAGTGCCTGGCCCTCGGCCTGCAGGGAGCTGTCCTGGGCCCCCACCCACCCCGGCTCTGTGGTTCCTGCCTGCTCTGCCCCCGTGCTGTGGCTCTCTCTGGGCCTTTCAAAGGCCGCCCTCCCAGGGCACAGACAGGCCTCCAGGTCCCCGTGGCAGCTCCTGGTGGCCGTGGCCGAGCTGGTTAGCAGCCTCTCCCCCGAGGGAGACCCTGGGACTGGAGCTCAGCGCCTCTCGCTCCTCAGGGGACATCATGATCGACTACACCTACGTGGAGTGCACCTCCTCGGTGATGCGCGCACTGCACGAGTTCCACCAGGACTTCCCCGACCACAGGGCCGGCGAGATCAGGTCAGCGCCCACTGCACCGCAGGACCACGACGCTTTCTCCTGGAGCCTTGTGGTCTGGCGGGCTGAGCCCACTGCTCCGAGCCGCGTCCAGGACCCGTCGGCCGGCCCCGCTAGCTGGGGGACGCGACACCACACACCGCAGCCAGCCCTGCCGCCCCATGGGCCTCTGGCCTCCGGGGGAGAATACGCCCCGCTTCCGTGCACTTTGGGGCGGCAGCAGCTCCTGGGGTGGGGGGCGGGTGCTGTGTGGCCGGGCCTCACGGGCCTCCTCGGGGCCCTTGTGCCACCTGTCTTCCCTGAGCGGTGGTTTCCGCCAAACTGCCCGACCTGCGGCTTTCTTCCTGGGGGTGCTTGACGCTTTCTGTTCCTGTGCTTGGCAGTAACAGAACCATCCGGGCTCTGAATCTTGCCTTGAGGTGGTTTCAATAACTTGGTCTTCCTGGTTCACGCCTCTGCCACGTGTTTTGACGTCGCGCCCAAAGCCCCGAGCTCCCTGGCGGCAAGGCAGCACAGGCCTGACCCCGCTTGGGCACCCTCCTCCGGTGCTGCAGCTGCTGCTCCGCCACATGCGCTGCTGGGTCAGGCACGTGCACCCGTGTCTGAGTGGCCGGGCAGGCAGGCCGGGCTCTGCTCCAGGCTCTGTTCCTTGAGGGGCACCAGCGGAGGCCCCATTCCCTCGCCAACTGCCGCTGTTCGACATCCCAGTCTTGTCCGCGTGGGCTGCTCCCACCGCAGCTCCGGGAAAGCCAGCAAGGACCAGCAGGGAGGCACCCAGAGGCTAGACTCAGGGAACGGCGTGGGCCGCCCACCCCTGGGGGCCTGGACCCGTCCCAGGTGCTGTCAACCCAGGGCGGGGGCCATGTTAGCGCCTTCAGGCGGCCCTTCGGATGGCTGGTCAGGCCTCTGGACAGCTGGTCGCCCCTCCGAGGTGCTGCTCTCTCTACCCCCAGACCTGTGACGCTCTCCCTGACCTTTAGCTTTCACCTTGGGGGTCGCTGCAGCCTGAGTGACCGGCCACCTGGGGTTGCCACGTGTCCGTCTCCAGGGTCGTCACCTGGCTGGGCCTGCGGTGGCCGCTGCAGCGCTGGCAGCCTCTGTCCCGGTGGGAGGGCCTGGGGCGGGCGAGGCCACTTCCCGGGATGCTTACCGCCCGCCTCTGCTGCAGGGACACCCTCCAGAAGGGCCTCGAGTTCTGTCGGCGGAAGCAAAGGGCTGATGGCTCCTGGGAGGGGTGAGTGCGGTGTGGACAGCTGGGCAGGCGAAGCCGGCCGGGCCCTCTCCCACCACGTGCCTGGGCCGGCAGTCACTCCCCGAGGCTGAGGGCAGCTGGGCAGAGTGGGCTGCAGCCTGGGGCTGTGTATGGGTCTGACCAGCCCCTCCTAGGGCTCCGACTCATTGGTGCCGGCCGGGGACTGGGTGGGGGCTGCTGTGGTGGCCCCTGCTGGGGCGAGGGAGTGTGTCTGTGTGGCCTGTGTCTGCAGGGCGGTGGGCACAGCAGCTGAGGGCCGGAGGGCTGCGGGGCTGCCCGGGGCCCATCCCCGCGTGGGGAGGCCAACACTCTGCGCCTCCTTCAGCTCCTGGGGCGTTTGCTTCACCTACGGCACCTGGTTCGGGCTGGAAGCTTTCGCCTGCATGGGCCAGACCTACCAGGATGGGTGAGTGCGGCGGCCGAGGTCTTTCTCCGCGTGATGTCCTCCCTGGGGGATCTTGTTTGGGGTGTCCACGCTCTCACAGTAGAGCGGTAAGGACCGGCGCCCTAGCCCGCGGCAGGGTCTCCCTGGGCAGGAGCCAACAGGCCCCGAAGGGGCTGCTGCCTGGGCAGTCCCTCCTGACATACCTGCTGCACCCTGGGGAGCCCTGGGTGAGGCCTGCTTTGGGGGGAGTGGGGACGGGGTGTCCACGTGGCCCTGCGTGCCTGGCTGCGGCCCCCATGCGGTGTCTCCGTGTGCAGGGCCGCCTGTGCCGAGGTCACCCAGGCCTGTGACTTCCTGCTGTCCCGGCAGATGGACGACGGGGGCTGGGGGGAGGACTTCGAGTCCTGTGAGCAGCGGCGCTACGTGCAGAGCGCCCGGTCCCAGATCCACTGCACCTGCTGGGCCCTGATGGGGCTGATGGCTGTCAGGTGGGCGCCAGGGCTTCGGACGGGCCGGGGCCGGGCGGCGTCCATGCTGCCGTGGGAGCCGTGCAGCCCGAGCAGCAGCAGCAGCAGTCTGGGGTCCTCGGGGCGGGAGCTTGGGGGTACCCCCATCTGCCCGCAGCTGAGCTCTGCCCCGGCCCTCATCCCTGGCCCGTCCGCGAGGACGGCCGTGTCTGAGAGCAGGCGGCTCGGTGAGGCTGCAGCGTCTGCTGCCCGCCAGCGGGGCCTGGCCCTGTGCCGCGCCGCGCCAGGAGGTGGGTCAGCCGCGGCGATGGCTGGCGCCGTCTGCCCAGAGCGCCCTGTGCCCAGCCCTGCTGTCCCCCCAGGCACCCTGGCGTGGCGGCCCTGGAGAGAGGCGTCCGCTGCCTGCTCCGGAAGCAGCTCCCCAACGGCGACTGGCCCAGGTGCGGGCCGCGGAGGGCGGAGGGCGGGTGGGCCCGAGCTCTGGGGAATGAGGCTCCTGGCCCCGGAGGGCCTCGGCCACGGGTCTGTGTGCTGCCCTGCAGGAGAACAGCTCCGGGGTCTTCAACAAGTCCAGCGCCATCACCTACACGAACTACAGGAACATCTTCCCCATCTGGACCCTCGGCCGCTTCTCCCGCCTCTACCCCGAGAGCCCCCTGGCTGGCCGCCCTTGAGGCCCAGTGGGTGCCGTGGGGAGGGGCTGGTGGGCAGCGGCTGTCATGGGTAGGCAGTTCCGGGCGGGGGGTGTCTCTGCGGCCGAGGGTGCCGGGTGCTGCCTGCTTAGTTCTGAGAGCAGGGGCCCTCCTGACCCGTCACTGGCCGCTCAGGGGGCGGCCTGGTCGGCTTTGGGCCTGGTGCTGTGGAGGAACCTTCTCTGGGCTGGGTTCCCTGTGCCTGTCTGCGTCTCTGGCCCACTGGACGCAGAGCCCCCGAGGCGAGGGTGCGGCCTGTGCGCTGGGCGGGCGCGGGGGCGGGCGTCCCGGCCTCGGAGGACAGGCTGCTTCTGTCTCCCCCACTGCTCCCCTCAGCAGTGTCTTCGGTCCGCGTGCTTGTTCTGTTCTCCGTTCTGTCTCTGGCGAATCCTCTCACCGCCTGTACCCCAGTTCTTGTATAAGCAAATCTTTAAAAAAAAAAGGAAGCTAAAGGGCTGAGTCGTCCTCCGAGGTTTTGGGGAGAGCAAGGACACCAGCCACAGTCGGGGCGGGCGCGCCTGGCCTCGTGGCCCCCGCAGGGCCTGCAGCCCCATCCACGGCAGCCGGGCCACACCCGGGGCTGACATGTGGGCCCTTCCCCTCACTCCGGGCTCACGGCCACTCGCCGGGCGGGAGATGGGCCTCCGGGGTGTGGCGGTGCCGACCAGGCCGACGTCAGCGACAGCCTGGAGAAGCCCAGATGTGTGGGGACAGCCAGGCCCTCCGAGTGGCCTTAGGGGGAGTGTTCACATGCGGAAAGACAAGGGGCGTTGCAAATAAAGTCTTAAGTCACCACCCGGAGTGTCTGCCTAAGAATCTTAACCCCGAGGGAAATGGAGGGGGCGGGGGCCAGCACCCGAGGCCTGCCCAGCAAGGGTCCCGGCTGGCAAGGAGCGGGGTTGGGCCCGGCGTGGCCACCTTTGGGCGCTGCTCTGGACCCAGAAACATGGCCCTTGACGCCGGACTGAAGGCTTCGCTCTTTGAGTCTAACCCTGCTGAGGCTTTCTGGGGAGAGGGCCTCGGACCCCGGGGTGGGGCCAGGCTAGGAGGGGGAGCCCTGTCACCACATGGCCCGTGCTGGGTGTGGGTGCCCACAGCGGAGCCTCTGGGGTCCATGTCTGGGACCCCAGCACTCCAGGTAGATGCCGGGGCTTTGTCCGGAGGGCAGCGTCACCTGGGGGGCCCCCTTCATCTCCCTCAGGTGGTGACCCAGGCCCTGAACCACATTGGCCCTCCCCTGAGCCCCATGGGAAGTTGCCGGTGGGTGCGGGGTGGGGGCCTTGGGGTGTCCTCAAGCCGCAGAGTCCCCGCACCGGCTCAGCCCCAGGCTCTGCTGTGCTGGAAGGTGCCGGCAGGTTCCTATCGCTGCCCACCCCCGTCCCGTGGCCCCCAGCAGCCCTGGGGTATGGCCCGTGGAGCTTCGCCAAGGAGGGGTCGCCTGGGTGCCGCCTCTTTAAGGCGACATCACAAGGGCGCGGAGCCCGGAACCCCGTGGAGCCCCGTGAACCCCGTGGCCGGTCTGCGTCTCCGCCGCCATGGGGCCCTGAGCAGGCGGCATGGCCGAGGGCGGCGAGCTGATGAGCAGGCTCCTGAGCGAGAACGCGGACCTGAAGAAGCAGGTGCGGCTCCTCAAGGAAAACCAGATGCTGAGGCGGCTGCTCAGCGAGAGCTGCCAGGACAGCTGCGGCCACGGGCCCCGCGAGCTCTTCCCAGGGCGCCCGCCTACCCCGAGGCCTGCTCTCCCGCGGCCGGAGGTGAGCCAGCCCGGGGCCGCGGGGCCGGCCAGGGAGGGCCGAGGGCCGGCCGGCAGCCCGTCCTGCTGCGCGTCGTCGGGAGGCGCCTCTCAGCTGCTCTGTCCACACCCGGGAAGTGGGCGGGAGCCCATGCGGGTGGGCAGCGCTTCGGGGAGTGGCCCGGCGTCCAGAACTGTCCTCCTCGTGGACTGACGCCTGGGGGTCCTGCCCCTCAGGGGCACAGAAGACGGCTCCTGGCAGGCCTCTCCTGAGGACGCTCCACGGACGCACTGCCCGCCCGCCGGCCTCCCCTCCCTCCTCCCCTCCTCCCCCTCCCCTCCTCCCTCCCCCTCCCTCCCTCCCCTCCCCTCCCTCCCTCCCTCCCTCCCCCTCCCCTCCCTCCCCTACCCTCCCCTCCCCCCCCCCTCCCCTCCCCTCCCTCCCCTCCCTCCCCTCCCTCCCTCCCTCCCCTCCCCTCCCTCCCCTCCCCTCCCTCCCTCCTCCCCTCCCTCCCCTCCCCCTCCCCTCCCCTCCCCTCCCCTCCCCTCCTCCCCTCCTCCCTCCCCTCCCCTCCCTCCCTCCCTCCCCTCCCCTCCTCCCCTCCCCCTCCTCCCCTCCCCCCTCCCCTCCCCTCCCTCTCCCTCCTCCCCTCCCCTCCCCCCTCCCCTCCCCTTCCCTCCCCTCCCTCCCTCCCCCTCCGCGTCCCGGCTCCGCTGGTTGGCTGGGCCGCGGCCCTGCTGACCCTGACTCGCCACCCCCGGGCGCGGCCCCTCTCCGCGGGGCGCCCATTTTCCTGTGACTCGGGAAGTGGCCGCGGGGGCGGCCCTGCCCCCTCCTGCCCCCTCCTGCCCCCCGGCCGGGCCGCGCCTCTCGGCCCTGGACTCCTGTTACTTATTCACAGGTCGCGGAACGAGGTGCGGCCTGGGGGACAGCGGGCGGGCAGGGGGAACCCCAAGGGCGCTGAGGCTCCGGGGCCCCTGCGGGCGAGCGCGGGGGAGGGGGGGGTGCGGGCGGGGCCTGTCTGCGGGCCCCGCGGGGTGTCGCTGGGCGGGGCGAGCAGGCGCGGGGGGGGGGGGGGGGCGGGGGCGCGGGGCGCACGACGGCCCAGAGGAGCCCCCCCCCGCCGGCCACAGCGGGCTGCTGCCCGTGGCGTCCGGGGGCCCCGGGCCGGGCGGGGGGCGCAGCGCATGGCCGGCCCCGCTGGCCCCGCTGGCCCCGGCCGCGCAGGCGCCCAAGAGCTCGTGGGGTCCAAAGGGCCGCGGGGCGCCGCTGCCCGTCGGGGGCCGCGGCGGGGCCGGGCGCGGGGCTCCCGGGACGGCCCTGACCGACCGCCCCCCGCAGCCCGGACTTCGGCCGCTTCGCGGGCCTGGACGCGCCGGCGCCGCCGCGGGCCGCGTCCCTGGAGGACCTGCTGTGCTCGCACGCGCCGCTGGCCGGCGAGGACGACGCGTCCCCGGGCGGCGCCGCCCCGGCGCCCCTCAAGGCCCTCTTCAGCCCCCCGGAGCTGCGCGCGCCCCGCGCCGACCGCCGGCCGCCGCCGCTGCTGGGCGCCCTGCCGGACCCGCTGGCCGAGAGGCCGCCGCCCGAGCCCGCGCGCCCCAGGAAGGTGTGCTTCGCCGAGGGGGGCGCGCCCGCGGGGGACCGGCCCCGGCGCAGCTACTACCTCAACGGTGAGCCCGCCAACCGCCCGCCCGGCGCCCCGGCCCCCCGGCCCCCCAGCCCCCCACCCCTCGGCGCCCCGACCCCCTGGGCTCCCCGAGGGCCCCGCCCCGCCCCGCCCCGCCCGACGGCCGCCCCGGCTCCGGGAGGTGCTGGACTCCGGGGCCGGCCCGTGCCCGTGGCCCGCGCGGTCATCGCCGGGACCCGCTCGGCCGCCCGCGAAGCTCGTGCTCCTGCGCGGCCGCGCCCCGCGCCCCCCGCGCCCCCGCGCCCCGGCCCGGAGGCCCCTCGGCGCGCGGCCGCCCCTGACCGCCCGGGAGGCGCCGCGGCCGGGCTCCTGCGGCGAGCGGGCCGCTCCGGGGTGGGCGCGGGGCGCGGGGCGCTCCTCGGAGGCGCTGGACGTGAGTCGGGGGCGCCCGCGCCCGGCCCGGGGTCCGCGCCCTCCGCGGGGTCCCCTGGGGGCCGCGCCCTCGCCTTCCCGGGCGAGCGTGGGTGTCTGCCCGCCGCTCCCCAGCCAGCAGCCTCTGCGTGTCCAGGGCGGGCCTCGGGTCCGGGCTCCGCGCCGGTGCTCCGCGCGGTTCTCACGGCTCCTTCCCGGGGCTGGGCTGGGGGGCCGGGCGCCTCCCCGCCGGCGCAGTCCGAGGCTGCTTGTGGTCCCCAATAAATGTCGGTGTCTTCATGTGGTTTCTTTGAAAAACATTGCCGGTTGGGCCTCCCCGGGGGCGCAGCGGCTGAGCGCTGGGTGGCGAGGCTGCCCGCGGCCTCTGCGGCGCGGGTTCGATCCCCGGCTGCTCCCCGGCCCCGGAGGAGGGTCCCCCATGGCGCACGGACCTCTCCTGCCGCCCGCTGCTCCCCTCAGCAGTGTCCTTCGGTCCTTCTGCCTGCTCTGCTCCCCGCTCTGGCTCTGGGGGATCCTCTCAGCCTCCCGCGCCTCTGACTGTGCCCAGGGCTTGTGTGAATAAATAAATAAATCTTTAAAAAAAAAAATTCACTTGTGAAGCTGTGGGTCCCAGGCTCTTGTTTTCACAGATACTTTGGCTGTTTCAGTTTCCACGCTGTGGTCCTTTGTCCAGTTTTCCTGTTTCTTCTCAGTTCAGTCTTTTTTATTATTATTTAAGATTTTTTTTTTATACGAGAGCTGGGGTGCAGGCCAGAGGTGCGGGAGGGTGACAGGACTCCCCAGAGACAGAGCGGGGAGCCGAACAGGCAAAGAGACTGGAACACGGCTGCGGGGAGCAGCGGGGAGACAGGAGGGGTCTGCCGCCCGAGCCGTGTGGGCAGCTCCCTGGCCGGCGGGGATGGAACCCGCGCTGCAGAGGCTGCCGACGGCTTCACGGCGCGGCGCTCAACCCGCAGCGCCCCCGGGAGGCCCTCGGTTCAGTCTTGCTCACAACACCGACCGGCCTCGGTCCACGTCCCGGGCCCTGTCTCAGCCCTGCGGGCGCCCAGCGGTGCAGAGTGCTGCCCCTCTGGCTTCCGGACCCCGGCGAGGTGATGTCTCGATCGTGGGAACGTGTGCAGAGTCGCTGTTGGGTCTGTGCTGGCAGAACCAACCCGCGGTCCCCCTGGTCTTCTGTCCAGTCTTGTAACCCGCAGTGGGTTATTTCAGGTCTTATTTTTATGATTTCCTTCCTTCTGTTAACTCTGGGTTTTATTCCTCTTCTCCAGTTGCTCCAGGCGTAGGATGAGGTTGTTTATTGGGCTTTGCCTCTGTGGCTCAGCGTGGGCCTGTGTCACCGTCCTCTCCCCTTCAGACTCCCTTGGCTGCATCTCATGGGTCTGGTCGCGCGTCGCCCCATTTTCTGTCTTAATTTCCTTTTTAATCTGATAGCTGTTAAGCAGCACATCATCTCGTCTCCATGTAGCTATAGTTTTTCCTGTTGTTTATTTTTCAAACAGTTGATTTCTAGCTCTGTGGAGTTATGGTCAGAGAGAGCATTTGTGTCATTATCTTCTTCGTAATTTTACTGACAAGGGACTTGTGGCCCAACAGAAGGTCTGTTCTTGAAACTGTTGGGAAACGTGTAGGTAGCAGTTTTGGGGTGGGGTGTCCCGTAGGTATCTGTCAGACCTGTTTGGCCTGGATCCGCACCTAAGGCTGCTGTTTCCTTATTAGTCTCTGTCTTGTCGATCTGCCCACAGCCGAGGGACAGGGACGCTGCCCTGCTGTCGTCATCCGGGCCTCTCTCGGGGTCTGTGAGTGACGGTCTTGGTGCTCTGCCATTTGGTGCGTACATGTTTGTGTGTTATCTCCTCTCACGCATGCTAATGTGAAGGTGTCCCTGTCTCTTATTGTCCCTTTTACTTGAAAGTGTATTTTATCTGGCATCAGTATAGCTGTTTGGTCATTTTTAAAAATTGTTATTTGCTTGCAGGATTGTCTTCTGACCTGTGAGTCTATGCTTCTCTTTGTAAGGGGATAGGTTTCTTGTAAATAGCAGAATCCGGACTCTGATTTGAAATCCATTCAGCCACTTGCTGCCTTTTGATTGTTGAATTTGGGCCACTTCTATTTAAGGTAATTATGGAGACATAATTGCTCATTGACATTTTATTTGGGCTTTCGTTTGTCTTTTTAATTTTTTTTTGAGGTCTTTCATGTTTTGTTTAGGTTCCATTTTTATCGTCTTACGGGTGGCTTGTATTGATTTTTGTTTGACGATCCTGCTGAAGTTACTAGATGATGGACTATTTGTGGGACCATCCACCGTCTGGAGAAATGTGCGGATGTGGACGGGGCCTGCGCTGTGCTCCTCCGGGCCCCTCGTCCCCCAGCGAGCTCTGGCAAGTGGGTCTTGTCTTTGGTTTTAACTCCCGGGCACATTCTGTGGCCTTGCGAGGTGATTAGGGTGGGGCGCGCTGAAGACCACAGGAAGCATCTGAAAGAAAAGAAGACCTAAGCAAATGGAAACGCACCCCTCCAGGATGGACTCAGAGGCGGCCTGTTGGGGGGGCGCGGCACGCTCCAGATGGATACAGGAATTTCAGCACAATTCCTCAGTTGACGTCTTTGCAGAAATTGACAAGCTGATCCTAAAATTCACCCGGCGAGGTGAGGGGCCTGCAAAGGCAGCACAGCCGAGAAGGAGGAAAACGAAAGTGAAGGACTCACATTTCCCAGTTTCAGATTTCACTCTCAAGCCGTAAGAGTCAAGACTGAGAAAGAACTGCAAGTCCAGAGACGGACCCGGGCGCTGACGGGCCTGCTGCTTGGCGTGGGCACGAGAAGCTCCGTCCAGAAAGGCAGTCTCCCTGACGGACAGGCGGTGCCCCCGTGCCCAAGGATGACCCCGTGGAAAAGTAGCTCGAGAACAAAAAGAGCTAAAACCATAAAATTCCTAGAGGAAAATAGATAATTACTCTGGATTTGGCAATAAAGTCGTAGATGTGACATCAAAACCATAAGCCACAAAACGAAAAATAGATAAATTGGACCTTATCAAAAGTAAAAACCTTTGTGTGTTACAATAATACATTTATGGAAAGCAAACGCCACCCCGCAGGATGGGAGGAAGACGCCGAGAACCCGGGACGTGTGGAGGAGCGCCCACGGCGCGCAGTGGGGGGCTCCAACAGCCACAAGCAGGCGAGCGCGCGAGGGCCGCGCAGTGTCGTCCTCCTGAGACCCCGCGAAGTGCACCCCCTCCTGCCCCGCAGGCGCTGCCGTGAAGGCGCAGGACAGCGAGGCACCGAGGAGCCGGGGCGGGGCGGGGCCGCGCACCTGAGAACAATGTGCCGGTCGGGCGTCCCAGAAACTCCATGCCAGGCATGTACCCCCCCAAAATAGAATATTCGTATCCACACACATGCTATACGCGTGTCCATAATGGCACTGTTCGTGATTATTCATAACAGCCGAGCCGTGGAGACAGCCCGCGTGTCAGCAGAGGCATGGCTCGACGAGCCGAGGCACGTCCGGGCAGCGGGGTACCGCTCAGCCGGCACCAGGAGTGCAGTGCTGACGCGCGCCACAGCGGGCACAGGCCTGGGGGACCGCGCCCCGCGTGACGCCCAGACACAGGGCCACCCGCCGGGACACCGCTGTGCGGAGAGAGCCCTCAGGGGCAGGCGGCGGGGCAGCGGGCGCCTGGGGTGGGGGTTGTGGCTGCCCTCGGTGCGGGGTTTGGAGGGGTTGGTGAGAAAACGCTCTAGAATGAGATCTAAAAGCTACCGGACGGCAGCCCTACAACGGTGACTTTTATAGGGTTGATGACATCTCAACAGAAAAGTGACTGGGAAAGCGTCCAGGAGGGGCCCCTGGCCCGCAGTGGGGAGCCGGGTCACGGGAGGGCCCCAGGTGTCCTGAGAGGGGTGGGGTGCAGCCAGGAGCGCGAGGGGCTGGGGTTGGAGGCTGCCTTGCCCGAGGGACCCCTCACCGGTGCTCCCGGGAGGTCGGATCCTGGGCACCCAGCCTGGCTCTGGTTGGGACCCTCTGCCTGCGCAGCCGCAAGGTCACCCAGCATTTCTCGGGGCCCTCTGGGGCCGGCCCTCTGCCCCAGGTCATCTCTGTGCTCCCACCCTGTGGCCTCAGGGTCCCCATGTTGGGGCGCATGTTGCTGGGGGGGGCCTCTGCCTGGGGCGCCCAGGGCCCCAGCCCCTCCTCGCCACCTCTCCTGGCGGTGTTGCCGCTCGGGCTATGCGAGGGGGCGGCGAGAGGAGGCGGCTCCTGCGGCCTGGCAGCCCACTTGAGGGGTGCAGCCCACTTGAGGGGTGCACCGCAGAGCTGCGGAGAAGGGCGTGGGCGGCAGGCTCCAGGGGATGGCGGCGGATCTGCTGAGGGCACTGCGGGGCCACGCAAGGAGAATCTCCACCGTCCCCTTCCCGGAGTAGGAGAGTCTGCGGCAGACAAACCTGGCGCTGGCGCCCCCCTCCTGTCCACACCTTGCGTGCGTCTGGGTCAGCCGAGCCCGCCCCCCGGCGTCCATCCCGAATTCCCCGTCAGAGCGGGCGGCTGGCTCTGGACCCAGGTGCCAGGCAGCCCCAGGAGGACGAACGAGGGACAGGGTGTGGTCCCATGCCTCCCAGCGCAGGGGCGCCCGGGCTTCCAGGGAGGGGCAGGGGCGCCTTCCCCCCTTGCATTTACCCTGCGGGGGTGCGTGGACCAGGGCGTTTGGGAAGACCCCGGGGTGGGCCGACTGGGCGCGGGCGCTTCCCCCAGACACTCAGTGGGCGCTGCCCTCGGCCTCGGGTGGGTTCCTAAGTGGGTGTCCGGGAGGGCAGCGGGGCAGGCCGGCCCCTCAGTGCCAGCCCCTGCGTCGTGCTCCGCAGAGATCCAGAGCTTTGCGGGCGCGGAGAAGGACGGGCGCGTGGTCGGGGAGATCGCCTTCCAGCTGGACCGGCGCATCCTGGCCTACGTCTTCCCCGGGGTGACCCGCCTCTACGGCTTCACCGTGTCCAACATCCCCGAGAAGATCAAGCAGGTGTGCGCTCCTGCCCCGCTGCCCTCCCCTCCGGGCCTCCCCTTGGGCCTCCCCCTGCGTGCTCCTCCCACCCAGCCCCTCCCCTCACCGTGGGCGCCTCAGCCCGGGTCCCCCCAGGCGCTCTCCCTATTCCTAGCCCCGCACCCCGGGGCGCACAGGCCTGGCGAAGCTGGGAGGGTCGGGGTGGGTGTGCCCACTGCCCTCACGCCGGGTCTTGTGACTCAGGCCGGGCAGCTGGGCGCGCCCCGAGAGCACCGGGGTCCTGTGGAGGCGGGGGGGGGGTCGGCGGACGCGGCCCCCAGTGTGCTGTGCCCGCAGACATCCATCAAGTCCCTGGACGGCTCGGTGGACGAGAAGAAGCTGCGCGAGCTGACGCACCGCTACCTGACGCTGACGGCGCGCCTGGAGAAGCTGGGCTACAGCCGCGACGCGCACCCCGTCTTCAGCGAGTTCCTCATCAACACCTACGGCATCCTCAAGCAGCGGCCCGACCTGCGCGCCAACCCGCTGCATAGCAGCCCGGCCGCGCTGCGCAAGCTGGTCATCGATGTGGTGCCCCCCAAATTCCTGGGTGACTCGCTGCTGCTGCTCAACTGCCTGTGCGAGCTCTCCAAGGAGGACGGCAAGCCGCTCTTCGCCTGGTGAGCGCCGCCGCTGCAAGAACCGTGTTTGTTCCAAACGGGGGCGCCACGCTCCTGCGTCCCTCGGCCGGCCTTCCCCCGGCAGCTCCCGGGAGCGCCCAGGGGTGCCCCGCAGCGCCCGGGCCACACGCGCCGGACCGGCCGGCGCCCCTGCCCGCCCGCGTCCACCCCGCGCCCCTGCCCGCGTCCACCTGCGGGCTCGTGTCGTTCTGCATTAAAGTCATCTGTTTACCTGTCGCCTCCCCTGTCCTCTGGGAGGGCGCAAGCCGGGTCCTGCGGGGCCCAGGAGCCCCCGCCGTGGAGGCCGCGCCCCCCCAGGGAGGGTCCAGTCTCTGAGTGGGGTCCTGGCTCAGGGCCCCAGGGCCGCTCCAGGCTGGGTTTCCCCAAAAAGAGGGTCCAGGAAAGCGCGGGCGGCAGCCGCAGAACCTGCAGGGCACGAGGGAAGGAAAACGCGGACCCGGCCAGAAGTCCCCGGCCCAGCAGAGCGGCAGGAGCACGGCCGGCCTGGGGGCTGCCCCCCACCTGCTGTTTGCGTGGGAGCGGAGGGAGGGGCCCCCAAGGGGCCAGCCTGCAGGGCACTCACCCCGGGCGGAGGCCCCTGCTGCCGCGGCTTACTGGGGATGGCCATGGGGGGCTGGCTCCCTGCGCCGCTCCCCACCGGGCGGGCCTCCGGCCCTGCTCCAGAGCCCCAGCGCACGACGGCTCCAGACCCCCGAGTCCCCGCGCAGCCTCCCCGGGGTCCTCCCTCTTCCCCAGTTCCCCGAGGTCCAGAGGGCCCATGGTCAGGGCCACAGGGCCCCGTCCCGGCTGACCCCAGTGGAGGGTGTCTGGCCACTTCTCTGCTGTGGGCACTGGGGGAGACTGTTGGGGTCTCTGGGCCAACCCCACAGTGGGCGGCCATCATCCCAGAACCCCACAGCCTGCCGCGGGCCTTGCTCACCTTGCTGCTGTGCGGGGGCACCTCAGATGTGAGCACCCCAAAGGCTGCGTGAGCCCCCGGGGGACGGCAGGGCGGCCTCCCCATCAGCGGGCCCCACACAGCACGGAGGCGCAGGAGTCACTGCAACGTCCAGCCTGCGCTGGCCCAGCCTGCCCTGGTGACCTCCGGAGCGCGGCGGGGGCTGCGCTGGGGAACCGCGCCCCGGGGGCCCCCAACCACTGCCGTCCTCCAGAGGCCCGGAAGCTCCGCTTTGACATGAAGTGACGCAGGCCAGAGGCCACCAGAGGCCACGCGGACGAGTCACCGGCCTGGTGCGGACTCCCCTCCCAGGGGCCGCCCCGCCACCTCCCCCCGGAGCCCTCGCCAGCCTGCGGGCCGAGCTCCTCCCCGCCAGGTGTTTGCACAGCCGGGCCTCCTGCCCGAGCCCGGTTAATGAGAAGCCGCCCGCATATAAAGGCCCTGGCGCCGGGGCGGCGCTGCGGGCACCTGGAGCACCATGTCGCAGCTGGTGGAGTGCGTCCCCAACTTCTCGGAGGGGAACAACCAGGAGGTGAGCCCTGGGGCCGGCCAGGGTGGCATCAGGGCTCCGGGCGAGCAGTAAGGGCGTGCGCGCTGAGGCTGGACGGGACGGCCGCCCACTGGTCCACAGGGACCTGGGCGGCGGGCGGGCAGGGTCCGGGGATACGTGAGGTGTGGGCAGATTCCTGGGCCTCTGGCGTGGGGTTGGGGCCACCAGCCCAGCCCTGCACCGTCCCCACGTCCCCACGAGGAGTGGCAGGCACGGCCGGGGCCCTGCCCGTTCGAGCTCTCCAAGGAGGACGGCCAGCCGCCCCTCGCCTGCTGGGAGCGCCGCAGGATATGCTTGTTCAAACTGGGGCTCTGTGCTCCTGCCCTTCCCCTGGCCGTCGCCCATGGCTGGCTTCCCAGAGCGCCCCCAGCTCCCCAGTCCTCGGGACCCCAGCCCCCCAGCCCCTGGCTCCAGGCTGTCCTGCTGCCTCAGAAGGCTCCAGGCCCTCAGGCCCCCATGCATTTGCCCCCGCTGGAGGCCATTGTGGGGGGGGGCTGGCTCAACCCTCCGCCAGGGTCCCCTTCCTGGAGCCACCGACCCCGCCCGGCTCTGCCGCTGCCTCGTCCCTCGGGGCGCTGCTCTCCCAAGGGCCCGCCCTGGGGGAGGGGCACGGCTGGCGTGACCTGACCGGCAGCCCCCGCAGGTGATAGATGCCATCGCCCAGGCCGTGGCGCAGACCCCGGGCTGCACGCTGCTGGACGTGGACGCTGGCCCCTCCACCAACCGCACGGTCTACACCTTCGTGGGGCAGCCAGAGCATGTGGTGGAGGGGGCCCTCCGGGCCGCGCTGGTGGCCTCCCGGCTCATCGACATGAGCAGGCACAAAGGTGCGGTCGCCGAGGGCCCAGTGCCCCGGCCCTGTCCCCGGGCCTGCCGTCCACGGCAGAGTGCCCCGAGAGCCCCGGAAACAGAACTGCCAACAGCCCCAGAGCCAAACACGCTGCCGTGGCGGCCAGGGTCAAAGGTGGCGGCCATTGGAGCTGGGCAAAGGGCAGGGTCACCGGGCAGGCGGCCCAGGTGGTCTGGCTTTGGAGATAAGATAAAGGCTTGGCCCAGAGGGAGGGCGGCCGGGGGCGTGGGGGCACAGGGGAGGCTGGTGGGAGTGGGGGGGCGGCTGTCTTGGGGGCCTGCCGACCACAGACCGCAGCGGAGGGTGAGGCTATTTATTGGTGGACGCCCTGCGGCCCTGGCCTGGCGTGCAGCCCCGGAGGCTGGGGTGTGGGGCGGACAAACCCCGAGCATGGGCTGTGCTCTGGGGCCTGAGCGCTCAGGCCGCGCCCCTCCGGGCTGCGGTCAGGGGAGGCGTGGGTGGGCGGGGAGGCGGGTGGGGCCTGAGCGCAGCCAGGCCTTGGGGACCTCCTTGACCCTCTCCGTTTCCCTGCAGGGGAGCACCCCCGGATGGGCGCCCTGGACGTGTGCCCCTTCATCCCGGTGAGGGGCGTCACCATGGCGCAGTGCGTGCTCTGTGCCGAGGCCTTCGGGCAGCGGCTGGCAGCGGAGCTGGGGGTGCCGGGTGAGCGCCCCGAGGCCCCATCTCACTCAGCTCCCATCAGCAGGGGGTGTCCTTGACTCCTTGTAAAGCTCAGTGTTAGCACCCTAAAAACCGGCCAAGTGCGAACTCCGGGCCGCCTGCTCCAGACGGGAGCCCGGAGACCTGCTCGGCCCAGGCCACGCGTGCTGCTAACGCCCTGCAGCTTTTCCACCCAGACGGGAAAACCAGGCGGCCCAGACCCCACCCCCCGCCCCCGCGTGCCCCCCTCCTACCCCCGCCCCCCACGCCCTGGGACAGGCTGGTGGTAGGGCCCCTTCGGCCCCTGGTGGACAGAGGAGAGGCGGGCACAGGGTCCTCTCAGACGTTTCCTTCCGGGAGACAAGTCAGAGCAGGAGTCCAGCATGTGGGGGCTCTGGGTGCGCTTGTGGGCGTTGGGGTGCGCGTGGGGCTTGTGGGGCGCGGGGGAGCTCATGGAGCAGCCGCAGCACGCACCCCTGCCCCCAGAGCTCAGGAGTTTGTACCCCTTCCTCTGTGGTCCCAGTGAGGGTTGCATCTTAGGGAGACGTGGGCGCGCCGGTCCATCATCACCCCGTAGCGCCCGGTGCCTGTGACCCTGTGACAGCTTGTCGGGGCATCAGTGCGGGGGGCTGGCAGGCCAGGCGCTGCGCCTGGGGGGGCTGGGGGGGCCCGGCCGTGCCGCGTGCCCATCGGGGACCCCCACATGCTCCCATGGCCCGCACGTAGCTGTGTCCCAGTGGGGTGCGGCCGCCGAGGTCTGTCCCTGGGCTGCGGCTGGTCGGAGGGCCCGTCTCCCCACCCCGGGACAGCTGACCGGCCGGGCCCCCCACAGTGTACCTCTATGGCGAGGCCGCGAGGACCGCCAGCCGCCGGACGCTGCCAGCCATCCGGGCCGGGGAGTACGAGGCTCTCCCCGAGAAGGTGCGTGTCCTTCCCACCCCCGGCTGGGGGCCCTTCCCAGGAGACAGCTCACCTGGGTGCGTCCCCCCCGCAGCTCCAGAAGGCTGAGTGGGCGCCGGACTTTGGGCCCAGCTCCTTCGTGCCCAGCTGGGGGCCACCGTGACAGGGGCGCGGAAGTTCCTCATCGCCTTCAACATCAACCTGCTGAGCACCAAGGAGCAGGCCCACCGCATCGCGCTCAACCTGCGGGAGCAGGGCCGCGGGAAGGACCAGGTGCGCGGGCCGGGCCGGGCGGCACGGGGTCGGCGTGGGGATCGGGGAGCAGCCGCTCTCACGGATGTTCCCCGCGGAGCACACAGGCCACGCGAGCTGCTAACGCCCTGCAGCTTCTCCACCCAGGCAGGAAAACCAGGCGCCCGTGCCCCTCACCCCCCCCCGCCCCCGGATGCCCCCTCCCTACCCCCCGCTGCCCTGGCGCCAGGGGCGGGGCCGGCACTGGACAGCCTCTCCCTTTGCAGCCGGGACGTCTAAAGAAGGTTCAGGGCATCGGCTGGTACCTGGATGAGAAAAACCTGGCTCAGGTGTCCACCAACCTCCTGGACTTTGAGGTCACGCCGCTGCACACGGTCTACGAGGAGACCTGCAGAGAGGCCCAGGTGAGCAGGGCAGCCGCCCCCGCCCCTCCCGGCCTCCTCGGGCCAGCGCCCAGCACTGTCGCCTCTGCAGGAGCTGAGCCTCCCGGTGGTGGGCTCGCAGCTGGTGGGCCTGGTGCCCCTGAAGGCCCTGCTGGACGCGGCCGCCTTCTACTGCGAGAGGGACAACCTGTTCATCCTGGAGGAAGAGCACCGGCTCCGCCTGGTGGGCGCTGCTCCCGAGGGGCCTGGGTGCGGGGCGCCCACTCGGGCCTGGCTCCCGTCCACGACCAGGTCGCCGGCCCTCGCGACCTGACCAACCTCAGGGGCACAGGCGGCTCTGCGCTGCGCTTCTGGGCCAGACGTGGCAGCCCCCGCCGCCCCCCCCCCCCCGCCCGCTCCTGGCTGACCCTTGGTCTGGCTGTGAAGACCCGTCCTTGTCCTTCCGTCTTTTTTTCCTGAAAGCTCCGAGGGGCTGGGGGCCGCAGCCTCTCAGGTGGCCGGTGTGTGTGGAGGTGCCTGGTCTCTGGAACTCAATCTGGGGTGCCCCACAAGTGCCTGCGGCTGGCTGGAGGGGGCTGGGGTCCGCACCCAAGACCCCGTGTCGCCGCGCCCCATCCACCCAGGGCAGCACGCTTAGCACCCGCAAGACAGAGCCTTTCTAGTCCACCCAGAGGGAGGCCAGCCCTGGGGAGTGCCCCACCGCCCCCCAGTTCGCCCTTGGAGGGCTCCCCTCCACCCAGGGTCGGTGGCCCCACCGGGCCCAGCCCTGCGCCACTACGAGCTGCACCTGTCCAGCTCTCCGGCCTGCTGGCTGGGCTGATGCCGTCCACTGGCCACCTGGCCGCGGGCGCCCACAGGCACCAGGTCTGCTGCTCCAGTGGCTGCGGCGCCTCCAAATGGCCTCTGGGCGTCTCCGGGCAGAGGGCCCATCTGGGCGGGCTGCTCGGCTTTCCCCGAGGCGCTGCTGGCTGCATGGGCCCAACCCTTGTGGGTCCTCCGGCTTGAGTGGACGCCTCGGTGGCTCCCCCAGGGCGGTGGGGAGGGCCCCACCCAGGCTGGGCAGGCTGGTCACCGAGGCCTTTCCAGGTGGTGAGCCGGCTGGGCCTGGACTCCCTGTCCCCCTTCAACCCCAAGGAGAGGATCATCGAGTGAGCATCGCCCTCCGCCCCAGCAGCCCTGCCCACTCCCCCCAGCTCCTCGGGCCCTTGTCCCCACCAGCCAGGGTGCCTGGCCAGGCCTGGGGTGCCCACCAGCGTCCTGCTCTGTCCTCCCTCGGGCTCCTGGGTGGGGATGGCAGCGTCCACTGCGGCCAGGCCTGCTGTTGAGGGGTCCTCACCTCCACTGTCAAGAGGTGGGGATGCTGGGAGGGCAGCCTGGAGTCAGGGACAAGGGTCCAAGCTGACCCCACCTTCACGGCCTGGCAGTGCTACCCCAAGGCCCAGACCCCCAAGACCCTGCCCCACCCCCCCACTGCCCAGGATCCGCCCCTGTTCTCACCCGTGACCCCAACGAGCTGCCACCCCCCAGATACCTGGTCTCCGACCAAAGACCTGGGCAGAGCCTGGTGGACAAGCCCCTGGGCGCCTTCATTCGGGAGGTGGGAGCTCGCTCAGCAGCCCCGGGTGGGGGCTCCGTGGCAGCGGCCAGTGCGGCCATGGTGAGCGCAGGCCGGGGACGGAGGGGCCCGGGGCGGGGGGCGGGCGCAGGGCCAGGGACGGAGGGCCCGGGGGGTGGGGGTGGGCGCAGGGCTGGGGCAGGTGGGACGGTGTCGCGGCCTGCGGTCAGCCCGCCCCATGCAGCCCCCTCTCTCCAGGGTGCCGCACTGGCCTCCATGGCCGGACTGATGACCTATGGCCGGCGCCAGTTTGAGCACCTGGACGCGACCATGCGGCGCCTGATCCCTCCTTTCCACGCAGCCTTGGCTGAGCTGACCCAGGCAGTGGATGCCGACGCCCGGGCCTTCGAGGCTTACCTGGTGAGCGTGCTGGGGCCTCTGGCCACACGGCGCTGGGCAGGAGCGAGGGTGGTCAGCAGGCGGGGGGCCCACATGGGGGAGCTGAGCCGGGGCTACAGGGAGCAGGCTGCCGGCTTGGGGCTGCAGACACCTGGAGGTGGACACTGGGCGGCCAGGGGCAGGGCTGTGGCCTGGCTGCTGACCGTGGACACCAGGTGGCTCGGGGGGATGTGGGTTGGCCGCTGCTGGCCCCTCCCCTGCCGAGTGAGGGTCTGCGCTAAGTCATGTGTGGGCCAGGGTGGGAGAGGCCTCCCGGGGTGGGCCAGGCCCAGGCGCCTCCCCAGTACCCTCTGAGCCCCACAGATGGGCGGGCACGAGACCCGCCGGCGCACAGGTGGGCAGAGCAGCAGACGTAGTTGCAGCAAAGCAGGAGCTGGGCCTGCAGCTTGGGATCTCGTGGGATCCGTGGCAGGCAGGACCAGGCAGCAGCCGGGCCAGAGAGCTGCAGCAAGGCGGGAGGTACCGGGAATGGCTCCAGGAGGTATGAGGGCGGGCGTAGGGCAGGTGCCAGTCCGTGCCGGGGTTGCCAGCGTCCCTCTGGCCTTCTTTCCTGGGCCCGCTGGGGGTCCACTCATCGGGGATCTGCTGCCCCCTCCTTCCCTGGCCCTCCGTGGACGCGGCAGCCTCTCAAATGGATGCAGAGCCCGGCTGCCCGTGTGCAGGTCGCGGGGAGCCTCGGGGGCTCAGAGTGCACGGGACATGTGGGGTGAGGTTCTCTGAAGGGCCCACTCTGGCCCTGGGCGGGAGTCTGAGCAGCTGTTCCCGGCGGGACCGGCTGGGCCGTCCTGTCTCCCACCCGAGGGAGGCGGAGCTGTTTCAGTGGCTTGCGCCTTCTCTCCAGGCCCTTTCTGGTCACTGGCCCTACCGTCGGAGGGGCTCCCCGCTCTCCCCCCTGCTGCATCTGCTGCCCGGCCAGCTGGGTCAGGAGGGCACAGGCAGTCGTGAGAGCCTGGGGTCTGGGAGGAGCCCAGAGCAGAGGGGCAGATGGGGGTGGGGAGCAGGCGCTGAGGCGAGGCAGGGAGAGGGATGCGCCTGGGGAAGGGACAGCAGGCGAGCAGCTGAGCCCGCCAGCAGACCCCCTCCGCCGGCCAGCACGCTGCTCCGGCCTGTGGGCGACTGGAGAGCTGTCGTCCTGCCCCAAGGGCAGCTGTCGTCCTGCACCAAGGACATGGCAATTCCCTGGGGGAGGAATGGCCATGGCGAACTTCACCCCGAACCAGCAGGGAGCCCGGTGGGCAGGCGTCCTGGCGGTGGACGGCGGAGGGGGGCACCCGTGACTTCTGCCCAGGGGCCCAGCTGCAGGTGCCCCCAGAGCTGTGGCAGACCCCAGAGGGCCCGCGGCCCCAGGAGGGAGTGGATGGCGTCAGTGCTGGAGACTGGGTTGGGGGCCCAGCCGCACCCACGGGCGGCCGCTGGGAGGACTGAGTGGAGACTTGGGCAAACCTACCAAAGCTCTTGGGTGCCCGCACCTGCTCTGCCCTGGGTGCGCCTGGGACAGGACCCTGGACGGCGCGGACAGCAGGACCCCAGGGGTGGCGCCTTGGGTGGGGCTCAGGGTGCACCTTCCTGCGCCTCAGCGCCCCGCGGCCCCGAAGCAGCCCGTGCCCCCGCGAGGTCGCTGACCGAGGGCGCGGGTGTTCTTTCTGGCAGGAAGCCATGAAGCTGCCCAAGAGCACGCCTGAGGAGAGGGACAGGTGAGCACAGGCGGGTGGTGCCGCCGGGTGGGGGTCGGAGACCTGAGGGCTCCCGCCGGCAACCCCTGCAGGCGGGCGGCGGCCCTGCAGGAGGGCCTGCGGCGGGCGGTGGCGGTGCCCCTGGCGCTGGCGGAGACCGTGGCCTCGCTGTGGCCGGCGCTGCAGGAGCTGGCCCTGGACGCCAACCTGGCCTGCCGGTCCGACCTGCAGGTAGGCGCGGGCGGGGGCGGGCTTGGCCTCGGGCCCTGATCAGCTCCCGGGGCGTGTCTCAGCTGCGGCGGCCGGCGGCCCTTGGGGCTCGGGGCCCTGCCGCGCCCCCGGGCGGGCCCCAGCCCCGCGCCCCGCGCCCCGCCCCCGGCGCCCGCCGGCCCCCAGGCCGCCCTGCCGGGCCGCGGGGCTTTGGCCGAGGGCCGGTGCCTGTGTCCCGTCCCGAGGCGCCAGAGGCGGCGGCCCCTTCCCGGGCGGCGGCCCCGCCGACCCCCGCGGCACCCGCCGAGGCCGCGCGCCGGCTGTGCGGGCGCCCCTGGCCGGGGCCTGGCCCGGCGCCTCTGCGAGCAGGACCGCGCTGTGCGTGGGCGGGGAGCGCGGCCGGCGCCGGGCCTGCCCGCGTGCTCCAGGGCGCCCGGCCTCCCTCCCGCGCCCGGCCGAGGCCGCCGGACCCGCGGGGCGGGCAGGGGGCGCGGGCGGGGCCGCGCCGAGGCCGCGCTGGGGCTGCTGCTGCCCGGGCTGCGCGGGGGCGTGGCTGGCGGGGGCGGGCGTGGGCGGGGCGTGGCGGGGCGGGCAGGGCGTGGTGGGGGCGGGGCGTGACTGGCAGATGTGGGCGTGACTGGCGGACGTGGGCGTGGCCGGGCAGGCATGGGCGTGGCGTGACTGGTGGGCGTGACTGGCGGGCGTGGGCGGGGCGTGGCGGGGGTGGGCGTGGCGGGCGTGGCGGGCGGGGGCGGAGCCAGGCCCTGCCCGTGCCGCGCAGGTGGCGGCCAAGGCCCTGGAGACGGGCGTGTTCGGCGCGCACTTCAACGTGCTCATCAACCTGAAGGACGTCACGGACGAGGCGTTCAAGGCCCAGGTGAGCCGCCGTGCCCGGACGGCCGGGCGCGGTCAGCACGGCGCACCCCGAGCCCTGCCTGCGCCAGCCGGCGAGCCCCCCACCCCGCGCTGCCCCCCGCCGGCGGCCCTGCCTGGCGCTGGGGCGGGCATCCCGGGAGGGCGGGCGCAGCCGGGTCCCCCGCAGGCCGGGACAGCGAGAGGGGCCTCCGGCGCGGTGGCAGGGTGGCCGGGGTCAGCAGGTGACCGGCTGTGTCCGCCAGGTCCGCCAGCGCATCTCCAGCCTCCTGCAGGAAGCCAAGACCCAGGCGGCGCTGGTGCTGGACCGCCTGGAGGCCCGGCAGGACTGAGGCGGGAGGCCCCTGGCACCTGTCCCCACAGCCCGCTCACCCGGCGGGACTCCGTGCCCGAGGCTGGTGGCCGGGCCTGTGTCAGCGTCCACCTCCAGTAAAGTGCCAGCAACGGCGCCTGTGTCATGTGCTTGGATGGGGGAAAGCGGCCACGCTGGGTGACCGGGACCCCAGCTCCGGGGTGGCCAGCGTCTCAGGCGGGGATCCTGGGCAGCGCGGCCCTGGGGCCGGGCACGGGGCAGAACCCGCAGGAGCGTCAGCAGCCCGCCTGGCCGGTGGGCCTGGGGGGCAGCGAGGTGTGTGTGGGGGAGAGACTGGGAGGGACAAGGGAGGAGGGAGTCGGGGGGAGGCTGGCCCAGACCCTGCGGCGGCAGCAGTGGGCACAGAGCAGGTTTCTGTGATTCCAGCAGGCGGGGTGAGAAGCGTCCTGAGCTCTCGGTGGCTTTTCAGGCCTTTGTTGGGATTTGCCAGGCACATGGCAGGCAGGGGTGCCGGGGGGCCAGAGGCTGGCAGGCTCCCAGCCCCCGGCAAGTCTTCACTCCTTCTGGGCTCCCCGGCCTTCTCTGGCGGTCTCTGCTGCTCCCGCGGTTCTGCTCTCAGCTCCCGCGGGCGGCCCCGGGACGCCGCCCTTCAAAGCCCAGTCTCAGCCCAGGTGAATCCCATCTCCACACGCCCACACCCGCTCCAGGTGCCGCCATCGGGCGTGCATTCGGGACCGCAGGGATCCCTCATCCATCCTGATGGCGGGAGGGCAGGAAAGCCTGATGCCTTTTCACTTACCCCACAGACCCCAAGTCCTGGCCTGCAGGGCAGAGCATCGCCCCGGGGTGGGGGTAGGCTGCGGCACCCTGAATTCCCCCAGGGTGGAGGCCAGCCAAAGGGGCCCCGCAGAGGGGCTGAGGGCCCGGGGAGGGGTGGGCCTCCCCAGTGTCCTGTCCACCGACATGAGGCAAAACTGCCACGTGAGCTGAGCCTGGGGCACAGCCAGCGAGAGGGTTCATGGGGCGCCCCCGGGGGGAGGTGCGGCTGCCAGCGCCTGGCTCGGGGCTCGGGCTCAGCAAGCGCTGGCGGGGAAGTCCCTCATCACCACCCAGGTCTCCAGACTCTGCTGATTTTCCAGGTGAACCTACTTTTTTTTTTTTTTTTAAGATTTATTTATTTATTTATGCAAGTACTGGGTACAGTCAGAAGCACGGGAGGGTGAGAGATTCACCAGAGCCAGAGCGGGGAGCAGAGCAGGCAGAAGGACCGAAGGACACTGCTGAGGGGAGCAGCGGGCGGCAGGAGAGGTCTGCGCGCCATGTGGGACCCTCCTCCGGTGGCCGGGGAGCAGCCGGGGATGGAACCGGCGCTGCAGAGGCTGCGGGCAGCTTCGCAACCCAGCGCTCAACCACTGCGCCGCCGGGGAGGCCCAGGTGAACCTACTTTTTAGCGTCCCCTTTCCTCAGGGACTTCTGGGAGCTGCGCCTCCCTGCTGGTGCCCGCCCCCCCTTGAAAAGACCGCTGTGGCCGCAGTTGCACTTTGGAATCTTTCCTTCCACGTCCCCCGGCCAGGGCCGGGGCAGCCAGGCCCGCTGGGGTCCCCGTCCAGGCACCATGTGGGCGCCCCGGGGGATGCGGCGGCGGGACAGGCGCGGGAAGGCGCGGTGCCGGCAGGTGGGGTCGCCGTGCCGCAGGACTCTGCGCGTCACCACCATCCCGCTGACCCTGCCCGGCCGGCGGCCCCGGCCAGGGATGGAAGCCCTGTGGCTTGCGGGATGGCTCCGTTTCCCCCATTTGCCCGCGATGCCCGCGATGCGCCGGGCTCCGGGGGCCGCCTCCCTGCCTCCCCGCAGGGGTTGCCCCGTGGTGTGTGAACTTGCGGTCAGCGGCTCCTTGGCGGCGGGTTAGAAACGCTTCCCGCACACCGGAGCGAGGACGCGCCCCCGCCCCGTCCCCGCCACCTGCACGGGGACGCCCCTCCAGGGTCCGGAGACCCCGCTAGCCAAGGCCGGGAAGGGGCCACAGAGCCGGGGCGGGAGCGGCGCCCTCAGCCATCAGGCGGAGCAGGGCGGGAAGGGCGGGAAGCCCTCTGGGCGCAGGGCTCCCGGGGTGCAGGTTTGGGGGCTGGGGTTTGACAGCAGCGGGGCTAGACCTGGCTGACTGAGAAGCGAGGAGGGCGGCCCTCTCTCTAGTTGCGGCTCATGCGGGCGCCCAGCAGCTGCGCGAGGGGGCGCCCGCCCAGGAGGGCGCTGGGGGCCGAGTCCCGCCCTCCCCTTCCGTCAGCTGCGCCAGACGAGCCCCGCAGACCCCTGTCCGCTGTCCCGCGCGGCCCCTTGAGGGGCGCAGCCCGTGGCAGGCCCGTGCCGGTCGGTCCTCGGCACCGGGCTGGCGCCACAGCCGTTGGCCCCGCTGGCCTCCTGGGCTCTGGCTTCCTAGAGCCGGGGCCCTCACGGGGCGCTCACGGCTCTCATTTTGCCACGCCCTGCTTCAGAGGGAGACGCTTGGAAGAAGCCCCCAGCAGCGGGAGTCCTGTCCCCAGGGGAAGGGTCGCTTGTTCCCGCTGAGCTGTGTCCCTGACGCTGAAGGCCCCCGAGGGGACCCCCTCAGAGGCTGTCCTGGCAGATGTGGGGGAGGGTGGGGGAGGGAGCAGGACAGAGGCCTGAACCCCTGGGCGGGTGCCCTCGAGGGGCATCTGGGTGGCTCTGGAGCCCCTCCCCAGGCTAACACTTGCCTGGGTGCACGGGGCACCTCTGTGGACACTGGCCCGTGGCTTGCTATGGCACCTCCCAGAGGGTGAACCCCCAGCCACTGCGGGGACCAGAGAAAGCAGCTGCCCCTCTCCCAGCTGGGAACACCCCCACTAGACATCGCGAAGGCGCCAGACTCAGGAGGGGCGTTTGTTAGTCCTGCGGCTTTGTTTCCAGCCCGGGCCGCTGGCAGGACTGTCAGCGCTGCCCGCACCGCCGGGCGCCCGGGACCGGGGCAGGGTCCTAGCCCCGCGGGTGCCCCTTCCCCGGGGAGGGGTCCCCAAGGCATGGAGGCTGGGAGAAGCAGGCGGTCAAAGCCTTTATTGGGTCTAGGGACGGGCGCGCGGGGCCTGCGCGCACAGCTGAGTCTGCCCGGTGCGAGCCCCGCTGGCGAGGCCGAGGCGCCCCAGCATGCCTGGGAGGCGGGGGTGCCGGCTCCTGCGGGCACCGCGGGGAGGTGCGCCGGGGTGCGGGGCCTGCAGTGCTGCGGGTGGGAGAGGAGGTGGGGGGCTGGGCGGCCAGGGAGCCGGGTTGGGGTCCCGCCGCCTGGAGGAGACAGGGCCCCGCGGCAGCACGCCGCGGCGCTAGCAGATCCAGCGGATGAACCTGTCGAAGAAGCCGGGCTGCGCCAGGCTGTCGTAGTCCTTCTCGCGGAAGACGGCGGTCGCGTCGCCCAGGCTGATCTTGGCCAGCACGTCGGCGTCCACGTCGCCGCCCACGGCCACCACGGTGGGCACCACGTTCTCCTTGCGCATGGAGTGCACCGCCTCCTCCAGGCTGTCGTTGCCCGTGACGCCGTCCGTGAGGAACACGAAGGACAGCTCCGCGTGCCTGCGCGCCCCGGCCGGATGGCCGCGCACCACGTGGTTGATGGCGTGCACGATGCCCGCGCCCACGTGCGAGAAGGAGTTGAGGTAGCGCGTGTTCTCCAGTGCCGCCTGGATGGCCGTCAGGTTGAAGGTCAGCGGGAAGGCCAGCTGCTGCTCCAGCGGGCCCCCAAACTGCAGCAGGGCCACGCGCGCGTTGAGCGGGTCGTCGTCCCTGCGCGCCAGCGTCAGCTCCCGGGACACCTCTTCCACGAAGCGCCGTGCCTTGAGGAAGTTCTGCTCGCCCAGCCGCTCGGAGCCGTCCAGCAGGAACACGATGTCCACTGGCCGCTGCGTGCACTGGGCGACCGACAGCTCTGCAGGAAGGGGCGGGGCCAGGTGAGCCCCACCCCGCCTCGCCCGTGGGATTCCCGCCGCTCCCAGGCCCGGCCCCACCTGGCCCCCGGGCCACGCCCCAGGTCACAGCCAAGGTGTGGCTGGGGCCACAGCCCCTCCCACCCTAGGGTGCCCCCATACCATGCCCGCAGGCACCACCCCTCTGTGAAGGCCCTCCCTGGCCATCACCCCAGGCCGCCTCCGGGCTGTGCTTCGAGCCCTCTCCCCACTAGCAGCTTCCTGCCTGCCTCGCACTGAGACACCTTCGGGGCTCCCCCAGGGCTGGAGCCAGAGGCAATGCTCCCAACCCCGGCACATCTCTGCCCGCAGCGTCTCCAAGCCCCCCTGGGTCCCTCCCCATGCCCTCACCTGGCCCAGAGGCCCTCCCTATGCCGGGGCACAGGGCTGTCCCCCCACCTGTGATGTCAAGATGACAGGAAGACCACCTCCTGCCAGGCCCCAGGAGGGCCATGCTGGCAGGGCCCCGAGGGCAGTGGGGGCAGCAGGCACACCCCTGCAGCAGCCGCTGTTACCACGAGACCCCACCCCTGGGTGGTCACCTGCCTGGACAGAAGCCACGAGGCTGCAGCCAGGGGTGAGGCCAGGCCTGGGCAGGGCAGGTGCCAGGCACTGCCTGAAAACCCACACCCGCCACACGCGGGGCCGCGGTGTGCTGAGGGCCACGAGGCGGGACAGCAGCTGGCCCTCGCCCGCAGCCTTGCGTGAACCCCAGCTCTGGCGGCTGCGCAGGGGTGGGTGCCTGGGATCGCCCCCGCAGGCCGAGGCCCCTCCTGGAGTGGGCAGGCGCGTGCTCTGCTCACCCCAGCCGGCTGGGGCGCGGGGTCCCCTGGGGAACCAGGCTCTGGACCTGCACCGGCGCCGCCCTTCCCCCCGTGCAGCCTGATGGCTGCCCGAGCCCCGCCTTTCATAGGGCACCCCGAGGCGCACGGCCGCGCACGGCCCCACACGCCCCGGGAGCGTGGCGGGCAGGCAGGCTCTGCAGAACTCTCTTTAATGAGCTTATCCGCGACTGTAGCTTATATGGGCGCTGGCTCGCGGCCCCACCGGCCCCACCGCCCCATCCACAGCCCGCAGCTTCCGAGTCCTGCGCCGGGGTACGGGTGCAGGGAGTTCCTCCACGCGTCAGCTTGGGGAGGACAAAAGTGCTTCAGCGCTCACCCTGGCAACCGTCAAAGGTGAAGCCAGGAGTTCGGGGGTCATTTAGAGGCGGTGAGTGCTCCTGAGGGCCCTTCCCCCACCGCTGCTGTGGCTTTTGTGGCTAATGGGCGCCCCGACGTCCCCCACAGCTAGGTGAAGTGTGGCCGCCTGCCCCCAGATGCCAGCATCCCGGACCCGGGACTGAAGTGACCCTATGAAGCCAAAAGGACTTGGCGGCTGAGATCAAACGCCCAACCTGGGGGCAGTACGCTGCTGAGCGTCCACCCGACCCTGAAGGCCAGTGTCCTCGGGAGGGGAGGGGCCGGGGCTAGGAGCAGAGACCGGCAGGGAGGCAGGAATGCCCGCTGGCCTCCCCGCCTGTGGGCGACACCTGGGGCTTGAGCCTTGACCGTGGCCCCCAGGCGGAGCAGAGGCCTGGGTGGCGCGGGGAGAGGGGCAGCCCCGGCGGTGGCTTCAGCAGAGGGCCAGCGCTGCCCCGGGCACCCCCACGATGTCCCTGTGCACCAGCTTAAAGGTGTCAACAAACAGGTCCGTCCAGTCCTGCCGCTCGCCGCCCGTGGCAAACTTGGCCCGCTCGGCGGTGTAGACCAGCAAGGCCACCAGCCTGGAGTAGGTGGCCGGGTCCTGCGTGAGCTCGGTGGCGTTTAGCAACTGCTGGACCAGGGGCACGGTCGTGGGGAAGGAGGCGTCCGGGCCCTCTTCCGTGCGGAGGAAGGCGACCGGGGGCTCGCCAGGCCGCGCGCCATCTGCGGGGCATCCAGAGAAGGCCTTAGGGACCCCGCTGGCCCAGCGACCTCCAGAGGCGCGGGGCCCAGCCGCGCAGGGGCGGAGGCTCGGCCGGGGCTGGAAGCGCAGGTGTGGCAGCGCCACGCCGTCCGTGCGGTGCCCGAGCTAAGGGCCTTGGGAGCCAGCAGCGGAGGTTTTCGGGGGCCTCTCCCTCTGGCTGTGGTCTTGAGGCTCAGGGGCGGCCAGGCCACCACCAGGCCAGCTCCCGCTGGACCCTGGGAGGCCAGCGTGCCCCTCACTCCAGCACCAGTGCGTCACAAGGACGGAAGGACAGCCCAGACCTGCTGTGGCCGCAGAGCCGCGTGTGGCACTAGCAGCTGGGCCCCTGCTCTGGGGACGACCCCACGGAGGCACGGGGGCTGGAGGCCGGCTCTCCATGGAAATAGTGGGCGGGGCAGCCTGCCACAGATGAGAGGCGAGGGCCCTCCAGGAGGGAGGCCGGCCCCCAGCCCACTCCCATGAAGACCCAGGCAGCTGGGGGTGGGCCCGGCTGAGCTCCCCCGAGAAGCGCTGCGCCTGGTCAGGGTGGGAGGCCACTGGCACCGACTGGGGCACTCTGCTCTCCAGGGGCCGAGGTGAGTGTGGCGTTTCAAGGACCGTGACTGGGCAGCCAAGGTCCACTGGGCGCTGCCATGTCCCTGGGAGGGCTGGGTCACCATCTGGACACTGGGCTTGGGCTGGGGGCCAGCGCTGTGGGTTTCCAGTGGCACTGGGCACCAGAGCCCGCTGTCCCCGGCTGGTCCTGGGTAGGCAGCTGACCTCACACCTCCTGGGAATACCCACTGCTCGCCTAGGGCCCTAATGCGGCCTTGGGCCGCGAGTGCGTCCCTGGAAGTCTGCGTACGCCTGGGGGTTGCTGCCAAGTCCATGCAGCGTTTGCCCCCGGGCCCTGGCACTGCCATGTCCTCCCAGTGGGCCCTGGGGTGCTGCACACAGACCCCGGAATGCTGACTGTGTAGCTGGGCGGGGGCTCCTATCTGTGCCCGCTGGAGCCACCTGCGCGTCTGGGCTGAGGCTGCTCGCTCTGACGGGGCCGGTGCCCAGCTGCGGGGCCCCGGGGTCCTGCTCCTCCTGGCCTGCTCAGGCCCTGGGGGCCGGCCTCCTCGGGCCCCTCCTCGGGCCCCTGGGCTCCCAGGGCAAGCTGGCATCTGCCCGAGGAGACTGGGAACCCCAGCCAGCTCGGGGTTGGGGGTGGAAGCCAGCGTCAAGTGGCCCCTGTCCACGCTGACCCCCCTGGCCACTTGTTTGCTGGATCCCGGGTTCCAGAGGTCCCGGCCCGGGTCCAGGTGGGGATGGTAGAAGGGCCGCGCCCCAGCCGCTCTTGGACGTGCTAGCGCCGGGGGCTTCTCGCTGGAGGGAGGCCGCCGCGGCCATAAGCCCTGGGTCCCCGCGGGCCCCCCTCGCCCCGGCGGGGTGCGCCTCTGGCGCCAGGCTTACCTGTTTGGCACGGGAGGTCCGGGCACACGATCTGCGGGTCTGGAAGGGAGGGCGCCGGGCAGCCGTCAATCTCTACCCTGCCCCGCCCCGCCCCTCCGCCCGGCCCCGCCCCCTCCGCCCCGCCCGCCGCCCGGCCCCGCCCCTCCGCCCGGCCCCGCCCCCTCCGCCCCGCCCGCCGCCCGGCCCCGCCCCTCCGCCAGGCCCCGCCCCTCCGCCAGGCCCCGCCCCGCCCCGCCCGCACCCGGGCACAGCACGTCCTCCATGTCGTCGATGAACTTCTCGGCCACCAGGTCGGAGAAGAGCGTCATGCTGCGCACGTGCTGCGGCTTGTGGCAGGCGATGGACGTCAGGCTCTCGCTCTCGTGCCCCTCGTGGAACATGTCGCCGATGCCGATGGCCGTGACCGTCACGTCGGGCGCGCACAGCGCCTGCAGGTGCAGGTCGTCGTCGCGCGGGTCGTGGCGGCCGTCCGTGATGACCACGGCGAACACGCGCGTCTTCTGGCGCCGGCTGTCCTTGATGAGCTGGTTGTAGGCGAACTTGAGGGCCGAGGGCGTCCAGGTGCCCCCCGCGATCCACTCGAGGTTCTTGACGGCCTCCTTGAAGCTGGCCAGCGAGTCCACGCGCTCGTCGTCCAGCTGGATGGCCTCGAAGGTGCCCTCGTGGCTGTACTGCACGACGCCCACGCGGGTCCCTGCGGGCGGGCGGGCGGGCGGGCGCGGGCTGGTCAGCGCGGCCGGCGGGCGGCGCCCCCCGCCCCGCCCCGCCCCGCCCCGCCCCGCCCCCGCGGCGGACCCGTCTCCGACTTGGGGTCCTTGGCGATGGCGCCCAGCCTGTTGACCACGTTGATGACGAAGTTCTTCTCCAGCGTGAAGTTGGTGTAGCCGATGCTCTCCGAGCTGTCGATGACGAACACCACGTCCAGCGCGCCGCAGCGCTTCTCGCAGTCTGCGCGGGAGGAGGCGGCTCGCGGGGGCCCGAGCCCGCGCACCCCGGGGCCCCGCCCGCGCCCCCCAGGGGACCCGCCCGCGCCCCCCCGGGGCCCACCCGCGCACCCCGGGGCCCGCCCGCGCACCCCGGGGCCCGCCCGCGCACCCCAGGGGACCCACCCGCGCACCCCGGGGCCCGCCCGCGCACCCCAGGGGACCCACCCGCGCACCCCGGGGCCCGCCCGCGCACCCCAGGGGACCCACCCGCGCACCCCGGGGCCCGCCCGCGCACCCCAGGGGACCCGCCCGCGCACCCCGGGGCCCGCCCGCGCACCCCAGGGGACCCGCCCGCGCACCCCGGGGCCCGCCCGCGCCCCCCAGGGGACCCACCCGCGCACCCCGGGGCCCGCCCGCGCACCCCAGGGGACCCACCCGCGCACCCCAGGGGACCCGCCCACGCACCCCGGGGCCCGCCCGCGCACCCCGGGGGACCCACCCGCGCACCCCGGGGCCCCGCCCGCGCCCGGGGCCCCGCCCGCGCACCCCAGGGGACCCGCCCGCGCACCCCGGGGCCCGCCCGCGCACCCCGGGGACCCACCCGCGCACCCCGGGGCCCGCCCGCGCACCCCAGGGGATCCACCCGCGCACCCCGGGGGACCCGCCCGCGCACCCCGGGCCCCGCCCGCGCACCCCGGGGCCCGCCCGCGCCCCCCAGGGGACCCACCCGCGCACCCCGGGGCCCGCCCGCGCACCCCGGGGCCCGCCCGCGCTCACCGCAGCAGCCGCACGTCTCCCGCACGTAGGTCATGACGTCGCACTCCTGGGCGGCGTCAGCGGCGGCGTCAGCGCCTCGGCCTCCGGCCCGCCCGGCCGGTCCCCGAGGCCGACCCCGCGCCCAGGCCAGCCCGAGCCCGCCCGCCCGCCCGCCGGACCCTCCGCCCCGGCCCCGCCCGCCCCGCCCGCCCCGGCCCGGGCCCCGGGGCGCCTACCGTGAGGCCGGGGTCTCCGGGGGGCCCGGGCTGTCCCTGCGGGCGGGGGGGGGGGCGGTGAGCGCGCGGCCGGGGGTCTCGGGCCCTGCGGGCCTCCCGCCGGGGCGGGGCGCGGGGTGGGGCGCGGGGGGGGAGGGGGGGCTGGGGGCGGGCAACGCGCGGGGAGGGGGCGCCGGCCCCGGCGCACCTCAGGTCCCGGAGCTCCTCTTGGTCCGCGCGGGCCGGGCTCCCCGGGGGAGCCGGGGTCTCCCTGAGAAGGAAGGAGCGGGGGTCCAGCAGCGGGCGGGGCCCTGCGGCCGGCAAGGGGCGGGGCGGGGCGGGGCGGAGGGCGGGGCGGAGGGCGGGGCTGGGGGGTGCGGGGCGCGGGGTGGCCATGGGGTGCGGGGCGTGGGGTGCGGGGGGGGGGGGCGCGGGGCGCGGGGTGGCCATGGGGCGCGGGGTGGCCATGGGGTGCGGGACGTGGGGTGCGGGGCGGGGGGGGCACGGGGTGGCCATGGGGTGCGGGGCGTGGGGTGCGGGGTGGGGGGGGTGCGGGGTGGCCATGGGGCGCGGGGCGCGGGGTGGCCATGGGGTGCGGGGCGTGGGGTGCGGGGCGGGGGGGGTGCGGGGTGGCCATGGGGCGCGGGGCGCGGGGTGGCCATGGGGTGCGGGGTGCGGGGCGCGGCGCGGGGCGCGGGGCGGACTCACAGGCTCGCCCTTGGTGCCTTTCCTCCCGGGCTGTCCCTTCACCCCGAAGTCGCCTCTGCCGCCCTGGACAGCACAGACGCGGGTCAGCGGCGGGGCCGCCCGTGGGCCGGGGCGGGCTGGCAGGGTCGCGGGTCCCCCCCCCCCGCGGTGCCCTGCTCACGGGGCGCGCCCCTCGGGGCAGGGTCCACCGGCTACGCACCTCGGGGCCTCGCGGGCCGGGCTCTCCCTTCTCCCCCTGCGGAGCAGGCGCGCTGACTGTCCCGGGCGGGCGGGGTGACGGCCTCCCGGGACGCAGGTGGGGGCCCCGCCCCCTCCCCGCCCCCCATTCCCCGCCCCCCTCTCCCCGGCCCCCTCTCCCGCCCCCCCTCCCCCCCCCCCCCCTCCCCTGCCCCATCCCCCGCCCCCTCCCGCACTGGGGCCCGCCCCAGCCCCCCGCGCTCACGGGCTCTCCGCGCGGTCCTGGGTAGCTGAATCCCGGCCTGCCGGGGTCTCCCTGGGGGGCGGTTCAGGGGAGGGGGCAGAGGGGTCAGGGCGTGGGGGGCCGGCTGCGCCCTCCGCCCCAGAGCCCCAAGCCTTGAGCAAGCTGCCCAGGCCCGCGGGGAGTACCTTGGGGCCTGGCGGTCCGGAGTCACCGCGGGGACCGGCGTCACCGGGGTCTCCCCGAGATCCCTAAGGGCAGGGGTGGGGAGAGGGTGGGCACAGGCGGTTCCGGGCCCCTCCGCTGCTGCCCACTGGGACCAGGCCGGGGGTCGCGGCGGCCCCCTCTCTCAGGTGTCCCTCCTGGCTCCCGGCCCTGCCTGCCCCCCACTTCCGTCCTGCCCAGGGCAGCCTGAGGGTGGGCGCCAGGGTCACGTGCGCCCAGGACGCCGCTGCCCAAGGCCGGGGCCTGCGGCCCTGCAGGGTGGAGGGTGCCGAGTGGACGGTGGGGTGGGAGGGCGGGCCCGGCTGAGCCGCGGCTGACCTGCTTGCCGGGTTCTCCCGGGGCGCCTGGGGGGCCTCTGGGTCCAGGCAGGCCGCGGTCTCCCTGGGGAGAGAGGGGACAGGGCCCCGCTGCTGACCGCCGAGCCCGGGGGTGGGGCTGGGGCTGCCGTGTGCGGAGGCCCTGGGGTGTGGGTGCCTCTGCGCCCCCCACCCTCTGCCCTCCATGCGGCTGACCTTGGCGCCTTTGTTGCCGATCTCTCCGGCCAGACCCCGGGGCCCCTCGGGGCCAGGGTCCCCCTGTGAGAAGAGAGGGTCTCAGTGGGGACGAGGGCTGGGGGAGGGAACGGAGGGTCACCTACTCCTTGGGGGAGGCCCTTGTGTGGCAGCGCTGCCCCCCGCAGCATGGCCAGAGTCCCGCCGGCCCGGAGCGTGGGCCGGGGTCCCGCCCCTGCTCCTGCAGGCCCAGCAGGGACCCCCCCCTCCCCCCGCCGAGAGGGCACCCGGGCTCGTCCGCCTGCGGACACTCACCTTCTCTCCCTTGGGGCCATCGCTGCCGGGACCACCCTTGGTTCCAGGGTCTCCTCGGCGCCCCTGCAGAGAAGGGAGTGAGGGTGGGCACCCCACGTTGCATCCCCAGAGGACTCTGTTTGGAGCCCGGGGCCTCCAGGGGTCGTCAGCCTGGACCCTGCTCTGGGCGGGCTCCGGCAGGGATGAGGTGGGGGCCGGCTGGGCCCCAGGGTGGGCCCCAGGGGTCAGCAGGGCTGGGGTGGGCTTGTCCCCGGGTCAGGCCGGGAGCTGCCGGGCTGGGCCCTCGGGGGCGGGACCCAGCGGTGCAGGGTGGGCGCTTGCGGGCCAAGGGATGCCCCTGGCCGGGCTGGCGGACGCGGCCCCTCCTCCTGTCCCGGGGCGGCTGGGGCAGGGGGTGCGCACCAGGGGGGGCCTGGTGCTGGGGGGCGGAGCAGGGCCGGGCTGGGGCAGGACTCACAGGCTCGCCTCTGGGTCCTCGGGGCCCGGGCCCGCCCTTGGCCCCCTTCACGCCGGGACTGCCGGGGGAGCCGTTGTTGCCTTGGTAGCCCTGCGGAGGACGGGTTCAGCGGGGAGGCCGGGCCCCAAGCAGCGGCACTGGCCCCGGGCGGCCTCCGTCCCTCCTGACCCGACGGGTGGGACCCAGAGACTGAGCTGGGAGAGTGGGGATCCCGGGGGGGGCGAGGGGGCCTCTGGCTGCGGGTGCAGCAGGCCGGTCGGAGGGGCACTTGCCTTGCTGCCTTTGGCCCCGCTGTCTCCGGGGGGCCTCTGCGTCCTGGGCGGCCAGGGTCCCCCTGGAAGTTTAGAGGATGTCAGGGGGCAGGACCCTGAGGGCTGGGCCCCTGAGCACAGGGTGTGGGTGCTGGCGGCTGGGCACCAACTGCCCATCTCGCCAGCGTGCGGGCGGCCAGGGGCTGGGGCAGGAGGGCACCAGGGCTGGCCATGAGTCGGGCGTGAGCTGGTGGGTCCCGGGTGTGCACCTGCAGTCCCCGGGCAGGGCACCCCCCAGCAGGCACCCCGTGACCCCCTCCGACTGCCCGTTTACAGGGACAGGCCCTCGGCGGGCCGCCTACCTTGGTGCCTTGTTCTCCCCGCTCGCCAGGACTGCCGGCTTCCCCTGCGTAGCCATCGGGGCCCTGCGAGAGAGGGGGTGAGGGCCCGCCCGGGGCTCCTGCCCAGGCCGCACTTGGTTTCCCCGCGAGCCCAGGGTGCTGGCGGGGGTGCTGACCAGCGCCGATATCTGGCCCCAGAGGCGCCTCCAGCCTTGCGCCCCCAGACTCAGCACCAGCCCCCCACCCCCCCCAGTCCCTCCCCTCCCCCCAGGGCCTGGTGGCTGCGCCCATGGGGCAGGGCGGGACCCAGCTGCCTGGCCTCCCACCTGGCTCAGAGGCTACTTGGTCACGTGACCCCGGGCCGGGCAGGCGGTGGGCAGCTGGCTCACAGCAGGGCCCCCGCCCCGCCCCGCCCCGGCCGGGCCCTGCTTACCCTGCTCCCGGGGTCGCCCTTGCAGCCGGGAGGTCCGATGCGGCCCAGCTTGCCCTGGAGGAGAGGGGGGCGGCAGGTGCACGGGGGTGGGCGGCCAGTCCCCGCTGCCTCTGCGCTGCCCGGCACGCGACGGCCACCGGGGCTGCCAGGGCCGGGCTGTCCCGGCAGCGTCTCCGAGGGTGCCCGCGCGGGAGCGCCCAGAGCCCCCGCTCGCGTGGTGTGCCAGCTGTGTGCGCCCCACAGACCGCGGCTGCGGGCGGGGCTGGGCGCTCCCCGGCCGGGGCGGGGGCAGAGGCGCGCGGCCCTCTAGTCCTGCGACCACGGGCTGTGGGCAGTGCCAGTGCCGAGCCCCGAGGGGCTGGCGCCGCGGATACCAGAGACGCTGGCAGCCCCCACCTTCTGTCCATCGGTCCCGTTCTTGCCGGCCAGCCGGACGCGCCCTGAGAAGATGGCAGAGGCCGTCAGCCCCGGGGGCCGTGCCCGAGGGGCCGGGGGCTGGGTGCCCGCCCGAGTGCCCTCCCGCCCGCTTACCTTCCTCCCGTCGGCTCCAAACTCCCCCTGCGTGGATGCAAAGCGAGGCGGGTGAGCGGCAGGGCCACGGCCGCCTCCACCCAGCAGGAGGCCGAAAAGCCCGAGCTGCAGACCACGCGGCCCCAAGCCCACTCCTGCGCCCCCAGGAGGAGCCGGGCCGCTCTGCGGGGCTGGCCGCTCGGCGGGGCGCTCACCTTCTCTCCTTTGAAGCCAGGAACACCCTGCGGGCGAAGGGGCAGAGCAGGTCAGGGGCAGAGCGAGGCCACTGAGGCGGGCAGGCAGGGAGGGGGGCAGAAAGAGGGTCTGGGGGGGCCTGGGGGGCGGGGAGGTGCTCTGGCAGGGCACGGGGTGGGCAGCCCTGGCCTGTCCCATGGCCAGCCGGGGCGGCGGGGGTGGGCGTGGTGACTTGCCTTGGGTCCCGGGAATCCGATGGGGCCTTCGATGCCGGGGTCTCCCTGTGGAGAAGAGCAGAGGCCGTGGATGTCGCCCCAGCTCTGGGGAGCTGGGCTGGTGGGCAGCGAGGAGGACACTCACCTGTCGTCCCTTCTGTCCTGGCTCTCCGGGCTCACCCATGTTGCCCTTGGCACCCTAAAAGCAGGTGACAGCAAAAGGGGTAAACTGAGGTGGGGGGACAGCAGTTCCTGGTCAGCAGGGGGCTGTCCCAGTCCAGTCAGCTGCCCCAGACTTGGGCCCCTCTGGTCCTGGCCAGGCCAGCCCTCTGCAGCTGCTCCCGCCTGGCACGGGCCTGGGCATGATGTCCCTCATTACCACCCGAGGGCAGGCGACCCTGGCCCAGGGGGACACTGCAGGCCGCCTCCGGGAATGGGTCCAGGCGTGCGGGAGTGGGCCCTGCCTGCTGACACTAACTGCAGCGCAAAGAGGGCCAGGCCCCTGGACGCCTGCCACCGAGCAGGGTCAGCGTCCGGTCCGCAGCAGCCCCATTCGCCACGGCAGTACTGACCGCCCCGGTGAGGCCCGGTGTCCCCGCCCTGCCTGTGTAGCCAAAGCTGTCCCTGTGGACGTTCGTCCCGGGCGGAGAGGGCGGCGCTTGCTGTGCCCGGCCTGGGGTGGGGGCAGGAGGGCCCGGCGCCAGCTGTCTGGTCCCTGCTGGCCAGGCCGGCCCTCTGATCCCGCTGGGAGGACGGAGCTGTTCGCCGTGACTCTGCAGCGTCACTTCGGTGTCGCATCTGGAAGCTCCTCCCTCCGCTGCCCTCTGCGGGACGCCCACCCGGGTCCCTGTTCTGTCCCACCCCCCCGGGCTCAGACGAGGCGGAGCGAGCATGGGCAGCTGGGCTGCTTGGGGACAGCTCGCAGAGGTGACCGGAGCACCTCGTGGCTAGTCCTGGCCGTGAAGCGTGTTCCTCACGGTTTTCTCCAGTTAAAAGGGAGTCGGTGGAAACAGCTTCAGTTCCTTGGGGTCAGAAGTGGGGAGCCCCCCCTGGGCCAAGGGTGGTGGCCCCGGGGCTTCTTACCTTCTGTCCGCGGTAGCCCTTGGGGCCGGCCGGCCCGGGGAGCTCCAGGCAGCTCACCTTGTAGCACTGCAACAAGAGGGTGGGGGTGGGCCCGTGTCAGGCTGGGGAAGCCCTGCCCTCGGGCACCCAGGGAGGGAGGGGCAGAGACGGTCAGGCCCAGGCAGCGCGGCTGGAGGGAGGCGCAGACTTGTGGGACCCCCGGCTGCAGGGGACGGTGCTCAGGCGGGCCGGAGGCCCAGCTGCATGGGCAGTGTCCCCGGGTGGACCGCGTGTGCTGTGGGCAGCTGCTGGGAGGAGGCGAGGGGGAAGCCAGGCTGGGTGGGAGCTGGGGCTGGGTCACGGGGGAGGCCGCTCGGAGCGGAGGCCCGGGGTCAGACTCCGGGCGGGCCACCCGCCTGTCCTCCTGGCCTGGCTGGGCAGGGCTCCGCCCCGGTGCGCGGTGGACGGAGCTCGCCAGCCTGGAGGATGGCCCTCAGCCCGACGCCTGGCAGGCGCCCTGGGTGCCCCAAGGCCGGCCCCGCGGGGCCTGGAGAGCCTGGGTCCCAGGTCAGGCGCCGGCGGCGCTGAGCCGAGGGTCCGGCCGACCCGCTGCGGGGCCCAGCGCCACCTCCGGCCCGGCACGACGCGCGGCGCGCTCACCTCTGCGTAGGCCTCGTGTTTCTGCGGGCGGGAGGAGGGAGGCCGGTCAGCCCGGCGGGCGGCGCCCCTCGGCGGGGAAGGGCCGGCGCGCGCCGCCCGAGGGCCTCTCCGGGGGCGGCTCACCATGACCTTGATGATGCGGTTGATGGTGTCCTGGTCGATGGCGGGGGAGTCGGGCCGCATCACGGCGTAGGCGGCGCGGTAGAGCTCGTGCGGGGCGCTGGCGATGTCGCGCAGGCCCTGCTCGCGCAGGTGCTGGTTGGGCGCCACGGCGAACAGGCGCAGCCCCTCCTCGCGCGCGCGCTCGGCCTGCAGCTTGACGCCGCCGCACGGGCTGCCGGTGACGTGGCCGTCGGTGATGACCACGGCGAAGCGCGCGGCGGCGGGGCTGGGGTGGCGCCGCACCTCGCCGTCATGTTGGCCAGCGCGCAGTCCGTGAAGGTGCCGCGGCGGAACGAGTCGATGGTGTCCAGGCGGTTGAGGAAGGTCGCGCGGTCGCTGTCGGGCTCGCTGAAGACGCGCACGCGGTCGGAGAAGTGCAGGCCGCCCTGGCGCCAGCTCAGCGCCACCTGCCCGCGGTACAGCTCGTCCTGCAGCTGGCTCACGAGCTGCCGCGCGAACTCGCGCATGTGGTAGAGCGCGCTGTCGATGGCGACTGCATGGCCACGCTCTCCGACGTGTCCAGCACGAAGTACACGTTCACGCGGCAGTCCGCCTTCTCTGCGGGGGCGGCGGGCGGGGCTGGGCGCGCGAAGCGGCCTGCGAGCTGCCCCCGGGGCGCCCCGCCCCCCCCCCGCGCCCCACCCCGCGCCGCCACAGCCCCGCGCGCCCCGCGCCCCGCGCCCCGCCCCCCGCGCCCCGCGCGGTACCTGGGCAGCTGCTGCCTCTGTCGGCGGGGCCGGGCGAGACGAGCTCCTGCTGCTGGGCCTGGAGGACGCCCAGCAGCGCGCAGAGCAGCAGCGCGCGGGGGCCGCGGGGCAGCATGTCGGCGGCGCCCGGCGTCCTGCGGGGCAGCGCGTGAGAGGAGCTCGCGGACCCGCGGGGACGCGGTGCGGGGGCCGCGCTCCGGCCCGGGCGGCGCCTGCAGCCGGGCGGGCTGGGGGGCGCTCACGGCACCCCGCTTGGGGCCGGGCGCGCCGCTGCGTCCCCCAACCGCTGGCCGCGCGGGGCCCGGAGCGCCGGGGGCGAGGGGGGCCGGAGCGCAGCCGGCCGGGAGGGGCCGCCGGGCTCGGCTCTCGCTTCCCGGGGCTCCGAGACGGCTGCGGGGGCTCCCGGGGTGTGGGGCGCGTCTCCGCGCGGACCAGGCTGCCCGCGCGGCGCCTCCGTTCCCGGGTCCGCGGGGGGTGGGGGCGGGGGCGGCCGGTGCGGTGCAGGGAAGGGGGGCGCTGTCGTCGGGTGTTCCGGGCGGCGCGCAGCCCCACCGCAGAGCCGCGGGGCACCCCGAGAGAGGCGCGCGCTGCCCAGTCTGCGCCCCCCTCCGCCGCGCGCAGGGGGGACCCGCGTCTGCGCCGGGCGGGCCGCGGGGGCGTCCGGGGCGCTGCTCTCGGGGCGCTGCTCTCCGGGGCGCTGCTCTCCGGGGCGCGCCCCGAGCGCGGAGGCGCGAGGCCGCGTGAGCGGGACGCAGGCGAGAGCCGGGAGCACCGGGTGGTGGGGGGGCTCCGCTGCGACGAGGCCGCGAACCGCTGAAACCTCCGGATGCACGTTCCGGAACTGGTCAGCAGACGGAGCCCGTTTGGGTGACGCTTGGGTGACGTTTGGGTGACTTTTGGGTGACGCCAGATGGCGTTTCGCCCACGCGCCGAGGCCGAGGAGGCGGACGACGCGCCCCACCCTGTTTGCACCCCGCGCGCCCGAGATGCGGCCTCGGAAAGTGTCACAAAACTCTCTCCAAGAGGAAGCGCCCCAAAACTTGATGATTAAAAACTGGCGAGTGCACAGACCGCGCGTCCTGAGCCGGAGCCCAATCAGCGGCTAAGAAGACCCGGGGGGCGAGAACCCCAGCACCTGGAGGTTAAAAGCCCCGTCCTGGGAACCCGCCCCGGAGGCGGTGGGCGACGGCCACCCGCGGGAGACAGTGCGACTGGCCAAGGCTGGACTCGGGGGACAGGGCGTCGCCCGGGTTAGTAAATGCTTTAAGTCATTAAATAAAAATCAGCGGACGGTGGGCGTGCCGTCGAGGAAACGAGGGCCAAGAAATTAATCTCAGGAAAGCAAGAGAGAGAGAGAAATGACAGATTAAACCAACCCAGTATGAAAATACTCATGTGTGTCTAAGAGTCGGTTGTTCGAAAAGCCCAACAAGATAAAGAAGTGTCAGCAAGTGTCACCAAGAACGGAACAAGATAAAACGCAAATACAGAAATATACATGTTCAGGAATGAGGAAATGCAGCGATACTGAAATTTTGCTGTTGGTTGTTTTGAGAGCACCTCAAGGCAGCTCCCTGCCCTCATTGTGGGCGCCCGGGAGGGGTGCTTAGAGGAGAAGAGCCGGCGGGGCTGCCCTGGGGAAACAGAACCGCCTTCCCCAGGCCTGGCCGCAGCCTGGCGGGGAGTTCCCACAGCACCGCTTGCTGCCATGGAACGCGTGTCCCCACGTACAGAGGTAAGCTGCCTTTCCACTCGTTCTTAAACATGTGTATCCTGAGTCTAGAGCTGATAAAAGATAACCCTAAAAGAAACTCACAGAAAGATCTACTTTTGAGTATAGGTGCAACAATCCTAACATATTCAAAAATAAAATCCAGTAGCGTATTAAGGGACTCATACCGGAACTGAGATGAAGTTAGTTAAAAACACATTGACACAAGACTAGGGCCCAGGGCCTCCCCTGGTGGTGCAGGCAGTGGAGCGCCTCGCTGTGAAGCTGTCCGCAGCCTCTGCAGCGCTGGTTCGATCCCGGCCAGCCGGCGAGGGTCCCACATGGCGCGCAGACCTCTCCTGCCGCCCACTGCTCCCCTCAGCAGTGTCCTTCGGTCCTTCTGCCTGCTCTGCCCCCCGCTCTGGCTCTGGTGAATCCTCTCACCCTCCACACATCTGGCCCATACCCCAGCTCTTGTATAAATAAATAAATCTTTAAAAAAAAAAAGCACAATTGGTTAAAACGCAATCTATGAAGCTGTCCGCAGCCACCACAGCATGAGTTGGATCCCTGGCCAGCCAGGGAGCTACCCACATGGCACAGCAGACCCCTCCTGCCGCCCGCTGCTCCCCTCAGCAGTGTATTTCGTCAGTCTGCCTGTTCTGCTCCCCGCTCTGTCTCTGGTGAATCCTCTCACCCTCCTGCGCATCTGGCTTGTACCCCAGTTCTTGTATAAAAATAAATAAATAAATCTTTAAAAAAAAAAAGAAAACCACAAGACTAGGCCCCCTATTAATATAAACAGAGAAAACCATGTAACTGCTCTAACAGAGCCCCAACACCCATTTCTGAGTGAAAAAGGCAGTAAGAAAAAACTTCCTAAGACATTTACAAGTAGGATCAACATTATAAAGGATATAAATTTCAAATCAACAACTAATATTCTATTTTACATAAAAACTAAAGTAGGGGTCATATACCTTTTAAGAACCTGGACAATTTCACTTTGTACAAATGTGCAGATACCCGCGTACAAACGTCAGGCCCCTGGTAAATTGGGGGCCATAGTAGCCCTTGCACTCGTGTGGTTAGTACTCGCATGGGATAACTTCACTTTCAACCCATTTGTATGTCTGGATCTAAAGTGGATCTCACATAGATGGTGTACAGTTGGGTCATGGCTTTTGTTTTGTTTGTTTGTGGGACCCTCGCCGGGCGGCTGGGCGGCTGGGCGGCTGGGGATCGAACCAGCGCTGCAGAGGCTGTGGGCAGCCTCGCAGCCCAGCGCTCAACCGCTGCGCCACGAGGGGAGGCCCCTGTTTTGTTTGGTTTTAATGTGTTCTGTCAACTTGCCTTTTGACTGGAGCGTTTAATCCATTTACATTTAAAGTGATTCCTGATAAGGAAGCACTAACGTGTCATTTTGCTCTGTTTTCTACATACTTTGTGGTTTTTTGTTCCTTAATTCCTGCATTACTGTCTTCTGTGTTTGGCTGATTTTTGTAGCAAAACATTTGTATCTCTTGTTTCTTTTTGTGTATTCTTTATTTCCTTTGTGGTTGCCCTGGGGATTACATCTGACATCCTAAAGTTATAACACTAATTTGAAATGACACTTTCTTCAATAATATACAAAAACTCTGTTCTTTCAGGGCTTCCCCGGTGGCGCAGTGGTTGAGCGCTGGGTTGCAAAGCTGCCCGCGGCCTCTGTAGCACCGGTTCGATCCCCGGCTGCTCCCCGGCCACCGGAGGAGGGTCCCCCATGGCGCGCAGACCTCTCCTGCCGCCTGCTGCTCCCCTCAGCAGTGTCCTTCGGTCCTTCTGCCTGCTCTGCTCCCCGCTCTGGCTCTGGTGAATTCTCTCACCCTCCCGCGCTTCTGACTGTACCCAGTGCTTGTATAAATAAATAAATAAATCTTTAAAAAAAAAAGTGAAATTCTGCCTTTTGATTGTCTGGTTAGAATGTGTTTTGGTGTGAGTCTCTGCGTTCATCCCCCTTGGCGTTCACTGAACTTCTTGGATGTTTATATTCATGTCATTCATCAAATTTGGGATGTTTTGAACATTATTTCTTCAAATATTTCCTTTTCCCCTTTCTCTCTCTGCTCCTTCTGGAAGTCCTGTAACAGGAACGTGCTCTGCTTGACGTATCTCAAAGGCCCTTCATTGTCCTGGTGTTGACTTTGCTAATTATCTCTTCTTTCTGCTCAAGTCTGCCTTTGAACCCCTTTAATGAGTTTTATTATTGTACTTTTCAGTTTCATTAAGTTCATCTTTTTGGAAGCCATTTAGGCTTTCTAGCTCTGTTGATATTTTGTTCATACATAGTTTGATCGACTTTCGCCAGGCCTTCCTTGAGTTAAGTAACTTAAGATGATTGTTTTAAAGCATTTGTCTAGTAAATTAATCGTCAGGTCTTTCTCAGTGACAGTTTGTATTGGTTTATATTTTTTCCATTGAATAGCATATACTTTCTCGTTCCTTTATATAAGTCTTGCTATATTTTTGTTGTTTTTGAAAAACGGGCACTGAATCTAATGCTAGGGTGCTATGGAAATCTGATTATTTCCTCCACATGGTTTTCTGTGATTTGTTTTTGTGTTTTTGGTTGCTGGAGGCTGTCTCTGTGCCAAGGGTGAGCTTGAGATAAACTTGGGTTGTCCCAGGTCTTTTCCAAGCCTGTCCCTTCTCCTGGGAATGTTCTGTGGCTCTAATTTCCCCATATATGAAGTTGCTTTGGAATGCCTCCTATTCAATGTCTGACTCACAGAAGGAGAAGAGCAAATTGGGGTAAAGGTGACAGTCCTTTAGATTCCCTGGAAGTTTCTTCAGCCAGCGAAGGAGAAACTTGCGGTTCTGGAGGGAAATGTCAATCTCGGTAGATTTTACAAGAAAATACCATTCAATGAGTCATGATTTTAGAAGGTATCAGTATCGCAGACAGTCCTACTGTTATTCCAGTCACACCGTGATCCTCAACAGTAACAGGACAACTGGAAAAGTCACAAAACTGTGGGAATTAAACAACTCACTTTTAAACAACCAATTGATGAAAGAAGGGAAATTAGAAAATACTCAGAGATTAATGAAAATGAAAGTACAAACTACCAAAACTTACGGGCATAGTGAAAGCGGTGGAAATATATAGCGGAAGCAAACAAGAAAGATTTAAAACCAACAAACTAACTAACTTTACAAGTTAAGGAACTAGAATAAGAAGAACAAACTAAACCTAAAACCAGCAGAGGAAGGAAATAATAAAAAACAGAGCCGAGTTAAACAGAGAATAGAAAAACAATGAAACCAAAAGCTAGGTCTTTGAAAAGATCAGCAAATCCCAAGAAGCATTTAGCTAGGGGGACTAAGAGAAAAAGAAACAAGATCTAAACTGCTGCAATCAGAAATGAAAGTGGGGCTATCACTACTTTTCTACAGAAATGAAAAGGATTATAATAGGGTTCTATGAACAATTATATGCAAACAAGTCAGAGAACTTAGATGAAATGGATAAGTTTCTAAAATTACAAACTTACCAAGGCCAAACTATGAAGAAATAGAAATTGCGAATAAATCTATAACTAGTAATAAGACTGAATCGGTAATTAAAATGTCCTGGGATTCCTAGGTTGTGTGGTATTCCCTCCCTCCCCCATCACTTGAAAAAGTAAACCCCCGCACATTATCACTTCACTGGTGAATTCTACCAAACATTTATATAACTAACACCCTACTTCTCAAACTTAAAAAAAAAAAAAAAAAATAGTAGAGAAAACCTCCTACCTCACTCTGTGAGGTCAGCTGATACCTGACACCAAAGCCAGACAAAGAGACTACGGAAAAAGAAAACCACAGGCCACTATTCCTTGCAAATATTGATGCAAAAATCCTTAACATAACATCAGCAAACATAATATTAAAAGGATTAAACAAGCAGGATTAATTTTCTGGAATACAAAGGTGGTTCAACACATGAAAATCCATCAACCTTACTATCACATAAATAGAATAAGGGAAAACCCACATGATCATCTCAACTGATGCCGAAAAGCCTTTTGATAAAATTCAACCCTCTTTCATGATAAACACACTAAAAAACTAGTAATAGAGAGAAACTACCCCAATGTGATATAAGCCAAATATGAACACCCTACAGTAACCATCATAATAGTGAGAGACGAGAACATTTTCTTTTAAGGTATAAGCCAAGGCAAAGATGTTCAATTTTGCCACTTCTGTTCACCATAGTCCTAAAAAGGAATAATCAGGCAGGAAAAAGTCAATATATAGATATTGGAAAGAAGTAAAATTCTCTCTGTTCATAGATAATATGATCTTACATGTGGAAAATTAAAGATTCAACAAAAAGAAACTTTAAAAATAAACAAATTCAACAAAATAGCAGGGCTCAAAGTCAACACCCAAAAGTCAGTGATGCACAAATCATCAACAATCTACACACATATCAGGGACAATCCAAAAGGGAAAATAAAAAATACTTCCCTTTGCATTAACATCACAAAGAATAAAATAATTAGGAATTACCTTTACCAAGGAGGTAACTTATTTACTGAGAGCTATTAAAATTCTGAGAGAAATTTTAAAAGACATAAATAAATGGAAAGACATATCATGACCATGTATGGGAACATTTAATATTAATATGTCAACACTACCCAAAATGATTTATAGATTTATTAAATAAGTAATTACTACCTTTCACCATGCACAAAAATCAACTCAAAATGGGTAAAAGAACTGGACATAAGACCTGAAACCATAAGATATATAGAAGAAAATAAAGGTAAAACACTACAAGACAATACGTTAAAATCGCAAGAACATCTTTAAAGACTCATCACCGAAAGCAAAGAAAGTCAAGGAAAAGATAAGCCCCTGGGATTACATCAAACTGAAAAGCTTCTGCACAGCAAAAGAGACATTAACCAAAACAGAGAGATGCCCCACTGCGTGGGTAAAAATCTTTGCACTCCAGTCAACTGATAGGGGACTGATCACAAAGACATACAAAGAACTCACACGGCGCAACAAAAACAAAATAAACAAAATAAAAAATAAACAATCCAACAAAAACAAAATAAACAATCCAAAATAAGCAAGAAATGGGCAGAAGAACTTAAAAGACATTTCTCCAAAGAGGAAAAGCAAATGGCCAACAGACATATGAAAAAATGTTCAACATCCCTGATCATCAGGGAAATGCAAATTAAAACCTCATTGAGATACCACCTCACACCAGTGAGAATGGCACACATCAAACAAACTAGCAACAACGAATGTTGGCGAGGGTGTGGAGAAAAAGGAACTCTCCTGCACTGCCGGTGGGAGTGCAAACTGGTCCAGCCCCTGTGGAGAGCTGTGTGGAGATTTCTGGACCTACTAAACCTAGAGCTTCCATAGGATCCAGCAATTCCACGCCTAGGTATTTACCCAAAGGACACAGAAACATCCACTCCAAAGAGCACCTGCACCCCTATGTTTATAGCAGCACTGTTGACAATAGCTAAGCTCTGGAAACAACCCAAATGCCCAAAAATAGATGACTGGATCAAGAAGATGTGGTCCATATACACCATGGAATATTACTCAGCATTCAAAAAAGATAAACACATGCCATTTGCAGCAACATGGATGGCGCTGGAAGGGATCATGCTCAGCGAAATAAGCCAGAAAGAAAAAGAAAAATCCCGGATGCTCTCACTCATAGCAGGAATCTAGAAAACCTAAATAAGGGACCAGGGAAAAGACTAATTATAATAAAGTAAAGATCAAAACCAGCAAGCAACTACAGACACACTGCGGGGGGGATTAGGGTTAAAACGAGGGGGGTGGGAATTGCACGGGGACTCTGCCAAGATGAACACGCACACACTGTGCAAAAATGAAAAATGTAAAAAAATATATAAATTAAATTAAAAAACAAACAACCACAGACAAAGGCTTGGCTGGACGTCACTGCAGAGGTGGGTGAGCGGCGCACCTGGCCCTGAGGAGGCCTGGACACGACGGGGAGCGGCCCAGGCCACGGGAGGGGCCACCTCCGCCCCGCAGGCAGCAGCTCTGAGCCCCGGGACACGGGGGTGTCTGGACACGGCAGAGGCGGGCGCGGCGGGGCGGCGGGGCTGCTGCGGGCCGCGGGCTCCTCCGGAGACGGAGCCGGGGCGCGCGTGACGCGCCTCCACCCCGGCCGGCCGGGAACCCGGGGGGCGCGGGGCCGCGGGCGCCCTGGGGCTGGGGTCACGGCGGCCCCGCCAGCAGCGACGGGCGCAGGCGGCGCGGCGGGGAGGCGCACGGGGTCGCGCGCCCCCGGAATATTACTTGGCCGTGAAAGGGCAAGCGCGGCTGGCACCGCGGCCACCGGGCGGCTCGAGGCGGGCGCGGCCGCGGAGCGCGGGGCAGCGGGATCTCAGTTTCCAAGATGAAAGGCCCGAGCCCGAGGGCGCGGCCCACCGAGGGCGCCCGGGGAGGAGCCCCGGCTGCGCGGAGGGGTGCGCACGCACGGCGGGGGCGCCTGCGAGGGCCGGGGAGCCCCGGGAGGCCGGTCGGGGCGGCGCGCGGGGTCCAGGCTGGGGGCGGAGCCAGGCCGGCCGCAGGCGCCGCCTCCCCCGGGACGCGGACGCGGGTCGGGCCCCCTCGACGGGCCTGGGGTCCCGGGCGGAGGCGCCAGGAACTGCTCACCCGCCCGCCCCGCCCGCTGCGGCAGGGGCTCCCCAGCAGACGCCCCTCTTTGCACCAAGGAGCGCGGCCAGGCTCGAGGGGAGGAGCAAAGGGCTTGGGGTTCGGACTCTGCGGGGGGCGGGGGGGGGGCGGTGGTCTGGAGGCGGGGCCGGGGCACAGCCGCGAGGAGGGTCCAGCACCCCGGCCCGCGCCTCCTTCTGCCGGGCGCCCCCGCCGCGGGGAGGGGCACTGGCTGGGCCCCGGCCTGACCGGCCTCCGAGTCTGGACTGCGGGGCCCCTCCCGCCCCAGGGTCACGTCGCCGGCAGCGCCCACTCCTCTGCCGAAGGGTGCCAGGCTTGGGGGGGCAGGCTGGGGGGCTGGGGGGCAGGCTGGGGGGCAGGCTGGGGGGGGCAGGCTGGGGGGGGCAGGCTCAGGGGGCAGGCTCAGGGGCAGGCTCAGGGGCCAGGCGGTGGGGGGCAGGCTGAGGGGGGCAGCTTCAGCCTCCCCGGCCGGCGCCCGCCTCGGGCCCAGGCCCAGGCCCTGCAAAGCCTTTTTGGGGTTCGCTGACCAGACCCGCCAGCCGCGCCTCCCAGATCCTTCGCCTCGAGGCGCTGGCCGGGCAGCCCCAGGGTGTGGGAGCCGCTGGCGTCCCAGGAGCCCCCGCCGCGGCCCCCCCAGACCTCGCGCCTCTTTCCAAGCGGGTGACTCAGCCCCGAGTCCTGTCGGCCGGGGGCTGGGGGAAGGGCGGGGGGCGCCGCCTGCGCGGCGGGAGCGCCCAGGCCGCTCCTTCTTCGGGGAGCAGCACCCCCCATGCGCCCCTGGAGCCCGAGCCGCCCAGCCCGCCCAGCCGGTCGGGCTCCCCGGGCCCCTCGCCCACCGCGGACCCGCCCCGGTCTGGCTGCTCCCCCAGCCCTCGGTCGTCTGGGCCCGGGGTGACAGCGAGGGCCGGGGTGGGGCTCTGTCCCGGAGAGCGCGCGCGGCGGGGTCCAGCACCCGCCAGAAGAGGGGCCCCCAGAGCTCTGCCCGCGGCCGTGAAGGGGGCGCCCCGGCGCCCCACCGCCCCTCCCGGGCCCTGGGGATGGAGCCGGGCGGCACCCCCGCGGCACGGTCCCCGAGGCCCCGCGCTCCGCCGCCCGCACCCCGACAGCGGCGGCGCTTACCTGACCGCGGACCGGACCGTCTGGGGCTGCGGGCGGCGCGCAGGGCGGGGCGGCCCGGCCCGGCCCTTATACCCGCCCCCCGCGCCCCAATGCGCGGCCGCCGGGGGGCGCTGCGGCCCCGCCGATGGCCGGGCGCGCGAAGGGGCCGAGGGGACCCCAGCTGCGAGCGCCCGCGCCGCCCTCCCCGCCCGGGTGTGGGGGAGCCGAGCCCCTCCCGGGTCCCGGGGTGCGACCCCTGCCCGGGCGCCGCAGGGATGGGGGTGATGGGGGGTGACTGCGCCACGGCACCTCCCCTTTCGTACCCCACGTGCTCAAACTCCCCTACACATGGTGCGCTGGGGGGCCCTGGGGCACCCGGGGTCCCTCACTCTCTGGGGTGCGGGAGGGGCCTTGGGGACTTGGCACAGACTGTGTGAGGGGTCCCCACCCTCCTCCGGGCGCCCCGGGCAGGCGGCCTGGGCTCGGCTCCCAGCAGCAGAGACAGGCCCCGCGGAGCGCACCCCTCTCCCGACGGGTCCCCACCCCTCCTGCCCGTCCCGAAGCCACCCTCGGGCAGCTCTCCAGCCCCTCGCACCCCCAGGCGGGGCCTGCGAGACACACCGGCTCACCTCCAGAGCTCTGGAAAATCAAATTTGATAACTCTGCCAGGAATTTCACTGCTTTTAAGGGGGGGTGTGTTTCCAGAGGTCCTGGCCCGCCACCCCGCAACCCCTGCCGCTGTGTTCCCTGGGCTCCTGCAGCCCCCAGCCCCCCACTCTGCGGAGGCTCTCAGTGCAGTCCCAGGGCGGTGACTGCAGTTCTACTCTCTGGCCTAGATGCCCTTAGCTCTCGTCTCACCTCTGTGTGCTTCTTAAGCCTTCAGTATGTGTCAAAGCTCAGGGGAGCTGGAGGCTGGGGGGCTGTGTGCCTGCCCTCAGAAAGCAAGCCTCCGCCTCGCGTTTGGATATGGCCAGCGGGAGGGCCTGGGTGGCGGGCATGAGGACGCCCTCCCTTAGGTTGAGAGTTTCCGTCTGGATTCTCAGGGAGCTTTAATAAGCAGGCGTCTTTTGCCAGGTACATTGCCTGCATTTATTGAGAGCAAAGGGTTCCTCACCTCTTATCCTGCTAACGTGGTATATTGTTTAATTTAAAAAACTCTTGGAGGGCCTTCCTGGTGGCGCAAGGGGTTAAACACAGCGCTGTGAAGCGGTCGCAGCCACTACAACACGAGTTCAAGCCCCGGCCGGCCAGGGAGCTACCCACATGGCGCAGCAGACCTCTCCTGTCTCCCCGCTGCTCCCCTCAGCAGTGTGTCTCAGTGGATCTGCCTGTTTTCCTCCTCTGTCTGGTGAATCCTCTCACCCCCGCACCTCTGGCCTGTACCCCAGCTCTTGTATGCATAAATAAATACATCTTAAAAATAAAACAACTCTTGGACCAACGTGGCATGTTGAGGATAGACCTGGTGTGCCATCTTTTTATAAGTTGGTGGGGTCAAGTGATTGTCCTTAAGGGTCTTTGTGTCTGTCCCCAAGGGTGTGGTCTGGGTCTTTCTTCTCCTTTATCGTTTTTGTCTGGTTTTGGTGCCAGGTCCTCGGGGGATGAGGATAATCCCACTCAAAATCACGTGGGACCTGTGTGGGGTTGGTGTTTGGTAGAATTCTCCAGTGCAGCCCTCAATGTCCACAGTAAGTGCAGGACCATTCCTGCCTGACAGCTCGGGCAGTTTCTCCACTGCAGGGACTTTGTTTATTTCATGGGGGTGCCTGCGTTTGCGGGCACAAAGCTGATGGCCCTGTGCCCTGACTGGCCTTGGTGTCTGTTGGGCCTGTAGTAATGTCCCCTCTTTCGTGTCTGATGATAATCTGTGACTTCCCTTTCTTAAATAGCTGCGTATCTCCAGTTTATCCAGCGTAGTGGCTTTTCTGAGTCCGCTTTCGCCTTGTTGGTTTATCTCTCCTCTCGTTGTTGCTTCCTGCTTCAGTGTTGGCACAGCTCAGCCCAACTCCCTGGGTCTGTCTGTCTGCCTGGGCTGAAGGCCAGTCTGCTGGGGAGACTGGCTGTCCAGGATCATGCTGGTCGGGGTCGTGGGCCACAGCAAACGGGACAGGTTGCACATCACCCCAGGACTCCCCTGGGCCCAGCGACGCTGCCCTAGCCGAGGGGCAAGCTCTGGCCCTCCCTTTGCAGCACCTGTGCTGGCCCGGCTGCCCCGTGGGTGCTGCTGGCTTGTCCCAAGGGTCTGGTGCCGTGGAGTCATGGCGCCAGCTGACACCACGTGAGACTGAGTATGGCTGAGCCAGGAAGCACACCCAGGGGTCCCACTGGAAAGGAAAGGAAGACTTGCCATTGGCTGACACGAGACTGAAAGTGCATTTAATGACCTGAAACCCCATTTCTGATGAACCTCACCCTTCTTTATTAGCTGTGCGCCTCCCACTTGCCAGTGAAGTTGAGGAGTAACTCCCAGCTGGTGACTGGTCCCCACGCGACCAACCTCTGCTCTCTCATCAAGCCTGTGAGCGCCTGCCCCAGGCTCCGTGATCAGCAGCAGAGGTCGGCATCCCCGAGGCCCCGGCCCCCTCTCCTCAGGATGCTGTGAGCGGCCACAGGAGGCGCAGCCTCTGGGTGCATGGATGGCGACGGCATCCATCCCTTCCACAAGGAGTCCAGGTAGGGGCAGAGGTGGCCACAGCACCCACGGGGGCCGGGCAGAGCACCGGGGGAGGGGGTGCCATCACATTAGGGCCCGGCTCCTGCTCCAGAACCAGGGAGCAAGGCCTGGGCCCACCCTGGCCTGGAGTCAACCTAGCCCCAGGACCGGCTCTGAGGTCCAGGTCAGGCTGGACGCAGCTCCTGGGCGGGGATGGGCCTGGGAGCAGCTCCTGCAGCCGAGCATCATGCGTGGGCTGTTCCCTGGGAGCGGGGGGCACCCCAGGGCACTCTGGGGACACCCACCCCTTCCCGCAGGGCCAGGACTGCCAGTCCTGCTGCCACTCCCTGCGACAGGAAGGGCGGCCCCAGGGTGTGCCCCCCGATGCTGGCCCTAGAGGGCTGGGACGCCAGCCATAGCGAGGCCTTCCCTTTGATGGAGCCACTCTCTGGCAGGAAGGAGCCCTTCAGCCGCCTGACCGACCCAGCCCTGGACAGAGCCGGCTTGTTGGAGGGTTGGCAGCCTGGAGCCGGGGCGGAGGGGCAGGGGCGGGTCCTGCCACCGTGTTCAGGGGGCCGTGGGCAGCAGCTTCCAGAGAGCCGGGCCCCAGGCGCGGTCTCGGCTAACGCCGCCTCATTTATTCCTGTGAGCAGGACACCGGGCCGAGGGGCCGCTGAGTACCCCCTGCAGCCTGGGGCTGGCGCGGGAGGGCGGGCCCTCTCCAATGGCCGAAGGCTGCCTCCCGGTGTCCCCTCCGGCGCTGCACATGGTGATGGTGTCGCTAGGGCCAGTGTCATGCGGCCACGGGGGACACCTGGCTCTGAGGGCACCTTCTCCCTGATCTCTGAGGCGCCCATGGACACGGCCTGAGGCCCGTCCCTCCTGAGGCCCTGCCTGGGCAAAGGCCCCGCTCTCCCTGCCCCCATGCCTAGCCCCAGTCTCTCTGCCTGCAGGGGTCGGGGGGCCTCTCCTGGCCAAGCCCCCGGGAGTCCAGTTGAGCCGGCCAGGGCCAAGGGCACGGTGGGACACGCCCCCCTGCCTCCTGGGCTGTCAACCGCCTCGGCCCCCTTTCAGCCCCCCTGGATTCCGGGACTCCCGCTCTGCTGTGCATCCTGCGGCCAGTGGCTTCTGCTTCCTTGCCTCAGTCTACCTGCCGGGGAGATGCGTGGATGTGTGACGGGGTGAGGTGGGCGGGAGGCGCGGTCCCTGGGCTTCTCCCGCCCCGACAGCTCCCAGGAGGACAAGCGGGGCAGGGGCGGGCGGCCGGTGCGAGATCCTGACCGGGCCCCGGCCCTGCCCTGCTCCAGCCCCGGCCACGTCCACTTGGCCCGAGGGCCCCTGCGCTGCTCCGTCCGTGTGGCCGCCTGCCTGGCGCTGGGTCAGCCCCTGTGCCTGCGAGCAGCTCCCTGAGGCTGAGGCGGGAGGCTCTGGGAGCGGCTGTCGGGGCCGGGGCCTGGTGGGCAGGGGTCTGAGACGCTCTCCTTCCCACCCCAGCCTGGGCATCTCTGGCCGCTCGTTGCACCCTGGGGTGGGCACGGCCATGCCTTCCTGGCCAGCGAGGCATCCGGGGGGGGGGGGCGTCCCAAGGCGGTGAGCCAGGCCACCGGAGGAACCCCAGTTCCCAGGGCCCCCAGTCCCCACGCAGGCCGCCGGTCACCCACAGAGGCCTCGGCCCGGCCTCTGCGTGGTCTCTCACCACGGGGGTCTGGAGATGCCGATTTGTGCCCCCAGCAGTGTGGGGCCGTGTGGAGTCTGGCTGGTTACAACATCTGGCCTCTGGCCCCACAAACTGCCCACCATGCCCCATGCACACCCCTCTGTGCCCCCCTGCACCCCCTAGAGCAGGGTCTGATTTGTCCTGAGTCCAGCCTGGGTGTCGGGGGTGGGAGCTGGCCCTCGCAGGGGCCCGTTCTCTGCCTGGGCCCCGACGCGAGCCCCTGCGGCGGGCCTGGGGGTGGGAGCCAGAGCGGTCACTTGGGTGCGCTGGGTCCTGTGTCGCGCAGCTGTGAGCGCCGGGAGAGCATGGGGAGCTGCACGCACGCGTGCCTGCACCCCGTGTGCTCTACGCAGGGCACATGCCTGTGCACACGTGTGCTCCGGACGGGCGTGCGTGCGCCGAGGGTGTGTGGTGCGTGGCGAGGCGCGCCCGCAGTGCGTGCATGTAGCTGCGCTCTGGCGGGCGGGCGGGCGCCGTGGCCGCGCTCCCGGGCCGTGGAGGACGTGCGGGCACAGAGCCTTCTAGAACAGCCCCGTGGGGGGAGAGCACATGTGGCGACACATGGCGGGCAGCCAGGCCGGGGCCTCAGGAAGCTTGTCCCAGCTCGAGCGCCCTGGGCGGGGGCGGCGCTTCCGCTGAGTCACAGCAGGGGCTGTTTCCAATTACTGGGGCCTCA